TTCTTTGGAGAAATACTTGCGCAGGCTAAGTGCACACCCCGTGATCAGGAACAGTGACGAATTGAAAGTGTTTCTTCAGGTGCAAGGGAAGTTGCCACTACCAATGAGCACTGATGTGGCCTCCAGGATGTTGGATGGCGCGGTGAAGCTTCCAAAACAGTTGTTTGGTGAAGGCGGAGCCTCTGCAGTTCCAGTGCATGAGGTGGTTCAGCCTGCAAGAGGAGGTAGGGATCTGCTGAGATTATTCAAGGAGCTGAGGCAATCAGTATCTAATGACTGGGGTGGATCAAAACCACCAGTTGTTGAAGAAGATAAAGAATTCTTGGAAAAGAAGGAGAAGATGCATGAACTTGAGCAGCAAATTATCAATGCCTCACAGCAGGTAAAATTCCATCCTTGTTGGTTGAGTTATGCATCATTCTGTCAGTTTGTGGTATCCTGCTTGGAACAAACCCTTTTGCTGTTTCTCTTTTGTAGGCAGAATCCCTTGTGAAGGCACAGCAAGACATGGGGGAAACCATGGGTGAACTGGGATTAGCATTCATTAAGCTTACCAAGTTCGAGAACGAAGAAGCTTCTTCCAACGCCCAAAGAATTCGTGCTAATGATATGAAGAATTTAGCCACTGCGGCTGTAAAAGCAAGTAGATTTTATAGGGAGTTGAATTCCCAGACTGTCAAACATTTGGTAAATGTCTATTGAACTACTAAAAATATTCTGTTGCCTCATTGCCGTGAAGCAAATGAAATGTTGAGTTCTTTTCCTCAATTGACCTCAAGAATCAGGATTTCTAGAATCTCCTGATGCTTAGCGTGTATCCTCATTATAGACTAGTGAGTTGTCGGCTTATATATGGAGATTGTGCTGTGTTTAAAGTTTCCCTAATAGCTGTTCATGTATTCAAATTGTTCATTTCAGGACACACTCCATGAGTACCTTGGCATGATGATGGCTGTCCAAGGCGCATTTGCAGACAGATCTAGTGCTTTATTGACAGTGCAAACACTTCTATCAGAGCTTCCTTCGCTGCAAGCAAGAGTCGAAAAGCTAGAGGCTGCATCTTCGAAGGTATTTGGCGGTGACAAATCAAGGATGCGGAAAATAGAAGAGTTAAAAGAAACCATCAAGGTCACTGAGGACGCAAAAAATGTTGCTATCAGAGAGTATGAGCGAATCAAGGTATTCAGTAATAACTCTATGCATATCACAACTTGTGCTGATGGATGTACCAACGTGGTATGATTTTTTTGGTTGTGCTATGTGTAAATTTGTATCATTGCAGGAAAACAACCGATCTGAGGTTGATAGGTTGGACAGAGAAAGGCGTTCAGACTTCATGAACATGATGAAGGGTTTTGTTGTTAACCAGGTACGTTATTATTATTCTGCAGCACATAATCATTAGAAGGATGTAACCTTTCTTTAGTACCAGTAGAAGTTTGTCTGTGTAGACTAAGTGAAGAATGATAAGGAAATTATAAAGGTTAAGCACAAAGTGTTGAGATTACAAGAGTGGGGAAGTTGAAATAATTGAATAAAAAGAAGGCATTTACGGGTCTCTTGTAGGCAAGTGATTGGTGAGTGCTTTGAATGATATTGTTAGAGAAGAGGGAATAGGAATACTAAATCTGCTAGTAAAGGAGTAGAGTGCAGTATGTAAAAGTTGTGTTCTTGGGTTGTGGATGCAGGTTGGATACGCAGAAAAAATGGGCAACGTATGGGCCAAAGTTGCGGAGGAGACCAACCAATACAATAGAGAGAAGCAGAGCAGCTAACATAAAAAAGATAAAAAAGAGTGACGATGTTCATTTTGGCTTAACCATACCATGTTTGGCAGAATCACATTGCGTAATAAGTGTTGTCAAAAAGTGTAGTAGTTTCCATTTTCATATGTTGTATCTATCTGATAGAGAGTTTGGTAAACGTTCTTCTTTGTTTTCTTTAGTTGCTGTAAATTAGTTTTTCTAGAAGCATCTCTGACTGCATCTACATTGACCTCACACCCATTGTTTTCACTTTTTCACTTTTCTGGTATGCCGCAAAAGATGAGTTTGGTAAACATTCTTCTTTGTATATTTTAGTCCGCTGTTTCTAGAAGCATCGCTGACTGAATCTGCATTGACCTCATAAAGTCAGTACCCATTGTTTTCTGGTATGCCGGAAAAAGATGAGCACTTCGCTTTAGCCAGTAAGATGACGAAGAGATAAACTGAACCATTAAACCCTCAAATCTTACTCGTAAACCGGCCGGGTTTAACCCGTCCCCCGGTTAGAAAGAATAAGAAGCGAGACCAATGAGGAAATGGCAGAAAAGTCACGAAGACGTCAATGTTAACGAAAGCGAGAGACTTGACAAAAAGACAGCAGCAGAAATTATCGCCAGATTTACACGCCCATGCCATTTTCAAACAACGCGGCCAGGTCAAAGATCGCGTCTGTCTTAAAGGGGTAGTTTCGTCACTTCACGCAAGTTTCTTCTATCCATCCAGTCTTCTTCCTTGCTTGGAACTTTCTTCGTCCTCGATTCTTTGCTTTCCCCGTCGATCTCGCTGTGTGACCTTTTTATTTAGTGACCTCGAGATTACAGAAAAGCTCAACACTTATTCCACATCTCTTTCAAAATCATGGCGGAGAATGGTGAAGAAAAGTTACTTGCTGTTGCGCGTCACATAGCCAAAACACTTGGCCATAACGAATCCATGGCCGATGATATCTTACAGATCTTCTCCACCTTCGACGGCAGGTTTTCGCGCGAAAAGCTTGCCGAAGGTCAAGCTGGAGAAGATGGATCCGGAGTTGCTGTACTAGAGCGAGCTCTAAATTCGATAGACGGCCAGATCTCTCGCTTTGTTGCCGCGGATCAACCTATCTGGGCTGATCCTGCTGATTCAGCTGCTTTTCTCGATACAATCGATGAGCTCGTTGCTATCATCAGAGAGTGGAGTCCCATGGCTTCAGAGAAACCTATCGGCGTCTGTCTAGCACGCGCCGACGATATGATGCAGCAAGCTATGTTCCGCATCGAAGAAGAGTTCAGGTCGCTTATGGAGCGCGGAGCTGAGTCGTTCGGACTTAATCCTCAGGGAGACGCTGCTGCGATGAATCATCGTTTCGACTCTGAGGAAGAAGACGACGACGACAGAGATTTCCAGAACGGTGATGATATTCAGATCCCAGTGGCACAGCCACTCACTGACTACGATCTTATCATCGATGCTCTCCCCTCGGCCACAATCAATGATCTGCACGAGATGGCTAAGCGCATGCTTGGCGCTGGATTTGGTAAGTCGTGCTCTCATGTTTACAGTGCTTGTAGGAGAGAGTTTCTTGAAGAGAGCATGTCGAGGTTAGGTTTACAGAAGCTGAGTATCGAAGAAGTTCATAAGATGCCTTGGCAGGAGCTTGAGGATGAGATAGATAGGTGGATCAAAGCTGCTAATGTCGCTCTTCGAATCCTTTTCCCCAGCGAACGTCGCCTTTGCGACCGGGTCTTCTTTGGTTTCTCCTCTCCTGCTGATCTCTCGTTCATGGAGGTATGTCGTGGTTCTACCATTCAACTTCTGAATTTCGCAGATGCTATTGCCATAGGAAGCCGATCACCTGAGAGATTGTTTAAAGTGCTTGATGTATTCGAGACAATGAGGGATTTGATGCCTGAATTCGAGTCTGTTTTCTCAGATCAGTTTTGCTCAGTTCTTAGAAATGAAGCAGTTACCATTTGGAAACGATTGGGAGAGTCGATTAGAGGTATATTCATGGAGCTTGAGAATCTTATTCGGCGAGACCCGGCTAAAGCTGCGGTTCCAGGCGGTGGTCTCCACCCAATCACTCGTTACGTGATGAATTACCTCCGTGCGGCCTGCAGATCCAGGCAAACCTTAGAGCAAGTGTTTGAGGACAGCAATGGTGTCCCCTCTAAAGATTCAACTCTGTTGACTGTACAGATGTCTTGGATCATGGAGCTTCTAGAAAGTAACTTGGAAGTAAAATCCAAAGTGTACAAAGATCCAGCCTTGTGCTATGTGTTTCTAATGAACAATGGGAGATACATTGTTCAAAAGGTGAAAGATGGAGACCTAGGGTTGCTCTTAGGAGATGACTGGATTCGGAAACACAATGCCAAAGTGAGACAGTACCATATGAATTATCAGAGAAGCTCATGGAATAAGATGTTAGGGTTGCTGAAGGTGGACAATACAGCGGCAGGTATGACTGGTTTGGGAAAAACCATGAAGGAGAAGCTGAAGCAGTTCAATATGCAGTTTGATGACATATGTAAAATGCATTCTACGTGGGTAGTGTTTGATGAGCAGCTGAGAGAAGAGCTGAAAATCTCGCTAGCCAGGCTCTTGGTACCGGCATATGGGAACTTTATCGGAAGGTTCCAGAACCTTGGAGACATAGGGAAAAACGCCGACAGGTACATCAAATATGGAGTTGAGGATATAGAGGCTCGTATCAACGAGCTTTTCAAAGGCACAACCACGGGAAGAAAATGAAGGTAACAGACACAAATAGCCACTTGTAACTCTTTGTAACGAACCACCTGCTGATGACCAATAGCGAAGTCTTGCAGGGTGGATTTGTAACATGTATTGTATTCCTTTAGACAGGTTAGCTCAGCTCTGTTGTCTTGTGTAATGTTGTACTTTATTGTACTGGATCTTGTTTTTTTTTTTGTCATTGTAAAAAGAGAAAACAGTTGAAAAGATGATATGATTAGGGGTTTCAAACAGTCTGTTTGCATTATTTATCTTCATGTTCTTTGCATTTCCTTTTAACAAATGAAGACGTCTACACCTTCAAACTTAAACCTCAACTAGGAAACAAGACTTTCTTTATTTTGCGAATGATTCTACATGCTGTACGACTTATCCCCCAAACTACAAAAACCAATATTATCAACCATGCTGCAGTCATATTTAGACAAATTAAGCACAACATATCCAAACAATACTATCAAAAGCAGAACCGAAAGATAGTAGAAAACAGGAAGGAAGGACACAATAACTTTGAAATTTTTTTCAACTCTTGAAATAAATAATATAACATAAGTTTCAAAACTGAGCAGAGTAACAAAAGAAACAAAGTGAGTCTAGGGAAATATGAGACGTCTAAAGAAGCATAATAAGGAACTGGAAATCACAAAATTAAGCAGCCTGCTGACCAGCGAGCCTCTTCCTGGCCTCCTCAATGATAGTCAGCTTAATACCTTTACCCTTAGGGAGAGACACCCACGGCTTTGTTCCTTTGCCAAGGGTAAACACATTCCCCAACCTTGTTGCAAACTCATGTCCAGTTGAGTCTTGGATGTGGATTGTCTCAAAGCTTCCCTTATGCTTCTCACGGTTTTTGATCACACCAACACGCCCTCTGTTTCTACCCCCTGTAACCATCACAACATTACCAACATCGAATTTGATGAACTCCACAATCTTGTTGGCCTCAAGGTCAAGTTTGATGGTGTCATTAGGCTTGATGAGCGGGTCAGGGTAACGGATGGTGCGACCATCATAAGTATTCAGGTAGGGAATGCCCTTCTGACCAAACTGGATAGAGCGGACCTTGCAAAGCTTGAACTGAACAGAGAGAAGAAAAGAACTATTGTTAGAAAGCATACCAAGGAACTTATTATCAAAAAGACAACTAAACCCAGACAAGAGGAGAGCAAACCTTTGCTTCCTCATCCTTAATGGAGTGGAGGCGGAAACGTCCCTTGGTATCATAGAGAAGACGGAAGTTCTCGTTTGTCTTTGGGATAGACACAACATCCATGAAACCAGCAGGGTAAGTCTTGTCAGTCCTCACTTTCCCATCAACTTGGATATGCCTTTGCATCAAAATAGAGATCACTTCACGGTAGGTAAGAGCATACTTCAACCTGTTCCTGATGATAAGAACGAGGGGAAGGCACTCCCTGGACTTATGAGGTCCAGATGATGGTTTTGGGGCCTGTGTGTAATCAAAAAGAACATCCTCATTAACACAAATCAAAGAAAGAAATAAAAATAAAAATAAAACTAAGCAAAGAAGAGATTAAAAGACATACAAATGCACCACCAAGTTTGTCAAGCATCCAATGCTTAGGGGCATTAAGCCTCTTCAAATGCTTCTTCAAACCCCTCGCCTGTAAAATGAAACAAATAAAATTGTTACAACAGTATTAAGGTCATTTCCAAATGCGTAAATATATCTTCACGAGCTAGAGCAGCAACACATCTGAGATCTAAGGAGGTCAGATCTAAGGACAATCACCGTGATACCGAAAATATTATCGAATCAATCCAATTCCTATGAAGCTAACAAAATCATTATCTAGGCCACTTACAAAACTCCAGAGAACAGAGAATCAACTATTTAGATGTAAGCAATCACTAAGCTCAGAAACAGAGAGGGAGGGAGAGAGAGAGAGAGGGAGAGAGAGAGAGAGGGAGAGGGAGGATGACGAACCATGATTCAAGTTTGCAAGCGTAGCACCGATCCGAACTACCTGTCTTGGTTTCTTAAGAACAGCTCTGAACGACTCTTGTGAAGTAGTGAGAGAACGAGAAAAACCCTAATTGGCCATTTATATACCCTCTTCCATCTTCTCTCTTTCTAGCATGATATTTGGGTATTATGGGCTTATTAAGTATAGGCCCATTCAAATAGGATTAATGGACTTAATAAACGATGTTCCCTTTTTTTTGTTGGCCTTTTAACTTTTCTTATCTATCTTAACATTTTTTAAGTACATTTTGTACTAAAATCTATTTTGGCTTATAACCTTTTATTTTGTAATATTTGCATAATCAAACCCTTGCCATTTGAATAAATAACAAAATTTAAAAGTAAATTTTGTAATTATATCACAATCAAATCGCAAAATTGGAAACAAATATTTATTACATCAAAAAGTTTCCTTAAAATCTCTCACTAATAAACTGAATCTCTCTCCAATATATTTATATAATCTTATTTGTTTAAAATTTATATTATTACATAAAATATATTTATAATAAAAATACAAATTTTTTTCCACACATTTTGCAATTTAAATTTTTGAAAACAGAGGTATTTAATTCAATCAATAAAGGAAAAGATATATGTACAGACTAATATGTTTACAACTACAGGTGAGCAACTTTTATTTTGATCAAGTATCCAAATTGATCAAGTATCCAACTTTTATTTTGATCAAGTATCCAAATTGAAAATTTTCTTAGTTTAATCCGGTTCTTTATTTAAGAATTTTTTTTTTTAAAAGTTTCAGAATATTATAAATTTAATTTTTTAACAAGTTTAAAATATGATAAATATTAAAACTTTTAGAAGCTGAAAATTATGATATTTTATTTAAGTTGTAAAGAATATTAAAATAATAAAAAATATTCAAACTCTACAGAAATTAAAAGTATTACTAATATTTTAACTCTATAAATATTTAAAATATAATAATATTCTACATAAATATGATTGAACGGGTTTGAGTTTACATAAATATGATTATATTTTTCTGCGGGTTGTCTATATTTAAAATATTTTACGGGTTAAGTTAAAATATAATTTTTTATTTACAATAAAATCGTCCCGCGATGTACCACGGGTATACGACATATATCTATGAATCTACTTATAATACAAATATCATAAAATTATATTAAATCAAATGAAATAAACACGTATAAAACTAAACTATATAAACCAACTACGAAAATGATCAACCAAAGAAATATATTAAAGTTCCACGGGGTAAATCCTAGTCTATATTAACATTTTTGAAGTACCTTTTGGAAAATAACCTTTTATTTTATATTATTTGCAAAATAAATCCTTGCCATTTAAATAAATAACAAACTTTTAAGATAAATTTTATAATTAAATTACACCAGAATTGCAAAATTAGAAATTAACATTTATTACATTTAACAAAATTTCCTAAAATGTCTTCCTAATAAATTGAATATCTCTCCAATATCTTTATATGATCTTATTTGTTTTAAAATTTACATTATTACATAAAACATAAGTATAATAAAAATACAAATTTTTTTTTTCATATGTAGAAATTTGAATTTTTGAAAACGGACGTATATTACTCAATCGATAAAAGAAAAAACATATATGTATAACGTCCCACATCGGGTAGAAAATTTTAGACAATGGTTCGGAACCATTATAAATATGACTAATATGAAACTTAAAATCCAAAATTTTGAATGGAATATTACAACAAAAAAAATTTTACTAAAATTTAGGAATTCCAAAATTTTAAAATCTTGATTGTTTAAAAATGAGTTTTTGGAAAGCAAAAACCAAAATCTCTCTCTAAATCTATAAAACATTCAAGGTTTATATTTTACTTAAATATGATTTAACGGGTTTGAGTTTTATGTTTATCTTACGGGTTAACAAAAAAAAATAACAAATATAATTTTAACATAATTTTTTTAGTCATGTTAGTTACAAAAAATATCCCGTGAGTTAAGTAATAAAAATAACAATCAAAAATACAGTTACACAATCTTAAATACTAAAAAGGTAATAAAATTAACAAATATAACTTAAATATATATATTTTTTGTCAAAAAATTTGTCCCGCGGTGTACCGCGGGTTAAAACCTAGTAAAATTCATGGAAGAAGACAATTTCATAAAATAACATCAGTTAGACGAATGAGGAAATTAGATCTTCAAACCGAAATTATTTTGAAAAAGGAATGTTACTTTTGCTGTGAAAGTTTATATAATTCTTTTTAAAATATGTATTTGATCCCAAATTACTTATTAAGTTTAGTCTATTATTATTTGTGTGGGCGTGAGAGGCTTTACATATTTTTTTTTTTTCAGTTTGTATTTGTCAAATGTGTCCGAGTACCTAGGCCTTTACATATAAGTATGGTCGAGTGGAGAGTATTGAAGAGCAATAGGGTGAGTTGAGTGACGAGTCTGCCGGAAGAGACAATCCATGCGTGCACTCAAAGCCAGAACAGCGATTGAGCCAAAGGCAAACAGAGAGAGAGAGCGACAAGTAAATTTCTCTATTTATTACTTTCTTTTCATATGATCTTCCACACCACATATAATTGAATTGAGTTATTAGTAAAGACAACTCACACATGTTTACGTATATCACATATAAGTACCACCTACGTTCCGTAAACCCTTTTCATTTCTTGGAAAGCAAATACTAAGGAGAATGTTAGGGTTAAAGCAAAACTCCCAGACTAATGTCACAAAATGCATCCTCAGCTCCGTTTATTGGATTAGCAAGGAGATTGGCACAAGGGGCAGAGTTTCTTACTAGACGTGTAGAACCACTTGTCTAAACATGCTTTGTGAAACTTGTACTTGCACGTCACGCAAGCCCGCCTTGGAAGGCTATGATTCGCTGTGTGTATCACACTGTAACATATCGGGCAGTCCTCTACTCCTTCAAACTCTTTATCCGAGTTTCGCTTCCATATCCTTATCGCCTCCGCCAGGGCCCCATTCTGCTTTCAGTAACATATCAAAAAAGAAAAGAAAACATTCAGCCAAGTCATGCACTCGATTGAACTATGTTGATATGGGCTTTAGATGGAGGGAACAAGATTAATCTACCAACTTTTTCTGCCACCTTGTATTATTGGTCTATATGATGGGACTGCATATCATTCAGGTTAACAAAGATCTACATGACTCATAAAGTACAGTACCTGATTACGAACAAACAGCTGCATGGACATCAACCACTTCCTCTGCTTTGCATCGCTTATTCCAATACTTTTTGTGCAATTAACGTCAACAGGCCTTAGTGGGTAAGAAACTGGAAGCCGGATCACGAGATCCATCCCTGTTTCATCCTTCGTATATGTAGCAACTACTTCGTTTGCCGCTTTACTTATGCTGACTGAAAAGCTCTCATCATTAAAGTCTGCCTTCTTTATCTGCGGCTCACATAAACAATGACCAGAATATTTGCAAATGCGTTAGTTAATCTTCACTGCAACTCTCATCGATGAGAAAATCTTAACTGCACATACCTGAGACAGTTCATTCTTGATTAAAGTAGGGCTGCACCACGATCTTGTAAATGCTTCAATCAGAGATGATGTAGAACGGTCTCGCATTTCGCTAAACCATTCTCTAACATAAGCTGGAAGGACGCGTAGCATCAGACCATATATCGCCCCAGCAAGCGAAGCCATCTTTCCAGTTTCAATAGGCCAAAGTGATTCAACCGTTGACAGGGAAGAGCCTGTCATAATCGCATGAGTGGCTGCAGAAGCTACAACAGATAACTCAGACGGAATATCCCCATCTTTTTTTTTCAAGCTATGTGCCATGTATAATTCTAGAGGTATGTGCTGAAAAAGACTATCTAATATCAACGGATTTGCAGTTTTCTCTATATACTGCACCAGTCTCTCTCGTCCTTGTGTTAGTGAAGGAAGAGAGTTAACATGCGAGAGCAACAAAGACCATGCCAGGAACGTTTGCACCTGCCATTAGAAGTGATCAAACAGTGAATGACTTGCCAAAGAGGGAAAATAAACCAAATAGAGTTTTTGAAAGAAATTTACCCTTTCTGGTGCAGTTAAATCCGTATCAAGAAGTTCATTATTTAACTTCTCAACCATACAAGATACTTCATCTCTTAACCGTAGCTTCTCTTCAGATGGCAAACCAGTATTGATTGAGTCCTGGTCATTGAGAGACTCATCATTCAGTGGTGCATTCCCATCAGCAACTATGGCCAGCCTGGAAATAGGCTCGGTAGACAAAACAATGTATGCAGCAAGTTGCAATGACGGGATTGGATTGGAAGAGTACATCATTGCATACAAAGAGCTTATGGCTCCCTTGCTTAGACCCCAAAATTCCACTGCTCTGACAGCTCTATCTCTGGCACGTGGAGAAGAGTCTACCACAATTTGAGCCACCAACTCCCAGAATTGCAAATGATCAACTCGAAATGAAGCAACAATCAATGCTGCCTCTGCGGAATATGAAGCAGCAATAGCCTCAGCAAGACCGGTGCAAAAGAAAAGACGTAGAACACCTTCAAGTATCCGATCCTTAACCGGATCCCATGTTTCATCTGCCAAGGATTTCAGATTGTCTTCACCTTCAGTCGATTTATGCTTTACTAAAGCATTAAGCAACGAAAATGCTGAGAGAGCATTCTGAGCATTGCTTATAGAAGGATCAGAAATAAACACAATATGCCCAAGTCCCTCAAGAGTATCATTCTCCTTCTCCACAGAAGAAACGCCACTAATGAAGTCATTGACGTTCTCAGAAGTTTCCTCCATCACAACCACTGCAGACTGAATCAGACGCTTCAAATTAGAAAAGACAAAATCCCAGTCATCCTCATTAAAATCGTTTCCACAGTAACTAACTGCGATAACAATTAGTCTAGCGAGCAGAATTTGGACAGCTGGAAGTTGGGTAACTACACTTGATGCAACAGGATCTTGCTTCTGCTTGCGGAACAAGTCAAGCAGGAGTGTTCTCTCTTCATTGCTCACATGCCTCTGTAGTTCCTTTGCTTCTTCAGCCTTTTTACTTACGGGATAACAAGAGATAACAAGCTGAAACCAATCCTGCATATCTAATAAAGACAAGAAAAAAAGAAAAAAATAAAACAATGATCAGCTAGACTTGCAAAACAATATATAAAGAACAAAACCTCAGTCTTAAATTACTTCCTCGAACGTCCATCTAATGCCAATTATGACCACTTCTCAGGTGAGGACTTCAGAATATCACTAGGTCAATATTGTAATCCTTCATTCAAATCAAAGCTTTGATAATAGAAGTTCAAGATGAGATCACTAGCCCTTAGCAGTGAAAAAAATGAGAAAATCAAATCGGGCCTCACCTTCTCCACTTTGCCAGAACACCAGAGGAGGGAATGACAAAGTTTTCTCCAGCCAATTTCTAAACAAAACTTCCAGTGGCAGCAAAATATCTTTACCAGAAACACCAGATTTTATTTTTGTACGTAGTGGTGAAATTAAAATGCTCATAATGAAAGGAATGATTCTCAAACACTTTGTGCTCGTCTCTTCTCCTATATAAAGTTTATCTGTGAGCATTTTGAAAGCAACCATGGCTTGTTCTTCTCTCCAAAGGTCCTCCTTGAACAAAGTGTGAAGCAATGACACTAGAGCCCTCAAAAATGGTTCTACGATATCCTCTATGTTATTATTAAAGTCAACCCACATGTTCCCCAAGCTCTCTATCTCATCCTCTCCATGTACAAGGGCACCATTGAGTAGTATGTCAAAAATGGAATTTAGTAAGCTCCCACTCGACGGTTCACTCTTACAAAATGAGACAAGCGTTGGCAGGAAAGAAGTTTGAACGTTACTCCCTGGCCACTCCCACGTGCAGAGTATCTCTACGGAAAGCCAAGCTTGAGAGGAAAACCCATCATCTTTGCGTCCAACAAGAAATCGGTGAATTCCCATTTTCAAGATCAGGTTGTTAATGAAAGAAACAAATCTTTCACTCCTGGATTTCCTCAATTCACACAAATGAACAGGCCTTCCATGGGTATTTATGCTAGCTGACGTGCTGGGGCTGACCCACATAGGCCATATATCACTTTCAAGCAGGAGCAGGGAACATATCTTTTCTTTATCGCTTTGATCCAGTGAGAGATATTCCAACACCTCGGTCATCCTAGAAGCACACAATAGCGTAAGTTCACAAGGTTGCAGACTATCCTCAAGTAGGACAATGGACCTAAGGGACTGAACCAAAATGATTGCTGAACTCTTCCTGGCATCATAGTCTATGGATTTCCAGAAGTGATTATCCATCTTAGAGTAAACAGCGTGAATAAAATCACACACAAGATTCCGATCCTTTCTCTTCTCTTTGGACTCATATTGCGTATCATCCATTAGTGATGTTATTCTACTCTCCAAGTCAATGATTAAAATAGAAGACAAAATAGTTGAAAGTAGAGTGGCGTCCTGATTCATAGCCTTCAAACTGAAGAAACTACCATTAATAACTTCAACTGCAAACTTAGCAACCACGATCACGTCCACAGTACTGCTCAAATCAAACTCTATAGCCTCAACAGTAAGAGATGAACATATATCATTAACTGAGCATAGTGGTGACTGTTTGATAAAAGATAGCAGCTTTCCGAGGATTCCTTTATATATCAAGACCAACGAGCTTCTTGACACAAAAGAAATATTGCAGTCTTCAGTTGAACCACCCAGAACTGAACTGCATACACAAAAATATGCAATAAGAACTGAGAACAAGCAAATAAGCAATATAAAATTGTTTGATACTGTTTAAAGATATGCTGACTAACTTACCACAGGAACTGAGCCGCAGAGGTTGTAGTCCCTGAGGAGGAATGGACAAGACTTATCGCAGTTGAGTCTATGAGTCTATGATGCCAATGCTCTGGCAGAGAGCCTACTCTTTGATTCAACTGCCCAGAACTTCTTTTTGTAATTTCACCCCTTGCCTTCTCTAAAAGCACTTTCATGGCAGCCAGATTATTGCAACCCTGACGGTGTTGATTAAATACATAAAAAATGACATCACTCCACTGCTGAGTGAAACATTCATCATCAAGTAATGAAAGTAGGAGATCTTGTCTAGCTGCAGTTGAAGAGTCAGATACATCCATAGACCAAGGAATGAAAATCTCTTGAAAAACTTTAATGAACTTTTCTGGGCTCATATCCCTCCCCTTTTCAACAGAGATAAGGGTAGAAGTCTCTACATCATTAATTAGTATCGGAACTATCTTTCTCGGTCCAAACACTGATACTGAAACTGACAAAAGCTTCACACCATCTAACAATTCCTAAAAAGAGAAATACAACGCATAAACATCATGAGCTAATCAAGTATAAACATCATATGATTTACGACATAACAGGGTAATATTGACATAACTTACAGATGATCTTATCCACGGGAAAGCCTTGAACAGCAGTGGCCCCATAAACTGATCCAAGGGCCAACTCTCACCTTCCAAAACTGAGTATCTCTCCAATAACAAAAGAAAATCAATCATTTTTCCCATGCTACCCGCAACTATCTCTAAGTTTCCCTGCTGAAGCATATTCAAGAAGCTCTCTTGAACAGATTCACAGAAAAAAGATAGCAGGTTCTGCTCGAGTAAATTAATCCCTGAAAGGATTTCTACGATGCATCTTCCTAGCTCTTGCCGATAATTAACTGAATTACCCATGCCAAGAGTTTCAGCTGACTTCCTCTGAATAGGTGGAATGCTGCCCTTAGATAGTTCAAAGAAGTCTGCCCATAGAATCTTCACGAGAACTTTATCAATTAGATCAACCTGGAGATCATGAATGGAATTGGGACCAACGCAGTACTTTGAAGCATTATGTAATCCCCAGAGGAAACACTCAGTTGTTGCCCGAAGAAGTGATAACTGATCCGCACTTGAAGAATCACATATACTTCTTCCAGCCAATAAGTTTTTGAAAAAATTCACGAAGAACTTATCAGCTTCTATAGATTTTATTGGTATAACTTCAAGGAACAATATCAGTGCAGGATAAGAAACCCGTGGGGATCCATAACAACCGTTCTTTAGAAACTGCCATAAATGATTTAGAACAGATTTATGAACATTTAGGTAGACCCAGCTCTGAGGATATTTTCTAGAGAACAGCAATACAGCCTCCCACATTGATGAGTGGCAGGTTGGATTATTTTCCCGAAAAACACCAAGCAGAGCTGGTGCAAGACATCTGATATCGCCTTCGCCAAAGACTTCAGGAACATTTTTAATGAAGCTGCTTAATAAAGAATAAGTGGCTGACCGAATACTAGGGCTCCCAGATTTTAGAAAGTTCAGAAAGCATTTATGGAAAGAGAACAACTTCCCAGCTGTGGAGATTGCCACTGCCCTAGCCTTTGAGAAAAGTTTAGATTCAGAATTAATGTTTGCAGAGACAGCTTTATCAGGTTCGCGGAGCAATATATCTAGAAGTGTAGCCAATGCCATCAGAGATGATGATATCATCTGAAACAACAGAAAATAAGACATTAGAAAAGAAAAACCAAAGAAGGAAAAATTGCACCACAGCATGAAGAATCACCAAGATGGGAGTACCTGCTGGTACATTTCTTCTAATTCATCTGAAGCAAGTGCTTTATCAGATAAATTTTGAGGTGTAAGTTTGAGATTTTCCTCCACATAAGCAAAAATCTCAGCTGCACATAAATTCAAGGCGTGCAATCTCTTTTCCTGGGTAGGAAATGCTGCCTGTTTAAACGTTAGATAGCTAAATGAAAATCTGAACATCAATGCTATAACAAAGTACTTGCTGAGCAGAACTAATGGTTACTGATCTAATAAAACGACAAGAGAGTTTAAATCGGCAGTGAGGCATCCACACATACAGTAAAAAGTAACCTCCAGTAAGAAACGAGGAGCCAACCTGCAAAGATGACTTTGCTGCTTGAGAAACTTCAAATGCCAAATCAAACTGCGAAAACCACCAGGGCCCCATTATAGACTTTAGATGAGGTGCTAAATCTCTCCTGAGTAACACATACGAAACTAAGAATTAATACAGAATATCAAAACATACGGAGAAGGTAAAATAAAGTATCACATGCATGCTAATACAATGTCTGACACGCTCTATTTAGAAAAGCTATGCTAAGACAATGTTTGACACGCTCTATATAGTCATGCTTCTATAGCAATTAGCAACAAATGAATCATTCCAACAAAATATTGACAATATCTTTGATGTAGATTTTAGGAGAACCTCAAAGCTAAATCATATCACTCATGACACAAGAAGACTACCTGACACCCAAGTGTATGATACTATTAAGGAAATAATTGAGACACTACATCATGGCAAGAAAAAGAATATGCAATAGAAAATTGAGAGTCAAACCCGGCACCAGTGACAACATTAGTCATGACGTCATGTGTAGCTCGCCGAACGTCTCTATTGTAGTCTAGTATCAACTTCTTGTACTCAAATGTCTGGACAAGTACGAAAAAAATAGACAATCAATAGTGGAAAACGAACAACTAAATGCACTGCAACGTGAGAAACAGAGTGATCAACATCCTCCAAGGGGAAGACTAATTTGAGCCAATTCCATCAGCCTATGCGGTATCACCAATCTTGATATTATTAGCATATCTATAACATTAAACTTAACACAATTTATGAAGATAAGGAGTTCTTCTTTGTTAAAAGAAAGCATTAATCTAAAGGTTCACCCCTAGTATGTATTATGTAAACAAAGGAACTTAGAAACATACCCATTGTGGGATTATTGGCAAAATTTCCTTCCCTTTCTTTTGCTTAATCAGTTCTGACAGGGAAGCAAGGGCTTTAATCTGTTGAAGCAAACAAAACACACTCAAGCAAACTTAGAAAGAGCAGGGCTTGTAATCGATTGAATAACCAGGAAAGCCGTTACCTTTGTTATAGGGTCTTTCCTTGAAAGACGTTGCAAGTGCTGGGCAACTTCACTATCCAAATCCTACAATCCCATCCAAAAATATAAGAAACTGGCAAACAAGAAGGCAGAAACAAACGAAGAAGGGACAGGTAGAATCAAAACGACAAACATACCAAGGGAGCAGAATCTTCGTTTGATATAGAAGTTTCGAATTTAGAGCTACCTACATAGCCGCCAAAACCTACGGCTGCAGCTGCAGAGCCAGACGGCAACAGAGAAGCTGCCAAGCTGTGTTAAGGAAAAGCTCAATTCAGTACCGAAGCATAAACTATACGCAGCAGTATAAGATATAATTCGAGGAAATTAAAGGAGAAGGAGAGGATGAAGGAACAAAGTTTCACCTGCTGCTGGATGGACGAGCTTTGCTCCTTGCAGCATCTCCTTTGGGTTTGCCCATCTCCTTCTGCTCTAGACGGAAAAGCTTTGGTTAGAGAGAGAGAGAGAGAGAGAGAGAGAGAGAGAGAGAGATCGGTCTAGCAAAATGGTATTCAGGAGGAAGTCAAGGATCGGAGGGGGATGGCGGTGGCGTCACCGCCGTCGTTGGAGGAGGCAATAAGAGTTTGTCGGGTCTTAAGGATTCGCCCATTAATATTGGTTTCACTGTGTCCGGCCCAATTGTAGACGGCCCAACTAATACTTTTAATTTTAAACCTAAGTAAAATTGGCTTTTAAAAATTCACAAACAGCTTCTTTGTTTTTTTTTTATTAATTTAGTGTTTGTTATATCAGACCACGGTTTTGAAAAAGTCGATATAACCCCATAATTGTAAATTATTCACGTATGTTCTGTCTCTTGTTCATATTTCTTCAAGTCATGTCAAAAGGCCTTATATTATGTATCTTGTAATGTGCCCATTTGGCCGATGTCATGTCAAAATGTAAGGGAATTGTGATTATGTTTTGCATCTAGTCTGTATATAAATTCTACGATGTTATTAAATTGTAGACTACTTACTATAAATGACAACTAATTATGCACGACGACGGATTATTTTATACTAGTATAGTACCCGTCCGATGGACGGGTTATTTTTATTTAAAATTAAATTAAAATAAAAATTAATTATAACTATAAAAAATAATTTCTAAATTTTTTTTTTGAAAAATTAAGAGAAATTAATTTCATTTGGAAAGATGTTTTATTTGGTTTGAACTATCAAATAAACGTGTATATATATAGATCTCTCTTAAAATTCGTTATTAAACGTTAATTATAAATCTAGTAATGTTAAACTGACAATCTCCAAAAATTTTGGGAGCTATTTGAGAGCTATTCACCATTACTTTTAATATTGCTAAAATATTTTAAAAGATCTTAATTTAGCAATCATCCTCTAAAACATGATTATACCATTTTGTAAAAATTGTTATTTCTTAACTTTCAATTTTTCAAAAAATCATTCTCAGACTATGAAAATTAATTAATTATTATTTAATATGATGGTAAAGTTCTTTCAAATTAACATCAATCTAAAATATGTTGTTAAATATAAATATAGTCATTTATAAATAAATTCATATAAACAACGCAAATAAACATAAAGATTCTAAAATAAATTATAGCATAATTGAGGAAAACATTAAAAAATCTTTCAAATACTAATTATAAAAAACTACATATTTTTTTTAAAAAATTTTAAAATTACTATATTACGATTTATATTGAACTTTGTTATCTTTAATTTAAGCTATAAAATTATTTTCGAAAACATTTTATTCACCCTTATGTTTTAGACAATGAAATTGCTCAATGGCATAATACATTCATACATAAATTAAAAATTAAACAAATATAACATATTATAAAATAAAATCATGAATAAAATTATGTATTTAGTTAAACTCAATATCTAATTTATTTGTAAACTGTAAATCCTAATTCTCCTTTATGAACCCAAACTGAGAAATAACCTTGTTTAATTGTAAAACCTAAATCTCACTCCTCTTTAATAAACCCAAACCGATAAATAATCTCGTTTAATTATAAAATCTAAACTACAATGCACATTTATAAACTCAACATATAACCCTTATTATTGTAAAACCTACAACTCGCAAAACTAAAAATTAGGTTAATAGTTGAAAGAGAATTTTTGAGAAATACCCCTTTTGGTGTACCCGTTTTTAAAAATAGACCAATTTCTATCCATTTTAAAAATATCCCTTTTCAAATATGAAAAATTGTAAACTTTTATATAGTTTATAAGGTACATCTAGATCATCATTACTATTGGGAGACTCAATACAAATATTTATAAAGTTTTAAAAAGGTTCTGAACGGCATTTATAAGACTTTTATAAGGTTTTTATAAGGTTTACAAAGTTTTTATATGTTTTTAAATAAGTTTTAAAAGGTTTTTAAAAGGTATATATATGGTATTTAAAATTTACACACATAGAAAGATAATTTGTGTCTAAATATATAAGCTTACACATTTTTTTTTATAAATATCAAAATTTTTACTTTTTTAATTTATAAAAAATACCTTTTTCCATACCACTTTTTAAAAATACCCTTATTTCAAAATTTATTAAAAACCACTATAAATGTTGAAATTTATCCAAATATGTGTGTAGTCTTCTAGAACCCAAGAACCTTTATATACACACAAATTACCTTTAAATATGTTTAAATTTTTATATATCTTTCATAAATAGCGTAAAATAACTTATAAATACCTTTTAAAAACCTTTTAAAAACCTTACAAACCCTTTTAAAAACCACTTAAAAACCTTATAAAACTTGTAAAAATGTTTTAAAATCTTTTAAAACATTATAAAATATTTGTATCAAATTTCCAAGTAGTAGTTCTTATATAGAAGTACCTGATAAACCATATAAAACTTTATAATTTTTCATATTTAAACATGGGTATTTTTGAAAATGGATAGATAGAGGAGGTATTTTTGAAAAAGGGTACACAAAAAGGGGTATTTCTCAAAAAATCTTTTTCATTTTTTATAATTATTTTTTAATGTTGTTAAAAATTCTATTTTTATCTTAATATTAACAAAATTAGATATAACATGTTGCGACATCTTATGTTTTTACTTGACACTTATTATGATCACGTGAGTTAGTAAATTTAAAAACCAAGTTTCAACATATAATCTCGTTTAATTGTTAAACTTAAACCATAATTTTAATTTATAAAGATAAACCATAATTTTTATTTATCATTTACATACCCAAACCAACAAATAACCTGATTTAATTGTAAAATTGAAGTTTAAACCTTAATCCTCTTAGGTAAACAAAAACCGCCATATATTCTTGTTAATTATAAATTTTAAATCCCTATCTTATTAATAAACCAAATTGACATAACTGAAATTAGGCTATTTGTTTAATTTATTAATAATTTTTAATATATATTTCTTTATAATATTTATTTTATATATTTTGTTTTCGATAGGGTTAATAATATTTCTATTTTATCCAAATATTAACAAAATTAGTTACGACACGTGTCAATATCTTATAATTTATAATTGACACGTGTCACGATCTTGTGAATGGCTGACTTTGAAAACCAAGGTTTATATAATAAGATAGTACACGAATGAATCACCTAATTTTAGTTTAGAACAAGTAATATACAATGACGAAGTCAATAAATTCACAATCAACTGTTTAAAGAAATGTCTTATTTGGAGGTTGCTTTATTAAACAAAGTATGATGAATACATCTAGTTCCCTTTATTTCATATTATGATCCTCTACAGCTGAATGGTTACACAAACTTGTGATACAAGATTAGTTTATTACAATACAACAAGCTGTTAAAGAACCATTAGATGCATGGTGAAAAAGAAACTTGAACCGTAAAAGTTACGTAATCAGCCACCTGTTGAAGCTTTTTCATTCTTCATGATCATATGGAATGATTTGACTTTGTCTTCCTCCACGATTTCTCTAAGAACATCGTCCTCAATCTTCTCAGCTTGCCACTGAGATGGGTCCTCCACAAATTCTTCGCTGAAAATCATACTTGAGACCCACTCTTTCCAGGTTGTCCTCCTGTATTTGTCTTCCTCAAGTGTTCCTCTGGACAAGAGCTGGTAAACGTACACCACTTTCTGCTGTCCCGGTCTGAATGCACGTGCGATTGCTTGCTTTGTCTTAGAAGGATTCCACTCTGAATCAAGCATGATCACCCGTGATGCAGCAGTTAGACTGATGCCTTCTGCACAGGCCGTGATCGAAGCCAGCAGAACACGGGACGGGCCTCCTGGTTCTTCAAATTTGTCTATCACTCTGCCTCTCTCAAACAGCTCAAGATCCCCTGTCAAGGTCAGGAGCTCCCGGCCTCTCTGCCACCTGAAAACGTTCTCAAACAGCTCAAGAAATAGGCGAATCGGTGCAATGTTGTGGCAAAATATGAGGATTTTCTCCCTCTTGACCACCCGGAACACGAGGTTAAGCACGAACATGACTTTTGATCCTTTCTTTGCATCGTGCTTGAGCTTCTCAATCTCGGAAAGCTCCTGGGGATTGAAGAATTTTGTGCAACAGGTAGTGGTTTTGACCAACCAAGGGTGGATAGCTGCTAACGTTATGAGTAACTCGAGCTCAAGTGGATATCCATGGTAAGTCGACATTATGTTCTGAAGTTTGGTAAGAGTTTTGTGCTGTATATCTGTGGAATTCATCAACAATGTGTAAATCTGCAAACCTGGGAGAACATCACCACTTCCACTTCCGCTCCCTTCATAGTTATCGATGAAACCACTGGTTATATTCCTCAACATGTTGAGACCTTGCAAGCGCTCATCGCCCACTTTTGTGTCAATCTTCTTGGCTATAATGTCGAGGAAGAATTTCCGAGCTCTATTTTCAAGCAAGTGAGGCGCCTTTTGCACAGTTTGGTTTGTCTGGAACTTCTTATCCAACTCAATTAGAACCTCATGAACAAACTTGGGTCTAGCTAAGCACAAAGTGTTGAAGTACTCACAGAAGTTGTTCTGAAACAATGTACCAGAAAGCAGAATCCTCAAATCAGTATCAACTTTCATCAAGGCCTTTCGTAATCTCGATTTGGTACTCCTCGGGTTATGTCCCTCATCTAGAACCAGTAATCCAGGAGACTCTCTCAGTACTTTAGCCATGTATTTTCTATGAGCAAACTTTGAATCTTCCCTCATCAATGTTAGAAACGATGTGTAACCCATAACAAGAACACTTGGCTGTGCATGCCATTTCTGGATTTTGTCTAAACAGTCAAGAACATGCATAACATCTTGGCTCGGTTTTGGAATTCCCTTGAACTGAATGGTGTTCTCTTTGGCCACACAGTAGGTTCTACGACCATGGAGCAAGTGAACAGGTACCGGAATCTCCCATTTGATGAACTCCTTGTACCATGTGTACAAGGTTGTTTTAGGAGCAAGAACCAATGGCCTTTTACCCGGAAATATCTTCAAGTAGCTTGCAAGAAAAGCTATGATCAGAAATGTTTTGCCTGCTCCAGGAGTATGCGAAATCACGCATCCACCTATTTTCTCTGAACTCGGATCCATCATCGCGGGAACCACTGACCCGGCTAGGTTCCTCCAGAGAAACTCAAAAGCTTTTTTCTGGTGCAAATGCAGTTTTCTCTTAAGCTGAGGTATTAGAGACCAGACATTGTCACTTTCTTCAGCGGAGGGCATATCTGAGGAAGCAACTGGTATAGTGTAATTATGACTCTCAGCTCCATCTTGGTTCACTTTAGTAGTATTTATGTCATCTTCGTTGATTTGCTTAGTCTCTGTGGTCCATTTCTTGTGATGTGCCTATTTAAAATCAAACCACCAAAAAATTACAAATTCATCAAAAATAGTTAACATGATGATGTCTTTCCAAAGTTTCCACTTACAAAAGGTGCAGAAACATGTTTCATCTCAGTTCCTACATGACCACACAATCTGCAACACATTCCGATTTCTTCATTCAATTCATAATCATGTTCACAATCACTGATTGCTTTATGGAAGGCCTCGTTATCCACTCTCACCTGAAATTTGAATCAACTATAAGACACAAATTTCGGAAAATATCAAAAGATTTCCAAAGAGAATGTACCTCATTGTCATCAAGAATGTAAGAAGAAGCCAAGCATAGTTCCATTTCCCTCCACAGCATTTCGTTTTCTGACGTCTCCTCATCATCATCATCATTCTCACTCAACCTTTTTCCGGCTTCCATGGAAGAGCTTGCAGCATTCTTTAACCCCACCCACTGCTCAACAACATTGGTCGCTTCGTTCTTGGCTGCAATTGTAGAATCAATTCTACTCATGTACGAGTCTATCAGCTTGTTATACGCACCTGCGCTCAATGTTCTCTTCTTATAAATCTGCGGTTCCTCAGAAACTCTGGTGTTCCCAGAAACTGACCGTATTCGGGAATGCGGTCCATTTATTTTTTGAATCACATTCCTGAGGGGTCCATTCCAACATAGATCAGATTCCATCTCGTCCATTTCCAACTTCTTCTTTTTCCCATATTTTGCTGCTTTACTACGATACTTATCTATCTCATCCATCAAATGACTTCCAGAGAGACCACCACACAAACTATTAGCATTGAGACCAAACTGTTCCAACGGTATAGGTTCAAAGACGGGAGTGAAGGGAATAACCGAAAGCTCGCGATTTCTACCAATTCCCTCTGTTTTTTTCCTCTTCTTCATCTCTGTTTTGTCTACCAAAACAATTTGGCTTTGCTTATCCTTACTACATCCCTTTGTGCTATCCTTTTTTCTAAATAATTTTGATAACGGTAAGTATAAATCATCATCCGTATCTCTATCATCATCACAATCTTCTTCAGCATTATCTTCATCATCATCACTTAAAACAGTCCATGAGCTGTACCTATATGGCATCATCCTTACCCATCCATCCTTTGAATCTGGTTGACTCTCAGAATCAGCGAATCTATCAGGCCGCCCACTTCTTCTCTTGGATCGACGCAGCTCCATTACCTCCTCTTCGATCTCCTGCTTTACATCAGTATCTTGATGAGTATCCTCAGCTGGATTGAACAAAACAATTTTTGACATGAAAACACCGTCTTCCACCGTGATGTTCATTGCACTCAGAGAGCTACTAGAGCATTCACAATCTTCATCCGCCACAATCTGATAAACCATCTTCTCGTGAAAGGTTCTGATCTGAAACACAATGTTTTTCAAAACTGATGTAACAAGCAACCAAGTAAGATCAGGCAAGAACTTTCCCAGATTTAGTCTTGTTTTCACCAGCGAAGTACAGTCCTCAGAGTTTCTCCATCTGTAGTAGCGATCTAAGTTTTGTTCCTTGCAAAACTTCTGGAGTATAGAGATTTGGTTGAGCCCCATTGGTACCGAAGCTCTATTCATTCTATGTTTCTCCGAACCGATGCAGCCTTGGTCTATATACACACTAACATGGAATATACACAAGCATTCAGATTCATGAGGCTTCCTCTCTATAGATAATATCCTTGCATCCACCCAAACCTACACCACACACACAAAAATGTCTCAAAACAACAACCAAAATGCGTAAATATTTGAATATTGTCATGTCTGTTATATACATTTTCTATAACTAAGGATGAGCTTGGAAACTGACGGAACAGTTTAAAAGTTCTACACATTTACTAGATCAGCTTCTTAACTTTAAACGAGGCAGATATGTTACTTGAAAATGTAAATAATATTGAAGGAAGTGAATGTACCGGCTCTGTAGTTTCTTCATCCAAAGTGACATCTTTCTGATAGAGAACGCAAACATCCAGACCATGTCTTAGAAAAGATGTACAGTCTACCAAAGTGGCCTTTCTTGATCTAAGACGAAGCCTCTGAAATGGTCTTATATCATCCAACACTTGTCCGTTCTCCAAGAGACGCATCGTCATCGTTCCATTTTCAATCCTTAAGTACTCCACCGCCTTCCATGTCCCCGAGCAGAACACCTCGAAAGCTGCCACAACAGACAAGATAGAGCAGATAAAATAAATAAAAACAGGAACTATAAAGGTTGTGCCTCAATGCAGTAACATTTAAGGTAAAACAGGAATCATAAATCTTTCCAAAACACTTACGACATGGATTAAATGGATGGTTGAAGTCAAAGTAATGCTTTCTCTTCATCTTATTTCCCCTTTAAAGATCAGTTATTGAGCCACATACGATCTCCTGCAACCAATACATATATTGCTTCATTAGTATTCATCTACACTAGACGTATATATAAATTCTTCAGGATCAGGCAAGAGATACACATGTATTCAAACTTTATCTCAAGTACAGACAAAACCATCATGTGTTTATTGCAAAGCAAAAAAAAATTCTTTGGGGTAAACCAAACCAGAACATATGAACTTTATAACTTGATCATAATATTATGCGCAGAAGCAGAAATCATTGCAGATTTTAAACTAAAATCACTACTAAAAAGGTGAAAAGCAGAGAAAAAGATTCGTGTAGTATGGTCAACAACAACAAAAAGGAAAGGAAAAACAAAACATGATCGAGCTTTTGACTTGGCTTTTGGAAAACAAAACACGATCATTATCAACAACAAACAAAACCCAGATTGAATACACCAAATTTCATGATATGCTAGGCAGAAAACTAATCACCTCAGTGAGTTGATTCCATACAATAGGGTGATAAGATTGGTATGTGAACGGAAGGGGAAATTAAAGAGAAGGAACAAAATATGATAAATAGAAAAGGACGGAGCGAAGAATTCAATACCACAACCACACACACACTCACACAGAATCTTGGGCACTGTGTAACTTTTTCTCCTTTTTGCATGAATTTGCGCAGAATCCATAAAAAGTGAGGAGAGTAGGGTTTAAGGATGGAGGGTAGTATTGTCATTTCAGCTACCTACTTCTTTATATGGGAAATACACGGCTGCGATTTGGTCTGTCTTCTTTACTATCTTTAGTTTTTTTTTAACAAACTGACACAGAGAGTAAAAGCTAAGTTGTGTGCATGGTGGCCTTGTTGGGTCCTCACAGTTGATTTTTAGAGAAACAATTCCACATAAATTCATGAACTTAGCATTCATTTCTATATTAGTACCCCCAAAAAAAAAAAAAATAGTTTCTATATAGACTCGGTTTTGTTTAATAGTAGTATAGACATGAGTTTTTGGTGTTAAAGACTAGATGAGTGGCCACTTTTCCTAACAGAGTTTGACGAACTTGAAGATTTATATATTTTTTTCGATCTTAGGAGAACCTCAAAGCTAAATCATATGACTCATGGCACAAAAAGACTACCTGATATCCAAGTGTATGATACTAAGAAGGAAATAAATGAAATACTGCATAGAAAAAGAATATGCATTAGAAATTTGAGAGTCAAACCTGGCAAGTGACAATATTAGTCATCACGTCATGCGTAGCCCACCGAACATCTCTACTGTAGTCCAATATCAACTTCTTGTACTCAAATGTCTGGAAAAGTAGAAAAAAAAATAGACAATCAATTGTGGAAAATGAACAACTAAATGCACTGCAACGTGAGAATCAGAGTGCTCCAAGGTAAAGATTAATTTGAGCCAGATCCATCAGCGAATGTGATATCCCCAATCCTGATACTATTAGCATATCTATAACATCAAACTTAAAATAACTTCTGAAGATAAGGATTTCTTCCTCGTTAAAGAAAATATTTATCTAAAGGTTCATCCCTAGCATGTAAACAAAGAAAAGAAACATACCCATTGTGGGATTACTGGCAAAATTTCTATCAGTTCTGACAGGGAAGCAAGAGCTTTTAATCTGTTGAAACAAACAAATTGCACTCAATAAAACTCAGAAAGAGCAGGTTTTGTAATCGATTGAATAACCAGGAAAGCTGTTACCTTTGTTGTAGGGTCTTTCCTTGAAAGCTGTTGCAAGTGTTGGGCAACCTCACTATCGAAATCCTACAAATACAATCCCTTCCAAAAAATGAGAAACTGGCAAAGAAGTAGATAGAAACAAACATAGAGTGACAGGCAGAAATCAAAACAACAAACATACCAAGAAGGGAGCAGAATCTCCGTTTGCTAGAGAAGTTTTGAATCTAGCAAAGAGAGCTGGGGTCTGATCGGTCTAGCAAAGTATCTCAACCATACAAGATACTTAATCTCTTAGCCATAGCTTCCATTCAGATGTCAAACCAGTATTGCTCGAGTCCTGATCAATGAGAGACTCATCATTCAGTGGTGCATTCCCATCAACAACTACAGCCAGCCTGGAAATCGGCTCGGTAGACAAAAAATGTATGCAGCAAGTTGCAATGACGGGATTGGATTGGAAGAGTACATTATTGCATTATGGCTCCCTTGCTTAGACCCAAAAATTCCATTGCTCTGACAGCTCTATCTCTGGCACTTGGAGAAGAGTCTACCAAAAGTTGAGCCACAAACTCCCAGAACTGCAAATGATCAACTCGAAATGAACCAACAATAGATGCTGCCTCCGGGAAATATGAAGAAGCAATAGCCGCAGCAAGACCGGTGCAGAAGAAAAGACGCAAAACACCTTCAAGTATCCGATCTTTAACCGGATCCCACGTTTCATCTGCCAAGGATTTCAGATTGTCTTCACCTTCAATCGATTTATGCCATACTAAAGCATTAAACAACGAAAATGCTGAGAGAGCATTCTGAGCATTGTTTACAGAAGGATCAGTAATAAACACAATATGCCCAAGTCCCTCAAGAGCTTCATTCTCCTTCTCCACGGAAGAAACGCCACTAATGAAGTCATTGACGTTCTCAGAAGTTTCCCCCATCACAACTACAGCAGACTGAATCAGACGCTTCAATTAGAAAAGATAAAATCCCAATCATCCTCGTTAAAATCGTTTCCGCAGTAACTAAGTAACTAACCGCAATAACAATTAGTTGGGTAACTACACTTGATGCAGCAGGATCTTGCGGAAGAAGTCAGGCAGGAGTGTTCTCTCTTCATTGCTCACATGCCTCTGTAGTTCCTTTGCTTCTTCACCCTTTTTGCTTACGGGATGACAATAGATAAGAAACTGAAACCAATCCTGCATATCTAATAAAGACAAGAAAAGAAAAAAACACAATGATCAGCTAGACATTGCTTCACCAGTGACAACATTAGTCATGACGTGTTTGGGGCCCCCCCCCCCCCCCCCCCCCCCCCCCCCCGGAACATCTCTATTGTAATCCAGTATCAACTTCTTGTACTCAAATGTCTGGAAAATTAGACCAAAAGAAAAAATAGAGAATCAAATGTGGAAAATGAACAACTAAAATGCACAGCAACAGCAACGTGAGAAACAGAGTGCTCCAAGGTAGAGATCAATTTGAGCCAGATCCATCAGCGTAAGTGATATACCCAATCCTGATACTATTAGCATATCTATAACATCAAACTGAATTCAACTCTGAAGATAAGGATTTCTTCCTTGTTAAAGAAAATATTTATCTAAAGGTTCATCCCTAGTTTGTAAATTAAGAAAAGAAACATACCCATTACCCATTGTGGGATTACTGGCAAAAAAATTTCCTTCCCTTTCTTTTGCTTAATCAGTTCTGAACAGGGAAGCAAGAGCTTTAATCTGTTGAAACAAACAAATCACACTCAAGAAAACTCAGAAAAATTAGGTCTCGTCGTCGATTGAATAACCGACCAGGAGAGCCGTTAGTTACCTTTGTTGTAGGGTCTTTCCTTGAAAACTCTTGCAAGTGTTGGGCAACCTCACTATCCAAATCCTACAATCCCATTTAAAAATATGAGAAACTGGCAAACAAGTAGGCAGAAACAAACGAAGAAGGGACAGGTAGAATCAAAACAACAAACATACCAACAAGGGTACAAAACATTCGTTTGATATAAAAGTTTCGAATCTAGAGCCACCAAAACCTACGGCTGCAAAGCTGCAGAGCCAGACGGCAACAGAGAAGTTGCCAAGCTGTTCAGAAAAAGCTCAATTCAGTACCGAACCAACAAATGAAGCAGAGACTAGACGCAGTAGTAAAGGATAAAATTCGAAGAAATTAAAGGAGAAGGAGAGGATGAAGGAACAAAGTATCACCTGCTGCTGGATGGACACGAGCTTTGCTCCTTGCAGCATCTCCTTTGGGTTTACCGATATCCTTCTACTCTACACGGAAAAGCTTCGGAGAGATTATGAGAGAGAGAGAGAGAGAGAGAGAGAGAGAGAGAGAGAGAGAGAGAGAGAGAGACGGGTCTGATCGGTCTAGCAAAGGAGGTAACAGGAGGAAGTCATGGGTCGGAGGGGAAGGCGGTGGCGTTACGGCCATCGCCGTCGTAGGAGGAGAGGAGGCAAAGATAGTTTGTCGGGGCTTCGAGGATGCGGCCATTTGTATTGGGTTCATTGAACTAGGCCCAATTATAGACGGCCCAACTAATATTGTTAATTTTATTTAAAACTTAAGAAAAGATTCATAAAAATTTCCCTACATTTTAGTTTCTTTGTTATCAGACCCCGATTTTAAAAATATTCATCCATAGTCACATTTTTCTGTCTATTGTTCAAATTAAAAAATCATGTCACAATATAAGTATAATTGTGTTTTGAATCTAGTCTGATATATATATTCTACCATGTAAACTGAATATACTGGGCTGTAAATGATAAAAATATTATTGACCGAGGACTATTAAATACATGCTTCACGAATGAAACACCTAGTTTAGAACAAGTAATTAATACATTCACAATCAAAAATACTTTATTGTAATGTTTGGATGTACGTACGAGCTTCGAATTTGTTGGCCAATTAATAGATATCTCCCACACAAATTGATAAAACAAACATGATTTTTTGTGACTGTTGTTCCGTCGTTGCATGTACTGTGTGTTGTACTGCACATAATTTAATCACTCACTATATACGTTTACGGTTGGTGGGGATAATATGAATCTGGATGCATTAACACATCATCATCGGTCTATCTATATATTTATATAAAGGGCGTGGGTAAAAGAATAGTGAGATTACTAGATAGATACATAGTTCGAATATACATGAATCTTGATTCGTAATACTTTAATTTATATTCTTAATTTGACGTTAAATATAAAGATGGCGAATGCAAGATTGTTTGCTTTGTTTGACAAGTTGGAGCCAGTTACTCTTTGTTTGGTTCTTCTTGGATTATTGGTACCCTTTGTTATTCCCTTTCCCTTGCGTCACAAATTAACACCGTCTTCTATATATTGACATGCATACGCAAAGTTATGTCATAATAAGTGGCCTAAAATGATTGTTATCTTGGTGGTATATATTAACACCTTTTACAGATATACATATAAGGACGTTTAAAAGAAAACAAAACTGTTTAAATAATGAATAATGAATAATCTGTGATATTACTATATGATGGGAATTATATATATTTGTTATGCATGACTATAAAATGACTGAAGAGACTAGAGAGGCCGATCGGCTAATAGCTAGATTTTGTATTGATGAGTTGTGATTTGATAACTTGTCGGGTTTTTAATCAGACCCACATGTCCTTACCTTCTCTTTTCTAGCTACTTAATTACTTACTTCTTTACCGATATGATATCGTTGGACCTTCTTCTGCCAGCTTAGAAAATATACTAACAAAAACATACAAACTCGATTTGATCGATCTACCAGTACAGAATAAAACACACACATTCGTGATCAACAAAAAGTTGTTAATCCGAAAAAGCAAACTTCGCTTAATCTCAAACAAAATTAAATACCCTACACGCAAAATACAGTATATATATATAATGTGTGTGATTTAACTTTTCAAGATTCCACGCGAAGTGATTTCATTCCTTTGTTTGTTTGTTTGTTCTTAATTTAGATAATTGTAGAGAATTGGGGACACTGTAAGTGATAGACAACTCCACCTAATAATATGTAGTTTGTTTGTTAACCTCTCACTATCACCTTTTTGTCTTTCACTTTTTTTTTATTTTATATTCTTCAAAATCTACAACAGCCTTTGAAAATTCAACTTCTTACTTTGATTTTCTGCGCGCGATCCAAAAAACACCCCATTTTTTCTTGTGATTGAAGTGTTTATCTTGGATTTGAGTTTGTAGTTAAGTTGTTCATTGGTTTAATTTTTGCTCACGGTAAATATCAAACAACGAATATAACCTTATTCGTTCTTAATTAGCGTTCTAGTTTCTTAACACATCATCTTTTCAAACAACGTAACATGTCATATATAGATCATAGAGTTGAACCATAATCCTGATCAGTATATCTTTCTCCGTTTTGGTGGGTGTGACAACCGCAAACGACATTAAAACCTTATAAAATGAGATTAATCAAAGTCAGAGCCAAACATTCGTTAGGTTATATATAGATATATATATATATATATATATATATATATATATATATATATATATTACTGTCCCGTTCTAACGGTTAATTTTAAGGCGGCCGGTGTTAGACATCTTTTTGTTTTCGAAGGTTGGTAAGTAGATACTAAAACAATGTCTTTTGTGGAGTAAAATAGCTGTGAACAAAGATTTTTATTTTGTACAAACTAATCCTAAGACTTATATGACTGACAATTTATATGATAAAAATAAAAGGGCACTGAAGGGTTGAGAATGTCGTGGATGCATGCATGGAAGGTCACCTACTTCTGCCTAAAATCGAGAAGTTTTGTTTCAACTTTTGATTATGATTAGTGTCTATATATCTAGGGATATTACTGTAGTTCATAACAAATATTAAAATATATAATAACGTACATATTACTATGTGCATGTATTTATATAATGTATCGCAATTCTTCGCTAATGACGATATAATGATATACCTAGCTTTTACCTATGAATAATGCACATATCAGCTAGTAGAGTTGTAATTATATAATAATATATATATGATTGGTAAACATCAAAAAAGAAAAAAAAAATGAGCTGAAAATAGGGGAATGTAAACATGAATTTGGTAAAGGTGGCGTAAGGATCATGACTCTCATTGGTAGTGGATATTCGAAAATAAACTTTTATTCGCGAACGAACGAAAACTATACCTACGTGCAAGTAAGTTTCGTACCCTCTATAAAGCCCTCATCAGGTCTCTTGAGAGCGTGCGTCATCGATTCACACAACTCGTAGATATATCAAGTAAAAAGAAGAAAGAGAGAATGGAGTACAATAATCAAAGAAATATGTTAAAGGTGGTGTTGTTGATGATGATAATGATGTTGGGGTCTCAGTCCGAGGCTCAGCTGAACAGTGACTTTTACAAGGAAAGCTGTCCCTCACTGTTCCATGTGGTGAGACGGGTGGTGCACCGGGCAGTGGCTAGAGAGCCACGCATGGGTGCTTCGCTCCTCCGTTTGTTCTTCCATGATTGTTTTGTCAATGTAAGTTTTTTTTTTCAAATGAAAAAAAGGGACCATGCTTAGTATGTGTTCCCATGAATTACTCCTACAAATAAGTAAAAATGCTAAGAAAATGATTTGACAGGGCTGTGACGGATCCTTACTGTTGGACGACACACCATCTTTTTTGGGAGAGAAAACCGCAGGACCTAGCAATAACTCTGTGAGGGGATACGAAGTAATCGACAAAATCAAGTTTAAGGTTGAGAAAATTTGCCCTGGCATTGTCTCATGCGCAGACATTCTCGCCATCACCGCTCGTGACTCTGTTCTCCTCGTTAGCCTCTCTACCTTTTTCCTCTCTCTCTCTCTCTCTCTCTCTCTCTCTCTCTCTCTCTCTCTCTCTCTCTCTCTCTCTCTCTCTCTCTCTCTCTCATATATTATATAGTTGCATTGACCATAGAAATATACATTATTTTGACATTTTTGTGAGAATGAATATCAAAAGCGTTTTTAAATACAAATGTGCTTTAATTTTGTCTCATTAACCTCAGTACTTAGGGCATCATTATTGGGGGGATCTTAGAGGCTAAGATCCCCCCAATAATGATGGTCTTAGAACATTTCCAATTCATTTTTCTATTTTCTTCGAAACATATTATAGATCAGTTTTAATGAGTTTTGCTATAATCCTACTCTATTTCCGACTCTAGTGTAAATTAAAATTTCCATATATAAAGGGGAACGAGAGTTTAGAAAATGTGATCAAAGATAGTTTTAACACTTCTTAATTAATATGATTAAGCAGTTGGGTGGCCCTGGCTGGAGTGTAAAACTTGGGAGAAGAGACTCTACGACGGCGAACTTTGCGGCCGCTAACTCTGGTGTCATCCCTTCTCCCGCCAGTACCCTCAACAATCTCATAAACCGTTTTAGAGCCCAAGGTTTGTCCACACGTGACATGGTCGTCCTCTCTGGTGCTCATACGATTGGAAAAGCCAAGTGTGTCACATTCAGAAACCGTATCTACAACGAAAGTAACATCAACCCGTCTTTCGCCATGTCAAGAAGGAAGAGCTGCCCGGCCGCCAATGGCTCCGGAGACAACAAGGTAGCCAATCTTGACGTCCGCTCTCCCGAAATGTTCGACCACAGTTACTACAAGCAACTTCTCGGCAACAAGGGTTTGCTTACGTCAGACCAGGTGCTCTTTAACAATGGTCCCACCGACTCGCTTGTGGTAGCATACAGCCACAGTCTCAGAGCCTTCCACCGCGACTTCGCAAGGGCCATGGTTAAAATGGGTGACATCAGCCCCCTCACTGGATCCAATGGTCAGATTCGCCACAACTGTCGTAGGCCCAATTAGATCCCTACTATATGAAGCCCAATAATCACCTCTTCTTCGTCAAGTATTTTTATTTATAACGTGTATCTTCTTCGTCAACTGTTTAAATATACATCAACATTATAAAACCATATATTAAGGCAATACATAGAGCTAGCAGAATAAAAAAGTTTGTGGCTATGCAGTTTTCATATACGTTCTTCGATACATTTGGCTCTATAATACTATTTAAAGAAATAAAAACATTTATTATAATTCAACTGTGTAGCTGATTTGTTCTAACTTTTTGCTACCATAAATTAGATTGAACCAATCAGCAAAAGAATTCGTATGAGTGATATATATATGATTAAAAATATGGTGGCAAAAGGAGAGCCGTTGGATGAAAAGTGAATCGGCGAATGAGAGGACAAGTGTAAAAGGACGTAAAAAGTCATAAGGTGGACAAGGACACAGAGGAACAAGTGGCCTCTGCTCCTCTGCTCTCCTCTGCCTAATTAAAAAGAATTAGATTTTTTTTTTTTTTTTTTTTTTTTTATGTGCGTGGCCGTGGACCGCCAATGACGTTTAACTTCGTTTTCATCTCTTCTTCTTCCTCTCCTCGTCCTCGTCCTCCATTTTTTTCGGTGAAAGAAGAAAAACAGAAAGAAATAAGGAAGAGAAGGGCTCGTTGGTGAGGGACTTAGGGGTGGATAGAGAGAGATCTGCGCGTATTCGATATCGAGATCTCCGATTCGTTTCCAGAATCCTCTCTTTCGTCACCGGTGATTGTTTTTTTTTCCCCTGATCATATGTGTTTGGGCATTCTTACGTATTGTTTTCTCCTTAAGAATTTTCAATTACATGTTAAATTTTAGGTCTTTTCTGATTAGCGATCTATGGCCTTTGTGTTCTTAATAATATGGAGGAAAAATGCTGTAATAGGGAAGGAATGATCGGGTCTGGTTTAGGGATTATTAGTAGTTTGAGAGTTTGTTTTTTGGACTCGTGAGTCGTGATCACATTCTCTTATCCTTCTTCTTAGATATAATTGCGTTTCGATATGATCGATATAATGAAAAGCAGGTTTTCCCATTTCTATGAGCAAAGTTTGTATCTTATTACACTGATTGTGTTAGAACTGAGATCTCATTGATTTTGTTTATTTTTACTTCACAGGCTCTGATTCTGCCAAGTTTCTTAGAGGTTTATTTATACCGCTCTGTCAATCCATTTGGAACTCTCTTGCTTAGAAACTCCGAAAAAACTGGAATATATGTCCTCCTATCATTAGGGCATTATTTGCACGAGCTCATGAGTTCATGACTCATGAGCTACCACAAACTCTGAGCTGTCTCTGGAGCAAGTATTGTGTGTGTTTTCTTTTTGCTGCCTGCTAAGTTTCTCTAGATTAGATGGAAAATAAACCAAGTGTTTTGACCGATAAATATGATGTTGGGAGGTTACTGGGTCAAGGTACTTTTGCCAAGGTGTATTATGGAAGGAGTATTCTTACTAACCAGAGTGTTGCTATCAAGATGATCGACAAGGAAAAGGTTATGAAAGTTGGCCTTATCGAACAGATCAAGCGAGAGATATCCGTTATGAGGATTGCTAGACACCCTAACGTTGTGGAGCTATATGAAGTCATGGCAACAAAAACAAGGATCTACTTTGTGATGGAGTATTGTAAAGGTGGTGAGCTTTTCAACAAGGTTGCCAAAGGGAAATTGAGAGATGATGTTGCTTGGAAGTACTTTTACCAGCTTATCAACGCAGTTGATTTTTGCCACAGCCGAGAGGTGTATCATCGTGACATTAAGCCAGAGAATCTATTGCTAGATGATAATGAGAATCTCAAGGTATCTGATTTCGGGTTAAGTGCCCTTGCTGACTGCAAGCGACAAGATGGCCTCCTCCACACTACTTGTGGTACACCTGCATATGTTGCTCCTGAAGTGATCAATCGAAAAGGCTATGATGGCACAAAAGCAGATATTTGGTCTTGTGGGGTGGTTTTGTTTGTTCTGTTGGCTGGCTATCTACCTTTCCATGACTCCAATTTGATGGAGATGTACAGGAAGATAGGAAAGGCAGATTTTAAGGCCCCAAGCTGGTTTGCTCCAGAAGTGCGTAGGCTGTTGTGTAAGATGCTAGACCCTAACCCTGAAACTAGAATCACCATCGCCAGAATCCGGGAGAGTTCTTGGTTCAGAAAAGGTTTACATATGAAACAGAAAAAGATGGAGAAACGAATTAAAGAGATGAATTCTGTGGAAGCTGGTGTTGCAGGTCCAAGTGAGAACGGAGCAGGTCCAAGTGAGAACGGAGAAGGCCCACGTGAGAATGGAGACAGAGTGACGGAGGAAAACGATACTGACGAACCTACAAATTTGAACGCTTTTGATATAATTGCCTTGTCTGCTGGGTTTGATCTGGCAGGACTGTTTGGAGATGTGTATAACAAGCGAGAGTCTAGATTCACATCCCAGAAACCTGCTTCAGTGATTATATCTAAGCTAGAGGAGGTAGCACAACGATTGAAACTGAGCATAAGAAAGCGAGAAGCAGGTTTGTTCAAACTGGAACGTTTAAAGGAGGGAAGAAAAGGAATTCTATCAATGGATGCAGAAATATTCCAAGTAACGCCAACGTTTCATCTAGTGGAAGTGAAGAAATCTAATGGGGATACTCTGGAGTATCAGAAATTAGTGGCAGAGGATCTTAGACCTGCTCTGTCAGATATTGTGTGGGTTTGGCAGGGCGAGAAAGATGAGCCTACTTCACAGCAAGAGACAGAACAAGAACAGCAACAACAGGAAGAAGCATTGTAGTTTGAAAATTTGTTTCTGTCAAGTTTTGAATTTTGCTTAACACTGATGTTAAACGTATATGATTTTCTTACATTTTTCGTTTGTGAAAAAAAGGAATCCTTCATAATATAAAGTTGTTTACAGACACTCAATGGCCAAAGTTGTGTGTTAAGTGAGGACTTCAATTGCATTCTCTACATGATTGATTACAGGACGAACAAGAACATAAATATAAGACTTCCAGTGATTACAGGACGAACAAGAACATAAACATAAGACTTCCACTTTATTGAGAGATTTAGTAGTGAAGATAAGATCTATTATATAGTGTACAGAGACAGTATGCGGCCGTCCATTGCAGCAATTACACAGTTACAGAAAATAGAGACAGGAAAGAGAGAGAGAGAGAGAGAGTAACAAAACTCAAGAAGAGCGTTTGGAATCGGAGCAGATATGGTTCCAGAGATAGCGACCACTTGCCATGTCAACGCATGTCCAAAATCCAGACTTCATTGCCATTCCCACCTGAGCCCATAAAACCAGAAAAGCCCCATTAATCCCAAATTAGAGAAGAGAGAATCATTGAATGGAGATCGGAGGAAAAAGAAGAAACCTTGGAGAATCCGGAGGCTGAGTCGTCGGCGGGTTCAGCTTCGTCGGTGAAGGAATCGTCGAGAGGATCGTCGGAGGTAGAGTTGAGCTTCTTGAGGACGAAGAAGCCAGCGAGAGTCGCCGAAAGGAATATGAGGATAAGCCTTAATGGACACATCTGCTTCTTCTTCCCTTTTCTTGATTTGCTTTCTCCAGTTTTGATAGAAGGAAAAATCAGGAGAGAGAGAGATAGAGGAGTTGTTGAAGAAGAGAGGAGGGAAACAAAAAAAACACACAAAGGTAAATAACTAAAAAAAAAAAAAGGTAAGACGAGAAAAATTCAAAGGGTGTAGTTGAAGAAGTGTCAAATTAGGTAGGCCACTCCCTAAAGTCATATCGTATTTTTCAATTTCATTTACCTAATAACCTTATTTGTCTATTTTTTATAATTGAAGTTAACTCTCTTTTTTCTTTCTTTTGTAGCATTATTATATTCCGATAGAAAAAAAATAATTATTTTGTTGACCAAAATGACAAGTTAGTGGTTTGGATGAACCTAATTTGTCAAGCGATGGCTTTGACAAACAAAAAGAATAAAAGAATCAAAAGTGATTGTTGACAGTTTTCACTAACTTTAGTCGGATCATCATCATCACACCATCTCTTCCTTATCTTAACATTTTGACATGACTTCTCCCTTCCCTTCCACAACACATATATCTCCATGTACCCCTTCTTTTGTCATACGAACGTATGATTCTCTGTGTTTGTTAAACAACCAAAGTAGAAAAAACGACAACTCAAGTCATTCTCTTCAAATTTGATATTGATTGAGATCATTATTACTTATTACTAAAGTATAAGAGACAAACCTGACTGTCTTTGGGAATTGTTTTCGTGTTTTGAGAGCCTAGATGGCTAGAACTTTGCAAACTTGGCAATTTTAGCAAGAGCAGTTCTTAAACTTCCTATGCCTGCTCCTGACCTTGAGCTCACCATCATCTGCAATAATCAAAACGTTAACCATTTGCTTCTTAGGGCTCATCTTTTCTGCAACCATTAGAGAGAATAAACAACAAACTAGGTAATCCATATCCAGACATACCAGAGGCTGAACAATTGATCTGTTTGCTTTCAACTTCTGCATTTTTTTTAAGAAAATCAAAATTGATATTAGTACGAACATGACCAACAGATTATTTATTTATTCATTGCCTTCACTATATTCACGAGTATAATGACTAAGACCTCCTCGATTTGCATTGCCCGACGTGCCACATCCATGGGAAACACCACATCTGTCTTGGTTAAGACTATCTGATACTTTGTATTCGATCTGCAGTTCAGTTTTCGGCTGTAAGGACATTTAACTACATGACATATGCAAAAAATTAAGAGCAGCATCAATGACTTTACCTCTCCATCAGATTAATAAGTTCCTGATCTCTTGGCTTCATACCCCATTTGGTGTCAACAAGAAGGCACACCCGTTTAAGACTAGTTCTTGTTGAAACATATTCCTTTACCTGCATTGGTCAATACCAATTAGATAGAGATCATTGACACGTTTAGTAGTACACAAAATTGAGCAAAGCAAAAAAGACATATTAAATTATCTAGCCAGAAGGAGATGCTCACAAGATCTTCCCATGCTTCCTTAACTTCATCTTTTGCAAAGGCAAAGCCATAGCCTGGTAAATCAACAAGTCGAACCTTCGGACCAAGATTGAAGAAATTGATGGTCTGCACTTAAGAATTCCTTTGTTATTACATAAAAATGTAAGCCATACAAGCAGGCAACTCTCAGACAGGGGAAATACCTGGGTCAGTCCTGGTTTGTCAGATGTTCTTACAACACCCCATTGTCTGGTAAGAGCATTTAGCAGAGACGATTTGCCAACATTCGACCTTCCTGATCAGAGTTGAGACACCAAATATTCCCAATTTTTAATTTAAGTTCGGTGTTATTGAAGTAGTTTAACATGCATACTCTGAAACGCAAAAGAGATTTCTTGTTGATATTTCTATGATCCTGGTGGGAACAACAATTTGAACGCAGTACCTGCAAATGCAATCTCGGGTACATCAGGAGGTGGAAATGAAGATGAAACATTGGCAGCAGCAAAGAATTCCAATTTATTCCTAAATACCTGCAAACGGGCAATTGCAACATTAGCTGAAAAGTCTAGCAGGGAAGGCTTATTATCTTTAGGTAGTAATAAGAACATACACTTTCTTCTATACGTTCTCTCTCTGTGCTGGTTGACCGAGGAATATTATCTAATGGAGCAGGAAGCTCGGTGTTGTAGCCGGCCCTCTTTAGCTCAATTAATCGCCTACGCCCCAACAGCTGCAGTAAAATGAATGTTACCGGCCAGGTAATGAAAATATGTATACCACAACAGAGATAGTCGTGTAAATTACATTTTCTTCCACATATGAAAGGATCGAATGACTAGGCTGAATTGCCCGAAACTGAGCATTTTTCGACATTTCGACACTTTTTATAGCGTCCTTCTTGTTTGTTACTCTATGGTCTACTGAACAAAGGAAAAGAAACAGCATGATAGAAAGGCAGCAATGAGCGGGTGTAACAGTTTCATACTATTTTTCTAGTAAAGAAGCACACAAAACTAACCATCAAGAAGGACATCATCATCTATTCTTTTATTTGAGGTATCATAGGGATCTAGTCGTATCCTCTTTCTCTTCCTTGGTTTATCCTCCTGACTATCTGAACCATCTCCCTCGACTCTCTTATCTGAAAGCGCTTGTTTCTTAGCCTTAAAAGAAGGCACATCCGGGCTTTTACTTCGTCTCACATCTGCATTATTACCCAATTCATCTCTCTTCCTGTGGCTCTTTCGAGTAGCATCATCTCCCCTAGGTGAATTTGCTTTAAACACACTTGTTACAGCATCATTAGAGGTCTGAAAACTAGAAGTAGACGGTTGGTTTCTCTTTGAGGCAGCCCACATCGTGCGTGGGATTTCGTTCACATGGTTATGCTCAGCCTTATTGGGGTAGATCCTCTTCTTCTTTAAATACGACACCCTAGTCTTATTAGTATTCCGAGAGTTTGTGTCATCACCACTGCGTTGAGTAGTTGATCTACTCCTTCCTTTAGAAGAATTGGAGCTAAGTGATGAAAGCTTCAGCCTTTTCTTGAGCTTCAGAGCTAAAGCATTATCTGAAGACATTCTAAGATAATCGTGCTGAAGCCTAACAACAACAACTGCAGAGTTACCAACTTAAGTCACCTGAACACACGTGATGCTATTAGTCAGTGTAAGCATGTGAGCAAGAGGGAATACCAAATAATGAAATGAATAAGCCCAGAACCATCACGACATAACAACATCGATTCCGACAATAATTAATTTCGTAGAAACAAGGAAAAAAGGTGAGAAACCTTTGCGGATTTTTGCTAAGAACGCAATCACAGAGAGCTTGGATAATTGAAAAAAATGAATACCAGGGTTTAGAAGTTTGCAAAAAACAGTGTTAAACCCCCACAAGACGCTCACATCCATCAACGATAAGAGAGAGGCTATCAAAATTAGGGTGGATTGAGACGAGGGTATGTTTGTCTTTCCTCACCTTTTTTTTTAATTTTAAATCGACATTATAGCACAAATTATCAAGTTAATTATAAGTCTTTAGATGTGTTAAAAAAAAAAAATTATAAGTCTTTAGATATTAGATATATATAATTATCTCATAATTATTAAAAATTTATGAAAATTTAAAACATATAATAACTTTTCTAAGAGCATCATTATCAGGGGAATCTTAAATTTTAATCTTATAATTAATTTTGAAAAAGTAAGAGTTAAGAATTGTATTTTTGTTTTTTGTTTTGAGGTGTGTTTAATGGTACTCTTAATTTGGGGTTCTTAGGAAAAAAAATTATTTAAAAATAAAATGAAATTAAAATTTGTAGTTTTAGATAAGTTAATAATTATTGAAAAATTAAAATTTAAAACATATATGACATACAATTTATAAAATTTTAAAACATTATATGACATGAGAAGAACTCTAATCCAAGCAATCAACCCTTCCCATGACATCTTCTTGTCCCAAGGACTTCCCATTGCAACAGCAGAAGAAGCCCTTTCTCTGCCTCTCCCTCTGCTTCTTTGAATCTCTTCTTTCCCAAATACACTTGACTTAGCAGCACATGTGGCTCTCCCACAAATGGGTTCTTCTCAATACACCCCAACAATCTCTCCTCTGCTCTCTCCAAGTACCCTTCTTTGCATGTGTCACTGCTCACAACTTCCCATTACATCTCCCTTGCTTCTATCTGCTCTTTTGCATCCAATACTTGGTCCATTACATATGTGGTTATCAAGAACTCTATAAGCTTAACTATATCCTTGATAACAACTGAAAATCTTGAGACTGTTCTTTGATAATGAAGTAATTACTACCGAGAATCGCTTTGTTTTTATTACTGTCATATCACTAAACGAGCAGAGGGCATGGCGGAATCCGTTATATCCTTCACCGTCCGCTGGAGATCATCCACCCATTTCTCTGTCCCAGTTTCACAATCCAACCTCGCCGATTTGGTGGACCGCAGACGCCGTGTACAGCCGGAGCCTGTGGATACGATGCCCTGACGGTGGAACGACGACCGGAGGTTGATACACATCGGAGAAACCTCCGATTTCGCCGAAGACTATGGTTTCGTCTTTGGTAGAGAGAAAGAGAGAGAGAAAAAAACAAAAAAAAACAGAGAAATTGTTTGTTTTTTTTATATTTATTTCATCATCCACTCACAAAGCCCCACGTCGCCGTATCTTATACCTTATTTGGTATCTTATTTAAGATAGGTATCTTAGTTATTTATCCACATTTTGATTTAAATTAATTCACTAATTTATGTAAGATTGTACGCTTAACATCCTCTAAGAAATATTCTTATTTGGTACTTTATTACGATTTCGAAAATTTGAAGATTTGTGTCTTCCACTTTGTCTGTTTTTTAACTAACTTATACAAATTCAAGTTGCACTTTTGCCAAACATAATTCTTTACAAATTGAAATTTTATTTTATAATGATCTTAATGTTTCAATTAATTTTAAAATTATATGCAATGAATGATCTTAATGTTTCAATTGTAAAATTACATCACATTATAAAATATATACTTTTCTTATTTTCAATTTAGACATAATGAATAAAAAAATCTGATTTGATTTTCTAATGTGCTCTAGGTTATTTACGTCTAGTAGTCAATTATTATATATATAAAAAAAGTGGTGTTTGAAATTGTGCACAAATTATCTATTTTTGTCTAATATCATGTGAAAGTGAATAAAAAAAATACATTTAGTTTGGATGATATGTTTGCCAATTTCCATTTGTATATTCATATATACATTTGGAAAAGGCTATACAACTCAACAATTATGTGTCAAAAAATTTATTATTTTAAATATTATTTTCCCTTTCTACTCCTTATCATATTATTTTTGTTAATTATGAATCAAACGACTTAAAACCTAGATACTTTAATCCCAAACTTGATTAACAAATTTTGTACAAAAAATATATTAGAATTTCATTTTTGGTTGAGAGTTATTAGTTATTGACAAATAATTAACTTACTTTTTTGGTCTTTGATGAATCGTAAATATATTCAATTATATATTAAATAGAGAATTATCAACTATACAACTTTACCAACTAACATAAATTTCACATGGTTTACAAATTTTAAAAATAATAATTACATAAATTATATGCATCGAGAATTCAATTAGTTTTTTTAATCATGGTATTATGATGAGTCATCTTGATGAAATCATCATCTCCCCACCCTTCTTTAAAAGAATTTTGCATATCAATCTATAATATTTCTTTCTCAAAGTCAAAGTCCCAAATTGATTACTAGCAAAATCATGTCCTTTTGCAGATCTTCTTTTTCATCTTCATCAGCAGAAAAAAATGCAAAAAATCATAACCATGATAGATATTAATTTTTGAAAGATAGTAAATCTTCTGAAATAACATATCAATTTGCTTAGCATCCGATATTTTCCCTTTTTATATGATTTTTAGTTGTTGACAAATAAATCTTTGCAGAAATAACAATAATCGGCAAAAATAAAATAAAAAAATTGTCAACAACTAATTAAAAAGCATAACAAACTGTACAAAAATTGTCAACAACTAATTATAGCGCACATTTGTACGACAACGAGTGCCGGTAACTGCTGTCCAAGTCTGATCAATCTCACTTGAATGTTGATAATAATATATTGCCGTGACCCGAGTGTCTCAAGGTTCATATCCGCCTGTTAATGTAATGACATTGTTTGGAATTATATTTAGTTTCCAATGGCAAATTTTACTACCTAGTGTTTTACATGAACATGACTTTTGTCTATTTTTCTATACATGTTTTGCTAAAATACAAGTATAGAGATTTCAAAAACACTTATTAAGTCAATGAGATTTAAATCCCTTTTCAGCAAAAAAATCAGTTGGTGCAATGTCGCCGGAGAGTGTCAACTATATACTTTTAGAGTCTCATTAGAAAAAATAGCGTGGAGTTCACGTCGTAAATGTGGGATCCATGGTTAACCGATCCGACCACAGTCTTATAAATGTCTATTTGCCTGTTTTTTTTTATAAATATTTAAAATAGAGATTCTAATTGTGAAAAAGGAGAGATTTGAGTTTTGGGGGATCGGACAGCTTACGATTGCCATTTTGTTGTTTATGGAATTAGTCGTGACATGGAAGCCACTCTTTGCTTTTGAATGCTTCAAGGAGCCAAAATCAATTAAAACCTTTTCCCCCATTAACCTCTCACATCTGTTCTGAAAGAGACAAAAGCACAAGAACAAAAAATCAAATAGAGAATATGACTCTACATTTTATCCCCTTTAATTAGTTTCCCTTTTACTTTGCGTTTTCATGTGTGTGAAAGAATTCAAAAACTCATTTGAGAGATAATGAAAGAGATGAATCAGAAAATGGGGACTCACAAGTTCAGATTTTCAGACATCCACTCATGGCTTTATAAGCTCAAAGACATGAGAAGAAGTAGGAGAAAACACCATCCTTCTTCTCCCAAACACCTCTCCTCGGCTGATGCTTCTTCCTCAAGAAAGCTCCGTGACCCTCTTCGTCGCCTCTCTTTGACTACTCATCATCATTCTCAAGCTTCTAACTCACCTCCCAATAGATCTTCTTCTTTCAAGAGAAAAATCAAACGTAGAACCGTTTACAAGCCTTCCCCAAGGCTCAAGCTCTCTACCTCTTCCTCTCTAAATCATCGTTCTAAATCATCATCCTCTGCGAATGCAATCTCTGATTCCGCATTTGGAAGCTCTTCAGATCGTGTACCATCTCCGTCTGACCAAAACTATGGTTTTAACCGTCCGCATTCAATTGACATCGAGGACGAGGACCACTCTATGAGGAAGCTTGATGATGTATCTGAAGATCCTTCAATCTCAGCAAACTTGACTGTAAAGGAACCACAGAAGAAACTGAACGCAGGGATACGAATTCGGGCCAATTCTCCCAAGATCGTGAGAAAGAAGACAAGGACCCCGAAGAAGGGGATTGCCAAGAGTTTCGCCATAGTTGTGTCTTCCGTAGATCCTGAGAAAGATTTCAGAGACTCCATGGTTGAGATGATATTGGAGAACAAGATGAGGGAAGAGAGAGACCTGGAAGATCTTCTCGCATGTTATCTTTCACTGAATTCGAATGAGTATCATGACGTTATAATCAAAGCATTCGAGAAAACATGGTTTCATTTGACTCTCCTCACCTGAGGACTCTCTCTCTCTCTCTCTCTCTCTGAGTATCATATATGGTTTCCAATGCATGTTCCTATCTTTTCCATTTCTTTTATAATTTTGATGGAAATATTGCTATTAAATTACAAGGTTATATAGTTACGGAGGAATATAATATGTTCTGTTTTGAGATCACGACGTACGGATCGAGCAGAGCAGCTTCCATTTGATAACTATCATAAGGGGGAGCTCGAGGGAAAATGAAGCTCAATAAATTCTTGACAAAAAAATGAAACCAGTGGAGAATCTCAACAATGCTTGGGTCCAGTCTCCTTTACATAACCAACCAACCGCCCAATTAGCCAATAATTATGTCATATTTGAAACCTAACTCACTAATAAGTCGATTTGAGCAGGAGCAAAATCATACGATGATCAGCTGGATTTTCGTTTTCATAACCAAAATTTAATAATTTATTTGACTTAGGCATAAATATTTATGAAACTAAAATAGCAAGAGTAGTCACACGTGATACACCATACAAACAAGAAGCAGCAACTAGAATTTTGTTTATTAGCCCTTGTTTTCCGCTTCAATCTTTTTGTTTGCTTCCATCTTTTTCTTTGCTTCCATCTTTTTCTTTGCTTTGATCATTTTCTTTGCTTCACTCATCCAACGGGCTAACTCGGGTGTCCTGAAATATAATATCAAAGAGAGCAAAAAAGATGACAACAAAATTAATAACAAGTAACGTTCGATTCAATAAAACAAGAACAAATTAACTAATGTTGTACCAGGGTATTATACGACCAACACGAGCATCCACAAAGCGGCGGAAGTTGCGCCTCTTCAGAATAAGTATACAACGTCCGCAACCTTTAAAGTTATAAAAGCCTATAGGTGTGGTGCCAGAAATCACAACCTCAAGCTTAGAAGGTCCCAAGTAACTTCCATCTAGTTCTAACGCCTTCTTTGGGTCCATCAGATTAATGAAAGCACATCTGAAAACCAAAGAAGAAAGCAAGATAATATTCACACGTACGTTTGCACTTAGCTTTTAAGTTGTCAAAGAAAATAAAAATATATATTGGAGGAACTAATTAAGAAGTCACAAACCCCAAAGGTACTCCGGTTCGACACTCAAACGGAACAAAAACCCTGGAGATGTCACCACATGAAGCAAAGTGTTTTTCCAATGCGCTCTTGATATCATATCTAGAAAGGGAACAATCTAATCCCTTAACGTATATGGTACGCTGATTGTTTCCAAAAGCCTCTTCTTCATTGCCGTAAATGCAATCATGTTCTTCCACCTTTTTCAAAAATATAATGCCTTGAGTCAATTGATCAGTAGTATAGGAGGTTGACAAAAATAAAGAAGCTCTATTGAATAAACTAATAGTAAAAGAACATTTTCATTAAAAAAGTAATGAAGATGTAGCTTAAGTACCTTTTTCAATGCAGTTTTTTCATTTTCATGACCACTTTCCTGCACAAAATATATGGTTCAACGTCAATCAGGTCAATGAATGAAAATTATTGAGCACAAAGTGAAAAGTATAGTCAGTGAGGTTTAAAGATGATGGAATTCTTCTTAATTTTAAAGAGAAGCACGTCAAGTTAAAGCAGACTAAACAACATGATGAGCTCTAAAAGTACTGGACTGCTTAGAGAAGAAGAAGGTTTTTATTTCCATAAACAAAGCAACTAAGGAGATCTTTTTGGAATTTGTAAAAGGATCGGGGGATAAAAAAAGCAAATATAGCTACACAAAGATCAATCATGCATGGATGGTCAATTAAATGACAAATACCAAGTGTAAAGTTTCTAGGTTCCCCTTCAACAAACTATCATGCAAATGCGTTTTTGTATGCAAAAATGTTTCTGTAGCTTCAAAAAATTCTTTCGGAAGAAAGGCAGCAAGAGTGAGATTTTCAGTAGCAGGATTTCATTATCCTAGCGAGTAAGGTGTGAATTCTCTCGGTTCCACAGATCATTACCTTTTTTTGCTTCTTCAGTATTACTTCTGAATCATCATTCAACTCTTTCCCAGCAACTGAACAAAAAGAACATTATAATTCTCATTCAAATATAAAAGAGATAAATTATTGTATGTCTGTTTCTTCTACATAAGAATTAGACCCATGCCATAAACAGAGAACTCATATATCTAATTCAAAATTCCGGTTTTCTTCAATAATCACATGCATAAAAAAAAATAAAAAATATTATATAATTTCTTACCATTCTGCGAAGGCTCCGTTGTATCCCTAACCTAAAAAAAATTCAAAAACAAGATTAAACTCCGGTTAAAATGAGAAAAAATCTTTACTACAGAACAAAATTAGTCAGAGACTGGAGTAAGGAACGAGGCAATAAGGAGCAGAAAATTATTACATCGGTGGATGCAGAGCATTTCTTAAGCCGCTTGCTCATGGAGAGATGAGAAGTAGAGATTACCTCGTTCTCTTTCTGTCTTTCGTTCTCCATTAGAGGTGACAAACAAAACCCTAACGGCGTAACGAGAGAAAAGCGGCTGCCAGGTTTTCTGTAAATCGCTGGCTTTTATAATCTTTAAGCTGGGCTTGTGTGGGTTTGGGCTTCGTTTGGATATGTTTTCTAAAGATATTAATACAGATGTTGCTTTTGTGGGTCTGGGCTTCTATTGGATATGTTTCGTCAGTTTAATACAGTCTTAAGGGCAAAAATCGACCGTTCATACACGCTCACACATTACACGCTGGTTTTCTTCTTTTCTATCGGCATTATTAGCACACAAATTATCAATTAGACTAATTCCATTTTCTTATTTGAAGATTTGCGTTTTCCATCCCTAGTAATTCTCTTAAAAACATATCCATAATTATTTATAAAAAATAAAAACATTAAATTTTTATATTAAAATAAATTAAGAAAAATATAATACTATTTCCGCAACATAATGTGGGTATTTACCTACTAGATTTAAAATACGAAATACACAAAGATTGTTAAAAAATCAACATACGTACATAGACATTATTGTCCAGCATGTTTTAAATGGTCGGACATAAACATATTACAAACTTAAACATACATAAATGAACACGAACGTAAATGGACGAACATAAACAAACCGGACAAGTCCATGATAACATCCGTAGTCCCTTGTCCAGAAAAGAGAAAAGAAAAGAGAACATTAGAACAAGCATATGACTTAACTGAAGCAAAAAACATATTTTAAAAATTCTCCATGAGTATAACACGTAGAGTAAAGTGGTGCGTCGCATCGTGTTTAAAATTCACAAAACCTTTTGTGATCTTACCACTTATTTGGTTCAATGTTATTTACACCACCCAGCGTACGCTAAATGATTTGCCATAATTCTTTATGCCGATTTCATCTTCCATGGATTACGTAATTGATTTTCATAATTTACGCAGAAACATTGAATTGTAAAGACAAAAATGCAAATTCACTGTAAAAAATAAAACTATTCGAAGATAAAATATCAGCTCAGTGATCGTTTACTAAATGTGGAAATTTTCCTAACATTTGTATTCACGAGTATATAACAAAAATACAAGTCGAATTATTTTCATACGCATGGGAGATTAGAGTTTTGACACACGAGTACGAATAATAAAAGTACATATTTACTAACTATTTGATCAAAGTTTTTGCTACCAAATAAGTCGGTCAATAAAGTAAAAACAACTGCAATTTGTCTACGAACAAATAAGAAAGAGAATATCGGGCCAACGTTGAACAAGGAAGATCAAACTTAAAACAATGCCGAACCAAATCCAATACCAATATTACGTTGAACAAAGAAGATCGAACTTAAAAACACTACAACCGGCCCAAATAATATCCAACAATGCCAAACCGAATCCAATACAAATATTAATAGAAGAGCTCTGACAATAAAAAAGATAGGATATGTAAGTTCCCGTTGTTAAAAACATGATTATATAATCCGAAGTTGCAGTTGATAAAAAAATCAACAATAGTGACCGATTAAAAACTAATTACTTCAACTTCCGCGTTATGTACACAAAAAAGTTGTTCCAACGTGTACCCTATCAGACCTGAAACAAATACAAAAGCACAGAAAATTACCATAAACTCATATACTATTTCACAAAAATTCATTCACATAAACGAAATGGACATATTAACTTCATTACCGTGAACTCAAAAACCTGTTTTATCAGACGATAGTGACGGGCAATCCTTACAAAACCTTGATCCCCAAAATCTCTTCCACCGGAATCTTGTCCTTTCCAAAAATCAATTCCGTTTTCCGAATCAATACCAGATACGAAATAGCCGTGGTAAGGTAATTTCTCCAAAAACTTTCGGATTAAATCAATCTCCGTAGGAACAAATATACTCTGAAACCAAAGTTATGTAGTCAGCTTAAAACAAAAACTGAATTAAACAAATACAGATATGAAGATATACAAATGCATTTACTTACATTGCCATCCCATTCTTCCATACTTGGAAGAAAGTCTAACATAGTGCCAACTGGAACTCTCCTGGCCAGTCCTATGATTCGTTTCTCAAACGCTTCAAAATCTCTTTCATCATGATTCTTTTTCGGCCGGTGATGGAATTTTAGATCTCTTGCGTGCTCCAACATAAAAGGTTTTGCATGATCCATGCTGACAATCCCACCTCCAGAGAGTTTATACCTAGCGTCTACTCCTTTGATGATTGTGCAAACATCAAGTTCACAGCTTCTAGAATTTTCCATAAAAAACGCTGCGAAATATCCTCTGTATAGTATTACTGCCCAACACTCATCTAATCATAAAAGAACATGAATCAGTTGTGTTGATAAAAAATTTACAACACATTATAATATATAAGTTTTGTCCTTACCTGCTAACTGAATATAGTCAGAAAAAAATTCTGGATGGATCTCCCTCCAAGAAAATGGCTCCTGATTATTAAAAAAAAATACAATGAACTGATTGCTGTTAATAATTCGTATCCTCAGAAACAAAAAGAAACAGGATATAACTTTCATATTATAATTCTCATAGATGATAGCGAACAGTTAACATATTGCAGTTTTCTCTTTCCACGGAAGTGAACAGAGAACATAAACCAAAGCAAACAGTGAACTATACCCAGATTATAATTTTTTCTTATCATTAAAGAAAGTGAACAGTGAACTGACTGTTGATAATAATTCGTATTATAAACAAAAAGGAACAGGGTGCAATTTTCATATTATAATTCACACAGACCATAGCAAACAGTTAACATAAACAAAAAGGACCATAGCAAACAGTTAACAAAAAGGAACAGGGTGCAATTTTCATATTATAATTCACACAGACCATAGCAAACAGTTAACATATTGCAGTTTATATTTCTCTTTCCACAAAGATGAACAGCCAACATATTTAAAATTCTCATTCAAACAAACTAGAGTGATGATGTTACCATTCTCACAAATGAAAGTGAACAGAGAATTATCTTTCTTATAAACAAAAGCAAACAGTGACTTATCTATATGCAGATGATAATTTTGTATTATCATTCTATTAAGCAAAAATGCACAGCTAACTGATTTCAGATTATAATTCTCATAAATGAAAGTGAACAGTGAACTTATTGCAGATCGTAATTCATTTCTCATAAACAAATAAATAAATACAGAGAGACATTGTACCTCTTTGTCATATATTCTTTGACTGTTTTCTTCAATTGAAGTTCTCAAAGCAGCAATCTAGTTAAATATAGCAGAAACATGATAAGAAAGAGAACTTTAAAAAGGTATACATTAAAAAAAGAAGAGTTTTAAAATAATTACCTTTCCTTGGAGATTTGGTATATCACCATCCTGCAAAAAGAACAAGTCAACATCTATACATGAATATAGTTTAAATTTTCATAGCTATATAAAGAATGATTGCTTAGTACCATTATAGACCGAAGGACCCATGCCCTTAGATCAGCTTTATAAATGTTGATTATAGCATCACTGACAGTTATATTTTTCCCACTAAAATATTCGTAAACAGCATGAGAAGTCCAGTCTGTGTCATCAGGGGGCTTTACAATTAAGTAAAAAAGTCTGCAATTATAACAGATACACCTTGTCAAAACCATTATAAAAGTCACAAATTTCAAAATAATGGAAAATTACATACCCAAGATTAGAATCGGTTTCAACGGATTTAGGAAGAAATACATGACCTTCCACCTCCCATTTTGGCTCTAGATCAGACAACTGGTGAAAAACTTCTTCAAGAATATCATCCTCAGTTAACTGGGAATTAAAACCGGTAACACACAGGGTCAAGAGCCTGCCAATAAAAAACTTGTAAATTACAATTCCAAAAATTAGATACAAAAGAAAAAGTGTAAAAAATCTAATTACCCCTTGCTGCAACGTGTAATATAGACCGATTTTCCAAGGAGATCTTTTCCGTTTAAACTCAGGGCCGCTTGTGCTTCTTCATCAGTTTCAAAGAAAACCAAAGCCTGCATCTCACCATCAGGCTTTGGTGGCTGGAGTTTCACAGATGTTACTTCAGCAATGTTTATAAAAAAATCCTTGCTGCAAAAAATAACAAATATTAAACAACATACAAAAATGATCAATCAAACAATGAAAATATTACTGAGATAGTGATAATTACATTTCATTTTCAGTTATATGCTTAACCATCTGTCCAATGCAAATGACAGATGGATGTACAAATCCTTCAAACTCATGTTCAGTACTACTTGAGGACCAGTCAACTGATTCCTATACATTTAAAACAGATGCATGAGGCTATAGCAAATCCAATGATTTGACTGAAGTTTTCAAATCCACGAGAGCAAAAAAAAACATTGAATTCATACCTTTTGGAGATCTTCTTTTTCATCATCTTCATCAGATGAAAGAGATGCAAAAAAAAAAAAATAACTCATCAAAAATCAAAAGATACCAGACACAAGAAATGCAACAAAACAGGTAAATCTCATCATAAATCAAATGACTGCAGCGACTTACGTTTTTGCGAAAGATCAGAGATCTTCCTTTTCTTCTTCTCTTGTTCCGCATCATCTTCATAAGCTGAAAGAAATGAAAAAAAAAAAACTCGTCAAAAATCAAAATATACAGACAAAAGAAATGCAACAAAACAAGTAAATCTCATCATAAATCAAATGACTGTAGCGACTTACGTTTTTGCGAAAGATCAGAGATATTCCTTTTGTTCTTCAGGGTAGCCTCTTGGTCCGAACCATCTTTCTCAGCAGAGAAAAAAAGAATGTAACACATCAGAACCTTATTCAAAGGAACACAAATACAACAAAAAACAAAAACGAAAGATTGGAAGTAATTTCTTACCATTTTGCGAGGTTTCTTCACCCTAAAAACAACCGAAAGTGAATAAGTAGAAGGTAAAGAAAGTTTTGCGAGTGAAGAAGAAACATATTAGAAGAAGAAGTTGATATTACCTCGTTAAAGTTCTCGTTCTCTTTCTGTTTTTCGTTCTCCATGAGAAGTGATAAACAAAACCCTAACGGCGTAACGAGAGAAAAGCGGCTGCTAGGTTTTCTGTAAATCGCTGGCTTTTATAATCTTTAAGCTGGGCTTGTGTGGGTTTGGGCTTCGTTTGGATATGTTTTCTAAAGATATTAATACAGATGTTGCTTTTGTGGGTCTGGGCTTCTATTGGATATGTTCCGTTAGTTAATACAGACTTAGCGTTTATGAACCGTCTTTAGTTTCGTTAGTTAATACAGACTTTAGTTTCCCATGATTTACACAAAAAGTGGGACATATGACGTGTGAACTGTAATTATGTTTATTAGCCCTTGTTTTCCGCTTCGATCATTTTGTTTGTTTCACTCATCCAACGGGCTAACTCGGGTGTCCTGAAATATAATATCAAAGAGAGCAAAAAAGATGACAACAAAATTAACAACAAGTAACGTTCGATTCAATAAAACAAGAACAAATTAACTAATGTTGTACCAGGGCGTTACACGACCAACACGAGTATCCACAAAGCGGCGGAAGTTGCGCCTCTTCAGAATAAGTATACAACGTCCGCAACCTTTAAAGTTATAAAAGCCTATAGGTGTGGTGCCAGAAATCACAACCTCAAGCTTAGAAGGTCCCAAGTAACTTCCATCTAGTGTTAACGCCTTCTTTGGGTCCATCAGATTAATGTAAGCACATCTGAAAACCAAAGAAGAAAAGCAAGTAAATATTCACACGTAACTTTCGAGTTGTCAAAGAAAAATATATATTGGAGGAACTAATTAAGAAGTCACAAACCCCAAAGGTACTCCGGTTCGACACTCAAACGGAACAAAAACCCTGGAGATGTCACCACATGAAGCAAAGTGTTTTTCCAATGCGCTCTTGATATCATATCTAGAAAGGGAACAATCAAATCCCTTAAACGTATATGGTAAACGGATTGTTTCCAAACGCCTCTTCTTCATTGCCGTAAATGCAATCATGTTCTTCCACCTTTTCCTAAGATATTATGTTTTGAGTCAATTGAACAGAGTAGTATAGGAGGTTGACAAAAATAAAGAAGCTCTTTAAGAGAAAACAACATTTTCATGAAAAAGTGACAAAAAGCATTTTGGGAGATAGTTTGTGAGACTGATCATTAGGACAAAAAAAACCCGAAACAAGAGTAAACTCCGGTCAAATTAATTGAGAAGAAATCATTAATACAGAACACAAATTGGTTAAAGATAGGAGTAAGGAAGAAGACCGTAATTAAGGAGGAGGAGAAAGTGATTACATCGGTGGACGCGGAGCATTTCTCAAACCGCTTGCCCATGGAGACAAGTTGGGATGAAAAGCCAAGGAAGAGTCGCCGGAAAACCCTAGACCTGATTTTATATATAAGTTACAGATTTTTTTTTTATTATTAGTCTCTGGGCTTTTTGTGGGCTAATTATTTAATTTTGTCCCGGTTTGTGACGTCAAGAGATGGCGTTCCAGCTTTTAGTATCGCAGCTTACATACAAAGCCTGCTAGCTCCGAGAGTGAGTGTAAGCAGTCTACAATAGCTGTACGTTGATGATCAAACAATCAATTGATTATCTTCTCGCGGTTGATCTTTTTTACGTGTATGTATTGGAAGATATACATATATATCGTGTAAAGAAAGGGAAATTGTATAGCTTGCTCTCCACGTCGTCTAAGTATACGTTCTTAACCTAGCCGCTTCTTAGTTTAAATGGTATCAGTATGCGTACGGTATCCAAACATTTTTGTGATGTGACCTAGTTTCCCTTTTGTTTCCCGGTTTGAGAGTCAATGGTTGATTGATTTGCGCCAAATATAACAGCCACATGAGTGGAAATATATATATCCTAGCTGCTTATTTACCTTTGGTTTCCCATGATCTTCACAAAAACTGGGACAAATGACTCTGTTTCCTCAGGCTCAGGAACTTCAACGGCTTTTCCACAAGTTGCATCCTGAATCGTATGCCCTCCATGATTCAATCTGCCATCATGACATTGACAACCGGTAAACAAAAGTCATATCCATTTTTTTTATTCTTGTCCTGCAAGTAACATTTGTTTGCTCATAACTCTCTCTTCTTATTCAGTCTTTTTAGCTACATTTTGCAGCTTGGTCGATGATTGCTACTGATCCTGGGTTTGCCTCGATTGAATTTACTTATGGAACTGGACATGTCGACCCAATAGCAGCTTCAAATCCAGGACTCGTCTATGCATTACGCAAATCAAACTACATCGTGTTTCTCTGTGGCTTGAATTACAATGCACCTACCTTAAAGCTCACTCAGGATAACTATCACTGAAAATACCTTACCAAGAAACTTAAATTATCCTTCAATGTCAGCTAAATCGTCGAAATCTAATAGCTATGTAGTACCTCCAACTTTATACAAATAACAAGTTATGGTCCTACTTAACTTTGTATCTAAGGAGGGTCCGAGTGTTAACATGCTTCATAGAACAAAATTGTTATGTTATGCATATTTTGACTACTATTTTGGTTCTGGTATAAATTGTTACATTTAATTCAGCTCAATTGAGGACTCTTTCTCTGTAACACAGTCGGCACCCTTTGCACAGTTTTATTGCATATACTTTTTACATATTTGAACCAGCAAACTTGATTTTTACAGTATACTTATGTATTACATGAATAACGTTACAGTAATTAAAATACTGGAGAAGCTAGCGCCTTGAGCTTGGTGGCTTCCGTGAAATCGCATAAGGAGACTGAAACCCAACTGTTTCTACGTCTCCAACAGTTTTGAACAACCTTTTCTTTCTAGCCTCTTCCCTTGGTGACCTGTGTGGTAACTGTCTCTGCACGTCTACAAGTGATCGGTTCCTTGTAAGTGGGCGGTTGTCTGAAGCCAATCTTCTGTTAATTGAACTGGAAGCTGCATACACGTTGGCTTGTCCTGGCTGTAGATGAGAGCTCTCTTCGGGGCAAAACCGCGTCAAGTTGTGAGTTCTGTTCAAAGCAGGAGACTGGGAGCTGTGCTCATCAACAGCTATGTAGTTGAGGTTGGAGTAAGACCCTGAATGGGAAGAACTCTGAGAATACGTCTCATCGTGTAAATCATCTGCAGTTTTAATTTTATCTCAAAAACCTTTTATATAAACATCTGCCACACTATGCACATTGAGACTTACTTTCCGTACCTTGTACCCAATCTTGAAGGCCTCTTGCCATATAGTTAGAGAGTGAAGTTTGAGAGGATGACGAGTGCGAGGAAGAAGAGTGGAAAGGATCGGTACGATGATGATCATCATCGTCATGAGGGATTTCATCATCTTCCTCATACCTCCAACCAGGCACCAAAGAAGAAATAGCTCCATCAATCATTTTAGCAATCTCGACTGGCTCCCAATCCATGATCTCGAGTTCTTTTACCATCTCCTTTGCAACATCCATGGAAGTATCATTCATGATGTCAAAGGGAAAGAACACATTATTTGCCAGACCTGAAGAAAGAAAACAATTATGTAACCAGATAACAAAATGACCAGCTCAATCAAATTAGTCCCTTTTACCATTGTCATATGCGATTTGTACTTCCAGATCGATTTTGTTGTCTTCAGTGCCCAGCTTCCCAGCGATGGACATCTGTGTCCTTAACTCATCATCTTCCAACTTCAGCGAGTCCATTTCATTCTCGTTCAAGAAGGGCTTTGGATTCCCAGCACCACTCGCGTACACCATCCAGGACTCATCAGAAGCAAGAAATGGATCCTGCAATAGTTCTTTTGCTGATACTCTCTTTGAGGCAGACACTAGACATTTCCCAATGAACCTCTGTGCCTCGATGTCACCAACTCTGTAAAAGGCTCCTGGTAGTTTTCCCTGGAAAGACAAAATTAGAAGGCTCATGCCTGGTTCAACCGATAGCTTCATCAATATGCTCACAGATAGGAAGACATACCGAAACAACTTTCTTGTAAATTTGCGCTGGATTGTTACACTCACTATACGGGAATTCAGAGGTGATCATCTCCAAAAAGCACATACCAAAGGAATAAACGTCAATGAGTTCATTATAGTTCTCCTCATATAATTCTGGAGCCATGAACTCCGGAGTGCCTACGTAAAAGAAGAATGAAGAGGTCTAAGCATATAAATTGGACAAGAAGTGGGGACAACGGATTTTTGTAACATACCGATGACACTATGAGCAGAGTGGCAGTCCCGCAGCATTCTTGCAAGTCCAAGATCGCCAATTTTGACTTGTCCAAGATGCCCATTAACAAAGATATTATCACACTTAAGGTCTCTATGGATAACAGGAGGGTCGTGCCCGTGGAGATAGACAAGCCCTTCTAAGATCTGCCGAGCCCAGGACTTGATTGCTCGGATATCTATCCTCAAGTACTTATTTTTGTATCTGCACAAGAACAGGACAGGGTCAAACAAAGCATAAGAACTGAGTAATCTTGCCGGAAGAAGAGATTTAAGTGAATTAAAAAGCAACAAAATGTGTAATTTTTATAAGAAGAAAAGGTGTAAATAATTTACTGTCGGAGGGTCCCAGAAGTGAACAGCTCGGTGATGAAGTTGAGAGTATGGTTATGGACATCGATCCAGGAAGTGTAGAAGCGAATGATGGATTTGTGGTTGAGAGTGCTGAGGAGATGAACTTCGGAGTAGAGCCTCTGTAGATCAACAGAGGAACGCAGAACCTCTTTCAGCTTCACCTGGCTCCATGCTACTTCTATTCCAAGCTTCTCGTCGATTGCTTTGTACACTGTCTTCATCGCTCCCCTTCCAAGAATTTCTGCAAACTGTTCCAACAGAAAACAAAGTGTTACAAAAAGGTTGTGATCCATGACCACATAATCTGTCATAATACTTACACGTCCGTAGCGGCCAGTCGGATCAGTTTCGACATACTCTGAAACTTGAATCATCATATTCATGGTTGACCAAAACCTGATTGATGATCCCAGAAATGTTTTGAGATGACAGACTTTTGTTTCTGTAACTCAGAGATATCTCTGGTGGCCAAAAGTCGTCCTATTTACTTCTTCTCTTCATTAAGAGAAGCGTCAGCAAAATGTATGCTGAACAGTCTTTGGCGTCAATCACCCATTTGAGATAAAATGAATAAAGACAATTACTTAACCTTGCTTGCATCACTTATATCATAGAAAATCATATATATCTATTTTTATTGACCCAATTGTAAAAAAACATATATATATTTCTCTAAAACTCCAAACTTTGACAAATCTTACTTCCAATAAAAGATGCTCAAGCAACAGCATAGATAAAATAACCATCAAACGTGTACCATATTACAAACACATGGCAATTATACTAAATGCGAAAAAGATGCCCTGGTTTACTTTGTGAGCCACAAACATAATTGCAAAGAGGATAAGAGTTGAGAAAGTATGTTTCAGGGGAATGTAATATAGGGTGGAAGGAGTTTTATTTCTTGAGGAAACTGCTAGATTTTCAAACGAACCAATTATTTGTTTGGTGAACAGACGCAATCCAAAATAGATTGAGGTTAACAAAAATATAACGACAAAGAAAAGGGGAAAAGTCAGAACAGAAGTGGGGAACATGACAAGAAGTTGTAGAGAATAGAGTGATAGTGACATCACCATTGAACAATTGTTATTTTTTGATGGCGGCGACTTCCTCCTTCAGCCCTCAGGGTTCTGTAATAAACTAGATAACACATAACAAATATGCATTAAACCAATAGATAAGTTCATGAGAGCTCTCATCATCTTACTTAGCTTTGTATCTAAGGAGGTTCTAAGGAGGGTCCAAATGTTGATAAAACTTGATAGTTATGACTAGTGTTTTGTTCTGGTCTAGATGTTAGTTGACACGTGGAAAAGAAGAGAGAGAAGGCTGGTAGGAAATTGACGATAAGGATGGAATATATCCGGGACAAGAAAAGCCGTATAAGTTTGACACTGACTACAGAGGTTGCAGCCAGAAGTTTTCCCACGAGCATATCATAATATTCTGCTCATTCATCATTACCATTCACCACACAACATATGAAATGGCCTTTCTCCACCATTAAACTTCACCGTTGATATGTCACAAAGGCAATAACTCCATAGCATTTTAAAACCCATAGCACAAGATTCACAAAAGATGGTACCTCTACCCACCGACTAAGTTCCTCCATTTATCCTTCAAATCCACCTACCAAGTTACAACATTTATATCACTAACACTTCCCATTTACCTTGTTCAAGTAAATGGTGAGTAAGAATGTTAAAAGGACATGCTCACCTCTGTCCTCTCCGAGAATACTTCAGGGTTTCCATTCTTTATATCTTTCCATGATTTACCATACCTGCGCAACAACAACAAAATGACAATGCTATAATCTTAACGAGGTCCAAGATGTATCACTATTGATTATTGATAATAGAGTACGGGACTAGGTGAAGAATGTTTGCATACTCTTTTACTCCTTCCCTCAGAGCCTCCACTTCTTCAGGCGTCCAGAATTTCTTTGGCCTTCTGACATGGGGCTTCGATCCGGCCTTCTTCAATGGAGATACATTCAGAGGTACAGGGGTAGGTAGACGAGGCCGAACTCTGCCAGACCATGTTCCCTGACTATCCGAACCTTTCTCATTTACATTATCCTGTTGCTTCACAATTAAGCCACAACTTCATGAACTAAAGGACAAGACATTTAGGAAGCATCTTGAGGTAAAATTTACTAACACTTACCGGTGGTTCATTAAGGTCTTGGCCACCTGTTCCAGTCCTATTTATCCGAGTAGGCGGAGGAGTGACATCTACCGAGTGATCAATTGCATTGTTAGGTTCTTCTCCTTGCCTAGTGGAAAGGTCGATGTGTCCTTGAATCTCTAACAAATAATGCTTCAGCTCTCGAGCAGCAGTTTTGTCTCCCTTATCAAGACTTGGCTCATGTTCCTGTTCTTGTTCAGCCACTGTCTGCTCCTCTTCTGAAGCATGTTTTTCATTCACCAGACATCCCACTCCTTCAACATCATTAGCGTTCTCTCTATTGTTCCCATTCCCGTCCCCACTTTCGCCACGCGGCTCGTTGGCGTTATCAATAGTATCACTCTCCAAACACCTTGTGCTTTCATCAGCAGCATTTGTATTCCCCCTTTTGCCAACAATGTCGTCCTCTATCTTATCATCCTTGCGCTTAAGAAACCTCCTTTGGACTATTGATTCAGGAGATGAATTCCCAAGTAATGCACACTGCTCTTTGAGAAGCTGAGTGAGAAAGGAAATGGCAGTGTACCTGATGTTAGTCTCACGAATTCGCTGATAGAGCTCAGGATCCTCAAGGGACTTCTTCAGATCAGTCTCCCACTTCAACAAGTCATGAGTCACCAAATCGCTTCCACTCTTCTTCAAAATCCCAATCCTCTTCGTCCAAATCCTCTCAAGAGCCTCGGTGAAGAAACCATCCGAAGCAAGCAGTGGCCACATGAATCTAAGCGTGCACTCAGCAGCCGTCCAGCAATAAGCAGACTTGTGAGACTCAGTGAGTAGCGAATGTTGCTGCAATAGAAGCTTCTCAAGTATCTCGAGAAGATCAAGCGTTCCCTCGTCGATTGCACCTCGGATCAACGAATTGGAGATATCCCGCAAAACGGAAGATATCTTGAGCTTTAAGCAGTCGGAGGAGTCTCCCAATTGCAGCGCCGAAAGCAGTTTAGTAGGTAAAACCCTAGGATTGTGTTGCCGGCGAAGGAAAAACTCGGCAACCCAAATGTCAATGACTTCCATATTTGAAACTTCCGCGATCAAAGTTGTAACCTTTTGTTTTGTTTCAGCGGATGCAATCTCGCCGGAGAAGACGGGAAATAACTCTCCGATCAGTGAATTGAATTCGAACAGTTTTTCAGATATGTTATGTTAATGGGCCTTTAATTGGGCCTAAAGTCAAAGAAGATAAACGGTGCGGATGTCAGAAGAGTGACAAGTGTCATGAGCTGAGCCTTATCCATAGATTCCCCAATCCTCTTTTCTTACTCTGTCGTCGCTTGGCGCGCTCTCTCTCTCCATAGTTCCAGCTCTGATATCTCACTATCACAATCTGTGTCTGTGCGATAATGGCCATGGCAGAGCTCTCAACCCCCAAAACGACGTCGCCTTTTCTCAACTCTTCGTCTCGGCTTCGTCTCTCCTCAAAATTGCATCTTTCAGACCACTTTCGCCATCTTCTTCTTCCACCCCTCCCCACAACTCCCAACTCTAAAATCTCATGCTCCGTTTCTCAGAAGTAAGTCTCTTCAAGCTCCTAACTGTTTTCTTATCTGTATGATATTGAACTTTATCTGATCAGATGCTTTTGTGGACTCTTCTGATAAAAGTAGCCAAGCCCCTGTTGCGGTTCAAGAAAATGGATTGGCGAAGACGAGGAAAGAGTGTTATGGAGTGTTCTGCCTCACCTATGATCTTAAAGCTGTATCTTACTATTCCACTTTAACTATGTTTTCTAAGAAAATCTTATCTTGAGACTTTGGAATTGAGATAATACTCTGCTTCACATGGAGATAATAGTACTTTTATAAATGTTGTCATCTAAATCTAGATTTTTTTTTTCTTTTCATAATGAGTAATCAATTGTGTGTGTGTCTGCAGGAAGAGCAGACAAAATCATGGAAGAAGTTAATCAATATTGCAGTTTCAGGTGCTGCAGGCATGATTTCAAACCATCTTCTCTTCAAAGTAAGTTAATCCTGTTTGAAAATTATTGTTTTATAGGATAAGGTTACCAATCATTGGTCTTATCTAATATAACTTCGGTTTTCCGAGTGTGTAGCTTGCTTCAGGTGCAGTGTTTGGTCCAGATCAACCCATTGCTTTGAAACTGCTAGGATCGGAGAGATCAATCCAAGCTCTCGAAGGTGTTGCAATGGAGCTGGAGGATTCGTTGTTCCCCTTGTTGAGAGAGGTTGATATAGGAACAGATCCATACGAAGTTTTCCAAGACGTGGAGTGGGCTATTCTGATTGGAGCAAAACCTCGAGGCCCTGGAATGGAACGTGCTGACTTGTTGGACATCAATGGCCAAATCTTTGCTGAGCAGGGCAAAGCTCTTAACAAAGTTGCCTCTCCTGATGTTAAGGTCCTTGTTGTAGGAAACCCTTGCAATACCAAGTAAGCTACATTCCTTAATCCAACCCTCTTCGTCTATGAATATCTTATGTATACTTGTATCATTTTCTTTTCTATTTTTCAGCGCCTTGATTTGTCTTAAAAATGCTCCCAACATTCCTGCAAAGAACTTCCATGCCCTTACGAGGTTGGACGAAAATCGTGCCAAATGCCAGGTACCACACTTTACACATATATGTGATTATATGCATATTAGCATACATATCAGATGATTGAAAATTCCATTTTGTAGCTTGCTCTTAAAGCTGGCGTCTTCTATGACAAAGTGTCTAATATGACCATATGGGGAAATCACTCCACGACTCAGGTTTGCCTTATCTTGCTCTAGTGTCATCTGTTATCTCCTTATATCTTTGGATGTTTCTCTTACTTTTTGGAGGTGAATCAGGTTCCAGACTTCTTAAATGCCAGAATTAATGGCCTTCCTGTGAAGGAGGTTATTACAGATCACAAATGGTTAGAAGAGGGATTCACTGAGAGTGTACAGAAGGTAAGACGCCATTTCCTCTGATATTGTAATGATTGATTTTTGCCATGAAATATAACGTGTGGCTGAGTAAGTTTGCGTTTGTTTTACAGAGAGGTGGGTTATTAATTCAGAAATGGGGTAGATCTTCTGCTGCTTCTACTGCTGTTTCCATTGTTGATGCTATAAAGTCACTTGTTACTCCTACCCCTGAGGGTGATTGGTTTTCGACTGGGGTATATCTTCTTTTACACTCATTTGGATTACAACAAGATAGATTGGTTCAAATTTTTATAGGGTTGTGTTAATGTAATTTTAGGTGTACACGGATGGAAATCCCTATGGTATTGAAGAGGGACTCGTCTTCAGCATGCCATGCCGGTCAAAGGTATGTTCTATCCTTGGTCTTAAAAGCTTTCTCTAGTGGAAAGTCTCAAATTTTGTTTGTTTCTAGGGAGATGGAGATTATGAACTTGTCAAGGATGTAGAAATTGATGACTACCTTCGCAAACGAATCGCCAAGGTATAGCCTACTTAGAGATTAGCCTTTTTCGGGTTTTGTATCTAGATGCCAGAAGTTTTACTGAGACATGAAAATATTGCAGTCAGAAGCTGAACTGTTGGCTGAGAAGAGATGTGTTGCACACCTCACCGGAGAGGTATGTATCTTTCTTGTCTATTCAAACAAAACCACTTTTATAGAAGCTAACCTTAGTCGTTGCATGGATGTGTGTTTCAGGGCATCGCCTACTGTGATCTTGGTCCAGTAGATACTATGCTTCCTGGGGAAGTTTGAATTTTGCAGGACGTTGAACATCTCAAGTAAGCATTCTCTTCCGGGTTGTTAGCTGTACAGAGCACACCCACATTACTTATAATGATTGTTCAGAATAAGAGAATGAAACTCTTTCTTCTTATTTACATGCATCTGTATGTGATTTTTACTTGAGCATTGCTCCAAAAGTCATATACAGCAGTATTTGTAAACACTTAAAACGATCCTCAGATTTATTCCAGTTCCAGAACTCGAACTAGATAATGCATGTCTAATATCAAACACAAACTGTTCACAAATCGTATGAGCTTTTTTTTTTCTTTGCAAACCAATCAAAACAGCTCCTATATGTGAAAAAGTATCACCAACAAGTTACAATGAGTATACTATATACATAAGAATTAAGAAGCAAGAATGGTTGATGGTCTTGTTGGTCGATGACCTGAAAAGGCTATGCGGAGTCTCTTGCACTCATCTCTGGAGTAGTCTAGTGAAAAACAGAGCTGTCTTATCACTTCCCTCTTCTCTTCTGCTACTTCTTCTAGTTCCCTCCTCTGCTTCTCCACCTCCTTCTCCATCTCCATTATCTTATCGCATCTTGCTTTGATTTCACATCCAAGCCGACTTATCTCTGACTCTAGCTCACTCACTTTTTTGCTTAACGTTTCTATGCATCTCTCTTTCTCAGCCTTTTCCAGTGCCAGCACCTCGATATCCCCCTTAAGCCTTTCCTCCTCTTCTATTTTCTCATTGGTCACCCTTCTTATCTCATCTTCAAGATAACGCACTTGGGCTTCCAGCTCTTTGAACTGGTCATCGCGGTGTCTTTTTTCCTCCAACAGCTTTGATATTTCGGCTTTGACCTGTGCCTTCTCTGGAAATATTTTTTCCTCTGCATCAGACACTGCTGTCTTTAAATCCCGGATCTCATGATCTCTACCAGCTAAACTCGATTTCAACATGGAGATTCTATCCAGCAGCTTCACCACCTCTCTTTTATCTGCACTAGACTTGCTTTTCCATGCTGCAGCTTCTTTCTGTGCCGACTCAAACATATCTTGTAGACTCTTGAGTTTTGCATCATCAGACTTGCTTTTCTCGACTTCTTTTCTCAGGATGCCATTTTGTCTCTCTGCCTCCCGAAGCCTCAGGCTTGTAAGTCTCAGCTCTTCAGACAAAGTCTCAGTGTCCAGGTCTCGAGTGAAAGCTGCCTCTTCACCCTGTTCATCATCCAACTCAGATGGCAAATATCTGGCAAGCTGGCTCTTTAACATATAAAGTTGGTTTTCTGAATTCTGCAACTTCTCATTTGCATCTCTGAGTTCTTGCTCACAAGCAGCAAGTTTTGCAGGGAAATCAACAAATTTACTCTCACTTTTCACCCTCGGCAACAAGCTCTCAGTGTTCCCTTCAAGTTGCATCCTAAGTCTCTCTTTGGCTTCACGTAGCTCAATCTCAAGATCCATGATCCTCTTGCTCAGGGACTGAAAATCAGAGCCAACACTCACATAACCGGGGTAATTAGTCACAGAAGAATCATCAGATTCGAGTTCAGAATCAGTAATGGAAGCAGAATCATCTCCATGATAAAGATCAGAGGGGAGTCCTCCATTGCCAAGGAAGTATTCAAAACCAGGAGCACGTCGCCCAGAAGGGGGGCGGCCTAACCTGTTGAGCTCATTAGAGGTCCAGACAGCAGTGATGTCGGAGGCAGAGACGTCGGAAAGGCCAGAGCTTTGTGACTGAAGCTCCAAAGTAGAGCTCTTTCTCAACTCGCCAGTGATGTTCTCATACCGCTCGGCCAAAGAACGGTACATACGGTGAAACTCATCGACAAGGCTAATAAGCTCAGGCCTTTTCTGGTAATACATCTCTGCCTTCTTGGCAAACGAGTCTGCATCCTCCTCTATCAGCTTAACCATCCGTTTCACGCTCCGGTCCATCTCTGAAATAAAAGTTGGCATTTTTATTTCCTTGATGAAAATAGGACTAACCACCTAATTTGGGTAACCCTAAGCCTAATAAAAATTATTTTCATTGTGAAACTTAGACATGAAAATGACACAATGCGAATGGACTCACCATCGAGATTATTCTCAAGCCACTTGGAATTTTTGAGACCGATATGACTATCCCACCACCATGGATTTGATTTGGTGGATTCTGCTCGTTTGATACTCTTCTTTGAACGAACCTGGCAAAACAAAAACCCAGAATCAAGAATGAGATTTTGATTGTTATGGTGTGAAAGAAAGACAAAAAAAGTTCTTTTTTTGTTTGTTTGGTTTGGAATGTACCAGATCATAATCCATGGCTGCAAAATCAATGGACCCTAACGAGAAGCTGGAAACACACAAGAGACAATCATGAGACTATTTGAAAAAAAAAAGATGACTACTTTTACAAGACAAATAATACAGATTCTGTCTGTCAGACACATAATACAAAAACGTCGGTATTTTTATTTTTTTTTCCCTAATCCCCAAAAAACAAAAAGGATCGGGTACTGTTGAGAAAGACATCATAACAAAACGTAATACACAGTAAAGGACAAGAACCTGAGAAGAAGAAGAAGTAGAAGATGGAGGATGATGATGATATTGAACTGATGATGGAAGAAGGGAGAAGAAGAAGAGGATGAAAGCTTTTTAGAATGAATGAGAAAACCAAAAATCAAACAAATAAAAATAGAGGTCAAATGAGTTTTTATACACAGACCTTTAAGACAGATATTGCGGAACAAGTCTTAATTAACTAGTCAGAGTACTTAGCAATTTTCAACGTGGCCAAGTGATTTGGTTGTCTCTCTGTAATCAAAATATATAAATGTAAAATTATTATTTTGAGACTAATTCCAACTGTGTCCACGTGGAGAGAGAATAGTACCCGATTAATAAGATCGAGTCATTTTTGCCTCTCTTTGCCCACTAATCAAACCGACCATTCATATAAGATTAATGGCCGTCCTGACTATTTCTCTCTCTCGATTGATTCTGTTTACCATTCACATTCTCCTCTTGAAGGTTTCACTCATCATGCAGTCAAAAAACACATCAGATTATATGTATGTATTCATTCAAATGGCTTTTTGTTTTTCTAAAGTGTAATTAAATGAAAAGACTTTTGAGGGTTTAAGGAGTAATCTGCGGTATTAGTGTTTGTTGCGTGGTTGGTCTAATGACCTTTAGAGGCCAACACTATCTCTATCACCTTTTCATTGTTTTTTTTTGTGTGTGGCGCTCCACTTCTCTTGAGCTTTTCTTTCCATTTCATTTCAAATTTAATGCTTTTAGAATGCAATTTTGTATTATTAATGATTTGATATAAAACTAGATATGTTGACCAAAAAGTAATTGAGTATATATTTACATCTCTTAAATATATGTAGATGATGTAAACACATATTTAGAACGTTCATTATTCTGACAATGTGTTAGCGACTATATATTTAAATTACATTCTCTATCGTGGTGTGGTGTCTCAACACCTGATTTACAATTTTTTTTTTATGAAATGATATTATATTTGATAGATTAACATTAGTAAAATTTTAATAAGATAGTTAACAAATAGAGAATATTATCTTACAAATCTTAATATCTTTTAGTAAGTATAATTAGATAATTTAAATTTAAATTTTATCATCTTTGATAATTTTAGTGGAGTTGGTTTAATACAAGTTCAGTAATTTATGTAATTTTTGAAAGCTATATAAATCTCAAAAATCAAAAAAAATAAAAAAAAAAAAAACCATAGCGTAGAAAAGAAGAAGTGCATGTCAGTGGTGGTGGTGGACTCATGAGTTGAAGGAGTGAAACTCAATTCAAAAACACAAAACATTCATATAGATATCTTTCTAAAATTAAAAAGAAAATGTTTGACGAACGTAAAGGTAAAAATAAATAAATAAATATGAAGCCTATTTTGATTTGGGCCCTCTCTTGTGCCTTGGTAAAAAAGATGTGTATGGGCCTCCTGCAGAGTTGAGGGCAATCTGTTTGATGAGATGTTGGAGAAGAATGTGTAATCTTTGTGAGTTTGGGCAAACTTGCCTTTTACATCGTTCATTCAAAGAACATGATGATAAACACATTACAGCCATACAGAAATATCACACTACCTACAAAAGATATTGTAAGGAATGTGATGTATGAGAAGACGATTGAAGATGAGTGAACGAGAGCATCATTTTGTGTTTGTGCACGGTGCAGGGCATGGAGGTTGGTGTTGGTACAAGCTTGCCAATTCACTGAGGGAGAATGGACATAAGGCCACCTGCATCGACCTCAAGGGCGCTGGGGTCAACTCAACTGATCCAAACACTGTCTCCTCTTTGGATGACTACGACGAGCCTCTCTATGCCTTCCTCTCCCAACTTCCCAACGATCAAAAGGTCATTCTTGTGAGCCACAGCGTTGGAGGAGGGAGCATGACGGCTGCCATGTGCCTCTTTCCTTCCAAAGTTTCCTTGGCTGTTTACGTCGCAGCAGCCATGGTCAAACCTGGTAGCTTGATTCCTGATAACCTCAAAAATGTAATGAAGATATGTTCCGGACTGATAGAGAAGGAAACTGAGAAGATATGGGACTTTACTTTTGGAAATGGACCCCAAAATCTTCCAACAAGCATCATGATGAAACCTGAGTACGTTAGGGACAAGTTTTACAACGAGAGCCCCATGGAGGTTTGTCCTCTACTCTTTATTATCATCTCTCCCTGAAAAAGGTTTCAGAGGATCTTAACTCATCCATTCATGTATAATCAGGATTACACACTGGCCACCACGCTTCTGCGTCCAGCCCCTGTCATGGCATTCGTAGGCATAATGGATATTCCAGCAGCTCCAGAGACTGAAAAAATCCCAAGGGTGTACGTGAAAACAGGCAAGGACCATTTGTTCGAACCACATCTCCAAGACTCAATGTTGTCCCTGTGGGCTTGCTCAGACCTTCCTTCTTCCAGAAAGTGATCACTCTGCGTTTTTCTCTCAACCTCAAGAACTCTATCAGTTCCTCCTTCAAGCAGCCTCCTCTATCTCTCCCTGATTCCTCTTGTAATTTGTATCTCTCTGGAACTTCTCCAAATCCATCCTTTTGATATATAATTACTTGCATAAAACAATATCATATATTCGTATATATCATGAGACACAAGGAAGGGAGCCTACAATAATTGCTATGTAAATCTCACCCTCGCCCCCCAACTGCAGTTTCACTAATTTGGCTGAGTGATATCCAAACAATCAACAGTAAAAGCCTTAAAAGGCATACAAACTCAAAAGCATTGATAAAATGGAAATTAAAATCTCAAGGGGTGATTTGAACTTGAACGTTGGAGTCTTTGGGTTTGCTATTGTCATCCGAAGATGGCCGGGTGGTCTCAGAGTCTGAAACTCGTATCTCTTCGATCATTCTAACGATATCATCCATGGTGGGTCGTACCTCAGGCATTTGAGCCACACATGCCATAGCAATCTGCAGCATCTGTACCATTTCTTCTTCAATATTCTGGAACCTCATCAGCTCAACATCAAACACCTCGCTTGTCCATTCCTCTCTCACCACTGACTGCACCCACCTGGGGAGATCAACCATGTCATCCCGGCTTGGTGACTGTACTGGAGACTTCCCAGTCAACATCTCGAGTATAAGTACACCAAAACTGTAAATATCGGATTTATGTGTGTGTTTCCTTGTCTCTATTACTTCTGGTGCGCGGTAGCCTGCACCCCTCATTGGAGCAATGGGCACAGCCATCAGAGGGGACAGTCCAAAATCAGAAATGCACCCATCGCTATCTTGCTTCATAATCACATTTGAGGACTTTATGTTTCCATGACTGAACTTTGGCCCTCCAACTGCATGGAGATGAGCTATACCTTTTGCCGCTGATAAAGTGATTTTTAATCTGGAGTCCCAGTCAAGAGGCATTTTCTCACTTCCCGGTTTACCTGTCATGGCATCCAAATCAACATATTTCTTAAGTAACCCCAACGAGGTAAATATAAACCTTTAAACAAAGATAGGAAGAAGACTAACCGTGGAGGAGTGCTGATAAGTTACCAGCAGGGTAATAATCATAAACCATAAGCTTCTCATCCTTGGAGTAATAATATGCCCGGAGAGGAACGACGCTAGGATGGTTGCCGACCCGACTAATAATCTCCATCTGTTGTTCAAAGTCCCTCTTTCCAGCGGCCACTTCCTTCAACCTTTTTACCACAACAGTTGTGGATTCCTCTAAGACGGCCTTGTATGCTGTCCCATAGCTACCCTTTCCTAGAACTTCTGCTGATGCCCTCAATAAATCTTCCAGATCAAAGTTATAGGAGCATCCGTTAAAGAACACCAGCTTATTCTTTTCGGGTTCTTGCACCCCACTTCCAAATTCTTGCTTTGCTTTCTCAGTCAATGTCTTTGCTTTTACGATGCTGTCTTCCCTCTTGTCCTTTTTCTTGATACAGCAACACATGATAATTACTGTGATTAACAGCAGCAAGGCAGCCCCTCCAACTGCAATAAGAATGACAGTGCTTACATGTATTTTCCTGCTCGAACCTTCTCTGTGAGGAAATGGCGGCAATGGAGGTTTGGAGATGGGCGGGGTAAGAGAAGGAGGACGAGAGGGAACGGTACAGGGTTGCAGAGGAAGTCCACATAACAATGTGTTTCCGGAAAATGATGAACTGGGAAATCCACCAAGTCCAGATGGTATTGAACCATTTAGATGATTGTTGCTCAAGTTTAAACGTCTAAGGCTTACTGTGTCAAGATTAGGTATTGGTCCAGAAAGCTTGTTATTTTGGAGGCTCAACCCTGTCAACTGCTTCAGCTTTTGGAAAGTTGCAGGTATCTTCCCGGTGAAAGAGTTAAATGAGAGATCAAGGATATTGAGCTGTGGGGACACAAAGGGAGGAACCTCACCGGAGAAGTTGTTGTGTTGGAGATAGATGTAATCTAGTGAAGGGAGAGAGTGAATATCAGGGGGGAGGTAACCACTGAGGAGGTTTGATCTCAAACTGAGAATCCTGAGTGATTCTAGTTTACCAAGTGTGTTTGGAGGGATTGGTCCCAAGAGCCCAATTCCTGGGAGACGAAGAGCGAGAACACGAGTACCATCAGAAGTGCAGGTGACGCCAACCCATGATTTGCAGATATGGTTAGTGGAGTTCCAGTTGAGCCTTCTAAGATGAGGAACAGAAGCAGCAAAAGCAAGAAGAGCTTGCCTATCCGAGTTCAAGTCCGCAATAGCAGAAGAGCAGAAAGTAGTTGCGACAAACAAGAAAGAGACAAGACAAGCAGACAAGAACCCCTTTGAAGGTCTCAAGGTAAATATTGGACCAACATAAAACTGGAAACAGAGCTGCATCATGAGCTTTACTTCCTAGCCTCCTGCTTCAAAAGAAAAGGAGAAGATAGTGAGCAATGACTTCCACCACACAAAACCAGTCCTGTAGCACCCAGAGAAAGCTAATCAGGTATCTCTAAGGAGCTGGCCAAGCAAGCCTCATTTCACTAAGACAAGACAATTTCAAGATTGGATCACAACATTGAAAGTTGATAACTAATATTCGGTTCTAAAAGCATATATTAGTTATAAGAAACTACAGACGGGAAGAATAAAACAAATAAAGATGCTAGTTAGATCTTCAAGAAAAAGTATGCCATTGCCTATCTTTATCTTTATCATTGGGAGATTAAACAATCCAAGAGGCTAAGATAAGAGATTGAAGCATCCAGCAAAAATAAAAAGCAAAAGGAATAAAGCTAAAGAGCCAAACTTTAACACTAAACTTTGATGTTAAAAGAAAAGCAGAATCCTTTTGTCAAAAGATATGTCACTAGAGAAAGAAGCAGAGGTCTGTCCATCATGTAGACAATGTCACTAAGTAAATAAAGATGAGTTTTTTGAGTGTCTGAGTTTACCAGAGTTGTTGAACAAACAGCGTGTAACCAGCAAAATTGGACTGATACACCACGTCACTAGACTGTATGTGAAGTCTCAAAAACTTTCCTACCCACCTAGCTGGAGAAAATGGCGATTTTAAGTATAATTCCCAACAACGAGACAGAAAATTACGGAAACTTAAAAGAAAAAAAACAAAAGAAGAAAGAGGAACCTGAGAGTAAAGAGACGAGCTAGCAAAGTAAGAAAATTGTGGGCATTGAAGAACTCAGCAAGAGGAGGATGAAGTTATGTAGATAGAGCACTCAGACTTTTGCATTCTACTGTTTTGAGCGGACCATAAGACAAGACAATCTTGAAAATGGTGAAAGGAAAGGAAGAAGAAAAAACAATGTGTGGGGAGTGGAGACTAGTGGAAGAGACGGAAAGAAGAAAGACGCAAGAAGAAAAGAAAGGCGAAAGATATGAAGAGAGAGTGTGTGGTGAAGTTAAACAAAATTAAAGTAGCGTACTTGTTAAGTGTAAGACAGACTTCAAAAGGAGTCTTAAGAACAAATCATATTAGTGTGTTAACACCGCAACAAACGCAAGTGCGGAGACCCAGAGATTGACCAAGCTTAAATAAGATTCTTTGGAGATGGCAAAATGACAAATGCATTAAAACAAAAGCCATCTTGTTTCTACAAAAATTGCCTAATTTTTATTTGGATACGGTAATAGTTCTTACCTGTCCAACCACTCCTGCTACTGTTTTCTCTGATTTGCGGATACTATGTAAAAGTAAAACTGGTCATTTCATCATCTACCAACTCCAAAACAAGATCCAACACACTAGGGCATTATTGAAGTGAGAACTTTTCTACACTGAGCCGGGGAGCGTGCTCCTTCTCATATCTCCCCAACCATTTCTATATCATCACTATTTTTTTAATCAGACAAAGACATAATCATTACCTGCTGCTCTCTCTTGTTCCATGCTCTATGAATTCTAAGGACACCATTTCCCGTTTTTCTTGTATTTAAACAGTAAAAAAGCTGATAGACTAAACAGAAACCCATGTGAACTCGAGTTCCACAAATTAGAGATGCAACTAAGTTCATAATTTAACTGCAAATCTGATTCCATGTCTATAAATAATTTTCAAAACACACTGGAATTTGAACAACAGCCATAATTTGATTACATTTCTGCTTTCTCTTCACTTGTAAAACTCAAAGTCCGTGTCTGGCTTCTTAACATTTGCGCGGTACCCCTTCTCAAAATCCTTAGGTAGTATCACGTATCTGTTCTTCCGCACTGCATGCATACCAGCTTCCTGGCAGATTGCTGCTATCTGCATTGTTCAACATAAAATAAAAAATTGTGTGTTATTTAATCTCTATCATCATAAGGGCTTTCATGCAATCCTTTTAGCATCAATTTCCATGTAAATTACCACAAGCTTATGATGATTATCAAACCATATTACTGCCAAAATTATATTCTCAAATTCAGTTCAGGACAATGATGTACAAATGACTCAGCTAACATCCATACATAATGCTTGAAACAGTATAATTAGGAGTAAGCTCTAGTGCACATTTCGAAGAACATCATTAGGTGGACCCAATAAGTGAACATCATTAGGAGGACATATCATGATAAAAGTAAGCAGGAAAAATAGAATAGTAAAGCAAAATAAACTAACCTCCGCAGCGCTAATTTTATCTGGCCGTGAAACATAGTCTTCCAAGTCAACCTCATCGCTGAGGTTCATTTTAGAGGTGCATACCTACAGAAAGGAAAAGCCAGTCAATAAGACAGGAACTGAGACATTAGCCAAAACTATACTTTAAAAAGAATCACATTTGCTTTCATTTTTCTTTAACTAGTTATTAGGTGCCTGTAGCAATAAACTTGCCTGGAAAACAAGCCTCTTTTGACGTCTATCAGGAAGGGGGAATTCAATCTTACGATCCAGTCTCCCAGGACGTAAGAGAGCAGGATCTAGAGTGTCTGCCCTGTTGGTAGCCATAATGACCTTGACATTCACGGTCTGGTCAAATCCATCCATCTACATAATTCAACACAACAAGTTAAGGACACAACTAAAATCAATTATTCTACAGCATAAGATCTGAGTTCAAACATCCTAGCAGTATAGCATAATATCAAGATACACTTATTTGTTTCCTGTTATCACCTGATTAAGAAGTTCCATGAGAATACGCTGAACTTCCCTATCAGCTCCTGTTTGAGCATCAAACCTAGCCGTAGCTATGGCATCTACCTCATCAATGAAGATGATAGCTGGAGCATTTTCCTTGGCAAGACGGAAGACATCACGAACCATACGAGGTCCCTGCAATTGAAAGTTCAGTTAGGCACCAGACAGAGTCGCCTCATAGGACCTTAAACATTGAAGAAAGCTGTAATTTTTAATACCTCGCCAAGGTACTTTTGCACAAACTCAGAACCAACAACCCTAATGAAGGCAGCGGTTGTGTGATTGGCAACAGCCTTAGCCAACATAGTCTTTCCAGTACCAGGGGGTCCATAGAGCAAGACACCGCGTGGTGGGTCGATACCAATCTGTTTGTAAAGCTCGTGGTGGGTAAGTGGCAATTCAACAGCTTCACGAATTTCCTGTTTCTGAATGTCGCATCCTCCAATATCCTGCACAAAAGCACGAAGCACCACGTAAGAACCAAGGATCGTTTTAAAAACCCTAACTTTAATTTTGAAAACAGGGCTGAGATTTGAATGAAAACGAAAAGAGGAAACTTTACATTGTAGGAGACATCAGGCTTCTCAGATTGGCTGAGAAGGGAGATACTAGAGTCAGCCTCGGGGGGCAATACATCAACAAGGGCGTTGGAGTGACGGTGGAGAGCGACGGAAGCAGAAGGCTTGAGAAGTTCTCTGTTAATTGTGCTGAGAATTCTGACATAGTAATTGGAGCCAGTAGTAGATCCGACGATACCGTTGTTCTGATCTACCATCTCCATAAACTGACCAATCACGAGAGGGACGGATTGAATACGTTTGACCTCCTCTTGAGCCCGTAACAGCTCTCGTTTGAGATTCTTTTGCTCGTCTTTCACATATTCCTCTTGGATATCGGTGAACTCTAGTTGCCGTTCAAGCGATTTCAGGCGGCCATAGAGATCTTCTTCATCGGCCGTAGACAGATCCATCAAGGCTGGAGATGCTTTAGGGTCAAGAACCATCGACGCAACAGCCGCAGAAGCCATTCTCGGAGAGATCTTTGTTTGGAGTAGAGGAAAAGAAAAGTGAGATTGCGAAGAAAATAAAAAAAAAACTATTGTGAACCGACTCATCCAAAACCTTTGATGATGGCCTGTTTTATAAAGGAAAATATTTGAAATGGGCTTTTTGTTACAAACTAAGGCCCAGTTTTAATATTGTAATAGCCCGTTTACTTTTTCCATTTTTAATTTGTTTATTTTAAATTCAACTAACAGAACTTTCCTTTTCGGGCCCTCCAAGCGAGAAAGGAAAAAAAAAGGTTTGTCAAAAAAAGAAAAGGAAATAGGAAGCGCAATACTTCTTCTGGAAAAGTGGAATATAAACGCCACTCGCCAAGATTCACTTAATTATTGACTGAGTTAGTCTAAATACTAGTATCAGATATATTAATTTCGGAACCAAAGACGATCATCAGACATACTCCAGTTCTACTTTCAAATCCAAAAACCAAAACTTACATTGGTTAATAAGCTTAAAATATGCCATAAGTATTAACCCACCCACAACCAAAATGTGAATTAACGCCAATATATGGGACCTGTAGACAAAACAAGGCTCTCTTATGCTTTCCTCTTCCTTAGTAACCTTGAGGACAATCTCTTAGTGGCTCTTGAGCTGTCTCCCTCATCTCCTGATTCTTCAACATCCTTATCTTCTTCTTCACTTTGCCTCGCTCTGACTCTCTTTTCCTTGCTTGTAAGATTAGCACTCTCATTTCCTCTGAACACGTAGATCTGCAATAAAACAAGCACAGATTTATCAACAACTTATGAGAATGTCCAACCACAAGACTCCTGGTTTAACACGCACTCATACATACCTTGAACCTCTTTGGTTCAACCAATTCGAAGAGTAGAGCATCACCATCGTCCAATTTATGATCAAGCGCAAACCTTTTCCAACCACCACTGAGTCCAGTTCTTTTCCCAATGTAAACTGCTTCATACTCTTCACCTTCTTCATCCTCTAGTACTACTTCTATAGTTTCCTCAGAAAAATTGTCCACACAGAATCCTGAAGGAAGCCCCTTTGATATTGCAAACAAACCCATGTAGGTCAAAAGGGTCAATACGAAAATCCTAGAAAACCCAAACACAAGTGTAGTGAAGTACCGTACCAGCCAAAAGCAACTGTAAACGTGGGAGCGAAGCATAGATTTCACAAAGGAAGGATGTGGAGATTCAAGGCGGCTCTGGAACTCCTCTGCAGCCTTGAGTGCTCCAACCTTTTCTTCGTAAGAAGCAAACTTGCATTCATGTTTAGGGCGTGCAATGTAGCTGATAAATTTCAATTATTTTAAAAAGTTGGATCAGATTAAAGGAGAGATTTTTTTAAAACAAAATTGTTCAGCAGGACATTTTACCTATCCCATGACGAGTTACGCCGCGACCTCCTCAGATTCAAAGTAGGACCAGTGTCTACATCAACCTGCAAAGAGAGAGAGAGAGAGAGAGAGAGAGAGAGAGAGAGAGAGAGAGGGAACTAGGGTGATTGATTGCTGTGAAAGACGACTACGAAATCAAGAGAAAGCTGAGAAAATTACATCATCACGATATGAAGAAATTGGGGTGCGAACACGGGAAGAGCGTCTTGGTTCAGCAGTAGCAAAGAGGGCTTTATCGATGGGTCTGGGATTACGCTGCTGAGTAAGCTGAATGTGAGGCAAAGCTGTGAAATTGAACAGTAGAAATGGAGAAGAAGAAAAAAAGGAGACCTGAAGGGTCTTCTTAGGAATCTGAGTCAATAGTGCCTTAGAAATCTGGGAAATTCCTAGATCCTGTGATTCAATAGTCAAGAACGAATCAGAGAAGGAGGAGAAGAAGAAAACGAGGCAACGATGAAAGGGAAAAACCTGAAATCTCTTGAGATTCTCTTGAAGACGGAGCTTGCGAGCTTCCTCATAGGCCATGGCGGAGTAGAAAGAAAGAAACTGGCGCTTCGTTTGAAATTAGAAATTATAGAATTAGTGATTTCTTTAAATTTAATTATTTTAGTTAAGCCTTTCTGGGGTTCGTTTAACATCCAACTCCACAAAAACTCGTGTCAAATAAATCATTCACCATTATTATTCCCTTTGTCTCGTGTTCGTTCTTTGGGAACCTATCTGCTAATAACCATACAAAATCAATTGAGATATAAATATAAATTTTACACATTTGCCTCTCTGGGATACTAGTCCAATTTCACAGCCGCATCAAGCATATCCACACTGCTGTTTTGTTGTGTCCAAAGCTGAGCATATCTTCCAGCCTTTCCCAGCAGCACATCGTGGGGGCCCTGCTCCACCACCTTCCCGTTTTCCAGTACTACTATCTGCTTATACCAACAAGTCTCAGTTACGCAACTACATTGTTTCTTTGACTTATGAGATAAGTTGCCAACACTATTTACTACTAACCTCGTCACACTGCATCGCAGTAGTCAGCCTGTGGGCAATGAAGATTGATGTCCTGTTAGTCGCCAGTGCCTTGAGTGCGTTCAGTATCTCTGCCTCTGTTGTGCTATCCAGTGCACTTGTTGCCTCATCACACAACCTGTCATTGAAACACCAACCATCTCTAATCTCATCTCAAATTTCTTATGTGTCAGGATTCAACACCTACTTAATTATATACGCAAAGTCAATGCTCATCTGTGCAAAATTACTTACAGAATCGCAGGAGATTTCAGAAATGCCCGTGCAAGTGCCACTCTTTGTTTCTCTCCACCACTCAACTGCCCACAACATCAATCCATCGTTATCACGACCAATAAAAACCCCTTAAAAATATGACTCTACTCAAACTCTGGATGGTCACTCTATCAGCTACTCGTTTCTTTCTCATGCTTGTTACAGTTGTGTCAAAGTAGTTAATTAAATCATATTGAACTTTGACTTGGAGTCTTATTGACTCTAGCATGTTTTACATTAATGATAACCATGGAAAAAAAATGACGGGGAACTATCCTCATAACTAAATCATGCAAACTTAGACTTTCACTGGAATCATAAGGCATCTACTGATCTATCTAAAACTTTCCAAATATAACATCAAAACACTGACCTTGAGCCCCCTTTCCCCAACGATTGTGGAATATTTATCAGGGAAATTGCTGATCGTTTCATGAATTGCAGCACGACGAGCAGCCTCATACACCTGGATCGACATGTGTGATAGATCAGGATCATTGATATTAAACTTTATCCCTTCACTGAGTATAATATAGCTGGTACCTCTTCTTCTGTAGCTGAAAGACGTCCATAATGTATGTTATGAAATATTGTATCATTAAAGAGCACCTGCAGAGTAATAAAAGTTACCCCTGAGAATAACAAAACTTAAAGCGTTCTACATCAATAGAAAGCTAATACAGAAAAAAAGGGAAGAAACATGGAAAAACAATCTCATGTCTTGTATGAACATAGAGGTTACAATGAGCAGAAAGGTGCGAAAACAATGAATGGAGGTCATAGTACTGTATAAAAAGAAAAGCATACGATGAGAAGTAGAGAAAGACAGAGTAGATATACTGAATGCCAACTTACAGTATCTTGCGGCACAACTCCTATGGAGCTTCGGAGGCTATCTAGTCTCACTTCCTTTATATCTTGCCCGTCAATCTTTACCTGTTAACCAATATGAAAATGATGTTATCAAGACAAGCCTTTTCTTCAGCGAATTTCCCTGCAGCAGGGTTTACTTTTGTTGCAACAATGCTTCCAAACAATCCCCATACTTTACTAACAAAAAACAAATGCTTACATTTCCAGAATCTGTGTCAAAGAATCTGAATAACATTCTAAGAATTGTTGACTTGCCTGTCATTGAAAAAACCATAAGCTTTGCAACTGTATAACAAATTAATAAACTTTAACTTAGATGCTTAAACAGATGAGGTTTAGGAATTACCGCTCCCACTAGTACCAACAATTGCCACACTTTTTCCTGCCGGTACAAGGAAGGAAATTCCATCTAAAATTTTCCTCTCGGGAAGGTAACTGTAATCGTAGAAAAAAAAAGAATGATGATGTGGCAATAGACCAAAAATATTAACTCCCTCTTGTCTTCAACCACAACATAATGCTGATAGCCAAATAATGCAATATATCCTATAATTTGCCACTTTGATTAGCTCTCTTATATGTAGAAGTTGTTCCCGTATTGGTTGGTGATATTGGTTGTGTGTCTGATGGTTGGGTAACTAGTATACTGTGTATATGATTGATGCTCCCAAAAAGCTAACTTGCTAGAGTCGGTCAATCCTGGGCACACAGGATTAATACAGCTAGTAGTATATTAGGTTGCTATTGGTTGTCAGGATTGGGTCATGAGGAAGTACTTATATTAACAAAGACTTCACACCTATCATCACAAATAAATTTTGAGATTCTCGTATTCATATTAATCTGAACACACTTTCAGGCCGAAGATTAGCATGGCACTTACGACTAGTATTACAGTAATATTCCACAAAAACAACACCTACCTGAAGTGTACATTTTCAAACTGAATGCTTCCACCTTTTAGTACAAGAGGCTTTGCGTCATGTATATTTGTGATGTCAGATTTCTCCTGAAGCAGTAAGGGAAAAGAAAATTATCAATAAAAACATCCCAGAAGTCCATGCAAAAATCATGCATTTAAATATTACGTCTTGATTGAAGCATTATCATTAAAAAAGGGTGTTTATTAACCAAAAGTAGAGTATAAGTAACAAATATAGCATCCTCAAATACCTCTAGCAACTGGAACATTGATTTCATGTCCACAAGGCTTTGAATGGTTTCACGGTAAACACTACCCAAAAAGTTTAGAGGAAGAGATAACTGAAAGAGAAGTCCATTCACCATAACCTGCATCACCCATACATACAAAAGCTTATTAGAAAACAGTCTTCATAGAAAAATGCAGAGAAACATAAAAACCAACAGAAAGGAAAAAACAAAGGAAGCACCGACCAAGTCACCGACTGTCATCTGGCCATTCATGATACCCTGAGAGCACAACACCATTGCTGTTGACAGAGCAGTGCTAAATATGATACTTTGTCCAAAGTTTAAGAAAGCAAGACTTCTTTGAGTTTGTAATGCAGCATCTTCATATTCTGGTACAAGCAGGAGAATCATCAGATAATAAATCAAGGTAAATGGACTGAGAAAATACATATTATGAAGCACAATCAATCCGCTTTCTTCCTAGCCAGAAGAACGTCTAAATAACGAAGTGAAACAGTCATCAGTGATTTTTTTACCTGAATTTTTTTTCTTGTTGCTATTGCTAGTATTCTTGCTAAAATTAAAAATTAGATAAACTTGTTTTCCATGCTAAACAGCTTGTAGAGTTACTTACTTTTCAGGAACTGGTCATACTTTTCAGCCTCATAACCTTCATTGTTAAAATATTTAACTGTCTGAAATGAAACAGAAATTCTGTCAACACTGCAATTCAACCAAAGAGAGAAGAATTGAAATTTTACCTCATAATTTATCAGAGAATCAATAGCCCTTGTGCTAGCATCATTATCAGCTTTGTTCATAGCCTTTCTAAACTTGGTTCGCCACTGAATAAAGAAAAGAAATGTGAGCAAAGCATGTGACACTAAAACAAAAGTGTAACAAGAAAATGAAAGACGAAGAGAATGTACAAAGACAATCATCTTTCTACACGACTTCACACCTATCATCCCAACTATAAATGTATTCAAGCTGATGCAAAGAGTTGATACAATGGAGATAAGAGAAGGTTCAGAACGAGTTCAAGCCCACTGTACAATAGTGTCGTAAGCAAATTATAACAGTCAGTGCTGGGTTACGCAAGTATTGCATCATAGTTGGCATGAAAAAGAGTATACTAAAGAATGCACAGTACCTGTGTCACAGCTAACGTGAAAGCGATATATGATCCAACAGAAAGAGAGGTGATCCAGGCAAAGGCAGCTCCGAACTTGTATGCTAATATACCTGATACCATAGATATCTGGAAGATACATATTAATTACGTCAACTGTTTTTAGAGACGAAGGAGTATCAAACCCCAACTGGAAAGAAACGGTGATGAAAACCCAATTTGGATGAGCAACTATCAATTAGTCAAAATGAGAAAACTCCATGATCATATGATAAAACATCAAGCGGTCAAACAAGATTTACCTCCAAAATGGTAGGAACAACGTTGAAAACCATAGCTGAGAGGATAAAGTTTATTGCACGGCTACCACGATCAATAATTCTGTTCAAAGCACCTGTTTCTCGACTGGACAAGAACAACTAAGTAAGAAAGTTCTGTTTAGATGAAACTAAGAAGGAGTGAGTGAAATTACTCGCAAGAACAAGAGGAGGAGAGAGATGGATACCTAAGGTGGTAACGAAGGTCAAGATCATGTAAATGTGAGAACACCTGCAAAGGCATCATGTGGACATGATTGATAAATATGGAAAGTACACCATTAAATATATATCTGGACATAAGATGGTTAGGGCAGCAACATACCTTTCTAGAAACTGATCGAATTGTGCGAAGAGCTACCTTGGAAAACACAGCAGTACGAAGTTCTGCGATGATAAAAGTAGTAAGATCAAGAGTGAAATGTGCTTTCTTTTCGTCTCTGTTTTTTATTTTTAAAAAGCAATAGAGAGTTACCATTAAAAGCAGAAGAACCCGTCCGAGCAATTCCGTATCCAATAAGGACGGCAGCAGGAGTACCAAAAGCAGTAACAAGGGAAGGGTTTGCAGCGGCGAAGGTGGTGAGAGAAGCGCCGGTTCCGGTAGATGAACCAAGCCAATCAACTGCCAATTTGAAGAGGAAAGGGACCTGGACATTCAAGACCTTAGCACCCACGAGAAAACCCAAAGCAGCGATGACCCTGAAGCGGAATTCTGGGTTGTCTCTCATCCACAAATAGCCAGCAAGCGTGCGGAGAATCTTCATGTCAGCCATTGCTGACTCTGAGTCCGGCTTGGCCGGTTTGATTTCCTTAGACTTGGTGTCGGCTTGGTCGGGGTTAGGAGTAGAAGTCGAGAACAGACGCCCATTGAGCATTGAACTCCGTTGAACAAAACGAATCGGGGATGGGGATGGGGAGGGATCTGTGAGGAAGGCATTGATAGTGGGAGATGTTTGAATTGAGTTACGTCTGATGAAACTGGAGAAACCATTTTTATGAAGAGGATAACCAGAGCGAAGACGGTATGACAAAGCTGGGATTTTGGGTTGAGGGTGAAGATAAGAGCGACAGAGTAAGAGCCCTGGAGCCCTAACCAGCCGAGATCCTCTCGACATCCCTTCTTTCTTGTCTGAACTGTTTCTGGCTCCGGCGATGACTCTAATCTCGCTCCCAAGCTAGCTACTATGTCACGACGTTCCGACGGTGTTTAATGGGCCTAAACTATAAAGCCTATATTATTTAAGACACAAAGCCTATTAATTTTGAAGCCCATTCGTGTCTATCCCCTTGTCAAATGAGTCGTCGTTTCTCCACCATTCTTTCATCATCATCGTCGTCAAGCAATGGTTATTATGAGCTACTTCCACAAGACGTCATTGTTAGTGAAGAAATGGGAAGCCGTGCGGTGTGTATACAACGTGTGGCACCACCGTGCTTTGAAGCATCGCAAGTGAAGAAGATCAAAACAGTTAGTCCCTCTTTTGTGAATACTAGGAGTAAGAGAAGAAGAAGCAATGGCGTGAGATGTAGTAGCATAGTTGACTACATCGGAGGTGACCTGGTGAAGCCGGACATTGGTCGTTGGCTTCAAGACGTTGAAGAGCACAAGGCAATCGCCATTTACACTCCTCATGAGGGTGGCTACGAAGGTCGCTATCTTAACCGTCTCAAAATGCAAGGCTACTACTTTCTTGACATCTCTGCTCGGGGCCTTGGTGACCCTGAGACTACCCTCCTCAAGAACTACCCTGTTTGTCCTGTATGTCTCGTTACATCAATCTTATCCATTAATCTTGTTTCTATCAAAATTTTGTGTGAACCAAAGTCTCTTCTCTTCTTCTAGGCTCACCTTGGGAAACAACCAATAGCAAGGTGGTATTATCCACCAGAAGTTGATTACAGGCTCTCTGCTCTTCCCCCTAGTGCCAAGGGTCTTGTCGTATGGGTCCTCGAAGCAAAGGTTTGTGTGTTTTTTTCATTTGATATATCTCAGACATTGCTGCATCTCATCCTTCCACTTATATCTTATCAACAACTCAGGTTCTCTCCAAGGCTGAACTCCAATTTCTCGCTTTGCTTCCCTCTCTCCGTCCTAATGTCAGAGTTATTGCTGAATGTGGCAACTGGTGAGCATTTCATTCTTTTTCATATGATGATCACATTATCTATTTTTGCACTTTGCATGACCATTACCCATCCCCCTGCAGGAGAAAGTTTGTGTGGAGGCCTCTAGCAGAAATTGCAAATCTACCTGCACAAGAATAACTTACTGGCACCAATGGAGCTTAGTGTGTATAGTTTTTCATGAATACATATCCTGCAAGTGTAGCAAACTCATCACGTTTTAAAATATGAAAATTGTGCTTGGTACTTTGTAATATATAGAACCTTTTGATTCCCGTGGTGTAGTTGTGGAAAATTTCTGACTTTGCTTTGTCACAAAAGAAACAACTTAGATACAGAGCAATCAAGAGATAAAACTCAGAATACACTTGATTGATCAGAAAGACAGAAACATGTGTAACTTTAATCAATTCCAGTCACTAACAGTCTAGTAGACACAACGAGTTACATCATGTTCGAGTCCACAAAAATCCTTCTGAAGTCCGAAAGTTTCAGATCTTTTGCAAAGTTCTTCAGTGGACAGGAGTAGGCATAAGACCCACCTGTTCGGAGACAACTTAATACGTAGAGCTTAGACTTAAATTCTTGCAAATATACTCGTGAGCAATCTACGTATAGGTCACCATTGATGGAGCTCCATGTGAAGCTGCTTTCTGTTGTCAAGTTCTATGCTTAACCTTGAGTCAGTGGCATATATCAAGCAGGCAACTTTAAAGTAAGAGCTACATTACGAAATATATAGACTTGGATAATAAGCTCAGTAGTACAAAATTTTAAAGCACTAAGACAAAGCTGGATTGGAGAATGCAAAACAAGACACAAGGCAAAGTTCTATACTACAGATTCTTGGGTAACTTTATGCAAGAAAGTATCCCACCATCCAGGTTCATACTTGGGGTATGGCGCCACCCAATTTTTAGGCTTATCGAACTCAAGAGTGGTAGGATTGGAGGCCAAAGCTTCATCAAGAGAGGTAGCTTCAAAGGAATCATACAGAACACGGTCCAACCTTAACTTCATGAACCTGCCATGAAAACAAAGCAAACAAAAACAACAATGTGTGTGTTAAAAAGGAACGTAATTTTGTACAAAGAGAGAATTTGGGATAAGGGTTCTAACGTGATCCAGGGGCCATTGGTGGAAACAAGAGCAACTGCAGGACGACGGAGCCTTTGAGTAATTTTGGGGAAATTGTCAAGGAATTTAGGCTCAATCACAAGCCAGAAGTCTTGCTCTATTTCACGCTCACCGTAGTAACGGAGACGTTCGAACAATTGCTCCTGAAAGTGTTCCTCTTCATCAAGCATGAATTTGGCATTTGCAACTAAAAAGTGGTACTTGGTGCTCTCTCCCTGCAATCATCCAGAAAACGTAAGCTCTTTGGTTTGGTTTGAATTGGTTAGTCGAGTGGAGAAGATAGAGAGGGAAAGAAAAGAGCAACCTTTTTATCAGACTGTTGTTCAACGGAAGTAGCAGCGCTCTTGAAAGAGGAGGAGAAATGCGATGTTAGAAGCAGAGGCGGCGGAGAGAGATGGAGTTTCTTCGTCTGCTTGGGAAAGGAAGAGGAGACGAGAAAGGGTTTCGGACGACAGGCTGCGGCGGTTGGCGGCACCGCCACAGTCAATGCTCCGGTGACGCTCCACATTGCTGAATTGAGGCTTTGATCGAGGCAGAATCTGTAAAAATCTTATCTTTTTTGCCGGGCGTAATCCATTATTATCATCACTCTCTCTCTCTCTCAACTCAATTTTTAATTGATTTAATAAATTATTGGGCTTTATGATTTCAATAGATGTCAGTAAAGGACCAATGGGCCTATTCAAGCCCATAAGAAAGAAAAGGGAAAGGTGTTTACAGTGACCATGCGACGGAGGCGGAGCTGAGATGCTGAAGCTGCAAGTAACCGGGAAGACGATCTTGTCCAGTATTCGTTGTCGGAGAAAGGCAAGTTCTTACACGATTCACCACTTTGGCTCTACTTTACAAGTTTGGAAGATTTATTTTGGGTGTTTGAATTGATGCAGATGTCTACTTGTTCGTCGTACACATTTGGACCTTACAAAATCGATCCGCGTGAAGTGTTCTACGCAACACCTCTCTCTTACGCCATGGTTAATCTCCGTCCGCTTCTTCCTGGTATGCCTCATTCCTTCTTCAATCATTCATCTGCATCTCTTCTTCTTCGTTCGTTCTTCTTACACTTGATTTCTCACCTACTTTTTTGCAGGTCATATCCTTTTTCACCCTCTATAACTATTTGGTTTTGTTGTGTAAAATTGAGTTCCTTTGTATGACTTTAACCACACGAGCACATGTTCTTGTCTGCCCGATACGCCTTGTGCCGCGCTTTACTGATCTCACAGCTGATGAGACCAGTGATCTCTGGCTTACTGCTCAGAAGGTTGGCTCTAAGCTTGAGACCTTCCATAATGCATCTTCTCTCACATTAGCAATCCAAGTAAACATCTCTTTTTTCTCTGTCCCTTTCCAATTTTTTGGTGTGTGTACCTGAATCTTTGAGGATCGGAATTGAAATGATTGCTCTAAAACCTTCAGGATGGCCCTCAGGCGGGACAGAGTGTTCCCCATGTGCACATTCACATCATGCCTCGTAAAGGTGGTGACTTTGAGAAGAATGATGAAATCTATGATGCTGTAAGTTGCTGCATTTTGAACACATTCCTAGCTCTTGTTTTATACAAATCTTATGGTGGTATTATGTTGTAGCTTGATGAGAAGGAGAAGGAACTGAAGCAGAAGCTTGATCTAGATATAGAACGGGTTGATAGGAGCATTCAGGAGATGGCTGACGAGGCTTCCAAATACAGATCTCTTTTCGATTGCTAGTTATCATTTATCAGTATCAAACCAAGCTATCCAGTAGCATTAATAAGATCATTGTGACAGGCATCTCTCAGTTTAAGGTTTGATGTCAGAGACTTAGATTCGAACTTGTAATCTCTACCTAATGCGACCCAATCTTGGGCATAAACTAGGCTATTCTGCTTGACATTTCTTAACGCCACTAGAATCAGCTCTTCATTTTTAAAGAAAAAACCCACTTGTTACCATCATCTCATGCCTCATTTTACAAAATGAACACTAAATACTTGAACTGATCAAAAGCACAGATGTATAAAATATTGTTCCATAAGATCAGTACGCTGTGGATACTAGACAATAAGCTAAGAAGCCTTTGATGGTTCTTCCCCTGGAGTGTCATCCTCGTCATGATAAATATTCTCAGCCATCTGCCATATTTGGAGTATGTTGTCTTCAGCAACACTGGCAATAACCCAATCTTCACATGGATTCCACGAGAAATCTGAGATTTTGCTAGTGTGACCACCGTGAATAAACAGCAGCTCAGGTGGGCCGTCCTCTGCATCCTCCACCGTCTGTTCCTCATCAATCCTGTCATAACACGCCCTCAAACGCATCAATATAGCTCCTACATGACGAAACATGAACATTTATAACTAAGCAACTAAGCATTGAGCCCAGACCTGCTAAGGTCCCAAACCATAAGCCTTCTACCGAGGCAACATGATGCTAAGATTGTCTCATTCTTCGGGTTCCAACCAACTTGGAAAACCTCCTCTCTGGTGATCAAAACAAATAATTTAGGTTAGCCTACTGCTTCTACTTGAGCTCTTAGAAACAAATATCCATCTCAAAGTTTATGGTGACCCGTTCTTACTTATGGCTATCAAATGTGTGAAGAGCGCTGCTTAGCTTCCGTAGATCGAATAGTTTGACAGTCTTATCAGTTGACCCTGTTGCCACAACCCACTCATTAAATGGGTTGAAGGCTAAACAGTTAACCTGAGGCATTTCAAACAATCCAACAATTACAAATACAGAGGAGGCCATACAATTCATAGGTTTTCTGTGTTTACGAAAATAAGCTCGTTAACCAAAACAACAGTTCAGTTGTATTACTAATGAGATAAGATAGAGGAACCAAACTAGCCTAATCCTCCTCATATATTTACATGTATTTAAAGCTAATATATTGTGAACGCACCTCCATCGAGTGAGCAACAACAGACTGTACTGGTTTACTAGCAGATGGAGAACGCAGATCCCATATAAGAAGGTATTGGTCATCTCCAACAGATCCAAACAGGTGTTCATGTCTCAGATGCCATGCGACATCTTCCACAACGCCTTCATGAGCCTTAACTTCAGAAAAATAAATCATCAACAAAGAAAACATAGGAGCCACTCATTATATCTGTCTATATGCTTCGGTGAAGTTTGACTGATTCTGGTAAGTAAGTGCAATTAATTGCATTGTAAATGATGCAAAACAAGAGTGCAAGACAGAGAGAAATCCAAGAATTACCTTAAAGATCTGCTGGGCGTCAAGAGCCCTGTTTTTAGGAGTAGCGTTAATATCCCACAAGCAGATCTGAGCATCATCAGAGCCGCTAAGCAAATGACCCTGCTTGAACTTACTCCAAGAGAGGCCATAGCCTTCAGAGCTGTGACCTCTGAGCCTTAAGTCAGGATTACAAGCCCCATCAAGTGGAGGCTTAGATGGATGCTTACTGTAATCGAAAACATACACCTCGGCATTAACTGTCTTGGTAGCAATTATGAAGGGATTTTGAGGCATGTAGCGAGCTCGATTGACCTCGCCTTCGTGATTAATTTGCTGGATAATTTGCACCTGCGCAAAGTAATCAACTTTTTTTTAAACTCATTTGAACCCTAAAATCTAGCATCTATCTGAAATTTTGAAGGTATGGAAAAAACAAAGTACCTTCCCGGTGGCGCAGCCGAAGCCGCCAAATTCAGAGCGGTCATCATCGTATTGACGAGCTTCGCTCTCGGTGTCGTCAAGGGGAAGCTGAACTTGGGCTAGCATCAAGTAATTGGGTTCGTTCTCGGAAGTGTGGGTACCGAGAATCATCTTCTGAACGGAGTAGTCTTTACCGGAAGGTTCCTCACGCTCGGGGAGCCATTCCACAGTGAGTGAAGGCCATTCTAGAGCGTGAGTGATGACGAGATCGTAGAGGAAAGGAGTGTTCTTCTTCCAGATCTTGTACTCTTCGTTGATTAGTCTCTCCTCGATCTCCCCTCTCATTTCCTCTTCATCTTTCCCCATCTCGGCGATGTCTTTGCTATTCCCGCCACAAGCACAAGACAAAACCCTAAAACAGATCTCTTTACAAAATGTTGTACGCAACTTCTCGCTTCTGCTTCTGTATGTATGTGTGTATATGTATAAATCAGATATAGAAGAAGATGAATAAAAATGGAAGGAAATCTAGAGAAAGGCCTTATTTTCAAAAAAGGCCCATTTAAGAAAAGGCCCAGTGTACATACTATCATCTTTACTTACACCAGTCAACAGAACGAGGATCGGTGAATCAAGAGAGAGACAAAAATAATAATGGCGATGGAGATCGGAGAAGATAAATGGAAGGTTTGCTGTGGAAGCTCCGATTTCGCGAAGCTGATGGTGAAAGCTTCTCCGTTTAGTTCATTAGAAACAGCGATTGATACGGCAAGAGACATCTGGTTCAACCAAGTTAATGTTACAGCTTGGCTTGAAGCTTTCTCTGCTCATCCTCAGATTGGGAATACTCCTTCACCTTCTGTCAACTCCGATTTTGCTCGTCGGAGCGAAGCAGAGCAGTCCACGGCATTTGCCACAACCTCTGCTTCTGCTTTACAGGTGATGGATCTTCATATCTCTAAATCATCTCTTCAGTAATTTCTTCTCTGATGATCAAATTGTTTTCAATTTCTTAGGAGCTTGCCGAGTGGAATGTACTCTACAAACGAAAGTTTGGCTTTATCTTTATTATTTTCGCCTCTGGTAGGACTCACACTGAGATGCTCCAGGCGTTAAAGGTCAACTTGGCATTTCCAAATCAGTTTTTCTCTGTGTTTGAGTTAATGAAACAGTTTCATATTCATCATATGGTCACCTTTTTTTAGGGAAGGTATGCAAATAGGCCGATAGTGGAGCTTGAGAATGCTGCTAAGGAACAAATGAAGATAACAGAGCTACGGATGGCAAAGCTTTTCTCCGATAAGGGCTCTCCCATTTCAACAATACCTCAAGGTATTTTGGAGATTTACCAAATCCATTTCTTGTCAAATTTTGTGTGCGTTTGAAACCTCTTAGGAGTCAGTATGATATCAAGTATGTGTCTGTTGGAATACAAGCACGTACCCGCATGGCTATGTTTGTTATCTGTGTGACCTTTTCTACTTTCTCGCTTTGAAAGATCGTCTGAGAATCATAGGAGGGCATTTGAATGTTGCAGCTGAAGTCAAAGCTCCCAAGAGAAGTAGGCCACCCATCACGACTCATGTCTTAGACGTCTCACGTGGTGCTCCAGCTGCAGGTGTTGAAGTGCACTTAGAAGTGTGGAGTGGTACTACCGGTCCTTCCCTTGGTCACGAAGGTGGTGGGGTCTGGTCCATTATGGGCACTTCAGCTACTGATAAAGATGGGCGCAGTGGACCACTGATGGATTTGGTTGAGGCTTTGAAACCAGGGACATATCGAATAAGCTTCAACACTGCAAAGTATTGCCCAGGCTGCTTCTTTCCCTATGTTTCGATTGTTTTTCAAGTTACAGAATCTCAGAAATGGGAGCATTTCCATGTACCACTGTTGCTTTCACCATTTTCTTTCACCACATACCGTGGTAGCTAGAGCTTAAAGCTACTACTGCTGTATGCTACACCCAGTTTCCAACACATTTGGTATTGTTTGTACCACTGCTGGAACAAGTATTAAAATTGCTATAAAATAAACTATTTATTAGAAGTATTTTCTTTGGATTTGTAATTATATAGAACAAACAATGAATTAGCAAAATTATGAATTTTGATGTAGACTCAATTGTGAGCAGGACAATAAATAGTATATATTACCATGTTAGAAATCTTGGGAAATTCTAAACCTTTGTACAAATGGTCCATCACAAAACTAGCTTCTAAAAATGTTTGCAAACTCTTTCGCAAACGACATTATGTTGCTCCATGCACTTGACCTCTCTTTCACCTTGCCGCCAGCTTCTGTCACTGAAACTTGTCTGTAAATACAAAAGATATAAGAACTCAAACTGAAGTTGTGCCAATTTGATAAATTTGAATTGTCATATTTCCATCAATAAACTAAATTATCCTAATCTAAGGATCCGACCAGCTGAGAGACCTAGTCGTATGCACAAAATACCTGGTCTCCGTAGGCACAAAATCTGCTGAAACATCTCCTTCAAGATTGTCTGCTTTTGACTCTATATTACCTAACTGAGTCATGTTTCCCTCTTCCTCAGTCTCCGAGTTTTTTAAACATTCCTCTACTTCTATTCTCTGACATGTTTCTGTTTCTCTTTTGTCATCTGTTGCAGTATTGACAAGGTTGTTGCCCTGGAGATTACTTTCTCCATCAGAATCAGAGTGAGAAGAATCTATTATATCCTGCCTCAGCTCACTTACTGTCTCAATATCCAGACTACCAGCCTGTAAAACAGAAACAAGGATAACTAAGCCAAGTGATAAAGGAAATTAAAGTGGTCAACCAAAGCAAGATATTTTTACTTGAAACTCAGGTGCAACAACCACAGGAGAGAAGTGTGAGGAAGCATCATCTGGTGTAGAATGAGAGACTTCTGAGAGTGTTGTGCCTCCGATTGGCACAGGTGCTTTTGTCTTGAGTTTCATCAGCTCTTGAAAGATTTCCCTGACAATGTAATAAGAGCCTCCCACTTCCTTGTAAGTAGCATACATTGTAGGGAATCTACCAGCATTAGCAGCTCTGTATCTGCGTACAAACAGTACGTATGTACAGGAATTTGGGAATCAGATACCTCAGCTGCAGATATTGCTATCTAGTTGACATGTGAATCATTTACAGAATATGGAACAGTGATTCGTGGAGAAGGACTTACTCGTTCACATAAGCCTCCACCAAGACTCGACGATCCTCTCTTGACAGTCTTTTGGGAACCTTAGAGGTTGTTAAAGATTCGCAAACAGCAGGAGAGCCATAGAACCTTGCAAGCTGTTTAACATCTGTCCTGAAAACAGTATGTCTGCGTGCAACAGACACTGCAAAAAGACATCGAAGGTGGAAAAACATTCAGCATCAAATTTCGGACATTGGAAGGAAACATGATTAAAGAGGGTTTAGCTTTATTACAGGTAAGTTGTTTCAGCTGCTTCAGAAGCATCACTGCACTCGAGGGTATACTACTTGTACTTCAGTGCAATCACCTCCACGGAACAATTCCATAACTAGTTTTTGTTACCTAAATATCACAATAAACGGCGATTCGGATTATTAGTAAGGTTTCTACCAACGCCATTTTCTTTAACTAATTCTGAAGTTAGATTAGACATAAACCTTCGGAAAGGGATAATAAGAAACTTACGTTCAGTAAGGAACCTGTCGGTGCTATATATTGGTCGGAAAATCGAGAATCGGAGTTTGAGAGAGACGCGAAAACCACGGCGCAGACCGGAGAGCGTGAACGAGGAGCAAGTAGGGTTCGTTTCCGTTTGTTCTTCTTCCCTATTTCTTCCGTCACATTTCGTAAATGTATTTTATTTCTAATCTGCAATTAAGCTTACTTGAAATTGGGCTAACTCTAGTGGGCTGGCTGGATAAAGGACTTGTTCTCCAAGACAATTTAAATCACAATATTGACCGGAAGTATTTTGATAAATTTCAAAACTGATAATTTGATTGTCTAGTAAAGTAGTAACCCAAATATTAGATGAACGTGACAAGGGATGAGACTTGAGAGGCGTAATACATCTACACCCTTATAGCCTGGCTTAGTGTGTAGATCAGACCTCTTTTGGAAATTGGAAAGGCTAAGCCGCCGGATAAATGCACCGTTTGGGTTTCATCAAGTAGTAAAAGCTGAGGCGATGGTGAAGTAAGTGCATAGCAGATGCACCTCGACAAGAGATCTCAAATGATTCCCCAATATGCTTCAAAAACTTGTGAACTTAACCTGGAAGATTAACATGTCTCGATTTTGCAATGGTCATCATTCATTACCATGATGTTCAGTGCTTCAGACTTTTGTGGTGTCTCCCGAAGTAATACAGTTACTGTTAGATGTTTTGAAATTCCACACAACACACAACACTTACGTTCTATCCAGGTTTGTGATACTGTTATTGTTAGATGTTACGATAATAAGAAACTTACGTTCAGAAAGGACATATACTGGTAATGATACTGTTACTGTTATTGGTGATTAATAACATTGATAGTGAGAGTTAAACTTTTCATGGCTTGTCCTTGCATATTCATTACCAATATATATTATCTCCAGTCTAACGGCATGGAAACTGACTGACCAGCCCAAACTCAAATCAGTTTACATCCTCGAACAATGCCTTTTCCTCCACAATCATGGCAATACCTCTGTTAACTTGTACCCATGTTTCTGCTACTTTCTTGATTTTTCCATCAAAAATCTCCACCAGTGTGAAAGCTCTTGTTGTGCCACCATTCTCAGACTCATCTGCTCCTCTACAACTATTTCCCTCACAATTTTCCTCTGCCCCTTTAATCCTTGGAACTATTGCACCGTTCACATAAAGAATTTGGTTGTCACTATCTTGCACAACCATTTTCCGATTTCCTTTCCCTGATTGCAGCTCATTATGCATGTGTCCAAACACAACTAAAGGAATCGCTAACTTCGTTGTCTCCTTCAACTGGGATATTGCCTGCTCTAGATCTGAAAGTTTAAATGGGTTCTGTTATCAGAAAAAACTATCTTGTATTCCCGCATAGAGTTTGCATCTGTCACCAAACTAACTTCAGTGAGCATGGAAAAGGCCACTGATGCCAAATTGATAAGATAGCAGCTTACTTCACCTGGATCACCATAGTCACCACCTTCCTCCACCCAATCTTTTCCACATATATCCTCTGCTTGAGAGCCAAGACCTGTAAGAACGATAAAGCACTACCTAATCGTTACAAGTTCAAACCTGACTGGCTTAAGACTAGACCAATAAGAAAGCTTTAAGGGGTTGATTCACCTGTTGGCCCATTATGAGCAAGAATGATCGCCACATGATCTTCTGGTGTTCCATGTGCAGCTCGACAAATACTCTCAGCACTGGCATCCATATCACGAACTCCATACCTAGAAGTGTTGAATGAATTGTACTTTAATGACTTGAATCCAGGGTGTTTAAAATTGATATCCCTAATCACTAGACTTGTATGTTTACAGACATCAACCCCACAAAGACAATATGTTCAAGTATAGAAAGGGATGCAGATTCATTAAACATAGAAAGATATAGGCAGCTCGTTTTCTTCTAAACCTAGATTCATTCCAAAGATTCTTGGAAAAAGAAAAAGCTCTTTTGACCAATAATATGGACATATGTGAAGATGCGTTTCTGCCACGTAAATGAAATGCAAACCTCTGGGCAAGCAGCTTTTTCCGAAACAATTGATCTCCCCCATGTGAAAAGGGTCGACCACCAACAATACTGAGCTTCAGTGAAGGGAAGTCCAAGCGCCGATATCCTACGTGCTCGTCCCCAAGGCTGTCGATTGCAGAGGTAAACAAAAGGAAGCACGGTAAAAGTTTTCGGCATCTGTGTCCAGTAAACCAAAACCAAAATCTACAAATAGTGGAAAACTCACATATCGAGTTGCATTTGAACACCGTTTTGTTTCCTGAAAGAAACACATAACACTCTATTAGAAATCAAAGCTAAATACAAAAAGTTTCAATAGACGGTTAATCAGAAAATAGGTTAGTTAATGGTAAAGACACCTTGAGAATTTTTGGGTGAACCAGGCATCGTGATTACCCAATATGACTGCTTTAGGAAAAGGAAGAGGGGCAACGCTCTGCACAAGTGAGACGTTTTCCTCACCAAAATCACCTAAATTAAATAGAAAATTTCTGAATTTAAGCAAAAACCATAGGAGGGTAGTATGAAGAAGAGTAGATAGATTCGGAAAGAAGTCAATTTGTCGACAGAACAGAGAAGCTGCCTGTGAAGAGCACCAAATCCGGCTGCCAATTAAGTTCAGATAGAGGATTTAGGGTTCATAAGCCACGGGGACGTGAAAATGTTAAAGGGAAAGGGTTAAGAAAGATGAAAGAAATCAAAAGGACCTGTAATAGTTGAAGAGCCTTTTGATCTTCAGCTAGATTCCAGAAGCCATGCTTTAACAGAAGAAGAAAAAGATAAGACAAAATAGCAAGACGAACTAAAGCTTGAGAGAGAGAGAGACAGAGGGAGGAAATAACAATACGATGTCTCCGACAACAGCGATTCGCACAAGAGAAGAAGACGCCATTAGAGAGATCACCAGACTTATTATTAGAATTGAATTTCATGTATCGAAAGAAGCAAGGTGCATATAATATAGGCATGTTAAATAGGGTATTTTGGTCCGGCCCGGCCCTGTTTTATTTAAGGTTTGTCCTGAATGAACTCTAACTCTTTTTTAACCATGAAAAAGTTGTTTACGGTTAGGTCCTGTATAGCCCTTTAAAACCATTTAATTAGTATAATGTAATTTTTATTTTATTTTTGGCAGTAACTAATGTAATTTTCTAATCTATCACAATTAGTAAATCTTCGTAAAAATCTAATCCTCGATAATAATAAAAAAACCATTCAGTAACTAAAACGAGATTCAAACGTGATTTTGCATTTTTAGCGAGAGAACTTTTTTTTTTTTAGTTTATGGCGGGAAGACATAATTTTGTGGATTTGGCGGGAAAATGTGATTTTGCACTTTCGGCGAGAAAACGTGATTTTGCGATTTTAGTGGAAAAATCTGATTTTGCATTTTTGGGGGAAAATTTGGATTTTGCGTTTTTGACGGAAAAATGTGATTTTGCACTTTCGGTGAGAAAACATAATTTTGCAGTTTTAGCGGAAAATTTTGATTTTGCGTTTTTGACGGGAAAACGTGATTTTGCGGTTTTAACGAAAAACTTTTATTTTGCGTTTTTTGCGGAAAAATGTAATATTGTGTTTTTAGCGAAAAAAAACATGATTGATCCTAAAATTTCTTTAGTTATATAGTTAAGGTAATGACTTTTATTTATTTTGCCTGACCATAGCCGGTCCTTAATTTTTAGCCCTTTTTACATCCCTAATATAATATTTCTTTCTTTTTTGGTCATAATCTGAAAACGTCGCCGTTTCCACATAATGCTACAAAAATCATAATTGCTTACAAGCCTACAAGAAATTGGATTTTTTCTTTTTATCTTTCAACTTTTTTTTTAGTATACATGCACCCTCCCGAAAGGAAAAACATAGAACCCCAAATCCCAATTGCTTATTGTTACCAAAAAGAATGTTTACTATTACTGTATCAATCAGCTGTTAACTCTTCTTTCCCCCCCTCCTTTCCATCTTCTACTGTGACAACTTGAAGACGCTCTGATAGCTGCTCCACTGAGGTCTCTTCTTCCCCTGCTTCTTTTGTCGTTCCATCTTCTCCCATCTTTTGCATCTCTCTCTCATCATAGTAGCAAAAATCATCGAGGATCGATGTATGTGCCTCGTATTCTTTGAAGATTCTGAGCATCTCAATACCCTGACGTAGCTTCACCTGTTACAATTTATCAATCTTTACAGTCACTTCACCACAAACATAGAACCTAACACTTCTGACCAGACGCATATCAATTATGGCCTTATGGACCCAATACCAAGACAGCAGTGAATAAATGACCATAAGACAACACTTAGGAAGGCAACAAAAAAAGTAAGACCCACCTCCTGCGAATCTCGGCTGTGTGTCACCGGCTTGTTGTCATTGTTTTGCAAAAGAATATGACAAAATCGGTTATTCGGTACATCTTTCACAATATGCCATTTCACTGGGAACTGCCCACTCCACCTGTCTTGTTGCCAGTAACCAGCATCCTTTTCAAAATCAACAGGTCCGGCCATTTCGGACACCCCACAGAATTGTCCACTAGCATTTACCTGCAAGATTTTAAACTTTCATCAAGCTCAATGTTTACTTGAAGCAATGACAACTGTCTTCCATTTGCTATAAAAGCAACTTGTCAATTAGACTGGTTATTACCGGAAAATATATAGAGTATTACATCAACAGAAAAAAAGCCATACCGAAAAGAACAGAAAGATTGGACACTTTCCACCCATCTTCTCAGCATCCCGATAAGCAGTATCTAACTTTTTGTTGCCATGCGGTGTGCTGGCCCAGACATTGTACTTGATACTTCTGTGGACATTGTCTTCACTAAATGACTTGACAATAAAGAATTTGGCATTCTTATAATCTGTCACAAATTCTGGATGGTTGTACAAACTGGGATTTGGTCCAGCTGTACTTGAATCACTTGTTGAATCACCAGGAGTGGAGCAAGGTTTGGAGCTGTTCTTGCTCTTTACCCGGCTTGATGCCCGTGGTCCTCGATTACCATACAGATCATTGGTGGTAGATGCAGTGCCCTGCTCCTTCTCTCGCCTTTTACCAATGTCAGAAGTTAATCTGCCTCGATTATCAGCTCCATAGTACGAGGCAATAGAGCTAGGATTCTGGTAAGATCCTACATGATAATAGCCTCCCATAGATGAGCTTGAAGCAACTCCAGTCCCATGCAACGGTACCTGATAAAAGATGTCATCAGAATGTGATATGCCCTGTAAACTAATTTGAATTTAAGTACTATGCCAATGAGGCCTCCATTTTGCGAAACCATTAAAGGAAGAACGAACTAACGCTTGAATTATATATGAGAAAGTTTCATGGCTCTTCTAGGTTGTGTGTATAGTGTATATCCAAAATCTTTGCAGGTAAAAAAGGTAAAGAGACGGAATTTTAAAAAAGCTAGTGATAGTATCTATGTAGTTTTGTTCCTTGTAGAAAAATGTATACCAAACCAATCAAAAGAAAGGTTCTTCACATCAGCCCATAAAAGTTAAACATAAGAGGCAGTTAGAAAGAGTATTAACCTGTGAAGCATTATGGTCGTATGGACCAAGTATACCCATTGTCTGAGGATAAGGTATAGGGGAGGCTAAAGAGTTGTCCCCTTGGTTGCCGGTAAAATTGCCTCCAGCATATTGCCCAAAAGGAATCATATAAGCAGATGTTGGGTCAATATCTGAGGGAGTATATTGCATAGCTGAAGGCGCAGCAAAAGGTGGGTAGAAAGCTGGGGAGACTGGGATTTGGCCCTCCAACATTATAGATGGATAAGGGTTGAAGCCATAGCCAGGGTGGTACATAAGAGACGAATTGTCATTGTAGACAATCTGAGAATAAAGAGTAACCAAGTTAATCATGTAACTCGAAGAGGAAGATAGAAGAAGATAGAAAGAGGAAAAGTAATGCTAACCTGTGGCACATGCAGGCCTTCAGGGGTAGTAGCAGCATAACGTGGATATCCATCCCAACTGTTCATGTTTTGTGCATAACCTAGAGAAACACAACAATGCAGTTACAACTCAAAAAGGAGATTAGAGAGAGAGAGAAAGAGGAAGACAAATAGTACCAGTATTTGCAACATCCCAATCGTAATGATAGACATTGGTAGGGGTTTGAAGGACATTGAAATATGGAGCCGGAGCAGGAGGAGTAACGGAAGAAGAAGATACAATGTTCCTTCCATTATCGTGAGAAACCTGCTGGTGAAAAGGAACAACGCATTTTAACGTGTTTACAAAATGAATCAATATAGAAGAAGAAGAAGAAGAATTGAATTGAAATGAATTACCTGGGAGAGGCCATTATCCGCCATAACTGGTCGACCCCCTGCGCGAAGTCAACATATATCGTGAGAAGTAGAAGCATGGGAGAAAAACGGACATTAACGGCTCTATAATGCTCTAGGGTTTGGAGTAGTTCAATTGGGGGATTTTGTGAATTCGAAATCACAGAGAGAGAGATGCATAAAGAGGAAAAACGAGAGGGGGGGAGAAGAGTGTATACCAGAAGAAGAGACGATTCGGTTGCGCTGATTTGTGGAAGAGGAAGAGGAAGAAGAAGAAGCGGGATCCATTGGGAAGAGAAGAGAGAGAGAGAGATCTGAGTGAGAGGGATCGCAGAGGTTTTTTTTTGGTGAGATTGGGACTGTATTTTTATTGAAACCAAAAGACTCCTTCTAGTTTGTGGGTCCGTCGTCGTCGTCGTCGTCGTCGTCGTCTCAAGTTAACACATTGGAGGGGTTTGGGGTTGGGAGTTGCTTCCCTTTTAAAGCGGTTTGAGCCTTTTCGGTTTCTTCTATGTTCCCAATACAACTGTATGATTTTTTGCTTTTGGGATATATGTTCAATGTTTTCATGTTTTCCTTTTTTCTTTTCTCACACAACCTCTCCCCTAAGGAAAAAGAAAAATACAAAACTTTCAAAAGTCAAAACATTTTGTTAACCAATGCATGGATGGAATTAATTTCCCGAGATTCGATTCGTGATCCGTTACAAAATTTTTGAACGTTCAAAAAATTTTATATTCGAGAGACAAAATCTCTGAGTTGTTCTCTTTTCTTTTCTAACGTCTAATTCATTTATGGCGTTGAAATCTTATACAAAAGTTGATTCAATCACCGTTGAACGGACAAAGTATGCAATGCAAATACATATCGAAAATACATTGTAATGAACGATGAAAACACATGTTTCATCCAAACACCAAACACCATAAATCAAATTACCTACTTCATCTGTTTTCCTACCCAACGGACTCCACTAAATTACAAACGCTACTGTAAGTATACTTGGGTGTAATCCGTCGATGTCAGGCTGAACTCTTCATGATTATAAATTACTAAGCAAAAGGCTGTTCTGAATCACGAAAACAGAATCAATGAAGTCCCAGACTGGGACTCCCAGTGAGATTTTTACTATGAACTTAAAACATAGCCTAATCATCAGGAAGAAACAAAGTCACAGTTGGTGAGAGACCGATCTTGTTAATAGACAACCATGACATAGAAACTAGAAAGAAAAGAAGAAAAGAGAGCTTTGGAACAAGAGACAAAGTAGACGAGAGACAGAGTTTCAAAGCAGGGAGGTTATAGGAAACAGAGAAGAAGCTAAAGATAAAAGAAACAAGATAGAGAGCAGTTACTGGAGCAGAGAGGATACAAGACATATGAGACGAGTTATGATCGCTGGCGTAACTGGACTAAAGAAAACAAAACTGGAGGGTGAACACTGAAGTTTGAATCGAGTTGGTATTTATATACACAAGTAAGAGACTACGAGATGCTTTATCCAATACTCTGCTTATCTCCAAAATGTTCAGCTTCAATCTTTTGTCAAAAAATTGATTAAACTGTTTTAATTAGCTTTCTTTTTCAATCTCATATTGCACAAGTTGTAAAAACGTTATTTTTCTTTGAATATAATTTAACATTACATTCAAAAAAAAAAAAAATAAGTGGAGTAAAACATAGGATTTAGGGCACATAGTAATGCATTTAAAGGTGAAGAATGGGATGGAGTAGTTTATATCTTTTCTTATACGTCATGGAAGATTCATGCAATGAACGACATAAACGCGGTAAAGGGAGATAAAAATAGATCCTGTTTTAAACTTTAAATGGGTGTTTGAGCCATAAATGGGATGTCCAAGTTTCTTTCTTACTATTTATTAACTTTCTTTTCGTCATACTTTTTTCCCATTTTACGATCCCCTTCTTTCTTTAGCCCCAAGCTTCCATTTTCTTTCATCCTTTTTTTTTTTCACAATCTCAAACCCATACAAAGGGTATAGAAGCAACAGGAGGCAGAAAGAGGAAGGGGCATATGTTCTTGCTTTCACGTTGTGCGATTTCCTAATTAACCTCTCTTTCACATTTTCTTAGATTAATTTTTTTGTATCTCATAATGTTTTTTTTTCCTTTGTGCTACAAACAGGATCAATCAAACAGAGATGCTGAGGTTTATCATATTTTTTTCCCTTTTTATACACTCATGTGTTGGGGCACCCAAGACTCCTGCTGCTCCCGCGGCTGTTCCTGCCAAGAAATGGCTCACCCTTAACGGTAATTATCCTTTTACATTACACATGTTTTTTCTTTTTCTTTTTCTTGTGGTATGATATAGGAAGATGCTCGTATTACTGTTGTTTGTTTGTTTCTAAGAACTCATACCATGTATTTATTTGTCTTTCAGGACAAGAGCCTGCGGTTGTGGCCAGAGGCGGTTTCTCGGGTCTTTTCCCGGAGTCAAGCGCCCCTGCAAACGACATGGCTATCAGTACCAGCTCGCCTGGACTCACAATGTTGTGCAACCTTCAGATGACTAAGGACGGTGTGGGTCTTTGCTTGTCAGATATCAGACTTGACAACTCAACCACCATTTCTACGCTCTTCCCCAAAGCTCAGAAGACCTACAAGGTCAACGGTCAGGACCTCAAAGGCTGGTTTGTCATTGATTACGATGCCGATACCATCTTCTCTAATGTCTCTCGTACGTCTTCTTCTCTTTTCCTACCTTCAATGCTCTCCACCACCACACATTCTTATGTTTTTGTATTATTGAGCAGTCGTTCAGAACATCTTCTCTCGTCCCAGCATCTTCGACGGCCAAATGCCAGTGTCCGCCGTGGAGGACGTCCTCGGAACCAAGCCTCCCAAGTTCTGGTTGAGCGTTCAGGTACTTCTTTTTCTCTGTGAGCATATGATTAAGCACATAGGGAAGGTTCTTATTGATATATCAAAAAACAAACAAATGTGCAGTACGATGCCTTCTACATGGAACACAAGTTGAGCGCAGCGGATTACCTGAGAAGCTTGCGATTCCGCGGCATTAATGTCATCTCATCTCCGGAGATCGGTTTCTTAAAGAGCATAGGGATGGACGCAGGCAGGGCCAAGACAAAGCTCATATTCGAGTTCAAAGACCCCGAGGCAATTGAGCCCACCACCAACAAGAAGTACAGCGAGCTTCAACAGAACCTCGCAGCAATCAAGGCCTTTGCTTCAGGCGTTCTTGTCCCCAAAGACTACATTTGGCCTGTTGATTCTGCCAAGTACCTTAAGCCGGCCACCACCTTTGTGGCTGATGCCCACAAAGCCGGTCTAGAGGTCTATGCTTCTGGATTTGCCAATGACATGCGCACCAGCTTCAACTACAGCTTTGATCCCTCCGCAGAGTATCTACAGTTTGTGGACAATGGCCAGTTCTCTGTTGATGGCATCAGCACCGATTTCCCACCAACAGCATCACAAGCCATCGGTGAGATGACTTGCTATCTATCTTCATCATATATGCTTGTATCCTCACATATTTGATTATTAGGAAAAAGCTAACGCCTCATATGTTGCAGCTTGTTTTTCTCACCAAAAGAAAAATCTCCCAAAAGTAGGGCATGCGTTGGTTATAACTCACAATGGAGCAAGTGGAGACTATGCAGGCTGCACTGATCTGGCTTACGAGAAAGCAGTCAATGATGGAGCAGACGTGATCGACTGCTCTGTCCAGATGTCCAAAGACGGAATCGCTTTCTGCCATGATTCTGCAGACCTCACAGCAAGTACCACCGCCATGACTACTTTCATGTCCCGAGCCACCAGCGTTCCTGAGATCCAGCCTACCAACGGCATCTTCTCTTTTGATCTCACTTGGGCTGAGATTCAGTCCGTGAAGCGTAAGAAACTGGTTTCCTTTCTATATATATTCTGAAACTCTCTCATTCTCAATTAAAAATTACTGAGATTGGGGTTCTTTGTCTGCAGCACAAATCGAGAGCCCCTTCACTGCCACGGGATTCCTGAGAAACCCAGCAAACAAGAACGCCGGGAAGTTCATGACTCTGGCTGACTTTCTTGAGTTCAGCAAAGCAAAGGCAGTCGCAGGAGTTTTGATCAACATTGAGGCAAGACTTCTTTTAACTCTCAAATGCTCCTATATTTACTCAAGGCAGCTCCACTAACGCCTTGTTTGTTGACAGAATGCTGCTTATTTAGCCTCAAAGAAAGGCTTGGGAGTTGTAGACGCAGTTAAGTCGGCTCTGACCAATTCCACATTCGACAAGCAATCAACTCAGAAGGTTTTGATTCAGTCAGATGATAGTTCAGTCCTGGCAAGTTTTGAGGCTGTCCCTCCGTACACCAGAGTCTTGAGCATTGACAAAGAAATCGGAGGTGCTCCCAAGCCATCAGTCGATGAAATCAAGAAGCACGCAGATGCTGTCAATCTCAAGAGAACTTCCCTTGTCACCGTCTCCCAAAGCTTTGCCACTGGGAAAACTAATGTGGTGGAGGAAATGCACAAAGGGAATATCTCTGTTTACGTTTCCGTGCTAAGGAATGAGTACATCTCTGTAACATTCGACTACTTCTCTGACCCTACGGTTGAGCTTGCCACATTCATTGCAGGGAGTGGCGTTGATGGAGTCATCACGGAGTTCCCTGCCACCGCTACCAGATACTTAAGTAAGTTTAAACCTCTACAAGGTCATGAATGAACAATAGATACAGAACCAAGAAAACGATAACAAACCAATTATATTTGATGCAAATGCAGGGAGTCCATGCTCAGATTTAAACAAAGACCAACCCTATGCCATCTTACCAGCAGAAGCCGGGGCTCTACTCGCCGTGGCAGACAAGGAAGCACAACCACCGGCTAGTGCCCCGAGCCCACCTCTTGATGCCAAAGACGTGATTGATCCGCCTTTGCCTCCAGTTGTAAACTTGGCAGCCTCCAATGCAACTGGAGGTGCTCAGCCACATCCCCCTCCTCCTTCAGGCACTGTTGCCATCACTGCTAATCTCGGCCTTTCCTTGCTGGCAATGCTGGCCTTGGGAGTCCTCTGTGTTGCCTAAATTAAGATTGATGCAACAGTTTGTAATATGAAATCTTCTCGTTGAGACACTTATACTATATGTCATTTTATCTTACGTTACTACAATTACACACACATATACATATACACACACACATATGCACACTACGGTCAAAGCTCTAAAAAAGCCTTTCTTGTGAATATTGATTAGCTCACAAAAAAATTGAACTTTGACAATCTACCAATTTGAATTTTCTATTTTCTTGACTAACCTTCTCCACAACGCTTTTCTGCATCTTCTTCTCTCTCAAGATAGTGAAGCTGCAACAAAAAATCAAAGAAATAGAGATCAATACTCAAATTACCGTAGGTTTAAAATACAGTTGTGTTGAGTAATCGGTTCATATTTGAAATACACTTTTTCACTTGGGAAATTAAAAAGCATGATTCCAAAGTTTGAGGAGGTGAATGGGAACACCGAATAGGCGAAAACACACGAGGGAAAAAAATCACATTGCTTATTGAGATTGACCAAACATGTGGTATGATGATGTATCTATGTTTATTGTTTTCTAATTACAATATTTTATAGCCCTCCCTATTTTACAAGTTAGCTTTGCCGTTAAGAAGCTAAAATTATGTTGTCCTTAACATCTCACTTCCTCTGTTGTTCCATGGTCTAAGCCAGTTTTAAGCACGGCCTAACCTTCATAGATGCTTCTTCTCAAGGTCAGCCGAGTCCTGGACCATTTCCATCTACAAATGGACCAGCCAGTTATTCAAGGAGTGCTTCTTCCCTTCAGTCGTTCGCTCATTTCTTTTTCTAATCCACTTGTTTTTGTATCCTCCTTCTCGACTTCTTCATTCAAGGGCTTCTTGATTTCTTTATCCAATCCACCTGTTTTTGATTTCTCCTTTTCGGCAGCATTTTTCTTTGCTTCTGCCTCGAGCTGTTTTCCGTTTTCTTCGTGCGCACGATTGAACAGTCTTACAAAGTTTAGAAGAGTCGACACCACTGAAATTTACAACCGCTCACTAGAATCAGACAACTTTTGGAACACATGGTTTTACATAAAGCTACTGAAAAGGATTTCATACCTTGTTCAAAAGGGCACTTAGCAGGGTCTTCACCAAAGTACAGAATTAAGCCATCCACGTTTCTTCCCTGCAATACATTATTTATTTATTCTGACCAAGTTCTCAAACAAAGACAGAGCAGCGGGTAACAGTATCTATTGCACACTGGGATTCTGGGGACATACCACTCCCGAATATAGTGAAGCCAAGGACCTTACTTCTGCTTCTGCATAATGAAGGAACTCCTTCAATATCTGAGAAAATGTTTTAAACCTTGATAAATATGACATCAAAAAAGAAACAAATGAATCAATTTTCAACTCTCTAGTGTCAACACATGTTGTGTATGGTTCATTCCTTAGTACCCATATCGGTGCCCAATTAGTTGTTATAAAGAACATTTCACTTCACTAGCCACATAATTCAGAGATCACAACCCTACTGTCTACACTCATTGGGCTGCTTTTGTTTCTCTGGAGACTCAATTATTCTCCCAGTAATCGATATGTGTTTCTTACGAAGATTATTTTTTCCACATATTTTTTGTTCCCTTTGCGAAAGCCTTGATAGAGGCAACTAGCATAGATGACAGCGATACCTTGTTAAAATTATGTGAGATTGGGCCATCATTTTCGGACAAGGACAACTCCTGCACAACTTTCTCCAGTCCTTTGTTTATAGCTTGCATCTCTTCAGCCAAAAACTTAAGTTGAATCTGTATCAAACTTAAGAAAATTAACGCCGTTTCAAGTTTTCTTATTGATTTTTGCATAAACTGCACATGAAAATTTAAAACTAAGTACCTTTGTTGCCGGTTCCAATGAGGATAGCTCTTTTGTGAAATCTAAAACTTCTGGAATTTTCTCAGCAAGAATCTGTAAAAGATTCCATCAGACTATAATTTTCTCTCCATCTAGTAAATCCATAAATCTACAGAAGCGAAGACTTTAACAGCTACCTTGCATAGATAATGCATTAAAGTCATACGGTTGTTACGCGCCCTAGTTTCACTGAGTTTTGGAAGACTGTCCAATTTAAACCCAACAGCAGCACCTAGGCAAAAACTACTTTGAGAGCAGGATAGAAGATAAATTTGAGAGTTGATACATTCCATTGTCAAACTCACCCCTAGCCGTTCCTTGGTTTAGGGCGTTCCCAAGAGATAAAATTGTCTGCATTATTCTTTTGAATTTTTCAGAATTTTTTACCTGATTAAAAGAGGAACAAAAGAGCAATAGTAAGGCAAGTTTTGATCATGTTGGGAGGTCAACTAGACACATTTGAGTCCGAATTACCTGCTCTGCTGCGGAGTTCACAACACCTAGACTATTCCTGAGCTCAGAAATCTAAAATGTTCAAAGATACATTAAAATACCAAACTGAAAGCTCCAAACAATCATAATTAGCAGGGTATCAGCTTTCAGACCTGAGTGCAAAACTGCATCTTGAATGAGAATACTCTGAGCTTTGTTTCTACTCGTGGGACTTTCATCATCTCTAAGAAGAACTGTTCAAACCATTTCAAGAAGCATATTCAGTGTTAGACTCTAATGGCTACTCCAATGAAACTAGAGGTTTTATAAATTTTGTACCAGTTCACATTTTCCAAGCTTGTCCTTGTCACCAGTGTAACCCTACAAACCAGTAAGAAACGAAGATAAATCAAAAGAACATATAATGCTCTTTTGTTTCTAGATAACAGAACACCCATATATTTTCTAGGGACTTCAGGCTCTGGAAACAACATAACATAAATCTAGGACTACACTTCTTGTACCTTCAGTAATTCCATTTCTTCTCTTGTTGGGCAAAACTTAATTAGGTTCTCAACCTGATCAGCATCAAGAGCCGACTCCTCCAAGTTAAGCACTGAGTTCTGTATATATATTAGAGACAAATAGTTATCATGGGGAAAAAATAGCGAGACATGCACATTGTACTAAAGATAAATGCTATGATTACAGTCTACATCTTAAACCTGTAGAGCTTTATATTACCGTCAAATCCTGCAAAGGTACTTTAACTTTTGAAAGCATGATTTCACAATTGTATGCTCGCCGGTGATCAATCTGCAAGATAGAGTTTCCTATAATATTCAGTATTTTCAACTATAGAGCAAGCAATCCAATTTTGGTTAAAAAAAAAAAAAGAAACCAGACACTATGTCATGCTAATTATTAAACATAATTTACCAGTTGGACTTTCTCAGGTTTAGGTCCACGAGAGTTATCTAGTCTCGATTTTCCTGCCTGCTCTGGAGCAGATGCAGAGAAAAGACTTTCAAGCTCGGTCATGTCAATGTCAGGAGCCCTTCACAAATAGATAAAAGAATTAATGAACTGAAAATCATTGAAGAATTTTGAGGCATCAGAGAAGTAAGTGACAACAAGGTGAACAATGCATACTTAGAAGCTTCACTAGACATTTGTGTTTCAGCCCATAAGCTCCCATTGACAGCTCTTGTCAGTTTCAACCAGTGGTATGGTTTCAACTTTTTGGTTGGACTATTCTTTAGATTAACACGTAACATTCGCCCTTTTCCCGATGAAAGAGACCCAGTTGGTAAAGCAGGCGTTGGAGGAACATTAGGACCAGAAGATGGGGATAAATTGGTTCCTAACTTTGGAGGAGGAGGAGGTGGTGCTGACGGTGCCCTAGTCTGACCTAATGGTGGTGCAGGAGGGGCAGGAGGGGCAGGAGGGGTAGGAGGTGAACTTTTTATAGCAGAGAATCCATTAGATTGTGGTGTTGGAGGAGCGGGAGGAGGGGGAGGAGGAGCAGGAGAAGAGCTATGAACAATAGGTGCTGGTGGTGGGGGTGGTGGAGGGGGACCTTTAGTGATTGTTTTATGTTCTGAATGCTGCATTGGAGGGGGAGGGGGAGGAGGAGGAGGTCGAGGCAAAGAAGGCACTTTGTCTAAATTAGACTCTGGAGGAGGTGAACTCTCTGGTTTTCCAAGATTTGAAGCAACATCATTGGAAGCTCCTATATGAGGTGAATTAGTAGGACCAAATGAACTTACTTTATCAGATTTTGATGATTTGGCGGGAGTAGCTAATGATGCTTTGGGTGACAGTGATGATGAATTCGTTGTTCTGGAAGATGGCTCAGGGCATACATAAGATGTAGAAGCAAGGGGAGGTGCAGTTGGCAGAGTACTGGAATTTTTTTCGTTTGGAGTTGTTTGATGAAATGTAGAGCCTGCTAATGACATCCAGGAATTTCCTTGTGAAAGCGACTCAGTTGGCTGGTCAATAGAATGTTGAAATTTCTCTGAAGGTTTAGAAGCACCATCTGGAAGTGGAGGAGGCGGGGGAGGTGCTCCTGATAGAGCTAACATTGGTCTTGCAGGATGAGGTGGTGACGGTGTGGATGGCAAAAACGAGACCGCTTTCCCATTGTTTGCTGAAGGAGGACTATTCAGAATATTCTCCTCGGCATTTTCTGAAGATTTAGAGCCGTCCAGAAGAGGTTTAACTGTTGCAGAATGATGCACGAGCTTGAGAGAAGGGGACTCTTGATGTAACAACTTTGTTTCATCTTGGCTGTTGGTATTTGCCTGATTACTTATCTGAAGGACAGAATGCAGATCTTCTGCTATAAATTTCTTGACTGTATCAGTAGGAGACTTTTCTGGTGTATCGATTGTTTCGACCTCAGACATTGAAGACAGTTTGAACTTTGCACTATTTTCAATTGCTGCATGTTTCACAATATCATGGATAGTTTTAGGGCTTAACCCTTGTAGTCTTGGGCTTGAATTGCCATCTGGTCCATCCTGAACAGAATTTGCAATGGCTAACTGCTGAAGCATATTACGTGTGGCGTCGGTCTGATCAACCCAGTCAACTTGATTGAAGAACTCATGAACTTTGGAAAAAACTTCTATAGGAAGACCATCTTTCTCTTCCAAACACGAAAAGTTCATCAAGTCAACAGATGAGGCAGCATCCATATCTGAGAAGAGAAGCTTCACACAGAAAGTACTCTTTGTGAGTCCTAAGTTACAAAGGAGTAGTTATATGTACCATGTACAGAGAACATGAGCTCCATGAGTACATACCTCAACTCTGAACCCCTTTGGGAATTCTTTTATATGCCATAATGTGTCGACATCATCACGATTGAGCATCAAAATGTTTGACCTAATAAAAGCAGTGTTGAAAACCACTCGAAACATCATAACCTCTCTTTCCATATCATCGTTCAAACTGAGGCACTCAATCACGATATCACCTTGCACATGACAATTAATGTCAATCTTGACTAGTTCACATTCTGCCTGCAAACCAAAAGGGGACATAGAAAAGGCCATTAAATCATACTAAGAACATGGAAAAAGAAAGCTAAAAAGCACAAGACACAAAAAAAAAAAGTAACAGAAGGACGATCAAGGATCATAAGTAATGTAGCACAGGCGGAGTAAGAGGTCATCAATTATGAATAGCTGCATGATCAAATTACCTGCTTGTAGACCCTCAGGTGTTTCCCTCTCTTGGGAGTAGAGTACAAAAGCTTGGGCTTTTTATCATCTACAAAAAACGGATCCTGACCATAGATTCGAAAGATAGGGCGAAAGCCTCCTTGTCCAGTAACATCAGGAATAAATCTCAAAATAACACAATCCATGGTGAGAGCCCTATCGAGTGGAGGCCATTCAGAGACCAAATTCCTTCTAGACACGTACTGTAGATAGCGAAGTTGCGAAGGAATTGGGTTCAACGGTGAGAACAAACGCAGAAGCTCACGAGGAGCCTGCTTGTAGATCATGTCCAAGGTCTTGTACTCACCACTATACTGCTTGCGGTATATAAGGAGGGCAGCTAGCATAAAAGCTAAAACTGGCCAAGCCCCGCTTTCACAATGCATCAGCAACAAGTTATTTGGGCCGAGTGAGAGCCAACTTTCACTTGACCGGAGAAAATGGTGCATCATTTCCACAGGCAACAACGAGCAGCCTTCGTAGTGGCGAGGATAATCCATTATGGTCAAGCCATGTTCTGACAAGACATCAGCCATGACACTTCGGGTACCCACATCACGGAAATTAAAAACCAGAGAGGATGCTTCAGGGAAGTGCTCCTGTAGTTGATTGACTACTCCCGCCATATAAACTTTGTAGTTTTCTTCTTCCCATGAATCGGTAGAGAAGCAGCAATCGAACACTACAAACACCACAAAGAACCTTGTCTTCAGTTCAATCTCTATTTGCCAATCATGACAAAACTGAAATTTCATAACTTAAAATATCCAGAAATTTCTTGGCGTTTTTTAACACATACGCAAGCAATGCTTCTAGTACAATCTGACTAGAGCTATGAAATTTTTCAAGAAAAAATCTTATGGAAGATAAAGCGCCGTAATTTCACAGAAAAGTTCTCAAATTTTCAGACAGACAATCCCAGAAGACAGAGAAGTGCAATGAGCTAAGAAAAATACAGACAAATGAAGCAGAGAAATGGGAAAGAAACAGACCAAAAACTCTGTCGCATATCTCGAGCAAACCATCTGGAGGCTTACGGTAGAACAATTTGCGAAACAACGCCATTTATCCCCAAAAACAAAAAAAACAAAAAAGTAATCCCAAACCCCGAAGTATCAAAAATCCATAGCCTTGTCGTGTTTACGTTCCATAATTTTTGTAGCGAAAGATGCCTTCTTCTAGTTTGAATCTGTTATGTGATATTGATTGTTGTTAAATGGTAAGAGGTGATCGATGATGATGATGGTGATGGATCTTTCCAAGATGGAAAAGGTCAGCTGGCTCGCTGTGTGACGTGGATCCCACGATCAGCTGCCATCTCTCTACCCGACCCTGACACGTGTCTTCTCATCTACGGACGAACCTCTCTCGGCCCATTTATTCCTTACTAATAATCGTTTACTTTTTAGTTAGGCCCGTTAGTGAAACCTCTGCTCTTAGTTTTGTTCAGGCTTGAAAATATCTCACTTGCATTGTTTGGTCCTTGTCTGCAAGTTCCAGACTTTGAATCCTCCTACGAAACTCACACATAAGCTTTTGATCAAAAAAAAAAAGGAAAGAGAAAAAAACACTCTCAGATATGCTCCAAACTATTGGAGCTCTCTGTTTTAGCATAACTTTTCTTAAAATAGTGAGTTGGCTATTTTTATCCAAAAAAGAAAAGGAGCTCTGAATCTAATCAGTTAGTTTTTAACTACTTTGATGGGTTTTTGTTTTGTTTTCCTTTTACTTACTTATTCACGGACATCAAGGCGCCTGTTCAGGGGCTAATCAGATGGATGAATGATTCTCAATTCCCCAAAGGATGTGTATGCGTGACAGAGTCAAAAAAGTGTGAAAAAGAAAACCCATTAAAAAGGTGAATTTTTACATTAATAACCCAAAACCCGCTGAAATGAGAAACCACAACCACCCACTCCTCCACTCACCAAATCCATTGACAACTTTGGGATTTGGAAAACTTCACAGAGACAGATTCCATTTTCTATTACTCACTAGCAAATACTTTACCTAATTATATAATCTCCACATATCTCTTTTTTTGACTTTCAACGACTCTCTTCTCTTCCCACTTTCTCCAGTGTCCATATACGATACTACCAAAAACTCAACTCTCAAACTCCCCCCCAAACTTTTCAACCCTTATCTTCTTCTTCTTCCTCTTCTGAATACCTTTACTTCTCTGATCAACCTCTGATTTCTTTTTTTTCTCTTTTCCTGAAGCTGTGCACGTGAAAGGGATCCCCAATGTATTCTAATATGTCACCTCTCTACCCCGTGATTCCATTATGTCTTTTCTTCTGTTCACACAGTCTGTCTTCTTTCTGATCTTTTCCCATTTACATTTCTCCAGCTCAAGACACCAAATTATGGGCTTGTCTCTATGGGGATCTCTCCTGTTCTTCTCCTTCTTCTTCAAGCATCTGACGAGCCTAGATCCCAACACCGACGCCTTTTATCTCTCTCACTTCTTCTCCGCACTGAGATTATCCAATTCTTCCCAAGCTCACAATTTTTCTTCTCCTTGTTCATGGTCAGGAGTAGTTGTCTGTGACTCTAGAGACAACGTGCTCCATATTTCAGCTTCTGGGTTGGACCTATCTGGTTCCATCCCTGACAACACCATTGGCAAAATGAGTAAGCTTCAAACTTTAGATCTCAGTGGAAACAAGATTACGTCTCTGCCCTCAGATTTGTGGAGTCTGAGCTTGCTCCAGAGTCTTAACCTCTCTTCCAACCGGATTTCTGAGCTTCTTCCCAGCAACATCGGCAATTTCATTTCCCTTCAGACACTTGATCTTTCTTTCAACAGTTTCTCTGGTGAAATCCCTGCCGCTATAAGCTCCCTTGTCCGGCTAACAACTCTCAAGCTCCACAACAATGGCTTTCAGTTTGGTGTCCCTCCAGGACTTCTCCATTGCGGATCTCTAGTCTCCATCGACCTCTCATCCAACCGGCTCAGCGGGTCTCTACCTGCTGGTTTTGGTTCTGCATTCCCACATCTAAACAGCTTGAACCTTTCACGGAATCTGTTTCAGGGTTCACTGATAGGAGTCTTGCATGAAAACGTGGAAACGATTGATCTCAGTGAAAACAGATTTGATGGGCATATTTTGCAGTTAATACCCGGCCACAAACACAACTGGTCTAGTCTGATTCATCTTGACTTGTCCGATAATCGCTTGGTTGGCCATATATTCCATGATTTGAGTTCAGCCCATAAGTTGGGACACCTTAACCTGGCCTGCAATCGTTTCAAGGCACAAGAATTCCCGCAAATCGGCAAGCTTTCAGCTCTACATTATCTGAATTTATCCAGGACTAATCTCACTAATATCATACCACGTGAAATCTCGCAGCTGAGTCATTTGAAGGTTCTTGATCTCTCCTTCAATAATCTCACTGGCCATGTGCCAATGCTGAGCCTCGAGAACATTGAAATACTTGATCTATCGCTGAATAAGCTTGACGGCGAAATTCCAAGGCCAGTTCTGGAGAAACTCCCCATGATGCAAAGGTTTAACTTTTCTTTCAACAATCTAACCTTTTGCAACCCCAACGTCTCACAGGAAACAATCCAGAGGTCCTTCATTAACTCCACAAACAACTGCCCCTTCGCTGCAAAGCCGATTGTTATAAATGGTAAGAAAGTCAGCAAGAAGAAGACAGGGCTTAAGATTGGTTTGGGATTAGCAATATCCATGGCTTTCTTACTTGTAGGACTGTTGCTGGCTTTGAGAGGTAGAAGAAAATCAAGAACTTGGGCAACAAAGCTTGCCATAAACAACTCAGAACTAAACTCGCCAGAGCAAAGTGATTCAATCACTTATGTCAAGCAAGCAACGCAAATCCCTGTGGTAATGATCGACAAGCCATTGATGAAGATGACGCTTGCAGATCTCAAGGCTGCGACTTTCAACTTCGACAGAGGCACAATGTTGTGGGAAGGCAAGTCTGGTCCTACTTACGGAGCAGTCCTACCCGGTGGATTCAGAGCAGCTTTAAAAGTTATCCCAACTGGAACCACATTGACCGATATGGAAGCCTCGATTGCGTTTGAACGCCTCGCCAGGATCAATCACCCAAATCTTCTCCCGCTCTGTGGATACTGTATAGCCACAGAGCAAAGAATTGCGATTTACGAGGACCTCGACATGGCGAATTTGCAAAGTTTACTCCATAACAAAGCAGACGATTCTGCACCGTGGAGACTTCGACATAAGATAGCTCTGGGGACGGCGAGGGCTTTAGCTTTCCTCCATCATGGCTGCATTCCTCCAATGGTACACGGAGAAGTGAAGGCCGCAGCAATCTGGTTAAACTCTAGCCAAGAACCACGCTTAGCAGACTTTGGTTTAGTCAAACTCTTGGAAGAGGGATTTCCTGGTTCCGGCGAATTAGACGGGTACACACCACCGGAGCAGGAGCGAAATGCTTCTCCCACACTAGAATCCGATGTATATAGCTTTGGAGTTGTTTTGCTTGAGCTCGTGAGTGGGAAGAGGCCGGATGAAGAATTGGTGAATTGGGTGAGAGGACTGGTGAGGCAGGGGCAAGGGTTGAGAGCCATTGATCCGAAGATGCTAGAGACAGGTTCGGAGGAGCAGATTGCGGAGGCGGTGAAGATAGGGTACTTGTGTACCGCCGATCTGCCATGGAAGCGACCTACGATGCAGCAGGCGGTGGGACTTCTCAAAGACATTTCTCCAAATAGTTGATAGGCCAGTAATTGGGCCTATAATGGGCTAATCATACTTAACATGAATATCATTAACATGATCCCAATTAAACTCTGAAGCTTTGTAATGTTTTATTATTGATTATGTGATTTAGAAGAAATGAGAGAGCGGTTTATATATATGTAAGCAACTACAATACAACACCTTTGCTTTATTGAGAAGAAGTTTTGCATAAAATTGAGATTCAAAGGTAGAAAAGAAGAGTGGGATTAGAAGAGATCAATGTCCAAGTCCATAGAATTCACAAGCACACCATCGTCTTCCCACTTTATATCTTTGGCATTCGGATCTTTCTCTATTATGCGCAACGGAGCATCCAATGGTGGAGGACTCTGCATTGTAATCACTCTGTTATATTACACAATAATACAATACGGGCTGATTGATATAACACTTTATAAGTCCCTTACCATGCACCGTATGAGAGGCCAATTGATCCCGCGGAAGAAAGCGTGCTGCTTTATCTCATTTGCCCCACCTTTGGAACCTAACCGGCTGCTCGGATCTCTATTTAACAATGTGTTGATCAACTGTCTACCTACAAGACTTACCTGCATAAACACATATGGAACCATATTAACAATTTATTTATTTTACTTTGGGCGCATTGAAAGACACACATGTTACAAGATAGCTCACAGGGATACTGCTGGGGAAGGTAAGATCTTTGTGCAAGATGTTGGCAAATGTCTTTTGCCTATTCTTTCCCCTGAAAGGTGTACGACCATAAAGCATCTCATACAACAAGATACCTAAAAAAGCCATACACAAAGAGATGAGCATATAAAAAAAAGGGTGTGAATCTTTATCATAGTTAGGCATGGTTACAGATAAATACCAAGAGCCCACCAATCAATAGCACTTGTATGACCAGCACCCGTGATTATCTCCTGAAACCATTAGGTAAACCATGAATAGAATACCAAAAATCTAAAACACACTGAAGATGCAGCTGCAAAGGAGGATTGCAAGAGATAAACATTAAGTGCATCAACGTACAGGTGCAATGTATTCTTCAGTCCCTACGAAGGAGTTTGACTGGGTACTTGGTTCTGCGACAAACGTTGGTAGTGGTTGACTCTTGGACCTCCTTCTTTTGCTAGGTGCAGCAGGAACAATAAGCTGCACAGGATAATTCTAGTTATAACATTTCTTTATGTTGTCAATAAAAAAGTAGAGTTGAATAAAAAAAAAGTACCTGGGGTGTGCAGGACGTCATGAATGATAAATCAAAGTCAGCTAATACAATGTGTCCATCCTTTTTGAGCAGTATATTTTCAGGCTTCAAGTCTCGGTATACTATTCCTATTTATGGAACGTATATACACATATTTAAACGAAACAAATAACTGAAAATATTTTGGAGAATGACTTGACTACTTAAAGCGTGTGGCACTTTATAAACGAGAGATATTAAGATAAATATACACAAAGAATTCACCAAAAACAAGATATCTTTCCACCGTTTGTTTTACCTAAGCAGTGAAGATATTCTAAGCCGATAACAACTTCTGCTGCATAGAACCTGATGACAGAGATTGATTAAATTAACTCATAAGTGCAGATCAAAAAATGACAATGAGATTTCTAGCCTTCATCACTTATCTCAGTAACTGCTAATTAGAAGATTGATAAAAATGATATGTTTCCTTGTTAACATAGTGCCTCTCTTTAGTTAATACACCACCAGGAGAATTTGTGTTACACACTATACGTCTAGCTCAAGCAAAATAGGGTACCTTGCAGAGTCCTCTGTTAATATTTTCATAGGTTGTCTGTCGAGCAGAGCAAACAACTCTCCACCTGGGCAGAAGTCTGTAATTAAACAGACGTGTGTAGATGTCTGCAGAGAAGTAAAAAAAAAAGACTTCAGCCATGAGACGGAAGAATTGATATGATGCAAACAAAAAGAAAAAGATCTACCTGAAAGGAAGCATAGAGAGTAGGAAGGAAAGGATGATCCAGAAGGGAAATGATTTCCCTTTCAATGCATGCTCGGTGAGCCTGCATAATGCTGCATGTCGTCAATGAGAGAAATAATATAAATGTTGCATTTTCCAGCTTTCCCTCTCTAAAGGAAACTCATTCTCCATCATATACCTTGTTACGATTTAACATCATTGTTTTCTCCATTGCTTTCATGGCATACAATTCACCTGTGCCCTTCAGCTCAACCAAATGGACACTAGTTTTCCAACCAAAAAAAAACAAAAACAAAAAATCAATTATATAAGTCTATACTTCAAGTAAAGTAGATTCACGGATAGTTTGAACTTCAAGTTTACTGTTATGGACACAAAGCAATGTCATACCTGCCAGTATCACCAGAGCCCAATGGTTTTATTGGTTTGAAATGATGCAGTCCCACTGTTTCTCCACTTGCTTGGATCTACAAAGGAGACTGTCAAAACAAGAACAGGATGACTGAAAAACCAAGAAAGAGGAAATCTGTTTTAGTGCATGCCTTTTTAATTGCTTTCCAGGACGTACTCTCCTTATTATGAGGGAGAGGATAGACAGGCCTCGAGTGTGCAGCCCACAGGTCCTCGGGCCGCTAAAATACATTGCAAATCGATCGCATTTATACTTTTACATCTTTCTTAAGTAATCATGAATTAAGATGCCTTACCGAATTAGCATCTGGAAGTTCTCTGACAGCTTCATCTACGTTTGTTGCTGTAGCTTTCACCTGAATTAGAGCCGATGTGATTAACAACGTCTTCTTTGATAGAAGGTAGATTTTAAATATACGTAGTAGGAGCTAACAACGTACTAATTTAGAACTCTGCATCTCTGTTCTCTCAGACAAACGATTTTGGAGGGGCTCCACATGATCACTTCCATCAAGCTGCACACCAATGAAGTATTGAAGCTCTCCCTAATGATGAAAAAAGTCATGTAGTCAGAAATAATGCACGGTTTCAAGAAATTCCCTATCTATAGATAACAATAATCTCACGGCGACCTTTTGATCACGCATAGGTTGCAAATGGAATAAGTTCCAGAATTTCTTTCCTGCAATGGTTTCAAGATTTGATTACATATCAGCACTGAATTTTTTTATATGATCTTCTGAATATGTTCAGTAACAGATAACTACCGCTTTTAGTATAGTTTATCAACTGAACAGTTATCTCCCTTTGATCTTTTATTGCGTCTCTTATCTTCTGGACGGTCGCTTGATCTGTCTCTGGCCCCTGAAGAAACCTGAAGCCAACCATTTTGCACATATCCATATTAGGAATAAACAAAAACACAGTCGGAGAAAACTGCATAATTAACAGACATGATGAATTTCATGAGTAAGAGATACAAAACAAAGAATATTCACATACCGACAATTTCTCCCCAAAATTTCCTCGCGTGAATACTCTGTCAATTCAAGAAAGCTATCTGACGCAAAGATCTGCGAAGGAAAAAAATTTCATTATCATTTCAAGGGTTCATGCTTACAAACATGTCCATACCAGCATAGTAGCACACTTGAGTTAGAAAAAAAATCAATATAAGCAACATACTCTACAATTGATACAAAGAATTTCGAGAAAAGATCATGCATCTCAATTATAGACTAAAAAAACACATACTATGGGATTATCAGGAAGACGAGGATCACTGATGACGAAATTCTTCTCTATGCGCTCAAGAGTGGTAGCTAGATCAATTCCTTGGCGTATATCCCTTTCTCTTTCCGAAAGTTCCCAACTGTCTCTCTTCTCTATTACTTCCGTGCTCAACATCAATTCTTCAGGTTCCACATTTGCAACATCTTCATGCTTATTCGAGCTAGACAATCTGAGATTTGACCTGCACATTGCACGAAGTTTGATAAAAAATCATTCAGTTTATATATGTACAACTTCACAATTAACTAACCAATCCATTTTCATACATACATTATAAGGCCCAGTACAAGGTTAACAATGTACAAACGAAATAAGTACAGAATCAATTGCAACTTCCACTTGTGCTTTTACATTTGTTTATGAGTTAGTAAAACAACCTGAATGACCGGCAATTAAAAAGTTGTTTTCTGAAAACTTTGGTACTTTCAATCACACTTTGTGACTATGTATATGGAGACTACGGTGGATTTGATGGTGAATAAGACTAACCCCGTTGAAACACGTCCAGGTGTTCTGACTGCCTTTGAAGCCTCATCTGATGGCATAGTTTGTCTACCAGGTGTATCATTGCTCACGGAATCCCGCACTTGAGACTTGCGATGTCTTATTGTCTGCACGACCTCTGTGATGGAATCCAAAGCTTTCTCCTTCTGGCGAGCTGACACCAACAAGACCATTAGCAAAACTATATCATTGTTACTATCACAGAAAAAGAAAAAAGAAAAAAAACTGTTAAAGTTATGGAGAGATGCAAGGAAGCACAAACCATCATATCGAATCAGGGATTTGGAGAGTCCATTAGGCCTCAATTCTTTGTCGTTTACACCTTCTGTATATTTGCTAACTTCGACCTGCATCCTGCATAAGGAAGTGTCAAAATGATTGATAGAGGAGACAGTCGATTAACTAGGAAAAAACAGGGATGAACTGAGGGAGATACCCAATGAACTTAATGGTGTTGCCCTGGTCGTCCTTGATAGGAGTGACTGTGAGAAGATTCCAGAAGGGAGTTCCGTCCTTTTTGTAGTTTAACAGCCTTCCACAGTAACTTTTTCCATTCTTGACACAATCTCTGATTTTGGCAACCTCGTTCTTGTCTGTATCCGGCCCTTGCAGAAACCGGCTGGCGTATAACCCAAAAAGATTAAGACCTTTTTAGAATAAGTTGGCAAGGATTTCAAAAGCAATATTATGCTAAGTATGAAATAAAGATGAAACTAGGAAAAGGATATGAGAGGAGCCGTACCAGTTTCTTCCAACAATTTCCTTGGAAGAGTAACCAGTCATGGTAAAGAACCCACTGCTGGCATAGACTATGGGACAGTGTGGCTGTGTGGCGTCAGAGACAACAAAGGTCTGCTGCAACGTGGAAAGAGCGGTTTTGAGCTCCTGGGATACTCTAGGGAAGGCCCCTGAATCAGAAGATGTTGATTCTTCGGATGACCTCCTAGACATGTTCTTGCTTCGGTCCACTTCACTGGAGACCTTGAAACTAATGCCATCTTCTCCCGACTCCGGCTTAACAGCTGATAATCCCCATTCAGCCGTCCTTTCAGTAATCTTGGCGGAGTCTTGAAACTCCAACCACTTACTAGTGCTGCCTTTGGTGTTGCCATCGAGAGGCGGCTTTGATGACGAAGAAGAAGAAGATGATCCAAGTGTCTCTTTTCCATTGGAGGGGTTGAAGACTTCAAGGGATCTACGTTCACTTAGTGTCTCAGTATCATTCAAGGGAGAAGGAGGGGCTCTTGGCCTCTCCATAACAACGTTTCTTTAGGCGAAAGAGAGGAATGAATAGGCTGCAAATCAAAAACAGACACCACAGAGAGACAAGTTAGATAGATAGGTGAGGCAGGCACACCTGTAGGTTCTCGAAACAACCAATAAATGCCATTAAAGTCTTTGGAAGCAAATCAACAAACACGTTAAAGAAGGTGAAGTTAATAGAAAAAGAAAAGAAAAAAAAATACCAGAGAGTAGCTTTATCAGCTGCAACTCATGGATATATAGTACATGGCTTTAAAAGGGGCAAAGACGATGAGAAAACTTTGAGAGATAGATAGATAATAGATTATGAATAAAAAAAACACAACTGTAATGAACCCAAAACAAAAAAAAAAAGAAAAAGAAAAAACCCAGTTATAATATATTTGAGCTGATACAAAATCGTGTTTCTGAGGCTACAAATAAGCGATGCGGAAGCCTGGGAGGATAGACATCACTATCAATAATCAAACTCACATGGACCCAATTTTGGTTTCACCCTCAAGAAGAAGGACCACTCTCTCTCTGTTTCCCCTAAATACGTGCACTATTGTTTATCATTCCCTCGTCCTTGACAAATTTGTTCGTCATCAACTCATTTATTACACCTTCCTCCCCTCCCCTCACACATCAATTTCCCCGGTACAATAATTCACACGACACACACTCTTTTCTTATTCCGGTAAAATCATGCAATAATTCAAAAGTAAACTTACTAATGTAGTAGAGCAACACGGGCCATCTTTGATTAGACTGAAGATGAACACCACGTTTAAGTAACCAGCGACTGTGTGTCTTCTTCTCTCTCTCTCTCCTCCCCCAGAAGCTTTCCCAGACGACGAATCGACAATTTGTTTCTTCTTTCACTGTCTGTTTCAAATAATGATGTTACAGAAGAAAATTAAAGGGAAGGGACCCCAACAAACCTTATCAGGCCTTCTTCTTTTCCCGCTAAATGCCCATTAATATATATTGGGCCTTTACTAATGGGCCTTTTTAATTCAGATGTAAAACGAGAGAGAGAGAGAGAGACGAGGGAAACTGAAACTGAAGCAGCTGAGCAGAGAGAGTAAACGAATGGAGGAAAAAAGCAGCGGCGGCGGCGTTAGGCTTCACGTCGGAGGATTGGGAGAAAGCGTTGGGAGAGATGATCTTCTCAAGATCTTTTCTCCGATGGGTACCGTTGATGCTGTCGAATTCGTCAGGACCAAAGGTCGTTCCTTTGCCTACATCGACTTCTCTCCATCTTCCGACAAATCCCTCATCAAGCTCTTCTCCACGGTGAGCAAAACGATCTCCCTCTTATTTTTCCATTACTCTCTTCTCTTGTTTTTAACCTAATCCGATTTTGGCAGTATAATGGATGTGTCTGGAAAGGAGGGAGGCTACGACTGGAGAAAGCAAAAGAGCATTATCTAGCTCGATTGAAGCGAGAGTGGGAGGAAGCGTCTTCTCCTTGTGATAGCACCATAAAAGCTCCTTCTGATAATACCATAAAAGCCCCTTCTGATTCAACACCTTCCACTCACCTTAACATCTTCTTTCCCAGACTCAGAAAGGTACGCATGCTCCTTCAAAATCTTGACATTTACATAATATCCTACTTAGGCAGACTAGGAGATTCGAGTTTGAGCTACCTTCGTCTGGTGCAGGTGAAAGCTATGCCACTTAGTGGAACTGGAAAACATAAGTATAGCTTTCAGCGTGTTCCACTGACTTCTTCTCTTCCAAAGAGCATCTGTGATTGTGAAGAGCACTCCAACTCTCTCACTCCTCTGGAAACTCATCTTCATGATCTGGAAGCCCTTAATGTGGGAAGAAACGAGGACGAGGTGAATGTTATGAACTCCGTGATGAATAAGCTCTTTGAGAAACACAACATTCCAACTACTGACCAGCTCCCCGAAGAAGACAATGAGATTGAAGCAGACCAAGATAACCTCATCATCAATGTGGTATCTAGTGGGAACCATATGGGGAACTCAGAGCTGGATTTGTTGTCTAGAAAACGGGTACTTAAAGCTATGATTTTCTATTTCACTTAACCCAATAATGAGTCATCTACCTGATCCTGACCTGGCTCTTTCTTTGATTGTAACTCAGAAATCAATTCTCAACGAAACAATACCAGGTGGTGAAGGACGAAAAGGGAACCAAAGTCATCCTAGCAAAAAAAGGCAAACAATCAGCCTAGAGGAAAGTGGAAGACTGGAATCTTCACAGACCAAATGTGAAAAGAAGAAGCCTTCTGAAGTGGTACCGGATAAATCATTGGATGAACCGAGCAGAACAGGTGTCAAACGGTCGATTGACAACATTTCATGGTCCCAAAAGTCTTCCTGGAAATCACTTATGGCCAATGGGAACAGCAGTGAATTTAGTGTTTCCAGTTTCTTGCCAGGGGTCGGCTCCAGTAAAGCAGTACAAACTGCACCTAGCAACTCTGATCTTGCTGGGTTTCCTAGTCAAGAAATTTTGAAGGGGAAGAAGAAAAGTAGGCGGGTATCTTCAACAATCATGGCAACGGATTTACCTTTGTCAGATGACATAGAGAGGGATGATAGTGATGCTGTGGCAGATGACACAGCTAGTGACTCTATGGCAGACGACACAGCTAGTGACTCTATGCCAGATGACACAGCTAGTGACTCTGTGCCAGATGACACAGCTAGTGACTCTTTGGCAGATGACACAGCTAGTGACGCGTTGGTTGAGAGGGGTGATGATGCTGTGGAAGATGACACAACTAGTGAGTCTATGGCATATGACACTGCGAATGAGTCTATGGCATATGACACTGCGAATGAGTCTATGGCATATGACACAGCAACTGGGTCTATGGCATATGACACAGCTACTGAGTCTATGGCGTATGACACAGCTACTGACTCTGTGGCAGACTCAGCTAGTGACTCTGTAGGTTCAGACGACTCAGAATCACTTGCAGATACGGTTAGTGACAAAAGTGTTGAAGCTGTACCCCTGGAATTTGCTGCAAGCACTGAGGGTGATGGTGGGAATGGCAAGTTGAATGTGGGAAAGCACGAAAATGTAGCAGAGGTTTTGAATGCGGAAAAGGAAAGCTTAGTCATGGCGGAAGATGTTGTAGACGAAGAAGAGGCGGGGAAAGAATCACTGAAAGCTTGTAACAAGTCAGCGGGAGGTTCTTCATGGCTTCAGAAAGCTTCATGGACTCAGCTGGTTAGCGACAAAAGTACTTCTTCATTTAGTATAAGTCAACTATTCCCAGATTTAAGTTCTGACAAGGGTGAAGCAGCTAAAGTGATCAACAATGTAGAACGCCAGTATCCTGCAAGTGCAATGAAACAAACAGAATACAAATGTAGTATTGGTGGCTTTACGGCTCCTGGAGTCCTTGTGGACAGTACCCCTGTGAGGAGTTTAGATGAGAATAGGCAGCGTCCGAGTGGTAAAAATTTGAGTGAAGGAGGTAGACTGGGGGTGAAGAAGACAATTAAGAGAAAGGTTGGGTCCGGGGAGACTTGCACTTTTATGAGAAGCTCGACTTCTTTAAAAGAGTGGGCAAAGGCTAAGAAGGCATTGAGTGAGCCGAGGAGAAAGAAAAATAGTGAAGAATGAGTTACATTGTTGTAATACAATCAGAAGCTATTCAAATTATGTATTCCTCTGCAGATTTTGTACTTGATACACAATGTTTTTTCAGTTTAATTCTTAAACGTTCACTATTATAAAATCATTCTCATTAGAAAAATCTGATTGATGAAATGAACAGACTAATATAATAAAAGCATTCTCATTAGAAAAATCTGATTGATGAACTGAACTTTGACAGTCAACAAACATGGATACAGAAAAGCGTAAGACGCAATGTTTTACCAAGGTCTTGTTACAAACTGAATTGAAAGAAAAATAAGGAGCCAACCCCTATCTATCTTTGAGTTCCTGTTCGAACTGGCCAAGTTTCAGGCGTATAGGCTCCAAGAACTGCTTCATATCCAACCTAATCAGCTGCTTCAGCTGCTGGGAAAGCTCCTTGTCTTCACTGAGCTTCACATCCACCTGCTCATTTGCACAAGGTATCACCACCAAATCAAAGTCTCAACCCATCTTTGTATAAACTACAAAACAGAACGTTTCCTCTCAAAATTTTCCACAGTAAAATGAAAAAATGTTACCTCAAGATCATCAAGCTCGCCGAATGAAAACTCTGGAATCTCGAGACTCCCCTTCACCTTCTTCATATTCTCTTCACATGACCACTCTCCTAAGATATTCGCCATAACAGCAGTTATTGAATGCAAATAAGATGTATTTACACAACAAAGACAATGAAAGTCCCTAACTTATTAATGATCAAATTCAAATGCATGGCCTCCACATCTAAACGACTAGATTTAATGAGAAAGTAGGCAAAAGGTTTTAAATTTTATCGACACTAATAAAGTAAAAAGATATTTGTCTTGAAGATAGTGGATAGCCTTACCCTCAACTTTAAGGGAAAGCTCGTAAGTATAGCCAACTCTTTTCTTGTTCCGAACTGTGACTAAGAAAGCCTAGCGAAGCAGAGGAAGAAGGAATCATCAATCGAAGAACAAAGATAGACAACACAAGTACCCAAACAAAAAGAAGAAAACAACTCACATCACCAACGCATCTGTTAACATCTATGATCTCAGCTTTCCCAGACGAGAATTGCAAAGAACCCACTGATCCCAACAGCTCCTGTTAGCACGATTTCAAGGACCAAAACAGATATCAAATTAGCAAGAGTGAAACGCAGACAACAACAACAAAACAGAGTGAGAGAAAAGAAAGAAGAAAACCTTTAATCGGTCAGTGGCCCATTTGGTGAGACTTTTCTCCTCCCAAGTGCCAGCCTAAGGAGAAGGCAAAGGGAGAGACAAGAGTTAGAGAATGCGAAGAAGAATGGTAACACGAGTTTAACATATGAAAACAAAAGATCAAACCCGATTCCAGAGAGAGCCAAGGGACGCAGGAGCAGCATTGAGAGCGACGTCGTTGTTGCTGAGCTTCTGGGGCAGAGGAGGAGGAGCTGCATCCGCGGTGGCTTCTCTCACCCAATACCTATACGATGAGCCCTCTTTCGTCTTCTCCTCCTCTCGCTCCATGACCACTTCACACTATTTCTCTCTCTCTCTCCCCTCACTCTCCTCTTTTCATCCAATTTAGGGTTCCTCCGATGTCTCCGGAAGTTTCGAGCCTCTCAGATCCAATTTTTCTATTATTTTCTTTCGAGTCTTGGTTCGTGTAATAATATTCTGAGATCGGCTTAAAGTTGTTGTCTTAAAGGGCCCACTATTGACCCAACACAGGTTCTTTCATTCTTGTCTTATTAGCGTCAAGTACTAACTAAACTAAATTTGCCAAGTTCTACATTTGTAATTTGCAGTAACGAATCAGATATAAGATTACAACACTTGTTGCTCAGGTGAGATACAAATCAGTGATGATACTACACTGTTTTCAAAAAGGGACAAAAAAAGGTTGTATGGGATTCTTCTTTAGATTTGGAGATCAGTTGATTTTTGGCTTAGGAGCTCTTGGCTTTAAGACGGCATAAAGAAGAATCACAACTATGATAAAGGCAGGAATTGTGGTCATGTCCACTTCTACTTTCACCTTCCTCTCTTTTGTGCAGTGAATTGGGTGCAAGACCTCAACTGTTGCATTCACTTCTCTTACGAATCTGATCAGATGAAAGCCTGTTTAGCAAATCCTTTCTCTTAAAAACTGTAGCAATCGCAAAATGTGTACTTACGAGCTTGTAGCTTCCTCTAAGGTATATAGAAATCTCATGGCATCCCCATATCGTGTTTCTCCAGCAACGTTTGAAAGCTATTAACATATATAGTATACACATCATTTGAAACCTTCCAGTAGCACAAAGGCTTTATAATCGAAGAAACAAAATGCAGATGTGTACTCACCCGTCTCCACAGGCTAACCACATACTTGTACTTGTTCATCAGGTCACGTTCCCTCGATCTGAAGAGCTTATATGTTTTTTCATCTTATTTCTGAATCAAGGATATTAACACTAGAATATAAAGTCGAGCAGGTAATAGAAGCTCTTCATAGTTCAAATTCAAAACCTCTATGGTTCTGAAGACACAAAACATACGATTAAAAAAACTCAAGGATACTTGTTCGCTCCAGCCGCAAAAGATGAATCCCTGAGTTGACTGCTTGTATTGATTCTTCAAGCGCAGTAATAATATAGCTCCGGGCAATTGTGTCAGACTGAAACATTGAAAGGCGCCAACCTTGAGAAGTGATGGAAAAGGGATTGCAACCTACTGACCATGTCCAATCCTACAAAACACAATTTTGCACTTAGTGTTTGATCTCAGTTCACAAGATTGCAGTAGCTACCAGCAATATGCAAATATTATGGAGCTAACAATACAATTTTGTATAATCTGTCAGCATAACTGTTACCTCAATTGCACTTCCATGAGCTACACTGTAGACAAGATGAAGAGGAAGCAATCCAGCTAGATGTTCGGCAACAGAAGCCATGGCTGCTTTCACCGGGCTCCTGTATTATAAAGATGAAAAATAAGAAAAACCTCATTTACTCTTAACTAGTTCATGACGACGAGCAAAATTAAAGAAGGCGCATCATAAAATTTCTGCTAATACAAAGCTGCTAACATGTATGTGTTATAACCTTAGATCCCATAAAAGTGATTTTCCGTTGCATTGCAAATGGCTCTCCCATGAAGATGCCTCTGACTGAACAACAATGACCATATTTGAAAGCGCCTTGGCTTGATAATGCTTGTCAATCAGCAGTGGATCCCCATTGATGAGCCAAAAGATAGGTATTTCAAGAGTAGATCTGCTGTGGGCATGACCTCCTGAGTTATATACAAGGATAGCCCACAGTGTCAATGTCAATCACAATGTATCAACTCAACCAATGCATGAGACCCACTAGCAATTATCTTGACAAAATTTGCATCAAAAGTAATCGGAGTACAGAGTACTACCCTACAACGACAACTTGAAATACATATGGAAAACGGAGAAGAAAATCTAAAAATTCTCAACGTTATCCATCTAGATACATGTGTGATCCATAGTGTCTACCTGCATCAACATATAAATTTACATAGACAAATAGAACACCAAATCACAGAGAACTGGTAGCAAATAGTTTCTAGTGTAGCATCAAGGAAATGCTTCTTTCGTGACTACAAAGGTGCCACAACAAAGAGATTTATAGTAACAATATTCAAAAAAATCTACTTAACATAGCGAAAAATTGCTGTAGTTAGCTGACCTTTAAGGGGAGTGTGATCATTCAGCCTCTGTAATTGATACTGGAGGATTGATGAATCAAGATATGAACGAACAGTCTTCCGGTAAGTTCCATTGACAAGTAATAGAGGGACAGCTGCTGCCCTTCGGGCTACTGAAAAAGCCATAGCCAATGCAGGATCCTCAGAGAGTGTTAACCTATCACATTTGTTGACGACACTTTAATATAGCTTGAAGTTGCATACTGAAATCAGAGGAGGGAACAATCACCTAAGAATAATAGATACGTTTTCCTCTTTTTTGGGGCCTAGATAATCTACTAATTTTAAGATCTAACTACAGTCTGAGGTACAATTTATCAAAGAGGGTCAGAAAGATTAAGCGTTTCAGTTCATACATATGCTGGCTAAACAGAGGCTTCTGAGAAGGTAACAAGAGCGAAGAAAGCCCATCCATGAGGGCCTTGAGATCCACCGGCAGCTGTTTGATTTGTCGAACTTTCTACATCAATAAAATTACAGAGTGAGGACCTCTTTTCAGCAGCTATAGAAACTATATTAAAAAACTGCAGGAAATGTTATAGGTAGCATGAAGTAAATATGCCAGGTAGAAATAGTTTTCATTCTCAAACATAAGTTACACAACCTTTCAAAAGAAAAGGACAAAATTATATTCTGTTATCTTAGTTTATCCATCTCATGACATGCCTTTATCCTTGAGACTTTAGAATATAATAATATTCAAAGTTTTTCACCAAACTCTGCCTGACCTGATGGGAAAGCTTTTAGACCATTTGACATGAACATACCTCTTGGGTGATGAAGACAAGCTGAAAAGAGATCTTCTCATAATGATGAAATGCACCATCAGAAAGTGAGGGTGATATTATATGTCTCATGGATCCCCAAAGAGTAGCACCTAAATGTGCAAGGAAAGTATCGCGTGCAACTGTGTAATTTTGGAACTCCTGTGCAATCGACATCACAATGCAATGTGTCACACTTTCTGATATAAAAGAAGCAATATGATTCCAATCCCCTTACTCAACGAATTCCAAAACCAGCTAGTTCAATAGCAGTAGAAGACAAAAATAACTAGCGTGGGACCATGAAAATACCTCATGTTCATCACTAAACAAATTCCAGCCCTCCATTCGTTGTAGCGCATCCATGGCTTTTCTCTTGTGATTCTCATCATATGCTTCTCCGTCAAATGACTGGAGCTCAGTTTTTAAATCCCGCATTCTTTCATCCAGTTCTTAGACACATAAAGTTAGGAAAAATGAGGAAAACACACGCACACAAAATACCGAAATAGTTACTCAAGAAATGATGTGGGAGCTGTGCAGAATCCTTCTTTGAAACCAAGGAAAAGAATATATAAAGAGGGTACATGAAAATAAAGCAGCGTTAAGGAAGCACCTTCACAAAGAGCAAGCTTCACTTTCCTTCCCTTGCAGTGCTTGAAAGCAAATAGTTCATATACATCAATCTCTGCTAGAAGAATGTCAACAGCCTGATGGTCATTCTGAGACAAAAACACCAATACTGAGAAGTCTTGGCCTAAAACATTTCAAACAAGGCAAATGAAAACATAACTCAGAGACATTGCACAATGTAGACCTGCACACGTGCATATATCCACATATGTCAGCCTCAGGGAAATACAGCTCTACGGATCCAGCTCCTTAATTAACAAGTGATATGTTCACCTTTATATGACATGAAACAAAACAGAGAAACTACTTTTTGTGGAACTTTGTCTGAGATGATTCCTTAATTTTTAGAAACCCAGGAGTCCTATACCCAAACTCTCTCTTACTCTTCTATTATCAACACCTTACTTTCAATATTCATCTGTAATCATATCAAAATTTTCTGGTATGTCTTCCCACTGTATTTCCCCAACAAGGCAAACTTTACGTTTCCCACCTCTTAAAAGTATCAAATATTTGGTTTTGAACTTATTTGTTAGTAATATTTTTGTTTGTACTGGAGTACAAGAGTGCACAAGATAATTCATGTATTCCCAAAATAAAGCTCCTTAAATGAAGTGAATGGCACCACTTAAAACTCACCTCTCCAAACACAGAAAATTTATCTTGAATAGCAGCTTGCAGTTTGTCTTCTGCTTCATCTTCAGATATTTCTAGCAGGAAATAAATTAATGGAAACAAGATTAACGGAAATTCAGGAATGTTCTTTCACATGGGAAATGCCAAATAATGACAGAGATATTCATAGATTGCAGAACTGTACTCCACATAGGACATCTTAAAACTAGGAAAATGGTCAGGAGGTTTACAACTTAGGAGGAGCCATTATGCAGAAGATTTATTGTGAATATTACCTGCAACAGCACCAATAGTCTTTCCCACATTTGGCAAACTAAGTTCGGTACGCACTCCTTCCCCACCTACAGAAGGTCCCCATGAAAAAGGGCCAGCAGTTAAGTCGATGAATGCCCACCTGAGAGGAAACATACACAAAATCATGAAACAGATAGCTTTGATAATGTATTGGCATGCATAAGATGCGCTCTAAGCCAGAATGACAAGGTTATATACATGTACACACATGCATTGAGAGCTTCAGAAAAGCAACCTGCCCTTTCCGATCCAGATATCAGTCAGACATTCTGTGTTAAGATTGCTAAAGTCTCCAGCTTTTAAATCCTTTTCTAGAAACACCTTCGTATCTTCATTTTTCCCATTAAGCAACTAGAAATTCCCATTGAGAAAAATCCAAAGTTAAGCACATGGAAAATAGATTATGTAACAAGAAAGCATTAGGCCAAAGTAAAAGAAGACTGATACCTGCAAAACTTTACTCTGAATGAGTTCGGATACATCTTTACCATGAGATAGCTGTTCCAACTTATTAAGAGCATCCTGGCATGCATTGTACCACTCGGCCTGAAAGCAAGACAACAATTAACAAAGTGAAACACAATAGTCAATGTATATAAGACATAATGACATCAGATACTCGCAGCACAAAGACTCTGATTCTCGAATATGAGTATACTCATTGCAACAAGTCAACAACCCCACGGGACTACATATATTGCCAAGATATACATCTGCCATATCCTTTTTTTTTCATCTGCCATATCTTACAACCATTTAGGCTAAACAATAAAATAATAAAACTTGAGCAGACGGGTTCAGCTAATATAACTAACCGTATCAGTCTCCTCCGCATTCGTCCAGGAAAATTTCAGCATTGGATGTCTATCGTATAATGGCTTCCTCACCATATCAAATGCTGCAACATACTCGCAGCAGGTTGCAAAATAAGAAAACTGGAATGTACATCAATCAATAGAGAAATATCGTTGTTATTGCCTTTCTGTACCTAAAATATTCTCTGACGGCTTCCCAGACTGTAGAAGCTTTTTTAAATTGTCCTTGTTCTGCAAAAAATGAAAAGAGTAATATGAACATGGCATAGACCTAAAGAGATCACTTTAAATGGCCTTCTTCCATTTTTGTGAGGATTGTTTACAATGAAATTGCTTTCAAAGCATGAAAAGAATCTGAGGGAACGTGACCTACCTCTTTTAGATAAGATATCTCGGACTCTGAGAACCCTCTCCTGCAAAATCCTTTTATAAGTCTAGTATGTTTGTTATCCGTAATATAATAGTATGAAAACATAGACAGCAGGTCCTCACCGGTATCCATATCTGGCTTTTTTAACATCATGTTTGGGATTCAAGATAAATACGTTGTATGCATCCTCGAGATGAAAATATTCGACAAGGCTAGTGAAAATGAACTCCATCATCTCAACATCAACTTGCCATATAGCAGTTTTCTCATCGCTGTTACCATAAAACGAGAGGGTATAACATAGAAATGATAATCAGGACCACCATTTAAAAAAATACTACAAGCAGCAATCATGAGTGACGTAAATATGCCAGAACCAAGTGGTCTGCAGCTCAGATCTCTCTGCATAAAAGAAATGACCAGTAACAGACTTCCATACAACAAAGTCTGAAGCAAGAAACCATTTGAAATGGATTAACACTATTACCTATTGATGGACACGTCATCTTTACGTGCTAAAACATTGATGGCGCGTTCAATCACTGATGTCACCTTTTCTCCCATTTGTATAGCATGAACAGAAAAGCTGACAAAGAAAACAAATGCCCAGCTAAAGTCTATGTAAAACCAACACTACCATTACGGATGAGCCACAAAGAAAAAGTTTACAAAAAGATGACTGTACTTGTAGTTCATGCGACTGCTGATTGGAAGATGGTAGTTCACCTCCTTTTCAAAGATATTCTTGTACAAGGGGTTGAGAACTTCTTTGACTTGTGGAACTCGTGTATGTTCAAACATGTGATCAAATTTATTGAACCAACGTTCCAGTTCCTCGGGATGGAGTTTAAAGTCTGGAAAATGTGTGAAAAGAATTATGGACAGAAGAGAAAATTAAGTGATGGCTTCAATACAAGGAAACGACAGAAAATCAAGTCATTCACCTTGGTTTCCTTTACCTTCAAACCCTATGAAAATAAAATTGACTGGCACAGGAAGATAGACAGAATCGACTTCCATAAGCTCTAAGTAACTCGCAATATTTCCTGAAAAAGGTGCAATCCAAATTGGAACGAGGCGTTGCTGATTGAGCTAACAAAGTCCTTAGGCATGCACATGAACTGAATTGAAAACGAAAAGCAGTTACCTGACTTGGTGTAATTCAGCACACCAGAATTCGAATGGACCGAGGACTCCAAATCATCAAAATCTGATAACAACATAAAAAAAAAAAAAAAAAAAAATTGTGATGAAAAGGAACACAAAGGAAATCCAAAAGCGAGAGAGAAGGCCTGAAGACAGAACAAACCAGTACGAAAGACAGATTCGCTCCAAAATCTGCTTTTATCCCTAAGATTGAACAAGGAAAACACAGAAGACTTTGCCGTACTGCGTTTTCCATGTGAAGCTCCATATGATAGAGATGGTATGAACTAACCACGAAATTCAATCGAACAGATCAGATAAACTCGATTGAGAAAGAGATTGGTAATTTTGAAAAACTAAGCATTGACAGATGACAACGCAGCTCATCGTCATTTCTCAAATTTGGTTTTGATCAAATAAATACTCATCTTTTTGCGACGGATCGAAAAGGAAGGAATCATACCAGGATAGCAACACAAATGGTGAAAACGAGCTTGGAAACGGATCTGTTCCCAACCCCAAATCTCTGCATCGCCTTCTTCTTCTTCTTCTTCTTCTTCTTCTCCTCCTAGTAAACGGTAAATCGCAGTAGGGTTTTGCTCTTTCCTCCCGCAAAAATTCCTCCACTGGCCACTGTTTTTTTCCCGACTTCTCCACTGGTTTTTTGTATTCTCCTTCGATTAACCAAATATTTTTTCCCCTCTAAACAAATTATTAAATAATAAAAAAAGTCTTAAGCCATCAACTATTAAGTCAAAATATTTTGTATTTAAGAAAAGGGAAATCTATACAAAATAAATCGAAAGTTCTCTAAAAATTAATTTTAATGACACCTTATTTTTGTGAAGCAAACATACAATCGAATTTGGAAAAATAATCCATAAAAATCTCATTTTTTGATGTAATATCGATTAGAAATATTATTACATAAAATATTAGATATGATGCTACATTTGTTTTCACTTTTCAATGATCCTATACCAAAATAAACCAAAACATACACGACAGACCTAACATAACTATACTGTCTACACACGTACGTGATCATACACCATAAACCAACAAACAAACAAAAAATTGCATCTCCTTTACAAAGTTACAATGGAGTCATGGAGACACTCAATATCTCTCGGAGGAGGAGGAACCAAATAGGATTTCGAACCATCAAACCGGCCGGAGACAGCTTTGACGAAATAGTCTTCCAGTCCCCCCATGATCAACTTCGAAAAAGTTTTTTTATCGACGAGGCCAATTTTTAAACGCATTTGTATATACCAAAGACTTGTGATTTTTTATACCACTGTAGTAGAAATGCTGATCTCTCCTAACAAAATATACGGCCAGGACTAACATCTGTTATATGTTTTATCCATCTAAAGCACATTGCAGTTGATCACGTCTTACAAGTTACAACTAGAGCAATGATCCGACCATGCAACACTGGTTTCATTATCTTTCAGATAATAAAGTTCCTATATAATACTCTTTCACGACATTTACCAATTACCATAACCAAAAATTAACAATTTCATGTCTCGAAACGGATACGCACTTGATACTCGTCTCTTTTTCTTTCATAATTTAACAACGATCTTTGGTCGAAAACTCCAGTATGTAACTAATTAAACTAATCATGCTTAACCGATCAAGTATTTTTTAAGGTTAAAGTTTGTAACATGAAACTTTTTGGTAGAAAGTAAATTGTAATGAAAGTTTGAAGAGTAAAGAGTCTAGGATATAGTAAAATACAATTTTACATTTGACAATAAAATGAATATGTTGAATCAGACATAAACAGATAAACTAATTTATATAAAACTTTTTATTAAACTAATAAACGTACATAGAAAATTTCAAGAAAAAATAAATAAATACATACATTATGGATTGATTTGTTAGTAATGTAACTAATGGGGTTTTTAATAAAGCAATGTAACTAAAATATAAAAATGTATGTATTTATTTTTCGTGAGATATCCTCTGTACGTGCGTAATTAGTCCGACTAATTTTAGTTTACTTTGGGAAATTTAAGATATAGATATGGGCTTGTGATAGAAAAGCCCATATTATCCGTAAATGACTTTATGAGAGCACCAAACCGAACTCCAAACTCGAGAGACATCGTTTGACGCGATGCTTACGTGTTATTTTGTCGTTATGGGTTGCCAAAAGCAGCGGTCACTCGCTCGTGCGTGGTCACTTTAAAATCCAGTGGACTGGAAGAAACAGTACAGCTTAGCTCACTGCTTAAAAAGCTCAAACTTAAAGCTCAAAACTCAAAGCTCAGTGTGGTCTTGTATCGCTTTTCGGCGAAGAGAAGGGTCAGATCGGCGAGCCTGAGATGGGTTGGGGTTCGGTGTTACTATTATTGTCGGTGGCGGTGTTTTGTCAGAGGGCAAGTTCAATCGGAGCTAACTGGGGCACACAGGCGTCGCACCCTCTTCCACCGGACATAGTGGTGCGGATGCTGAGAGAGAATGGTATTCAGAAAGTAAAGCTCTTTGACGCAGAGTACGACACTCTCAGAGCTTTGGGCAAATCCGGTATCGAGGTTATGGTCGGTATACCCAATGAGATGCTCGCAACTCTCGCCTCTAGCCTCAAAGCCGCTGAGAAATGGGTTGCTAAAAATGTCACAACTCACATCTCCACTGATAAAGTCAACATCAGGTACTTTTTTTTAGTTTCTTTAATCAACTTTCCTTTTTTTAGGGTTCCACATTTTACACGGTACAAATTAGGAATTCAGAATCAGTTACTTTGAGTATGGATTCTCCTAGATAGCTAATAAGTAGGTTGTACCTATAGAATATAGCCATATCTTGAATTACGGGTTATTGTCTTTTTTTTTTCTGAGATAATTCTTTCACCAATCTCATGTGTTAGTTAATTATAACTGTACCAGACCAAATTAATCTCACTAAAGTAGGTGTTGAATTGATGTTGTGATTTGGTTGTTACACAGATATGTGGCTGTGGGCAACGAACCTTTCTTGTCGACTTATAACGGGAGCTATCTGAGTACTACTTTCCCTGCGTTGAGGAACATCCAAATTGCAATTATAAGGGCTGGGCTGCAGAACCAAGTGAAGGTCACGTGTCCCTTGAATGCTGATGTCTACGAAAGCTCCACATCTTTGCCTTCTGGAGGGGATTTCAGAGCTAATATCCGTGATCTCATGATCACTATCGTCAAGTTCTTGAGCGAAAATGGCGGCCCTTTCACCGTTAATATCTATCCCTTCATCAGTCTTTACAATGACGCCAATTTCCCAGTGGATTACGCTTTCTTTGATGGCAACTCACAGCCAGTGAGTGATGGTGGGACTTTCTACTACAACATGTTTGATGCAAATTATGACACTCTAGTGCATGCCCTCGAGAAAAATGGGTTTGGTAACATGCCTATCATAATTGGGGAGATTGGATGGCCTACTGATGGGGACAAGAATGCGAACTTGGACTATGCTAAGAAGTTCAACCAAGGCTTCATGGCCCATATCTCAGGCGGGAAGGGGACTCCGAGGAGGCCTGGTCCTATCGATGCATACCTGTTCAGCTTGATAGATGAGGACGCCAAAAGTGTACAGCCAGGATACTTTGAGCGGCACTGGGGGATATTCACATTTGACGGCTTACCCAAATACGCCTTGAATCTAGGGACAACCAACACAGGAGCTCTGATCCAGGCCAAAGGGGTACGCTACCTACAGAGGAAATGGTGTGTGATGAAGCCAAACGTGAGGCTGGATGATCCACAGGTGGCTCCTAGCGTGAGCTACGCTTGTGCCCGTGGGGACTGCACCAGTCTCGGGGTTGGGACGTCCTGTTCTAATCTGGATGGGAAAGAAAACATATCGTATGCATTCAACAGTTACTATCAGATAAATGACCAGCTTGATACAGCTTGTAAGTTTCCAAACATATCAGAGGTGACCAAGACGGATCCCTCAACTGGAAACTGCAGATTTCCGATTATGATAGAGCCCTACTACGGCGGGGCTTCCAGGGAACACAGGTTCTTCTTCCCACTACTGATGGCTGCTGCCATCGCACTCTCTATTTTTTGATGGTTTGGTCTTGTCAATTTGTAATTCTGTGTGATGGCTTGTACTCTTTTTTATTTATTTCTTCTTCTTGAATTCTTCTAATTTCTCTTCCACAGACCGATGATTATTAATTAGAGCAGTTTCAAGAGAACTAACTGACCTTCAAACAATAACTGAAGATGAATGATATTGTTAAGTATTTAGCCTTTTTGATATCCCTATTCTCAGTAAAACAGGCCCAAACTGAGCATTTAATTTGAAGTCATGGTCATTGATAAATCAAGGTTATTGCTCTCTTTCTCCCTGAAGCTCTTTTTGTTGCAAAGTGCAAACGCTTGTCTTGTACTGTTCTAGACACATACGACAGAATTGAACAGCTTCCAACTCTTGTTATGAATTAGATTTTACTTTTCTCCTTGCTATTGTTCTTAATTTCTCTTTAATCATAATAGTTTATCTTAACATGATGCTTGGAGAGTACTGAACAGGAGCATGTGTGGAAAAGGAGAAGGAAATATATGGAAAGAGGTGCAAAAACAGAAGGAAAAATATGATTCTCCTGAACAAATACATGCTCTAAAAGTAGCCAGCCACTTGCTGGTACTAATTTCCCATTCTCTCTTACATTTTGTTTCACTTCTTTTGTTTTGATGGTGAGATGGTTTGACTTTTTTTTATTTCTCTGGTTTTGGTTGCAGAAGTACAGACTTATCTTGAAAAAGGTAAACGAAGCTCAGCAACAGAAGATGCCTCAACTTGATGGACTTAGAAATTTTAATGCCACAAGACAAATGCAAAGCTCGGCACTCTTATCGCCTCCCCATCCCCCCAGCCTCCATTCCAGTGTGAGTTCATTGATGAATCTTCAAAGAATTAAATCCTCCAGCATAATCCAACAGGGGCATCACCAGAACTCATTCAACTCTGCCAATCGATCTGAAACATATCTCCGGAATCCATTGCAAAGAGTCCAGAACATGAATCTGTCTCAACCAACTTCATCTCCACCAGAGGCCCTCCACCAGAAGCAGTTTCTCTGCATACATGGGAGATTTTAAAGGCATAAAAGATCCAGCAGTTAGCAAAGAGTCACGTACTCGGAAGAAACACCGTATATCTTGGTCACCAGAGCTCCACGAGAAGTTTCTCAATGCCATTGAGCAATTGGGCGGCCACTACAGTGAGTTCCACCATAAACATCTTTTCACTTTTCCTTATGTGTGATGTCCACTATTGTTTCTGCTTACGATTTCTATGTATGCTTTCATGTGTGGAGTCCTATTTTCATTTCTCCTAATGTTATTTCTCCGTGTCTCCATTACAGTGGCTATTCCCAAACATATACTTGTCCTCATGAATGTAGAAGGTCTCACTAGGGCGAACGTAGCCAACCATTGGCATGTACTCATTTCCCATTCTCTCTTGCATTTTGACGTGTCTAGACTTGATGAAGAGATGGTGCGACTTTTAATTATATCTCTTGTTTTGGTTGCAGAAGTACATACTAAACAACATGAAAAGGGCAACGAAAGCTCATCAGCTGGACATGGGTCAACTTGATGGACTTGTAAATATTAATGCCACAAGACAACTACCAAGATCGACACTCTTATCCAGTTCCCATATCTCTCAAACTCCATCGATAAATCTTCAACAGATGGACCACTCCAGCATCATCCAACAGGGTCATCAACAGAACTCAAGCAACTCAGCAAACCCATATTACACTAGTCAGTCACCAAGAGTCGAGGGCGGGAATGAGTTTCAACCAACTTCATCTCCACTAAAGCCTCTCTTGTTTCCTAAGAGCAAGTTCTCTGAGTACATGAGCAGCAATTGGTGATAGCTCCTAGTTTCTTCGACTGTAAGTTTCCAAACATACAGAAGGTGGAAAAGAAGGATACGTCCACCGGAAGCTGCATAATTCAGATTATGATAGAGCCTTACTACGGCAAGGCTGCTCGGGAACACAGGAACTTCTTCCCATTGCTGATGGCTGCCGCAATCTTACTCTTCTTTTATTTATGGTTTTTTGCCATCTCTTTGTGATTCTGTTTGTGCTCTCATGAATTTTTTTTCTTTCTGTTTAGACTTTTTGATTATCCTAATCTCAGTGAATGAGAGCAGCTGATCAGACTTGGGGAATTATCCTCAAGTCGGAGCTATCTTCTTCCCCTTTCTCTTTTTAAAATTTGAAGAGTTTCAAATCCCCTCCTTCACCAAACCGGTTTAAAACTTATGTATTTTTTTATGGACCGGCGATTAGTATCAAACCAGAAATAAACCATGATTGAGCCACGAAGTTTCCCAATTTTCACGAATCAGGACCCTTTTTGAAATCCCTAAAAGTCCACAAGACTCCATGGCTGAGTGATTGAAGAACTCAAAACCCAGCTTCAATGGCGCCTACAACATCTGAATCAACTTAACCGAGATATTTCTTACACCCAGATTGAAACCACACTACAATAAGCAGTCCATATTCTCCCTGAATAGAACATCAAAAATCCTTAATTCTCCAATTCCAAATTCCATAGCTGATCAATTCAATGGGAACCACATTCAAGCCAAGTCAACCCAGGGGACTCCACAACATCATAAATCCAAGTAAGTTTAAAATTTTCCCAAAATGTTATTTAAGAACATATATATGTTTTTTTTAATAATCACGTTGACTCCATATATGGTTGAGCAGAGATGGATGAAATCAAATTCCTGGAATCGATCACAACACAGTTCCAATGGTTTGGAAATCTAAAAAAAAATATAACTCTATGGTCTCTACACAAGGAGCAGCTTGGCACGAAACAGACAACAACGTGTCTTTAGAGTGCAATGGGATAGTTGATTTGAAGAGACCACAGAATTGTCTATATTTTGTTAGCTGTCCAATGAAAAGGAAACTGGAAATGATTCAGTGTGGTAGTGGTAAATGAGACCAAAGACTAGTTTTCGAACGGTGCATAGTTCCAATGGTTTTGGGAACAAATGAAGATGGTGAGGGATTGCAGCAACAACCTGTGTGTGGAGCAGTGCAACTTCATTGGCTCTGTGATTTTAGATAAGAATAGCCAAGAAGGTAACAGAGTAATCATAAGAATGTGGAGTAAAAGTCAACACTTTCGAATGTCTGAATGTGATCAGGTCAGTCCATTGCATTTGTTCATTCTCATTTTTGGAATTGACAGTCCGATTTTTTTTTCAAATCCGATTTTTTTTCTTTGGTCTACTCACTTTGGGACAAAAAGGGAATAAAATTCTATGAAAATAGGATATGAATATATATATATATAAGGAAAGCCAGGAAAGCTGAAATGCTGGGTTTGAACGTTATGAGAAAATAAGGTATTAGTGAGCAAGGAAATAAAATGGGGACATTCAAATTCACTTTACGATAGTTGTCTTTTGTGTGCAGAAAAGGGAAGATTCAACAAACAAAAGGAAAGTAGAGGAACATGTGACTCTCGACGTCCCCATAAATGGAAACAAGAGCATAAACAGAAGGAAATTTGTGATTATGTGGAGAATTAAGGGCCAGATTAACGCCACAATCACTCTCTTTTTTTGGGCCTCTCATTCTTTTCCTTTACATTTGCGTTTAGGAATTTGGTCTCCTTGTCCAAATTCCAGGTTTTAAGAATAAGCAGATCAGATTCAAATCTATGTACGATTTCCTTTGGGGCCGAGAACACTAGAGAGGAGACTTGCAGACGTATTGCATCATCAACTATGGAGTTTAAAAGCGCTGAAGAGGGAAGAATTGAGAAGTTCCCGGTAGGAATGAGGGTTCTTGCTGTGGATGACAATCCAACCTGCCTTCGGAAACTGGAAGAGTTGCTGCTTCGTTGCAAGTATCATGGTACTTTATTCTTTGCTTTTGTTTATTTTGTTTTCTCCCTGTCTGTCTCTCGAAACAGGGATGCATGATTTATGATATGTCAGTGACGAAGACAATGGAGTCGAAGAAAGCTCTGGAAATGCTGAGAGAGAATAGCAACATGTTTGATCTGGTGATAAGCGATGTAGAGATGCCAGACGCCGATGGCTTTAAGTTGCTTGAAACTGGTCTTGAAATGGACCTTCCTGTCATCAGTACGTACCCTTTTCGTTATTTTCATATCAACATTAGCCTTCTTCTAACTTGCTTTAATGTCTCAGTGTTGTCAGCTCATAGCGACTACGACAGCGTAATGAAAGGTATTTTACATGGTGCATGTGATTATCTGGTTAAGCCTGTTGCCCTCAAGGAGCTTCAGAATATATGGCATCATGTTGTGAAGAAGAACATTAAATCTTACGCAAAAAACATAGGCACTTCCCGCCAACTGCTTCCACCTTCTCAATCCGATCTTGTCCCAGGCGTCAGCAAGAAACGTAAAGACAAAGTCAATGACAGTGGTGATGATGATGACAGTGACAGAGAAGAGGATGATGGCGAGGGGAGTGAGCAGGATGGTGACGAGTCAGGTACTCGGAAGAAGCCACGTGTTGTTTGGTCACAGGAGCTCCACCAGAAGTTTGTCAATGCTGTTCAGCAATTGGGCCTCGACAGTGAGTTTCCCCATCCACCTCTTATTACCTTTTCATATGTGTGCTTGTCCACTTTTTTTTCTGCTTTCGATTTATTTTGATGCTTTCATGTGTGGAATCCTCTTATAATTTCTCCTTGTATTTGTTTTTTCTGGGTCTCCTTTACAGAGGCTGTTCCCAAGAAAATACTTGATCTCATGAATATAGAAGGTCTCACTAGGGAAAATGTAGCCAGCCATTTGCAGGTACCAATTCCAATTCTGTCTTTTACTTTTCCATTTCCTTTGCTAATATAATCTTGGATGGTAAAATGGTTCTACTTGTTTATTCTCTGGTTTGGATTGCAGAAGTACAGACTGTACTTGAAAAAGATAGACGAGGGTCAGCAGCAAAATATGACCCCAGATGCATTTGGAACAAGAGATTCATCTTACTTTCAAATGGCTCAACTTGATGGGCTTAGAGATTTTACTGCCACAAGACAACTGCCAAGCTCGGGACTCTTATCACGTTCCCATCTCACCAAAATCCAACCCCATTTGTATTCATCAATAAATCTTCAAGGAATGAACTCCTCCGGCTTCATCCAACAGGGGCATCACCAGAGCTCAAGCAACTCAGCTAATCCATTTGGAACATATCACAGTACTCTGCCACCAAGAATCCAGAACGTTAATCTCTTTCAGCGAACTTCATCTCCACTAGAATCCCTCCAGTTTCCTAGAAGCAAGTGTTCTGCATACATGGGAGATTTTAAAAGCATAGGGGACCGACCAATTGGTGGTGGCTTCGTAGATTCTTGTATGTCATATGGTAGCTCTAGCACCTCTTTGCCAAGTGCTTCAACCAATACTCTAATGTTGCAAGGAAACTATACACAACCCTTGCATACGGTCTCGAGTGTAAACCAGCCTTGCATCGAGAAAACTCTGTCCAACGCTGCCTCCCCAAACATCAGCGTCCAAGGCTTGTCTAGACTTCCTAGTCAAAGCTGGCAAGGGAATTTAAACACAACCAGATTCCTATCAAATTCCTCTCCACTAAATCATGCCTTCTTCCCGGATCAAGTGACATGTGCAGGGAACAATCTGGGAGACTGTAGCTCTTTGGTTTCTGCAGGGAATCCTGGCGGAGGGATGCAGTGCGAGCCTCAATTACTTGGCGGCTTTTTGCAGAACATTAATTCCTTAGACGGACAGAAATGGGAGCAACAGAACTGCAGCATGGTGAACAATACATTCGGTAACGTTGAGTATCCCCTACCAGGAGATAACATGGTATTCAGGGAAAACAATGCGGCAAGAAGCAAAGGCGTGGATGAGTCATTGATGAGCCCAATAGAGAACAGTGGAAATGTCAACAGTCAGGAGTATGTAGGAAAACCTAGTACAATGGTAAGTGCGGAGATGATGAAGTCGGGAAAGCCAGAGAATGCTCATATTGACAACCAGAACCAGCACGATGTATTTGATGACATTATGAATGAGATGATGAAACAGGTATAGCCTTGTATTCCTGATTGGAGTAAAAGATTTTTATGTATGAATAGAAAATGAAGTGATGGTGTGATTTGGTTGCAGGAGGAGAATAACGGGATGGTGTCAGTGGCTGCTAGATTTGGGTTTGATTCATTTCCTCCGCCTTAGTAGTAATCTCCTTCTGTACCGGTTGTTGCATTATCTTGCTCCACTTGAGAGACCATTTTGCCATTGTTTTTTTTCTTTTTGCATTTTCTGTCCACATAGTTAAACTCCGATTGTCAATAGATCATCAGCTGACACAGTGCACCAACATGTTTCATACCCTCATTTATGAATTGGAATTGGAATTGGCAGTGAAAGCGACTATTACAAATTTTACTTTTGGAGTTTTGATGTAGAATATGACTTAACTGTGTTTTTTTGTTCCCTGAAATTATTCGTATTGACTGTTGACCAGAGAGGTTAGAAGTGTTCATGCCCTTTGGTTTAGTAGTAATTAAATAGTTGAAGGCTTCTGTATATATCTTCTTAGTTGATAATTCACAAAACCAATATCTCTAGAGATATTAACATGTCGATATTTACAGATATCTATCTGTCAATAAGAATAGATATTTAGATGTCGATATGAAACGGCAAAGAGGAAGTCAAATCAAAGTGTGAAAGTATGGCCCCATTGTATTGTTGTATCCTTGTCCCTCCCCCCCACAGAACAAAAAATAAAAGGAAAGAGACATTTGTGTCCTCCTCCTGCAACTTTATTCACATTTGTAACTGCTAGACGCTACTAGAACCCTTGCCCTACACGCTTTCCACGTGTCATCCTCTCGTCCCATGGAAATCTCCTTGATATTATTATTTCCTCCTATAAAAGAATCGAATCTCTCTTCTTATCCCTTTACCTCAACGAAAATATCGAAATCTTAGAGAAGAAGAGAAAGAAAATAGAAAAGAGAAATGACGACGACAGAGAAGAAAGAGATGGAAGTGGTGAAAGGGCTGGACCTGGAGAGATACATGGGCCGTTGGTACGAGATTGCTTCTTTCCCCTCCAGATTTCAACCAAAGAACGGTGTCGACACGCGCGCCACCTACACCCTTAACCCAGACGGTACGGTGCACGTCTTGAACGAAACTTGGTCCAACGGGAAGAGGGGTTTTATCGAAGGCAGCGCCTACAAGGCCGACCCTAAGAGCGACGAGGCTAAGCTCAAAGTCAAGTTCTACGTCCCTCCTTTCCTCCCCATTATTCCCGTCACCGGAGACTACTGGGTGCTCTTCGTCGATCCTGACTACCAGCACGCCCTCGTTGGCCAGCCCTCCAGAAGTTATCTCTGGGTCGGTGCCTTTTCTTTTAACTCTGTGAATCAATTGATACCATCTTTAAAATTGATTTTGATGTTTGTGGGTGGTGTGTAGATATTGAGCAGGACGGCGCATATGGAGGAAGAAACGTACAAGCAGCTGGTGGAGAAGGCCGTAGAGGAAGGATACGACATCAGCAAGCTTCACAGGACTACTCAGAGTGACACACCACCTGAGGCCGACACTGCCCCCGCGGACTCCAAGGGCGTTTGGTGGTTCAAATCTCTCTTCGGCAAATAGTTACAGAACACACTTATAAAAGTCTTGTTTCACCTTTTTTCTTTTTTTAAACTCGTTTGTCTGTGTAATATATTTCCCCTATTGTCTTCTCTAGTTGTCGTTCATCTGCTTTTGTCTGTTTAAATCATCTTAATTTATATGCAAAGTCATATCTCTATTATATCATAAAAGCACTCATAAAAAGCAATCAGATTAAGCTGCCAGAGACAAATTGAATTCTTGCATAAGTGACATTATGTATTTGGATCAAACACACCACACGACTTGAGTCTTAATGGAATTTCAAAATGCATGCAAACTACAGAGACGAAGTTATATGTGTATATAAAAAGTAAAAACAGATTCTCCCCAGCCAAAAGTTTGGTTGATATATATACCCAGGACTTCCAGAGTTGCAGCTCACAGAATAGTACAGCATGAATTCGTTTTCTTTGCTTGCTTGTAAAACATCTGTCCACACAAAAAAAAAACACCAAATCAGTTTCTCATGACAGAATGAAACTTGGTTTACCACTGTCTCAACTATTGGTTCAGAGAGTACCAAGCGATTGCAGATGATAAAACTAGTAAATCTGTTCTTCCACATGATCTATCAATACATAGTAGAAACAGAAGGTCTGCTACTGCAGGATGAAGCAGAAAGCTTTCTAAGAGTAAGGTTCATCTATTTATCTACCCAACACGTTCAAGCTGGTCCCTGCCTACCTTTACTACCGACTAACCAATTATGCTCAGAGACTGAGACAGGGGAAAAAAAGCATCTATCTATCGACAGAGCTAGGAATTTCTGTTTGCTAGAATGAGAAGGTAGAATACTAGAATGTTACCTGCGATGCCATGCTCAAATCTGAGCTCTTCTCCACTAGGCTGTCCAGCTTCTCACCACGGGCTAGAACACTATCAATGGTTTTATGCTGCAATACAAAACAAAAATTCAGTCTTATGGAGACGAAAAAATCTATCATGACAATACGAACTTCTTGTTCTGAGATTTTTCAGAAGAAACAAAACTCAATGACAAAATATTAATTTTAGGCCAGCATTTGTGCAATATTATATTTGGTCAGTTTGTCTGCAATTTGTCTGGAAAACTCTAGAACAGTACACAAGCATATTCATACGGGCATCAGAGACTACACTTACAAGGATAATCTTAGTCTCATCCAACTCCTTCTGGATTTTCAAGAGCTTATCAGCCTCTGCTGGGTCCTGAAGGTAATAAACACGGGGAAATAACAAAATCAATTTAAGATCTAACTCACTCACAATCAACTTGATCAGTAAGAAATGGTAAAAACATGAAGAATCATAATTGGGATTATAATGTCCAGTTAATTGAGGTAATAACTATAGTTCTTAACAAGATTGAGTGAGTTGCACAAGTGAGGAACCTGAAATTTGTTTAAAGCTTCGGTTAAATAAGGCCAAGCCTGAGTGGAGTCTTCTTTTGCAGACCTCCATGTCTCACCAAAACTCTTCTGGTACTCATCTAGGACCTGAGAAAAATCGAAAGTCAAGCAAACCGAATCCTTTAATCCTAAAGAGAACCTAGATTTGGATTATATAACACTGAGAAGCACGTTCAAACATAATGATGGTACCTGATTGAGAAGAGAAAAAGCACTTCGAACAGGATAATGATCGTCCATGAACCCAACCGCGCAAAGGCCATTCCTATTGTAAGCGTGAACCTTGTACTCTATATCAAAAAGAACAAAACGAAAATATGAACCCTAATTATCCCAAATTCTAGGACAAGAACAAAAAGATGCAATTGCGTGAAATTAAAGAGTCCAGAAAGATCTAGAATCAGAAGAGGAGAACATCCTAATCATACAAAATAGGTAAATCGAAAAGCTGATCCCAATCTTCAGAAATCGAATTTAAAAAAAAAAAAAAAAGGCAAAGAGGGAAAAGGGGAAGGCATAGATCCGAGAGAAGAAAGAGGCGATCTAGAGGTGGAAGAAGGAGGAGAAGAACCTTCGTGCTGGACGGACTGGCGCTGGGAAGGAGGGGTTCGGCTGGCAACAGTGCGACCGACAAAGACGACGAACTCCTTGACGCTAGATCGCTGGAAATAACCGAAGTGAGAGACGTCAGAAGCGTTGGAGAGGATGACAGGTTCGGAAGATTCGGGAGCGCACTTGAGAACGAGCAAGGCGGTGATCTTCATAGCTGCGGTGGATCGAAGGTTGCGTGAGAAGGAAGCGAGGAGGCCTTGGAATTGGATTCTTATTCTTTTTTTAGTCGGAGGAGAAGGCCTCGGAGGTGGTGAAAGCTAATAAAATGTTATGTTTTGAGGTAATTGTCTAACCAGAAGACATCTCTAATCTCTTTTATACTATCAAGCGCAAGTCACCTATCCAATAAAATTTAGCTACATTATATTTTGTTTTATTTATAAAAAAAAAATCTAAAACAAATTAAAACATACACGAAGAGAAATATTCTTATTTTGCGAAAATCTTTTATTTAAAAAATAGAGATTGTGGCATAAAGAAAATAAATTGATATTACATTAAAAAAACATTATTAAATTCTTTATATAATAAATTACAAGTTACCTAACCAATTAACTTTTGCCACATAAATTTTTATTTTTAACAATAAAAAAAACAAATCCTTTTATATTCCCACTTTAGCTAATTTCATCTTTTAACAACAATATCTTGACGTAAAGAGAAAAAAAAAAAAAACAAAACAAAACAAAACTGCCAATTACATGACCTAGGTAACTCAACGAAAAAAAAGAAACGAAAATAACTGCAACTTAAAAAAATATATATATATATATATATATATATAACACGGCCATATCTTCAATGCTATCTATATTGCTATGTCGAAAAATGCATATAGTAAATACGTAACTGTCGAAATTTTTTTTTTGTTGAAACTCCAAATTTAACTCCCACCCCACAATCGTCATAAGAAAAAACTTCTGTGCATGATCAATTTTTTAATTTTCTCACTATCTATGTAATAAGTGGACATGATTCTATTAACCTTCTATAAATAAGCAATATTTTGTTTGTATCTTAATGTCTTCTTCTTGGGTTCGACTTTTAGTCGAGAAACTCCGAAAAATTCTCTTGGAGGTATAATACAACAATTACTCTTATTTAGTTAACATATGGTCTACATGTAAGTTTTAGTTATTCATAAATTTCTGTTGATATCGTATTATTTATTTGTTACTTTCTATTAGCTTATTATGTTGCTCATATAATCATCTATTTCACTATGCAAGAGCCTTTGCATGACTCATCACAATGAAGCAAGTCTGGATTTGACATAAGCTTAATTAGTGCTCTGATCCGAGAACGAAGCGGACGTTTTGGCATCAACAAACCTCAAGCCAGTGTGGAGAGCTTGCCTCATACTCATCCGCTGACTGTCTCCAAGCAGAAGCTTTAGTTGCTCGGTAGTACCATCTTTAACCAAGACATTAGGCTCTGTTTTGTTATACACTCTATTATTTCTTTGTGGTGTTCTGTTTTTCGTTTTTCTTCCCTCCGTAGATAACTCACTCACTCCTCATATCTTTTAAAGTATATTCTATTTCTTTTTCTTTTTCTTTTTGAATCTGAAGATGGCCATCCCAATTTGTAAATGTTTGTAAGGTAATGTTACGACTTCTAATTAGGAAAAATTTCAAGAGAAAATCACTATCCTAATCTCCCTTTTTTGTATATGCATTAACTCGTATTACTTTTCTATGTTTTTTTTTTTTTTTTGTCAGCACCTTTCTATGTTTTCTTTATTCAATTTAATTGTATGAAAATAATTTTAAAAAACAAATTATAGTCCGTCCTGTTAATTCTCTATAATATTCAACTAGATTTTACCCCGTGGTACACCACGGGACTAGTATTTTATGCTTATATGTTATATATAAATTTAACCGTTATAGTTTAAGATCAGCAGGAAATCCGATAATGTAATAATACGCAATGTTCACGTACGCAACCACGGCTTGCCACCCAGCTCCAACCGTAACACCTAAAATAAATGAACCAAATTTTTTTTATGTTTATCTGTTATATATCACTTTAACTGTTATAGTTTATATATATGTACGGTTATATACAAAGTTTGTTTAGATTATTCTTGTAGGTCCAACAAAAAGATATAACATCTCTGGTATTTATAGATATAATATATATATCACATAATATGATACGGATTTACCCGTAGTACACCACGGATTTAATCTTTTTTTAATAAATTTGTGATTGAATTTTTGTGGTTCGTAAATGTTTCGATGTTGTATTTACTATGTTGTATTTAACAAATTTACCCCGTAGTAATTTTCTTATTTTAGTATAATAATTTTCTTATTTTAGTATAGATGTTATATACGTGTATATATATATATGTAGAAGTTATAAATTTATTATTAAAATGCTAAGTACGTAGTATTTATTAGAATAAAGTAAAGGTTACATAAATCTATATATATATATATATATAGTTGTTGTTTGTTCTTTTTCCAAATGAATTTATATTTTCTGAAATTTGATTATTATGAATTAGTTGCTGTAACTAATACACATTGTCAACTATTTGTTAAGCCATGCATATTCCTAAATTAAACTATTGTTTAAAACAATAGATGCGCATAATTGACGTTACATGTTTTTCTTATTCCAAATTATTATTATATAAGAAAGACATTTTGTTAAACCGCATCTCCCATTAAACTCAATGATTTTTTTTTTATCTAATATGAAATAAATTGCAACGTCCATTCACTAACTCATTGAAATTCAAAGAGAGTGGATCTTACGTGGCTTTCATTCCATCGGATATAAGAAAGATAATTTTTTTTTAACAAAAGTTATAATGTTTGAGATAACAAAAGATAAACTCATCGAATTTTGTCGGAGGTAGACCGGCCTGTCTTCTGCTCTGTTCTTCAAGCTGCATGTTACAAAAGGAACAACAAAACAAACATAAGATTTTCTCTCTTTAACGAAAGAAGAGCAAAATCATATGTACGTACGGTTACTTTGATTTATTACCTTAGAAACAGGAGGGAGGACTGTTTATACCACACTTGGCTAGAAGAGGCCTGACCCTTCGATGAGTTTATCTTTTGTTATCTCCGATATTACACAAAGTGGAGAAGGGAAATTAGAGAAGCTTAATTAAGGATCCAAGAATGTGACTCCATGAAACCCAAGCTTAAGGATCACCAATGTAATATGTCGTAAGACATATATATCTGTGACTCTTGTCCGATCCCTTTAAGAACTTAAATATGTTTCCACCTTTTCATTAAGCAATTGAAAATGTTGTTTTTCACACTAATCTATTTATTGCAAACAAAATTATTGAAAGCTTTGTCTTTATAATTCTTATGTTTCTTCTCCAATCTGCATTTTTTAAAAGGAGAATTTTCGTAGTGTTTTTATTTTGCTTTAGCAAGGCTGAAGATGAATTAAATAAAATGGATTATTTTCTGATGAGTTATACAATCAATTATATAGATTGTTATTTATAGAAGAGGTATTGTATACTGTTTTGGTTGAGTGGTTTCAGAACATCTTGGAGATCAAATTAGAATATCATATTGTTAATATGAAAGGAAATACAAATGTTATTTTACAACATTAATTTGGATTATTAATTAATTTTGCAATATTAGTTTACATTATTTATGTTACCATTTTGTTTCTTAATAATATTCATAAAATTTAAAACTAATTTCAAGTTTCTAAAAAACTGCATGAAATACGGAAATTTGAAAATAGATTAACAACATTACACTTGATTATATTCAACAATTTACATCATACACGAAAAAATTAAATATTTAATTTGGTGAATTAAATAACAACTGTTATTATTAATTTACAAAGTCGATGAAATTATTTTTCAAGCAAAGAGATATCTAATTTAAGTTTTTGAAATAAATTACCTTTGTGGAATAATCATCATCATCTTCCCTTTGAAACTAATATAAGCATTAATTCGTAAAAATTAGTAGCAAAATCACAATAATCAAACAATTAAAAAAGAAAAGAAAAGAGGAGAGGAAGAGAGAACATACATCCGTGAAAGTATTTGATACTTACCTCTCTAATTTATAAGGAGAGGAAGTGTGTCCAACAATTTAAGTTTTAAACAAAAACAAATCTTAATAAAATCATCAATATTCCATCGACCTTGTAAAAGATAATATTTTTTTTAAAATAAAACAACAATATTAAAGTACTAAATATAAATAAATTTAGCAAAGTAAAACCTAGCTTAATTGGCGATTTTTCTGGGATTTGACTTATATTACTATCAAAAATTTAGCAAAAGATAATAAATACGAACAATGTAAGGTAAGATTGTGTAGTTAATGTAATAACATTCCGAGATTTTTATCGAAAATACTTGCTATTTTAATTATTGTTACACATTTTTCTTTCTCAATATTAATGTTATGCATTTAAAAGAGTTTAGAAAATAAAAATTTAGTTGATCCCTAGAGTTAATGTGCTATTGTTTTGGGGATTTGACTTTAATTACTATAACAAATATAGCAAAAAAAATAATTAATGGGAATAAAAAGGCTCCAGGTACTGAACAAATGAGAAAGGAAGTTTCATAAAATTCCAGCCTTTTAACGAATAAATAAAAAAAACCAAATAGACTAAAATTTCGAACTTTGGAGAGAAAAAATCTAGCACCAACGTGCTTATAAATTATAATCCAAGCTAAACATGTTGTCAAACTCATCGTCTCCAAGGATTTGTCCATTACTTTGATGTAATATAATTGAGATATGTTGGTTTATATTTTTTTGCTTTGTGTAACATTTATTAATTAAATGAAGAACAATATTTCACCTAGTATACAAAAGAGATTTGAGGAATGACAATCAAGGATTACATAAATGAGTTTATGTATACAAAACTGATTAATTACTTAAATGATAAAATGTCGTAATGGCTCGTTGGAGAAGAACATTCCGCAAGTTTTTTGAAAACAATGGAAGCGGCGGCAAGAGCGGTAGCAGGACCATGATCGTTCCTCTCGACTTTAAACACACTTCTTAGTATCCATATCTTCTGATCTCCCCCAAGAGGCATGGTTCATGTTAGGATCACCAACCTATAGAAACGCTAACGTTAAAACCACTATGTTTCGAAAGTTCTGGAACTTTTAAGAAGAGAATGTTGAGTAAATAACGAAACCTGAACATAAATGGTATCAAGATGTGAAATGGCTTTGAGGAGAAAGTTGGTAGCCTAGTGAACTTGGGCGATTGGTAGGCCAAGATTTCTTGAGCATTGTGGTTGTGAATGCCATTCAGAATCAAAAATTCATATTGTCTTATGCATCGTAGTATCCTCCCACCAAATCCACCTACAATTTCAACCCATTAGCAATATTAATTAGTATATTACGAAAATATACTTTTAGAAACTTAACATATAAACCCTAATAATAACGATTAATACGGTCTGTTGTGGTGCTTATAGGTTGTGGGAAGAGCATGTATTTATAATGTTATCAAAATTATAGTGTTGTGGGTTTTTTCATTGTTAAAGGATAAACGCTTGATGAGCAAGTTTAGAAGATATTAAAAGATCTTTAATCTAAAAATATAGCACGGATATTCTTATATTTGGTTAGTAGTTATTGTAATTATTGTTTAAACATAATATCACAATCAAATCATAGTTAGGAAGTTTGTTACTTTATTCCTATGCTCATTTATAGGAACAATCGAATATTAGAGAATCATATTTATTATTACGTACATTTAACATTCACCATTTTAGCATTTAATATTTACCAATTTATTCGATTATAAGATAGTAAATATCCATTAGATGAAATCGGATTTTAAATTGAAGTTTTAAACCGACCCGTTTCGTTAACTAACATGATTAACCTTAATGATTTTTGATTATTAGAAGAATAATAAGGGTATTTGATGGAAAAAAAATTAAAACAATAGGTGGTCAAAAAAGTGGCTGCAAAAATAATAATATAGATTATATACCCTTTTCCTTTCTAATAAGATTCGCTATCTAATTTTACTTACCTTGATATACAATAAACAACAACCATCATAATGCTTCGATACGGTCAATATATTATGTGCTGAAACAAAACAAAAAAACAAAAAATATATGTGATAAATATGGTTCGATCACGGTAAATATCAAAAGGGTACTCAATTGTACCGAGATTAACGATTTTGGTGACTAGTACTGTATAATTCAATTTTTAAGAATTTTAAGGTACATATTCGAAAATTTTAGTTGCTCAAGGAAAAAAGGTTACATAAAATGATAAATTAAAGATTTATCTAAGATTAGGCAAAAACTGATCGGTGTAACCCAAAAATAAAAACCATTTTTATTTTCCACCGATCGGTTTTATTATCGTCGGTTCAGTTTAGTTGGTCAATTTGGTTTGGTCCGAATGTTTGACTCTGTACATTTTGAACATACAGTATAAATAAGCCATATGAGACAAATGAACATAGTCTAAAGTCCCGAACATACGAATTTTTACAAAACTGAGGGGGTTATGCGATGTAAAATTGTAAATCATAAAAAAGGAAAAAGCGGTTAAGAAGGGAATGGAGGGCCAAAAAAGGAGATAAAAATAGAGACTCGTAAATAGCCAATAAATGGCGGGGATATGATTATTACGAGCATGTTACTTTTTTCTTTTTTCTTTTTTTTTTGTTTACCATTAATTAACCTTTTCGTTTTGACCATCTCCTTCCTCCTCCTCCTTCTCTTCTTTTTCCAAACGAGGAAAACAAGCAGAAGAGAGGATTCATGTTCTTGTCTCGTTGTGAGATCTTTCTTTCTCTCTTTCACTTTTTCTCAAAAAAAAAATGTATAATACTGTCATTGTCTCTATAATCTGATTTTTACGTACGTTACACACAATTGCAGGATCACTCAACAACAAAAATGCTGAGGTTCTTCCTTCTTTTATCCCTTTTCATACCCTCCTCTGTTGCCGCAACCAAGGTTACCCCTAAGGCTGTTCCTCCCAAGAAATGGCTCACCCTTAACGGTAAGTCTCATTTTACATTACATGTTTTTCTTTTTTTTCTTTTTTTCTGAAGTGGTATAATTATGATATATGAACATGCCCATGTTACACAACATGTGTTTCTAAGAACCCATGCCTGTCTTTTGTCTTCAGGGAAAGAGCCTGCGGTTGTTGCAAGAGGCGGCTTCTCAGGTCTTTTCCCGGAGTCTAGTGCCCCTGCAAACGACATGGCTATTAGCACCAGCTCGCCTGGCCTCACAATGTTGTGCAACCTTCAGATGACTAAGGATGGCGTCGGCCTTTGCTTGTCAGATATTAGACTTGACAATGCAACCACCATCTCCACGCTATTCCCCAAAGCCCAGAAGACTTACAAGGTCAACGGTCAGGACCTCAAGGGATGGTTTGTCCTTGATTACGATGCCGACACCATCTTCTCCAATGTCTCCCGTATGTCATCTCCTCTTTTCTTTCCTTCAATGCTCACCACCACCACACTTTCTCATGTTTTGTATTCTTGTGCAGTCGTCCAGAACATCTTCTCTCGTCCCAGCATCTTTGACGGCCAAATGCCGGTTTCCGCAGTGGAGGACGTCCTCGGAACCAAGCCTCCCAAGTTCTGGTTGAGCGTTCAGGTACTTCTTCTTCTCTGTGAGCATTGATTAAGCACATAGCTAGGGAAGGTTCTTGTTGACTCATAAAAAAAAAAAAAAAAAACAATAAAAATGTGCAGTACGATGCCTTCTACATGGAACACAAGTTGAGCGCAGCTGATTACCTGAGAAGCTTGCGATTCCGCGGCATTAATGTTATCTCATCTCCGGAGATCGGTTTCTTAAAGAGCATAGGGATGGACGCAGGCAGGGCCAAGACAAAGCTCATATTCGAGTTCAAAGACCCCGAGGCAATTGAGCCCACCACCAACAAGAAGTACAGCGAGCTTCAACAGAACCTCGCAGCAATCAAGGCCTTTGCTTCAGGCGTTCTTGTCCCCAAAGACTACATTTGGCCCCTTGACACGGCTAAGTACCTTAAGCCCGCCACCACCTTTGTGGCTGATGCCCACAAAGCCGGTCTAGAGGTCTATGCTTCTGGATTTGCCAATGACATGCGCACCAGCTTCAACTACAGCTTTGATCCCTCCGCTGAGTATCTACAGTTTGTGGACAATGGCCAGTTCTCTGTTGATGGCATCATCACCGATTTCCCGCCAACAGCATCACAAGCCATCAGTGAGATGACTTAAAATATACCATCATCATATGTAGATGTATCCACACATATTTGATTATTAGAAAAAGCTAACACCGCATGTGTCTATGTTCTTGCAGCTTGCTTATCTCACCAAAAGGACAATCTCCCGAAAGCAGGGCATGCGTTGGTTATAACTCACAACGGGGCAAGTGGGGACTATCCAGGCTGCACTGATATGGCTTACGAGAAAGCAGTCAATGATGGAGCAGACGTGATCGACTGCTCTGTCCAGATGTCTAAAGACGGAATCGCTTTCTGCCATGATTCTGCAGACCTCACTGCAAGTACCACCGCCATGACTACTTTCATGTCCCGAGCCACCAGCGTTCCTGAGATCCAGCCTACCAACGGCATCTTCTCTTTTGATCTCACCTGGGCTGAGATTCAGTCCGTGAAGCGTAAGAAACTGATTTATAGATATCTGAAGCAATCTCATTGTCAAGTCTCAACTAAATCACTGACGTTGGGGTTCTTTTCCTTCAGCACAAATCGAGAACCCCTTCACTGCCACAGGATTCCTGAGAAACCCAGCAAACAAGAACGGCGGGAAGTTCACGACTCTCGCTGACTTTCTTGAATTCAGCAAAGCAAAGGCAGTCACCGGAGTTTTAATAAACATTGAGGCAAGCCTATTTAACTTTCAAGTGCTCTGTAACTAACACAAGGAAGCTTTACTAATACTTTTTTTCGTTTACAGAATGCTGCTTATTTAGCCTCAAAGAAAGGCCTAGGAGTCGTAGACGCAGTCAAGTCAGCTCTGACCAATTCCACACTCGACAAGCAATCAACCCAGAAGGTTTTGATTCAGTCAGATGACAGTTCAGTTTTATCTAGTTTCGAGGCTGTCCCTCCTTACACTAGAGTCTTGAGTATCGACAAGGAGATTGGAGATGCCCCCAAGCCATCCCTTGAAGAAATAAAGAAGCATGCAGATGCTGTCAATCTCAAGAGAACTTCTCTGGTCACCGTCTCCCAAAGTTTTGCCACAGGAAAAACTAACGTTGTAGAGGAAATGCACAAATCAAATATCTCTGTTTACGTTTCGGTGCTAAGAAACGAGTACATCTCCATAGCATTCGACTACTTCTCTGATCCTACGGTAGAGCTTGCAACATTCATTGCTGGGAGTGGCGTTGATGGAGTAATCACAGAGTTCCCTGCCACTGCAACCAGATACTTAAGTAAGTTTAAACTTCTACAAGAACAATATACATATTACCAAGATAAGGCTGATCAATTATATTTGATACAAATGCAGGGAGTCCATGTTCAGATTTAAACAAAGACCAGCCCTATGCTATCTTACCTGCAGAAGCCGGCGCTCTACTGGCTGTAGCAGACAAGGAAGCACAACCACCAGCAAGTGCCCCAAACCCGCCTCTTGATGCCAAAGATGTGATTGATCCGCCTCTGCCTCCGGTTGCAAACATGGCCTCCTCCAATGGAACTGGAGAAGGTCCGCCACATACTCCTCCTCCTTCAGGCACCGTTGCCACTGCTACCAATCTCAGCATTTCCTTGCTGGCAGTGATGGCTTTGGGACTCCTCTGTACTGCCTAATAAGATTGATTACATGATATAACTTCATAGGTTATGTAACATGTTTGCCCTCAGCGTATTCAAACTGACACGATTTGAGCTATCTATGTTTTACTCATGTTAACCAAAATATGCAGCAAACAGTGATTTGTTGTTATAGATTAAAAGGCTCTAAGAAATTTTTTTGTTGTCATAGGAATGTTTGATTTCGATAGAGATTTTGAATCTTGATAATCGTTCATATATATTTACACACCTTCTCCACTATGCAGTCTCTACTCTCATAGTTCTTACTCTCTCAAGTCTCGACATTGTTAACCTGCAAAAAGCAAACAGCAATTATCAAGTCATCAAAGGACGATTACAAAATATTATAACGAAATTACTACAATATATAATACAGAGTGCCGTTTTTTAATAAATATTCTCGCTCTCTCCGGAGGCGCTTAGTATAAGAACAAAACTAAAAGACCAATAATCTTTGATAAAAGTTACATCAACTACTACAAGAGTATTCTCTCGAGTCATCCTTATGCGTATTCTCTTTCTATTCTTACACAACTTAGCTCCTCCCATACACACTCTCCCTAGTCTTCTAATTAATCTCTATTGCGCTTGATCCTCCATCGCATTATCGCCACAACTGCTCTGCGGGATGGGAGAATCTCATAATTCGTTTAAGCATCAGAAGCTACATGGAGAATCAAACTATCCCTCAACCCAGCCGAAGAGAGCCACTTCCTCGCTTTTTATTTCAGCTCCAGTTTATGACTTTCAGCTACTTGTCCACCGTCTTTTCCTTGCTGGCCGTTCTGCTTTCACTTCTGGATCCACAGGGCCTTCTATTTTTGCAGAGGGCAGCGTCTCAGACTCCATTTTCTTTACTCCCGTGGTGTCTTTCTCCGTGGACATTGGAAGCTTGAATCTTTCACTGCGTTTCTTGAGTTTCTCAACCGTGTCCAAGTGCCGGTCTCCTGGTCCCTTCTCGCTTCCATCTTTGGTCTCTGCAAGGTCATGGCCACTTTTCTCTTCACTTACATCCCGATTCTTACCAATAGACCCAGTAACAGGTTCACTAAGCCGGCCATTAGTATTTTTTTCGTTCTCTTGAAGTTTTGTGGAAATGGATGATGACTTGGCAGAGACAGCATCATCTCTCTCTTTGTGGCTTGCCCAACGCTCCAGTTTTGTACGTCCTCTCTTTGAATCGTGTATCTCATCACCAGAGGATGCGTTTTCCTTGTGTCTTTTGGTGGCATTAGGTTGCTGTGAGATCTCATTCCTGCAGTTCTTTGCTTCGCTGGTTCCTTTTGAGACCTGAAAGGAATGAAAGTAACATCATTACTGACCATGAAACAGAACAAAAGTTACCAAACCGTGAGATATCTAAGGTAAGTTAGGTAACTGAACAAAAAAATCGCAAGGTATATTGCATTCACGATAACCACGCTATGTTCATTTTCAAAAGTTGGATGATAATAGAAAATAAATCTATAGGTTGTGGAGCATACTGTCACTACAGAATTGCCATTTTGCTCCCCTTGCTTGCCCCTTAATGATTCTGTGCCCTCTCGCTGTTCTTTAATTTTTCGTCTAGAATCTTTATGTTTTCTGTCTAGCAATCGCTGGGCATCCAAAGTATCAATAACCTTGTCATTTTTAGCACCTGTCCTCTCATGCCTTGGTTTTTTCTCATTACTAACAATGTCATCTGTGCGTGCAGAGAAGTCTTCATATCCTCTATGATGGGAAGAACTTTCTTCACCAGGGTAGTCCCTTCTCTTTGTCTGTTTAGTATGCCTTGTTGTATCTTTGGTGAGATGCTCTTTGTCAGAAGCTTTATATTCATCTTTCATCCTTGATGATCGGTCTTCGGAACCTCTGTGGGCCCGTACAGCCACCTGCCTCTCTCTTCCTCGTGCTGATAAACCATCCTCGTGCATTGGTTTATCCTCACGCTCCCTCAACCTCTCGTTTCCATCTCTCTGCATATAAAAATCATCTCTATGCCTGAGAGAACTATGGTCGTCAAAATCATCTCTGATTTTATGTTGGAAATCTCTCTTTTGATGCTCCATCCTATCATCACGTTCTCGTTTCAGGCGGCTGATTGATTCTCTTTGACCATATGGGATTTCACTTTTTTCTGGCCGGCTTCTTCTCAAGTATTCTTCATCCTTCCTCCTCTTGTTAATGTGATCATCCACTTCATAAATATTTCGGCCAACATCATCCATATGCTTTCTGGAAGGAACATGATCATCTTTGCTGCGTATTTCATTCTCTCGCATTTTACCCCTCTGCCTAGAGCCCGGATCATCTTCACGATCCCTTTTTCTAGACCCCTCATCCCCACCTCTTCTACTGTATGGGTCATCCTCTGTCCTGCGCCACACCCCGCCATCAACATCTCGCTCTTTTCTTCTATCAAAATCTTCGCGATTTGCAATTGAGTAGATATAACTAGAATCCAGCTCCATGTGGGGATTAGAATTCTCTCTACCACCTTTGCTCGCCGCTCGTGTTCTTTCCATCTCCTTCCCTCTGTCCTGATTCTTTCTGCTCTGGTAAGGTGCATTGTTATCGTGCTGTTTCCTATTACTAGCTGGTCGGGCATAATGTTTATCTTGAATAACTTCTTCTTCTACCCCATCTTTCAGTTGCGGATAGTCTCTGTGACTTCCAGATCTTGCTTTGCTGCTTTCACTACTTCTCTCCGTCTTTGATTCCCCTCCATCATCTTCTTGAACTGCTGACTGAGGGACTGTAGAACTCACTTTATGCTCCTCCTCCATATCCGCATCTTTGCCAACTTCATCTCCCACATCTTCGCGATCAACACTTGATGACCTTGTGCCTCTGTCCCCGACAGGAGACCCGACAGGAGACCCAACAGGAGACCCAACAGGAGACGATGAGCGAAAACTCTGGCCACTATCATCCGTGCTTCTAGAGATCTCATCGTCTTGCTTTTTGAGAAGATCTTTCTGTGGCTCATCCTGGGCAGGACTACGTTCAGCAGATTCCGTATCAGGTCTCCTGCTCTTAACATAACTATTCTCAACTGAGACATTTTCTCCAGGAAGGCTACTATCGGCTTGGTCTGCACCATTTTCCCCTGAGGGTTCATCCTCATGCGAATCCTGACATACAATCTGGCATAAAATCGTTATCAGTTAGTAGCAGTCAGAATACAGCATGCAGAGATGCCTCGCCAGTAAACCAAAATAATAATTTGAAACATGTTCACAACCTCAATGATAGCATCTAGATCACGCATTCGAGGTGCACGCGTATCAATGGATGGCAGACGTTCACCAGAACCAGTCTCCACAGGTATTGGTCTTCCAGGGGGCTGTGAGAAAACAAATTCAAATATATACTCCAGCTTTTAAAAACTAAGAACAAAAATGTCCAGCCACAATGTTACCATAGTTTGTACAATATAATGAATCACCAGGCTACTTTAAAATGAGAGCAAAGAAAGGAGAAAATATACCAGTGAAGGCCGAACATTGGCTGGTACTTTAGCTGAATCACCTTGAACAGAGTCTGGCTTCACTAAATTTGAAGAATCAACAGGAACACCCTGCGCTCCTGTTGCTGCAGCTAACTCTGGGGGTAGATCTGGATCATAACCCTATCATTGAGCAAGAGAATGATTAGGAATGTATTGTCATCCTTTTGTATCTGATGTAGACAAAATATCATCCGACTGCGAAGAATAATCAGCTCGTAAGCGCCAGAACATATGCCAAGATCCACTTTACCTGATCCGTTCTACCGCTTTCATAAACACGTATTCTGCTTTGCATTGTGGTCTCTATACGGTGTTGGTCCTGTAGGAAATAAAAAGAAGCTCCTCTTAGTGCTCTTCATCTCTCTTCATCTACTGAAATAAAGATATGAACACAGTTATTAATTACCAGCTGTTTGCAATAGTCTTTCCAGCTCTCCTCGTTTAGTCCAAAGTTATAGTAGTCTGTCATATCAATTCCTGGATATCTCCAGGGCTTTTCCTCGAAACTCTCTATGTCGACCTCAAATATAGTCCTAAAAAAACAAAAGAGTAGACATCAAATAAAAGAAACAAAGATATGTAGTAATCAAAACTAGGAACTTGCAAAATCAGACCTCAAAGAACAAATAAGTAAAAAAAGATGTATACATACATATATATATATATATAGATATATATAGATATAGATATTAGTCTGAACAGATAAAAGAGTTACTTGTGAGAGGGGAGAGTAAAGTCCAGTCCCCGCCCTGCTGTATTACTACCCCAGGACTGATGGAAGCCTTTCTGTGCAGCAGAAGCATTCCTCATTCCCAGTGGACGCCAATCTCCTCTGCCACGACCAGCAGGACCAAGGTTGGCAGGTGGACGAACTTGACCTGAGGTCCCACCAGTAGATGCAGCACCTCCAGGAATAGGGGCTGCCCCTGGTCTTACATACTGCAAGAGAAAGATATGTATATGTCAAGTAGATTAATACCACGCTATTTGTTTCGGTGTCAATATGCGTAACTTTGGTATGACTATTCCTAAATGTTGGTTTCATAAGGGTCTGAAGAAATGTTATTCTTCTTACAGTCCTCTTCTTCAATTGCTAACTGTTAGGAACTTGAAACAGCATAGTTGATGGTGGTGTAGGATAGCAATATAGAAGAGAGGAAGCGATTAGATTATTATCTCCCTTTGACATTCTTAATTTTTGTGACCAAACACCAGGGTATTGGTAAACAAGTATAGAGATGGTGTGTCAAAAGCTAGAAGCAGACTCCAATTAATCTGATTAACACACTCTGCATTGCATTATGGTTGAGGTACAAGTACAAAGGATATATGCAGACATAATAAATGAAAACTAAAACAGGGTCACGACAAGAACCCCAGCTACTAAGAAATCTGACCAGTGACAACAGTGTTGCATCGACACTGACCTTAAACTGAGAATGAAACGGATGATACCCATGACTGCTATACCCAGCTTTGGGCGGTCCAGTAGCACCTCCTGGTCCACTCCCTTTTCCAGCTTCTCCTCCATCTTTGCCATCTCCTTCGATACCTTGCAGACCATCTTCTCCCCAGTGCTGCTCCTCCATAGGTTGATTTGGGTCCGTGTCGGCGACTATAACAAGTGGTTCTTCATCATCTTCGTCATCGTCATCTTCGTTGTCTCCCATCCTTGATCTTCTATCAGCTCCTCCGATCATGGCGTTGCGGCTACTATCATTCAATACTATCTGCAAATCATCTTCACTGTCGCTATCCCAATCATCGCCTTCTCCCTGTCCTCCGTAGCCTCCGTCGCCACCACCAGCCTGCTCAATTCTTGCCGTAACTTGCGAAACGCCTCGATCTGTAGACAGACCAGGTAACGCTCCAGCTCCAGAAGCGGCAACGAAAAGACCAGGAATCGTGGGTGTAGAATCGGCATCGGGTTCTTCGATATCAAAGCTCATGTCCTTCTCGTCGCCGCCACCATCGGCAATTGCTTGCCGAGTGATGGATAATTTGGAAGCATCGTTGCCCGAAACCCTAGAGACTGAAGCTGAATTAGCTTCTGCCACGTCTTGATCTTGGGATCGGAGGTTAAGGTCGATTGAACGGTGGGGAAGCGGAGGCGGAGGAGGAAGAACAACGGGAGTTTGAAACGGCTGGAGAACGTCGGAGTACAGATCTCCGAACTCGTCGTCTTCGTCCATTGGAGTGAGGTAGATTGGAAGAAGAAGAAGAACGGCCGATTTCGAATGAAGCACACGAGAGCAAAGAGAGAGACGGTGAAGCTAAGGGCTTCTTCTCAAGTCTCGGCTCCTTTTTATCATCGCTAGGGCCTTTTTTTTATACACCTATTTACTTTTTTCTACTCAGATTAGGATTAATTCGATTATATATCATTATTATTTTAAAAATAAAACTCTCTCCTTTTTTTGTACTTTCATCAAACCGAAGACAAACCAGGTTGAAAAATAAAAAACAAAAGCATCGTCTTCGCTTTCTTTTACCGGAAAAGCATAACTTTCACCGGAAACTAAGAAAGGTTCTGTGTTTAGGGTTCTGGGCAGCTCGTTCTTACGCTTTAAATTAAAGAGGACTAGGGAAGAAGATGATCGGGGTCGGGAAAATGAAGCAGTACTCCAACGTACTTGACAAGCCTCTCAGCAAAGGCAAACAAGAGGTATTAGATCCACTTTTCTCTTCTTAATTTCGGACCTTTGCTCAGAAAAATTTTCATCTTGTTAATATTGACACTGAGTCGAGTATTCAAATTGAGAACATTGTTTCGATTCGGATCCGGATCCAATACTTGTGATGGGGATTTGATTCAAATCTCTCGGCTTTTGATCTTCTTCTTTGATCTATTAACTGTGGTTATTCGATTTCGAGTATCTTCTGAGAATTGATTTGTTTTGGAACTTTAATTGTGTTGCAGGTTAGCTTGACCGCATTTGCTTTTTTATTCTCTGAGCTCGTTCAGTATAATCAAACCCAGGTTGACAATATAGCTGAACTTGAAAGAAGGTGAGCTGATTTGGTTACTAAGAATAACATTTCTGAGTCTGAATCATTCACATTCCATCTCCCAACAATGTGTTTTCTTAACATAACGTTGTCTCTCAGACTAGAGGATGCTGGGTATGCTGTTGGATCTCGAGTTCTGGAGCTTCTTTGCAACCGGGAGAAGGTACGTTGTGTTTTAGCAAAATGTCTGATACTTGAATATTTTTCCTTTCTTATAATTTTTTCTTCATGGAAGAGCAATGCAGAGTTCAAGTCTTATGGATATATTTTCTTTCATTGTTTCAGGGCAACCGAAGAGAGACTCGGTTACTGGGAATTCTATCTTTCGTCCACAGTACAGTCTGGAAGGTATTGTTTGGAAAGGTGAGGGGTTATTTCAAACTGAATTAGCTGTTGACTCTTTCTATGGACATGCCTGTTTATGGATACTGACTCCCCCTTAACAAATATGCCATAGGTTGCTGATTCACTTGAAAAAGGAACAGAACATGAAGATGAATATATGATCAGTGAAAAGGAGCTTCTCGTCAACAGGTTTAGATTACTCCAGCTTTATCTATAAACACTCAAGATAAGTCGATTTCTTTAGGTCAAGAGACTTGATAAAAAGTGTCAAAAATGTAGGTTCATTTCAATTCCAAAAGACATGGGAACATTCAACTGTGGGGCTTTTGTTGCCGGCATAGTCAAGGTGAGTGCTCCCTTCATTTATTCATGAATAGGGTTAAAATCAATTTGGTAGAGAAAGAGAAGAATGAGCCAGCCACGATTTCTTCTGTGCAGGGAGTTCTGGATAACGCAGGGTTTCCTGCTGTGGTAACGGCTCATTTTGTACCCATTGAAGGACAACAACGTCCTCGGACAACCATTTTGATCAAGTTTGCTGATGAGGTTAATGCCTACATCCCTCTCTTTTCCTGACAGTCGTTTTACCTTCTTTGGGAAAAACTTAATCTTGCCACTTGTTTTACCTTCTTTACAACCTTGCTGCGCAGGTGCTTAAAAGAGAGGCACGGCTAAGCCAATGAGAGAGCTCTTTCTGTCACTAAGTTGCTATGATCTGGAAACTATTGGCTTTATGTGAACTGCTTGTGCAAATCTACTGTCTGTTTTTTTTTATGATTATAATTACATTTTGAATTAGAGCTGCAGAGCCATTGTCCGTGAATTTGTAAACAGCATACATAACCATCTTGTTACATATTGCAGCTTATACAAGTTTCCTAGTTTTAACAACCGTTGATGTTATGGTAAGGTTATGTTTTTCCCAATAGCAAAAGATAAAGGAAAACATTAAAAAATCCAGTGACGAAATTACATAGCAAGTTGATACATCAATATAATCAGAACAGATCAAAGCAAATGAAGCAAGCAGGTAAACAACATGGTTTCGACAAATCAGTTCCTGCCGAGAGGAAGTGACCTGCAAGAGTATGTCTCCCTGAAATCAGACTTCTTTTTGGAGGAAGTAAAGAGAGAAGCGTAGACTTCCTTGGTAGCATTAACGGGAACTTTGTCACCCGCCTTGAATTTCTTCACAGTAACACCACTGACATTCCCATCATCCATCTGTCTCTTGACGACCTTTGCTCCAGCGTCAGCCACCACGGCAGCCCCGCTCTTGTTCTTCTTTGAGACACCTTTCTTCTCTCTAAGCTTTGCTTTCTCCTCGTCCATTCTCTCCCTCAACAAACCCACTTCCTCATCTGTACCGTTGATCACAATCTTATCAGAATCTTTGACTTCCGCGTGACACACCAAACACGAAGAAGACTTCACTTCCTTCAACGCCTTGGAACTCATCACATGCCCGCATCCCCTCAAAGCGAAAAACTTGTACTTTCCATTGAATTCAAGCCCTGAGACTGGACACTGAAACTGGGCACTAGTGGTATCTTGCGATGATCCATCAGAACCAGCGACAGGCGTAAGCTTGATATTCACCATATCTTTCAAACCCTTAATGTAGGAGAATTGCTTAGGCAGCCTCTTAGATAACAGAGCATGAACCAAAGCTTCTTTATTAAACAAATTCCCGAGGAGATCAATCACGCAAGGCTCTGCCAAAGGCTCGTTAGACAAAGCACAATTTAACCATTTTGAGAGCCTCTGCTCATTCGGATCAACCTTGTCAGGTTTCTTCTCGGCGTACATATTGAGGTAACAATCACGAGACTCAGCTCCCGTCGCACCGCCATCTCCTCCACCTCCACGGAAGCGAGGGAAAAGAGTGAGCGTGGATACAGAAGGGAGCTTAGATACTTGGATCCGTGTAGACCCATTCAAAAGCTTCCCATCTAGAGCAACGCAGAAATCCGAAAACGATTTACGATGCGACGATTCGAGTAAGGACGTGAGACCCGAGAGAGTTAATACAGACTGCGAGGGATCCAATTGTAGAGCGATCGTTTGATGAAAGCCAGGAGATTTAACGAAGATTTGGCGCCGGCTGTGCATCATGGTGGCGTAAGGTCTCTAGGTTTCCGATCAATTTTGGTCGGTGATTTGATTTTCAGGGGTCGAGGAGAGAGAAAACGAGGAAAAGGATAACTTCAAGAAAGTTTGTGTATATATATACAACTTAGGAGAGGGCTATTTCATCTTATGATTTGGGCCAAATAGTTTCTACTTGGGGCTATCATTATTTTTTATTAATGGGCCTATCATTTAGTTCTACTGTTTTCTCTCATTGAATTTTAATTTCTGTTTTTATTTCTGTGAATTTGCATAAATTTGTTTCTAAAACATGTTTGAATTCAAAATTGAGAGTAGCATTTTCATCATTCGAAACTAAAAAAAGGTGAGAGTATTTTCGAAATTCTGAATTAAAATGGAAACAACAACAAAAAATATAACAAAGATTGTATACAGATTCGAACTCTAAGGATAATATAGAATTTGGTGTCATAAAAAAATTTAATATAGAATTTAATTTAAGGATAATTAACAGCAAAAACAAATATAGAGGCCGGCGAGGTACGACTTTTTTGAGATAATTATTTAAGAGATTCGATATATACATAATTTTTATATATGAAAATATTAAAAGATGAAAATGAAACGGCCAGTAAATTAAAAAAATAAGAAATCAAAAATTTTGAAAAGAATAAAAATGGGGAGGGAACAGAGGAAGAAGACAGAAGAAGAAGAAGAAGAAGAAGAGATGGAGAATGGGAATGGAGAAGGTAAGGGAGAGTTCATAAACCAAAACAATGACTTCTTCCTTGATTCCATGTCAATGCTCTCTTCTCTCCCTCCTTGCTGGGATCCATCTCTTCCTCCTCCTCCTCCGCCACCAAACTCTCTCTTCCATGCTCTCTCCGTCGACACCCCTTTCCCTGACCAGTTCCATCACCCTCAGGTACCAAAAACGTTCACATTCCATTTATTATCACTACTCCAAAATCTAAAAATGTTTCTGATTCTTTTGTGTTGTTTTTTGTCAATGCAGGAGTCAGGTGGTCCAACAATGGGGAGCCAAGAAGGGCTGCAGGCACAAGGGACTGTCTCGACCACGAGCGCACCTGTTGTTCGACAAAAGCCAAGGGTGCGAGCCAGGAGAGGCCAAGCTACTGATCCTCACAGCATTGCTGAAAGGGTATCTCATTATTTACTTCCTCCATCTCTTTTTCTTCTCTTATCTTGTGTTTTTAATTGTCTGTTTTTGAACAGCTAAGGAGAGAACGCATCGCAGAGCGTATGAAGTCTCTCCAAGAACTGGTTCCTAACACCAACAAGGTACTCATATTGTTTTACTGATTTGTGACTCTTGTCCTGGATCTAGCATGATAACCGAATTGGTTGATGATGAGATGCAGACTGATAAGGCATCGATGCTTGACGAGATCATCGAGTATGTTAGGTTCCTTCAGCTTCAAGTCAAAGTACTAAGCATGAGTAGATTGGGAGGTGCAGGTGCAGCTGGTCCACGCCTCAATGGTCTCTCCGCCGAGGTCAGTTTCTTAGTCTTTTATGGCTTTCCACATCTCTATAGTGGAATTACCAATCATCATTCATAATCATCATCGTCATGGTTTTTGGTACTGTAGACAGGAGGAAGGCTCAATGCTCTCACTTCACCGTGCAATGTTGTAAACGGGAGCGGAAACGCTACTGGATCATCAAACGAGAGCCTAAGGTCAACAGAACAGAGGGTAGCAAAACTGATGGAAGAAGACATGGGATCAGCAATGCAGTATCTTCAAGGGAAGGGGCTTTGCTTAATGCCCATCTCTCTAGCAACTGCGATATCATCCTCAACCACTCACTCTCGTGGATCTCTCTTCAACCCCATCTCCAATCCCGTAGCAGCAGAGGATGCAAATGTAGCAACAGCAGCAATTGCTGCACCTGAAGCCTCCTCGACTATGGATGACGTACCTGCTGCCTCCAAGGCCTGAACCATAGGGATACTCTCATGTGCCTCATCTTCTCAGTTTAAGTCAAACATTCATATCCATATCATTTTACTTTTTTCACTGTTAAGCATGAATAATATAAAACAGTTACACAAAGAACATAACCGACAAGACAAGAACACTCGTATACGCCTATACGTGTGTTGCTGGTGGGACCGTAAGGTAAGAGACATGCGTCCCACTACCTTCCCAAATCATTCTTTGTCAACGTGTTCTGTAACTATAATGTCTTAAACATTGTTTGCTCAATCGTGGAACTTATATAGTCTTATAATATTCAAGTTGAAGCTTTCCACTCTCTTATAAACTACTACTATTGATATGCCTAAATTCTTGAACCACCCGGCTTTTTTCGGTTATCAGATACCAAAACTGTGAATAAGACCCCTGTCCATTAGAGGATGAGGAAAACACACATACACTCCTACATTTCACAAAGTTTCAGGAGCACTGATGAACAAACCACATCTTCAGTAGCTCAGTAACCAAAACGATCAGGTTCTATATACACGTACATATATGTATCTCAGCATAGTGTATGTATACTAGATGCTTGCAGATAGATCAACAAACGTTTTGGGCAATAGACACAGAAGGCAAACAATCAGGTAGGTCCTTGAGTTGAAATGTACCACTTTATTCCCATGTTAAAGGATTACAACTCAAATACGATCTAAGACTATAAGCAAAGAAAATCAACTCTCATGATTCAGGAACAGTATCTGTCCATTGTAAATCTTCCTCAGCAAAGAGACCTTTAACACCTGACAAAGACAAACAAATAAAACTTGATGTGATGTGATATACTCAAAAGAGTCAAAGACAAGATAAAAAAAAAAAAGCTTAATCATAACATAGAGGGTGAGAATATATCTACAGAAACACTAAAAGAAGTATGCAAAGAGAAGACAAATAGAAGAATCTGAGTTTGAAGTCAAATAAGGACAGGTTGAGCAATAAAGTACCAGGAAAGGAAGGAAACTAAGAGGAAGGAGAAGGCTTGAAAGTGTAAGGCTGAGGAAGTGACATTGGACCTTTCCTCTCATCTCCATCATCCAACAGCCTTTGAACTCTCTTGTTCCTACAGTACTCCCTATCGAAATGCTTCACCTGCAAATTTCCATCCCTTCCATTCAAATCAAAAGTCCAAATTGTAGTTTTGCAAACTAATTGAAAGAGGAGAGTACCCAAGAGGATCGACAGTTGTTGACGAATTGGGTTCTAGAATTGCTACACTCTTTAGGATAGAGAAGACCAACGGTCGCGATTTCAGTTGGTTTTTTACCAGATTCCTTTTCAAGACAAGCGTAAAAAGCATCTCTGGCCTGCACAAATTAAATGATCACTCCAACCATTTACTGTCTAACCTGATAATCATTTAATCAGAATCACAACGAAATAGAGCAGAGAGAAAATAGGAAGACGGACCTTGTAGCAAGCATCTCTAGCTTTCAGAAGAACATTCTCATGAACCTCATTAGGGTTCGACGACGCATATGTATCGACAGACATATCTAAGCAGCGAAGAAGACGAAATCAGAAACAGAACCACAACTAAACACCAACCAAACAAACAAACGAAACCAGACGGGGAACATAAATATAAGGCCCAGTTACGCCCGGCCCAACTAAGTAGTCGGTAGAAAACACACCTTGTCAAACAAGCATTTACGGAGCAATGAACAAGAGAAGAGATTTCGTATCAAAAGTTAGTATCTTAGTTGAAATATCCCAGAAATATCAGATACAATGTACATTTAAAACTTTACTCTGATTCATAAAACAAAGTCTATACTTCTTTCTCATCGTGTTACATAAATCACTCTTCTTCCGTTCCTTGTTGCTTCTTGAGCTGCTCTAAACTGAAGTTCTCTTCTGGCTGCTTCTTCCACAGGTAATTAGCTGCGTCTATCCATCCTCTATGTACCACAAACTTCTTCTCTCTTAAACCCCAACGTGCCTTCTCTGTTCCCATCTCCATAGCTACCACGTGTGTCACTGATGCATCCACTTCAGTTGCGCAGGTGGCTCCCAGTTCCTCTGCCATTTTCCACAGAGGGTGATCTTCCGGCTTAGCCTTGGTTGGGAACACCCGACTGAACACTACTTTACATCCTTTAAGTATCTCTTTACGCACTTGTTTAAGCATCAACCTAACATCTTTATTAGATATATCTTCATCCACATCCTGAAAGAAACGAATCATAATCAGCAAAAACCCCAACTAGGCAAAAGATAGGCTTTCTTTAGATCCAGTGTGTATGTATATGGGTATACCTTAAAGAATAGCGCATGCACTTGTTTTAGGACTTTCAGGACAGTTGCAAGTGCCCCATCTGGTTCACTCTCATCGCTCTTCAACTCCGATAGAGACTTGTATTTGTGATCGAACTGTCTGCAGCTCGAAGCGAAAAAGTGATACCTCTCTATCACGATCAAATTGTCTTTGTGATTTGGCCACGCCTGTGCAGCATACCAAGTATCAGCACAACTCAATATCATGATTAAGAGTTACACGAAACATTGAAAAGTTACACAACATACTTACATTCTCTGTATCGTCAAGAATCAGAACAGCACTTTCTTGTCCAAGCACCACATCGAGACTCTTTTGATGTCTCACTGTGCCGTCATCCCGAGAAATTATCCGATCACCAAAGTACTCTCCTTTAGGGTCAAGTAGCTTCGCCATCTGCCGCGCATATTGCCGATCTCCCATTGTGTATATGTACATCACAAACATCTCACTGGCTTCTTTTAGAAATGAGTGAACAAACGGCCTCAGTTTGGTCATCATGTGCATATGTTCCGGCATGAAAAGACTGCCTCCGGAGACATCTGAGATTAACAAAAAAATCCGAAAATTCTTAGAAATACAACACATGCAACCATCTAGATGGGACCACAAAAGGACAGAAACAAGACAGAAGTTCCATAAAAAAAGACCATATTAGTAAGAAAGGAATTTGATAAAAGCAAAACAATGTATCTCAATGTATCACCTAAAAGAGAGTGCGTATGGCTTTTCAAGTATTCCTCCTCTGGTTTCAGGTCTTTTAGTAAGGTTGAATTAAGCAGGGTGTGGTCTAGATCGAGAACTAAATACAGCTTCCGCTGGCGTTGCAATAATGTCATATCTGAATCTCGCAACCGGGAGATTTCATCTTGATTGAGCCTCATTTCCTAAGAACACAGATTTCCCAAAGCTCATCAACAAAAACTAAGACTTGATTTAAGTGAAGCTATTCTGAGATGAGTAAGTTAATAATCGAATAGATTGGCTAACCTTGTGTATGTATCTAAATGAAACACCGGTTTCTACCAATTTTTGTCCACAGACAAAGCACATATTTCCAAACGAACCTGGGTGCTCGCATTCTCCTTTGCTTGAGGATGCTTCTGCAACCGTAACAGATTCGAAATTAAACATAATAGAACACATGACAGAGAGCAATAATAAGGCTGAAGAAAGAAAGCTTCACCCTCAATCTCCTCTTCGTCAACAGTCTCCAAACGCTCAAACTTTTGTCTCTTTGACCTAAAAGATGATTGAGAAAACATAGTAAACACACTGTAAACAACAGTAGAGTTTGAAGATTCGATTAAAGAGAAGGCATGACTTGTGAGAGTTGAATTTACCCATGATTGGAAGCTTCAGTGTCATTCCCGGCTACTTCTTCTTCTTCGCTGGGTAAGGAGTCAGACGAAGCATCTGAGGCAGAGTCCAGTTCAGCATCAAGGAAGGCAGCAAGATCATCACTACTTGAGGAATGCACTGGAGAATCGGCTGCCACACTCATCTGAAAACCAATCACAACGTATGCAAAATCTGAGAAATTCCAACGCCAATCAAAGTTACCATTCGACTAAAACCCTAAATTAAACCAAAAAAAAAAAGAGCAGAATGGGATTCGAATTGGAATCGCAGAGAACCATAGAACGATACCTTGTTTTTGTTCGTCTGAAACGAGAAGCTGAAATCGTGTGATTTTTGTTGGGTTTTTGAGGAAGAGAGTGGAGTTACCACGACCGGTGTGCAACCGTACGCTTTCAACTTCTCTCCGATTTGTTGTTTCACGAAAGCTGCATAGTTTGTATGTAATAACTTATAAATAATGAGCAAGGCCCGTTTAGGGCCCATTACAAGCCTAATTAAGATTACTTTATTTTAGCATAAATTTTTATAGTCAACACTGAACAGTTTGTAATTTGAAGCACCGAGTAGTTAAAGTAGAACTTATAAGAAGAAGATGAGCTTCACATTATTAACTGTATAGAAAGCTGTGTATAGAGAAGTAAAGTAACAGATTGAGGAGCCCTAACTAAAAACTAAAGAGATTAACATTACAGTATGTTGTTTATATATGGGAGGAACAAAAAGAAGGAAATTTAAGAAATTTTCTTGAGTTTATTAGGCATCATCATATGAGGAGCTCTTTTGAATTTAGGGACTTGTACTTCTTTTTCTTCTTCTTCTTCTTCGTCTTCTTCTATATTTTCATCATCATCAGTATCTTCATTTTGATCAGTCTTCCAAATCATCTTCTGCTGATAGTATCTTAAAGCAACGAATAACATGAATGCTGCCCATACACGAGCAGTGACGGAGGAGAGGTTCCATACGAGGGTGAAGAGTGCCAAAGCCACTGCCTTTTTGTGATTGCATGATTCCCATGCATCCCTGAATCTCCTCATCCAGAAGTTTCCTGCATGTACACAACCTGAGTGTGAATCAATGTCTCAAAGAATGATGTACCGGAGAGGTACAAAACAATTGTTTTTAAGTTACCGTAAGCTGAGAAGTGGGTTGAGTAGGAGATGAATATTTTAGGCACTGTGAATGCTCCCAAGAAGCCTGTTCTCACGCAGGAAAACACTCAGAACTCTAACATCTACACACACACACACCATGTCTTAAAACAAGAATTCTGATAAGACTTAAGAGTCATAAAGGTACCAAATTTGGCTAGGTTCCAAAGAGTGATGGAAGAGCCACACCTGGCCAAGACGAATAGCACCACTCCCATCTGCACAACATCATCATCGTCTATAGTTTCTTAACGTGATATACAGAGACAAGAGAGAGCAAGAAAGTAAGAAGAAGAAGACTTACCTTGAGAGTAGTGGAGGGATCGCCAGAGAAAAGTGCTCTGAGTTGAAAGAGAGACTCGTTGAGGTAAGGCATTATAAGTCTGAGCATCCTCTTCACATCTTCCTCTCTCACTCCAACTATTTTTTGCCTCTCCTCCACCACTCCCCTGCGTCCACCATTATCATATGCCTTTTAAAGCCAGTCACAAAAAAAAAAAAAAACATGCAAAGACAGAGAGAAAGAGAGAGAAATGGGTCTATGCATCACACCTGTAGATCAGTGATTTTAATACGAACATGACTCCCAGATAGATGAGTCCCATGTAGGCTACGACTGATATGAAGCTGTACATATCCATTCACATTTTAGCTCCAACTACTTAAAACTAACTTGTGTGTAAACTTCCTCAATCAATTAAGAAAAACCTGAAATTGAGATCATTGGCGTAGGAAGAAGAGATTATGAGGAATGTCCCGAAGCCAAACACCAACGTCGACCTTGATGCATCTCTCCACATCACCAGATCCACTGTCCATTTCATTTCATCATTTACATATCTAACTCTGACTTTTCAGACTAAAAATTATGCATTTTACTGAATAGAATGAATCAAATTTATATATGATGGAACTATGCAGAGTACTACTGTATTAAGAATCTCATTCTCACCCAGACTCTGCAATTTGCTATGTGACTGAGTAAAGTGTTCTTCTTCCTCTGCAAAACTATCTGGAAACAGTCGTAAGAAAACAGAGGTTACGTCAAAAATTGAGAAGACACAAAAGAATGACGAAGCATCGAGATTCGGATCAAATACCTGTGCTGGGAGGTGGAACCGAATAAACGGGAGTAGCCTTTTTGATCACCGGAGGTGAAATTTTACGGACAGACGACGGAGATGGAGCTGTTCTGTTATGAAATTGACTGAACTTGCTGCTAATCTCAACACCACCAACTCTGTTCTCCTTCGCTACATTCATCTCTTTCACATCAACACTCTTCTTCTCTACTTCTCTCTCCTCCTCCTCCTCTTCTCGCTCTTCTTCTTCTTCTTCCTCGTGATCGCCATTTTCGATCTGCTCGTCAACGTTAGATTTAGTAGATACAATTATCTCCTGACAAACACCGAACTCCTTAACTTCCTCTGGGATCTTCGAATTCTCGTTAACGGTTTCCTCTTTCGGTGAATCTACAACATGCTCTGTTTTCTTATCAGAATTTGGTGATGGCAATGAATTCACTTTCCTCAACGCAACTGAATCAAATTCACCGGCTTTGACGATCGCCGTGCAGAGCTCCGATCGGGTCTTCTTAACTCGACCCGGAGTAGTCTTCTCAATCCCATCCACAGATTCAGATCTCACCTTCTTCACCACCGACACATTGGGGCTCTTATCGTCGCTAGAAATCGATCTCCTCGGCGTCATCGGAGGTGTACCAATTGATCTCGGCCTCGTAAGCTTCATAGAATTGGCTCGACCAATCTCAACCGATGATGGGTTCTTCACATCCGAAGCTCTTGACTTCCAAGTCCGTCTCTTTCCATTAACCCCTAAAGCTTCATCCTTTAAGCTCATCATTTGCTTGTCACAAGACTTGTCTTCGCCAGAGGCATGAATGACAATGGCTTTACTGTTACAAACTTCGTCGTCGCTCTGCATTCTCGTTTCCCAAACAGAGCCTGCAGCAACAACGGTTCCTCCAATTCTTCTTCTTCTGCTGCTGCTGAAGCTCGGGTCCATTCTCTGGCTGTCTTTATGTCACTGTCCTACTAGTAAAATTAGCTGAACTGGAAAGTTGTAATGATGATGAGCCTTGAAGCTGAAGGTAAATGGAGTTTGTTGGGCACTACTAATGTTAGAGAGAGAAGAGTTTGGAGTTTGGGTTGTTGGATCAGATAGAGGAGGGGGACCTATCTTTTGTCTCATGAAGATGAGACTAGAGATATCACACCAGAGTTGGCTAATTGGCTACTGCTTTAGTTAACCCTAAAAGCCTTTTGCATGTGGTTGCACTGCAAAGATGCTTGCTTAAACATAATCATTAAGGTTTATGATCACAATCTCTCTACTTTTACTTTTCTTTTTTCAAACCTAAAGAATTTTACTAACAGAATTGCTCCTTTTTGTTTTGGTTTTTACTTTATTTCACTTCCGTATCGTAAAAGTTTACGCTATCTAGTAATCAACATGTGCCGTATAAAACAACACAAATGAATTACTATAATTTGTTTGTTCTTCTTTTATCTCACGAGATTCGAGTGAAAAGGTTATATACATATTCACGTGTATCATGAATATACTGCTAACATTGAGATTGATACAGAGTGTTAATGGCACAAAAAAAACTTCACAAGTATGTAAATGGTAAGGATGTCAAAATATACGTATTGTTGGGTTTATATGTAACGATCCTTAATCCTTTTACGAATGTTTGTTGGGTTGGGTTGGTTCGGTTTTGACTTTTGTCTATCAACTAAACAAGTAGAATATTTATGGCACTGAATCTTGTCAGCGTCCGTGAAATGCAATATAGAATTTATATATACAGAGCCACAGACCCAAATTTAGATGAATAGAGTCAAATTTAAGCCGTTTATCTCATAAAAAGGCTGAGCGTTTTGAGATGAGAGGCTGAACAAAAGCAAAACCATTTTAACGTATTACCTACCATTTGTTATATTCAATCGTTTCCTTACAAGAAATGGAAAACCCCAAAATTAATATCCACTGTATTGGTGGAGTTTAGTGAGTGCCACCGACACCTTTTTATAAAAAAAACACAATCGGTAACTATATATCATATACATAGATCTCAATACGTCTTTATGAACATTGATAGTACGATTATACTGTGTTAAAATGAATGCATGTGTTTGGATAAACTAATCTCTACTGAATAACCAATAAGTAAACTAACAGCTACAACTATGCAACAAATATCGGTCTCCGTACCGTAAAAAACAAATGTGAAGTTATAACAACGTGCGTGCGCGTGTGTCTAAGTATATATAAGCAGACACTAATTAATTAAATTAGTGTGTTGCATACTAGTACTAGTGAATTAATCAAAGTTTTAGAGCCGAATATAAAAAAAAATTAGAATACACGTACTGAATCGGAGGAGTTGGAATGGGGATGATATTGCTTAGACGGCACGTGGTCGAGTGGGAGGGGCACGTGACTCATGACACATCTCCCTATGTACCTGCTTCTTTGTGTTTTTCCACACTACTACTACTTTGTATATGATAATCTCCTTCGCATTTACATGCACCTCTTCTCTCTTCTCTCTCTCTCTCTCTCTCTCTCTCTCTCTCTCTCTCTCTCTCTCTCTCTCTCTCTCTCTCTCTCTCTCTCTCTCTCTCTCTCTCTCTCTCTTTGTTAATTTCTCTCTTTATATGTTATTGTATACTATACTGCTCCAAAATACAGGTTGCTTTCTATCTACATTTACGTTTTTTTAATATAATTTGAAGTGTTAGCCCAACTACCGTGGCAACGAACGAACGAACATAAGATATGTTTCTATGATTAAAAAGTTGTTAATTGGGAGTGACATATACCTAAAAACACCAAACAGACAATCAATCTTTTGATATATCATTCACTAGTATTTTGGGAACAGACAAAAAATGAATAAATAAATAACAACAACGGTCACAAAGAAAAAGAAAGAAAGAAAAAGGTGTAGTGAACAAATGTGGTGGGGGCGAATGGTTTCAACAATAATGGGCGTATCTATAATCTTATGGGGATTAGTTAGATACATATTGAATTCCTCCGATTCATTCATAATTAGTGTGTATTAAAAATAAATACTACAAAACGTACTTTGGAGTCTTCACCGACTCGGGATCTTCCTTACACATGTTTACCAATTACAATCCCTGTCGGGGCTGCGACTTGTATTTTATTTTACCATTTTTTCTTTTTCCCATGCAATTCCTCTTTCTTTTTCCTTTTTTCCATTCACCTTTTCTTTTTTCCATTTCCAACTTTATAATTCTATATGTTATTTCAGATTTCTGCAGTAAATATATATTTCTTTATTAACTTTCCCAGCATCAAATATTTATATTTTAAATCAAAACTTTTGTAGTATTATAGAAAACAAAAGAAAACAATATACATTAGTTAATGGTCAGTAGGCAGTCAGCAGCACCAGTTTTGCAACTTGTGGTTTTTTTTTTGTATTTTATCTACACATCGAAGTAAAGCCCAATTCAGTTTGCTGTGATCTCGTTTTCAAATTTAGTTTTTAAATGGGCCTTTTAATTAAGGCCTGTTAGTAAACATAAGTCGGTTTAGGGGATAATAGAAAGAAGGCTTTCATATTCATTTAATTTCAAATCTAACCTAATTTATTTTAAGGTCAGGCTAATGCTATGCTATAAATATGATACTGTACTTTTCTGTTCGTTTCGTTTCGCGGGTAATAATCAGGCGCGGTTTAGACCACCGTAACCGAAACAAGAACTCCGGTCTTTCGTTTTGTATGAATGACAAAATTAATAAAAATTAAAAATTAAAAAAATTAAGTGGCCAAGTAATAATGTCGGGGCTGGGTCTTTGCTAGGGTTTAATAGTGCGTTTGCAGCTGCCACTCTCTTTTTCTCCTTTCTTTTCACACAGCCGCAACTTCTTCTTTTTCTTCTTCTTCTTTCACACAATTTTTTTGATTTCCCGACAATCACAAAGCCGTGTCCTTTCCCATCCACGGATTGTTGTATCCTCTGGGTTTTGTAAATGGAGGTTGCTACGAGCAGCACCGATTTCGGGATCCAAACGGATCGTGATCCGTCGAGCAGCAACGGATCCTGCGCCGTTGCTTCTTCTACCGCTTCAGCCGTGTTCAGAAAGATCGAGTTTCATCCCGCTAGGAAACCCTTTAATGGTTTCTCTAATGGGCGTTCTGATTTTAAGATCGAGACTTTGAATCCATGCTCCGCTAACAAGCGACTGTTGTCTCCACCTTCCGCTAAGAAACCCGAAGCTTCCGATTTGTTGGAAAATGGGTTCGATCCTGAGCTTACCTTTAGCATTACCTTCCGCAAAATTGTGAGTGCTTAGCCAATCTTATCTCTTTCAATTTTGTGCGGCCTTCTTAATTCGTAAATATGTTTCCTTTTTATCTATACTGATTGACGTAAAGATTCTTATTGGTTTTGTGAATGTTGTTTGTGATATTTTTTTGTAGGGTGCGGGTTTGCAGAATCTCGGGAACACATGTTTTCTCAATTCCGTATTGCAATGTCTCACATACACTGAGCCTTTAGCTGCTACCCTGCAAACCGCTGCGCATCAGAGATATTGTAAGTTGCTTTAGATTCTCAAAATGCTAACTTTTGTTGCTTGTTCGATCAGCCAGAGCATTTATGTCTTCTGTTTTTAGATCAACGCGTGTGTGTGCTAGTCTTGTTTCAGTGTCTGATACAATGTTCAAATCTTTTGTGTAGGTAATGTTGCTGGATTTTGTGCTTTATGTGCGATCCAAAAACATGTCAGGACTGCCAGGCAAGCTACTGGCAGAATATTAGCACCAAAAGACTTGGTCTCAAACTTGAGATGTACGCTTCTCGGACTTTTCTGGCTTACACTATTGTGTGCCAATTTTGGCTTAATAACCAGACTAATGAGGATTCTCATCTGATTGGTTAGGCATATCCCGAAACTTCAGAAATTGTCGGCAGGAGGATGCACATGAGTACATGATCAATTTGCTAGAATGCATGCACAAATGTAGTCTTCCTTCTGGTGTACCTAGTGAATCCTCTGATGCTTACAGGAGAAGTTTGGTACACAAAATTTTTGGTGGTAGCCTTCGAAGTCAGGTAAATTTTGCTTTGCTTTCAGGAAGTTGTACATCCTTTTGAGCATATATTTTACCTCTGCGTGGAAGATCTTTATGACATGATTAACCTGCTCTATTTTTTTCTTTTCCAATTCAGGTGAAATGCGAGCAATGTTCCCATTGCTCCAACAAATTTGATCCATTTCTTGACTTAAGTCTAGATATTTCCAAGGCAGATTCGTTGCAGAGAGCACTTTTACGTTTCACTGCTGTTGAGCTATTAGATGATGGTGCAAAGGTTTACCAATGTGAAAGATGCAAGCACAAAGTCAAGGCTAGAAAGCAGCTTACTGTTTCTAAAGCACCATATGTTTTAACCGTTCATCTTAAGCGGTTTGAAGCACACAGATCCGAAAAAATTGATAGGAAAGTCCAGTTTACCTCTGCAATTGATATGAAACCTTTTGTTAGTGGTCCCCATGTAAGTACGCTTCTTCTTGTGCTCTATATTCCATGGATTTTGACATGTTCTGTTAATTGTTTAGATGATCGTGTTTATGTATTTTTTTAAACCTAGCTTCATGATTCATTTTTAACAGATCAAATACTTGTGTTGAACAGGAAGGCAATCTGAAGTACACTCTGTATGGTGTTTTAGTTCATTATGGTCGAAGCATCCATTCTGGTCACTACGCCTGCTTTGTTCGCACATCAAGTGGCATGTGGTATTCCCTTGATGACAATAGGGTAAGTATCAGTGTTCTTGCAAATTTTAATTTGAGACTTAACCTGCTGTTAGTAGTTTATTTCCTTACATTTTAAATTGATAACTGATGCGCAAGCAAGCAGATGAGAATCGAATAACTGGTAGTAAGTTTCTCTTTACACTTTTGTTGTAGGTTGTCCAAGTTAGTGAGAAGGTCGTGTTTGATCAGAAGGCATATATGCTATTCTATGTTCGTGATAGACAAAATGTTGTTCCTAAGAATGCAGTCCCCTTGGTTAAGAAAGAAAGCCTTGCCACAAACAGAGCATCTTTGATTGTGTCTTCTAACATAAAAGATCAAGTGGATGGCCCAACAGTTATCAAAGAATGTGGTTTTGACGCTCTTGTTTCCAATGGTTCAGTACCTTTGAAATCATGTGATCTAAGTGCCCCTGCTGTCTTTGCTCAGAAAGATCTAAACGCCAAAGGGACACAAAAAAATCCTATGAGTAATGTGGAGGCAAAAGAGACCCTTAAGATGGAAAATGGTTCAGTACCCAGAAAAACATGTGATCCAGCTGCTCTCACGGTTTTAATTCAGAAAGACTTAAATACCAAAGCGACCTTCCAAAAGGAAGTGTCACTTCCGCAGGCTAATGGGGCAGGATCTTTGGTAAAGGAGGATTCAAAGGCTCCATGTCCAGTATTACCAGGGAAGGTGTCTCCCCTCCTGGATGTAAGCACAAATGCCCAAATTCTTGTGAACACGCCTTCTTCTGGAGCAAACTCTGAAAATAGTGTTGAAGAGAAGAACTCTGTTAACAATTCAAACGAGTCTGCTAATACACTGAAGGTAAGTGTGTAATACACTGCTAATTCAAACAAGTCAGCATCTTTTTGTATAGCCACATTTTTATTAATATCAGTGTTTCTAACTTGCATGTCGCTACTTCTTACTGCTCCAGGTTGGAAATGTGTCATTTGGTAATTCATCTATTGAAAAAGTTGTTCTTATTGATCAGACAAAGGGACAGCTCCCGGAAAAATTGGCCAATTCGATTGAGTCGATAAAGTCAACTTCTGAGAGGGATACGCTCACCACACTCAGAAAGACTCGCAAGCGTAACATGAAAACTCTGCCGGTGGGATTAAAATTTTTTAATTTGGCCTTGGGCTTAAGGAAAACAAAGAAACAGAAAAGGGGAAGGTTAAGTGGTACCTTAGCTGTCAAGATTATCTCTAAAGAGCTCCAATCCAAGAAAAAAGCAGCAGATCATGAGCAGTCCACTTCACAGTTAACTAGCGAAGTTGCTTCTGGTTCTACTTGCTTGGAAGGAAAGGATTCAAGTGTTAGTTTCCATAGTAAAATGGTCACGAGTAGTAATAGGAATATGTTGGTTGGCGACGAGTCTGAAGCAAGCCAAAACGCCAAAAGAAAGAGAGAGTCCTCAATCTTGTTACAGAAAGAAGCTGTGAGCATTCTCACGCGGGGTGTGCCAGAGACAGTGGGTAAGTCATCCCTTTTCCCAACTTACTACAGTTAGACCTTTGCCATGTTAATTATTAATGATAATTATTTGCCATATTAATTATTAATGATGATTATCCAACTTTGGTGATAATTGTTTTGGAACTGGTATCAGTCATACCTCAATTCCGTAGGGCAAGGGCTTATTGCCTTGATGTGATTGTTTTTGATGGTATTGAATCTTTTATAACTATTGCAGTTGCCAAGTGGGATGAGGAATTTTCAGTTTCAAAGAAGATGGGATCAAAGAGGGAAGACACAAGCATCGGTTATGTAGCAGATGAGTGGTGAGTGTTGTTTATTTGCTATGGGTTTGGTTGCATAAGTGGGAAGTTTTCTTACACAAATTATATGGGATTGTTGCAGGGATGAAGAATATGACAGAGGGAAGAAAAAGAAGATAAGGATTAAAGAAGAGAGCTATGGAGGGCCTAACCCGTTCCAGATGCTTGCATCTAAGAGATTAAGAGAGACAAAGAAGAAATGGACAGAACGCATAACTACTGCAAAGACGGCCTTCAGGATATGAATGACCATAATCGATACATATATGTAATCCACATGTTGAGTAATGTTAACAACAGAGGAAAAGAGAGGCTATAGGCATTAGACATCGCTTGTTATCTCTTCAACTCTCAGTTTTGTTCCATTTGTGATGAACAAAGACATATCCCATCACCTGTTTTTTGAGTGAGATTATCTACTTTTTCTTTCCTTCTTAATTTTCAGACATGGCACAATCTGTTGTTTATATATATATATATATGCTCATGAAAAAGTACTAAATTTTGCGAAAAGACATAAATCATATAAGGCATAACTGAAAATGTCAATCCATAAATACTGTATATTATATGCTATAATGCCAGTATTTATGAGTCCTAAACCCTAGTAAAACCTCATTCTTCTTCGCCGGCAAAAGAAAAAAAAAACAGAGCAAGACTTTGGAGAGAATGTCTGACTTGGATGATGAGATCACGAGGATTTTTAAGGTGCGTCGCACGGTGCTTCAGATGCTGAGGGATCGAGGTTACACTATAGAAGATTCTGATTTGAACTTGAAACGAGAAGAGTTTGTTCAAAAGTTTTGTAAATCTATGAACAGAGTCAATAAGGAAGCTCTTTTCGTCGCAGCCAATAAGGGGCCAAATCCAGCCGACAAGGTACGTACATACTAACATACATATATGAAGAACATGTCATAAAGTTGTAAGCTTTTGACTCAATGCTGAATCTTGTCTCGATCATGGTGTAGATATACGTATTCTACCCGGAAGGTCCTAAGGTGGGAGTGCCAGTGATTAAAAAGGAAGTGGCTCTTAAGATGAGAGACGATAAAGTTCCTCGAGGGATCATAGTTGTTCCAATGCCCATAACTGGTCCGGCCAGAATGGCCGTATTAGAGCTCAACAAGATTCTAACAATTGAAGTCTTTGAGGAGGCCGAATTGGTGACCAACATCACTGAGCATAAACTCATCAACAAGTACTATGTGCTCGACGATCAAGCCAAGAAGGAACTACTCAAAAAATACACAGTGCAAGACACACAGTTGCCTCGCATCCTCATCTCTGATCCTCTAGCCAGATACTATGGACTTAAGCGAGGACAAATTGTCAAGATCAGACGAAGCGATGTTACTTCTCTGGACTATTATACCTACCGATATGCTGTTTGATTCATATCGTTTCTTTTGTTTTGCATTTTACACACTTTTGCTTCTTCATTGTTTTGAATACTAATAAACTCAAATTGGAGGCTTTACAAAACATAAAAGAGACCTCTTCACAAGTCAAAGGAAGTCCCTCTTTTCAGACATACCTTTCTTGTTCGAATATACAATGGTGGAACCTGAAACAACTGGTGAGATGATCGTTTGTTATCCCTGCTGCCTGCATGAAGGAGTAAACCACCGTTGGTCCCACGCTGCGGAATCCTCTTCTCACTAGATCTTTGCTTATCACTTCTGCTTTTGGAGTTTTTGCAGGCACTTGTCGCTGGTACCTGAACTTACTCACAATCGCCTTATTCTTCACAAAGCTCCATATATACTTGTCAAATGATCCGTATTCTTCTATCACCTGTCAACAGAGATAGAGCATTCATCAATCTGACTGCAACTGACAGTAGCTTTAGTTTCCCATTATATGCAACAAGCCTTTTTTAGCTTTTGAATGAATCCTGAAACAATACTTTGAAAACTTCTAGACCTTCTTTTATTTCAATATCCAGATTTTTGCAAGGCTTTGAATCAATGTGCTTAAAATTGGGTCTCTTGGGCAACCAACCAAGAGTGGAAGAGAGGTTTACCTTAAGTATCTGACGCGCATTCTCGATGACGGCCCTTAGCTTAAGATCAGACAACAAAGTGCTTGCAGTGGTTCCTGGACCGGTCAGCTTCTTCTCATTGATCTTCACTATGGCATTGGGGTCAAAATCAGCAAAAACTTCCCTGCATTCCACATATATCATAAGAAAACAGAAGGGACTGATTCAACAAAATGAGAGACACGTCCATGCAAAAAAGAGTTAACCAGAATCATAGCAAGAACCTGAAGTCCTGCCTCTTGCTCAGTATCGTAGGCCATGTGTGTTCGGCCAACGCACCCGAAAGCACAAGGAGTTCAAACAACCTCCTGAACATACACCACCAAAGATTGACAGTAAGGAATATTCATCAATCAAAAAGGGTGCACGTTATACACAAGAGAGAAAAGTTTGAACTATACTTGTCATCGTGAACTGGCACACCCCATTCTTCATCATGGAAAACAATATAGCAAGGATCTGGCATTTTCAAACAAAAAAAACAGTCAATGTAAAGACCGTTGAAAGTAAATCGATGATTGTGTACACTCATCTACACTCTGAATGTTGACAAGAGTAAGAAACTGACCAGAGTTTGGAGTCACCCAAGCACACCTCTTCTTAGTCTCTGAACCACTTGGTGGTGAATCCAAAGCACCTTCAGAGACAACACTTCTTGGCTTCGAAGGGTAAGACTTACTTCTACATCCAACACTGTAGGACCGAATCAAACGACCAGTAGATGCTCGGCTGTGGAATGAGTCCATGGAGGCATCAGAGGAAAAAGATGCATTCAGTGACAAATTAGAATTTAGGTTCTGCTCATGCCGTCGTAGTATAGAAGCCACATTAAGAGTGTGCCTGTGAGAAGAAGAAGAAGACACGGTTCCGGCTGGTGAAGCATAAGATAGTTTCTCATCTGATCCAGTGAGCTCAGATGAGGATCTTTCAAGCTTTCTCAGCGACTTTGAAACAGCTTTGTGTGTGATGAAAGGACTAGACTTGTTAGCAGCAGTCCTCAGAGTTGGCCTGGTCTCTGCTTCAGGCACATTCATGGACTGAATTCTAGGAGCATTAGACATTGAGTTCACCAAACACTTGACTCAAACACTGACCTGATTCTGACTCTTGAATCAGCAGAGAAACATCTGAGAGTCGCCATTCTTTTGCCACACAAACAGCATCGCCATCGAGAGGGAATCACAAACAGTACCGTGCCACCACGTCCATTAAACCAGCTTCCATTTGCTAGATCTCCAAAACCAAAACCAACTCAGTCAACGAACCAATACTCTCTTGGACATCACAGAAACACTCTTCCTCTTGAGTTTTTGAAAACAGAGCATAACATCAACAAAAATGCTTCCTTTTCCTTACAAAATTAGGGTTCTTGTTCCAACAAACAGACCTGAGTAACATAAAAAGCAACGTCAATGATTCAGATGTTATATAAGCTTCTTAGAAACCGACAGAAACAAGCCTGCATTTGTGAATAGACAAGAGAGAAAGAGCACTTTGACTTACAATGGAAAAAATTGGATTTTTGCACACCTAATTTTAGTGGTTTTACAAAGAGAGAAAATGGCTGACAAAATTCCTGAAAATTCCCATGAGTTTCTTCTTCCCAAGAAATATCGAGAGGAAAGAGAAAAAATGTAAAATTAAAAATAAATGCAAATCATAAATAAACATAGATGTATGGATCAATAATGTTATCGAGGGACAAGATACAACTAATCAAGTAACCAAACAAAACAAAAATTATAACATAACAAAAACCGGCAAGCAGTGCGTTATAACGTTCGTGATAAACGACACGTAGTTGAAATCACTTCTTCTTCTTCTTCACCTTGAACTCATTTCCACACACTCAATCTCTCAGACACTCCTTCAATCTCCACCATGAGCTCGTTTTACCTTTCTTCTTCTCCAATTTCCAAACTTCAGTGGCACGCGAACCCTAAACCTAAACCCAATCGTCCTGTTGTTCGTCTTCCCCTCTCTCGTCTTCATGCCAACTGCTATTCGTGGAGATTGTCCTGTAACGTTGCTCAGCATGGTCTCGATTTTGAGGAAACTGTGGAGGAAGATGAATCCCCTCAATTGCTCGAATTATCTTCAGAGGAGCCGAGCATCGACGAAGAAAAAGTTGCAGCTCCATCGAGAATGTTGAGAAAGAAAAAAGAAGATGAAGAGAGCTTAAACGATAGATTCAAGCTCAGAAATGGAAAGGAGGTTGCTTTAACTCATATATAACATATTCTCTTCTTCTTCACCATTTAGTTGATGGTGTTTAGTCATTTGTTTCTTATATAGGAGTGGGTGTTCATTTTGTGCTTCAGTATAGTTGAAGAAGCATAGTTCATTTTGTAATGTTCAGGTTTTTGAGGAGAAGGCATACTTAGTGGGCGTTGAAAGAAAGGGAGATGGAGAATGTTTGTTTGATATAGAGGAATCTCTTGAGGAGCTAGAACAGCTTGCCGATACAGCTGGCCTTGCGGTCGTTGGTTCTACTTATCAAAAGTTAGTAGTTCTATTTATCTGTGTTTTGCTACTTAGGGATGTGTTTGGATTCCTGGTTTTTTGTGAATCTAGTTGTCTTATTATTTTTCTGCTGCCATGTTGTTTTGTTGCGGATGCTAAAGTCAATGATGGTTTGATTGTATTCATCAGGCTAGCTTCCCCAAATCCTAGAACGTACATTGGATCAGGAAAGGTCGCAGAGATCAAAAGTGCAATTAATGCATTGGACGTTGAGACTGTTATATTTGACGATGAGCTTTCACCAGGGTAACGTTTCTTTGTAACTTCTTTTGTTTTCAGTGGAAATATATGCTCTTGAATTAAGACCACCACGCTTCTTGTTTACCTTTTGACTGACCTATAGCTATAAGTTACAATTCTACAGGTTTTTGGTTGCAAGCTCTAGAATATGTACCAAAATCTAGTCATTTGAGTGTTATAGTATGTAGGAGTTTCATACTATTGTTTATTCCCAGATTAGTTTGTTAACATGTGATTCAGTTTCTTATGAATTTATATATTTAAATTGTAGGCAGTTGCGCAACTTGGAAAAGGCCTTTGGTGGGGAAGTTCGAGTTTGTGACCGCACCGCCCTTATCTTGGACATTTTTAATCAAAGGGCCGCAACTCATGAAGCAGCCTTGCAGGCAAGATGAAGCTTTACATATAGAGATGACTGTTGTGAAACTTTTTAGTAATGCTCTTTTCAGAAACCATGTACAACATTGGCTCAATCTTTACTTGTTTCTAGGTTGCTCTAGCACAAATGGAATACCAATTGCCACGATTAACTAGAATGTGGACTCACCTTGAGCGTCAATCTGGTGGTCAAGTTAAGGGCATGGGAGAAAAACAAATTGAAGTTGATAAGCGAATCTTGCGTACACAAGTAAGTAACATCTAGATGTTTCTCCAGTTCTTAGCCTCTTTTGCCACTGCTCCTCGTTTCATTTATCAAGAAATGGTGTGTGGCATGGTTTGTAATTTCGTAGGTACTGTCTTTTTCTGTATTGGTCCATTAAGTAGAAAGTATATTCTGAACGTTTTCATATTAACTTGGCCAGATTGGAGTTCTCAAAAAGGAGTTGGAATCTGTTAGAAAGCATCGAAAGCAGTATAGAAGCCGGCGTGTTGCTATACCTGTGCCTGTTGTATCGTTGGTAAGGACACCACGTTATGTTAAACTCATAAGAATCGAACAACACTTCATTTTACATGAGAATGTTTTTTACCTGTTCTGTTTTAGGTTGGTTATACAAACGCCGGGAAGAGTACACTTTTGAACCAATTGACTGGTGCTAATGTTCTCGCTGAAAATCGTTTGTTTGCGACTCTTGATCCAACTACAAGAAGGGTTCAGGTGAGTGAATTTGTTGGGAGAGTAGACCCACAGTTCCTTCCTTCTTTGGGTGACAATTATTTCTTATATGCTACTATAATGAATACATATGCATTGATAGTCACATTACCTAATAATGACATGTTCAATGTGATGTATATAATGTAATTATACTGTCAAAGTGGTTCTGACTCCTGCACTGCCATTATGTAACTTTTCTCATATGTCGTTATTAGCTATTGACATGCAATAGCGTTAGAAGTTGTATTTAATGTGGTATCAAGTTTGAACATGATATTTCTTTTCTGTGTCCCTTTTGGTCAGATGCACAACGGGAAGGAATTTCTTCTCACAGATACCGTTGGTTTTATCCAAAAGTTACCAACCACTCTGGTAAGGTCCTAATGGCTAAGAACCCAACTAGAAGCTTAACCGAACATGTTCTTCTTGTCAATACTCCCATGAGTGTCTCGTAGTAAAAATCTAGAAGACTTGTGTTCACGCGGTGTGTAACTTAGCTGAAAAGTGTCTTGCAGGTTGCTGCTTTCAGAGCAACACTCGAAGAAATATCAGAATCAAGCCTTTTGGTGCATGTTGTTGACATCAGGTTTGGTATCTTCAAACCCTGGTTAAGATGGGTCATCCATCAGATTTCATATTTTCACCTCCTGATGATATTATGCTTGAAACATGTTTAGCCACCCACTGGCACAGCAACAAATAGAAGCTGTGGAAAAGGTTATGTCTGAACTCGATGTTTCATCAATCCCAAAATTGGTTGTGTGGAATAAGGTAAAGAGACGGATATGATTGTAGTTCCCATTCAATCTCGTGATATGAAACATAACGTGGGAACAACGTTATAAAACTCTTTATTTCTTGTTTTAGGTTGATAGAGTGGATGATCCTCAAAAGGTCAAGCTGGAAGCAGAGAAAAGTGGGGATACTATATGTATATCTGCTCTGACAGGAGAAGGACTAGACGACTTCTGCAATGCTGTTCATGAGAAGCTTAAGGTTGGCATTTCATCAAAATGTATTGATATTTTTTTTTGTTCATAATTCTGGAACATTAGAAATTTAGTTCTTAAAATTCTGTTACAGGATTCAATGGTTTGGGTTGAAGCCCTTTTGCCGTTTGATAAAGGGGACCTTCTAAGCACCATACACAAGGTTGGAATGGTGAAAGAAACTGTGAGTAGATGACCGACCATCTTACTTGGTTTCCTTTATTTGTCCAGATAACTCATTTGACTCTGATGTTTTGTGTTTGTTGTGTATATAGGAATATACAGAGAATGGGACGCTTATCAGGGCACACGTTCCGCTTCGTTTTGCACAGCTGCTTAAACCTATGAGACACTTGGTTAGAGATGTTCCCATAAGCCAAAAAGGGTGAACCAGAAGCATAGCAAGAACCTGAAGGCCTATATTATTACTCAGAAACATAGGCCACATGTTTGGCCAAAGCACCCGGAAGCAAAAACAGTTCAAACAACCTCATGAACATACACACCAAAAAGAATGACAGTAAGGAATATTCGTAGATAAAAAGGAATGCTGTTAGTAGACACAAGCAAGCTAAGCCTGAACCCCTACATGACATCGTGAAATGGCACTGCAAATGTTATTTCATCATTGATAACCCTTTTGTACAGCGAGCGTCAGTGATAACCCTTTTTGTATAAATATTTCACTTAAACCAAAACTAGCGCCTCGTTCGATATATGATTTACGTACAAATACAAAAGCTAACATATTAACACTTTGAATGGCTCAGTAAACAATCTAATCTCAGCTCAAAGAGTTTCTCAAAGCTGGGAGGGAAAATAAACGTTCCTACCAAGATATCAAATTACACTTTGCTAAGGCTGATTGTTATACTTTAGGACGAGTGCATGCTACAGAAATACTTACGATCAAGTTTCTACTAATACGCATAAAAATCTAACAATAGTATCTTTAACTCTATTCTCGATTTGGGTGGTGGAATCATACACCATTGTTAGGAAAAAGGGTGAGAAAGGAAGCCTCTTAATTGTACAGACCAAATACTATTTTAGTTGGGTTCTCCATACAAAGATGAAAAATACAGGTCATTCTACTTTGCAGGCTATGCAAACACTTGCAAGCCTACTTAATCAACCACCAACTCTGCAGGACAGAAGCTTTCACCAAATCCAGATCTCCAAATGATAATCCAAGGAAGCATGTGCAGCTCATACCAATCGAAAATGACACCTACAATGGAAGAAAATCATATAGGAAAATGTTAACAATTTATCAGTTGGCACGAGAAATGGTTTTCCTCCTTAACGATCAGATCAACTATTGTAATGTATTAGCAGAATCAGTATGTACCCCAATAGACCTCTGCCTTGCCATATCCTTGGTGTGACAGATAAATCAACTTTTGCACCTTGCCTCATTACTTGAATAGAAACTGCTTGTCCCTGGTTAGACTGAGCTTCAGCAGCAAGCCTTTGCAACAGGTTGTCACCACCCCCCACGTTGCCAAATTTCACAACCTGATCTCCAAGCTGTAATCCATCCTCTGCTGCTGGAGATGATTCGGTTATCTCATCAACCATGGCAAAGGGAATACTAGTAAGCACATCCACTTCCATGGGTCGGGAAGTAACACTGAATCCAGATGTCTGCATGGAGGCAGATAAAGAAGTCACTGCACCTGACAAGCTTGAATCTTCTGAACCTACATCATTTCCTACTCATAAGCTTTGTACCCACGTATGCATATGGTTTCAAACTATAAATGAACCTCTAATACTCATAGCCCTAAACAAAGAACCAAATCAGAGAAGATGATTATGGAAACCAAAGATTTCAAGCTGAAGTTTGGAGCCTGTTAAGTCAAACCTGAATCTTTTGTAGATGAAGCTCTAGATGTAGGCCTCACTGAATGAAGAATTTGAATGTTCACATTTATCTTTTCCGTTATCTCACTGTGCTCACTCTTTAACTCTGTGTGGGTGTAGAAACTATATCAGAGAAATAAACCAACTCAAAGCGGAAAGAGCAGTGCAAAACTTAACAATTGGTTCACTGTAAAAGCTACACATCCACTCTATGGCAAATGCTATTGATACAAAATCAAGCTTGCGTCCTTCCAATCTCCTCTCTAGTTCACAACTATGAAAAAACTCAAGCCAAGACAAAAGCCAAACTGTATATGCTCAGTACGATTTTGCTACGTTTCCTAATGGGGTTTAAAGTTTAATCCAGCCTTGGACTAGTAATCCCTCCCTATGTATGGACTAATTCAGTAGCACAAGACAAAAAGAAAGAGAAATCACCAGCAAGGCGACGCCGGTCAGCTCTCACCATCGGAATGTCAATATCTTCCCGCGGGAATCCCTGTCAGATACAAACGCATCAAAAGGAGCAAAACAAAAAGAAGTCTCAGTTAACACTAGAGAAGAGTGTGACGTAGATACAGTACCTCAGAGTCGATGAGATTGCCGGAGAGACCAGGACCGCCGGGATTGCAGAGACGTTGGACAATAGAGTTCATCTCCGTCTCCATGGCTGCTCTCTTGTCCATTAGAGCCATCGTCTCCGCTTTCAGATTCGTACCAACCATCTTCTCTTCTCTTCTCTTCTACTCTCGCGTCTTCTCCAAGTCCGATCGATCTTTTCACTGAAATCGCAGCTTTTCTTTGCCTCCTCACCTTGGAACGGAGCAGTTCGCCGTGATTATATTTTGGGCTTAACTACGAAAAGCCCAATAGACCTATTCTTTAACTGGCGTATAATCTTAGTCGTCTATTTATTTCATCCAACGGCTATGCCGGCTTTGTTTTTGTACTTCATATATTACAGACAGACAGTAAGCAGCTCTAAACCCATGGAATGTTTGTATATAATTTCAATCGTAGTGGTTCCTATAGGCTATAGTTATAAACAAGCATGTTACAAGCGGCTCATTCATCAATCAGCAGTGAAATCAGGCTCGGGAGGCTTCTGAAGCTTGACCAACTCCCTGATCTTGGTGTTCCGGTTCCTGTGAATGGTGCGAAGTGCATTAGCCGCAAACTTAGTGACAAGAAATGCTGCCCCGATGGAGTATGAAGAGCTGGTGGTTGAGCTGGAGATGGTCTCGGCTTCTGCCTCGGCCGCTTCCATCTTCTTCCTCTTACAGTATCGACGCCAGGCAGCCTGGATGAAGCAAGCAGCCCAAGTCCTCCATTGGTGAGAGTAAAACCTGAAAGTGTGCTGCACTTGCCTGCTGTGTAGGCGCCGGAACTGGCTTGCTACGAACTTCAACTCCTCCGAGGTCAACGCAAACGCCTCTACTTCTGTTAGAGCTTTCACGGTTCTCGTGGAAGACGGCAGGTTTATACCTGATTTTGGATCCAATGCCCATGTCAGAAGCTCTTCACCGCAGAATTCTCCTTCTTTCAAGAGACTGCGGTTGAAGAAACCGCTTCTGCCTCCATCCGTTGTCACACTCTCGAGCCGACCACGTATTATGAATAGCATCTCATCTACAGGGTCTCCTTCCCGCACTAAATAAGTACTCTCAGTAAATAAGCATGGTTTCAACCGCATACAGATCGCATCCAGCAGCTTGTCATCCATGCTCTCAAACAGTGGAACCTAATATTATGGTAAAATGCCAGTATTACTAGGCATGTCCAAAAGAAACCCTATCATGAACCAAGCTAGGTTGTCGATGCTCAAGAGCTAGTTTAGTTATCACCCGACTGTTATTCAATGGGTCTTAAATGTTCAAAAGGTTGTCGAATAAGGAACAGCGAGGAGATCTTACCCTGCGCACTAAAGCCAGACAAAGATGCCGCTTGATGTCTCTCCGGAGATCCTTGGGGAGATTCTGAACGAGATACTCTTCATCTACACCACGTGTCTCCAACCATTTATACTGGTCATAGCGCCTCACACGCTCCCTAAGATCTTGTGGTAACATTCTGTGATGCATCCATTGTTCTGAATCACGCCTCTTTACTCTCATTTCTTCGAGCCGGATGGTAAGAGATTGGAGATATGTCTGTCCCAAGATTGCAAAATGTCGTTAGATAGTCCTTATATCCAGCGGAAACAAATTTATGCATGATGCTTCCACTGAAAGAACTAACAAAAAATTTCTATTGATCACGGAAGTAGCTACGGTTGCACCATAAATACTCACCTGCATGTTTCCGATGAGAAGAGCAAAGAGGATCAACCCAGAAATGGCGAGAGATATGGAGAATATAATCTCCATCGGGTATGTACTGGTTTCAAGCCCTTGTCCAAGTGTACTGTGGTGCAACAATGAAAAGTACTATATGAATATCTGAAACTCATAGACGCATAAATTTGAGAAACCATGTGGTCATAGGAGCTGAATTACTTTTAGTTTCGTGAGAATTGGAAAGATCAAAGCAATAGTCATTTCTTTACTTTTGACTGAGTTGTGATAGAACAAAAGGAGTTAACATGGTTACCTCAAGTTCTGAAGGCCCCACCACAAACAGTAACAATATTTGACGATGAAGTCTTGAGACGAGACAATTTCAGACGATAAAGCCTGTGTATAAATCCCAAAGTCAAATGGAGGATTATTATCATCGAGGTCAGCTCGGCATCTAGACTGAAGAACAGATTCCTTGGTTTTGTTCCAAACAGCATAGCCGTCCATGTTTTGATTGCCACAGTACAAGAATTCTGTGCTGCAATTCCCTGCATCTTTACAGGCCTCCTGCCAGCAGGCGTCGTTACGTTCTAAAGCTAAAAGGTACCAAAATGCTCCAACTATCTGCAAGATCAGTGGCTCAATCAGAGTTGCTCTTCATAAAAAAAATGACATATGAGATCCCATGAAACATCAACTCAGATAAAAGGTAAGGTTGCATAGGATATCACAATTCACAAGTAAACAGTGACGGCTTAACCAGAAAGCTCAATAAACTCCTTTACATGTTTTATGAATCTAAATATTTGAACATAAGTTCACTACAATGAAATGGGAATGAAACTAATTCCAGGTATTGCACATTTAGTGCCACTGTCACATAACTGGGGAAAGTATAGAACAGAAAAGAATGTCAATTATAAAGAGAGAAAGCTATACACTCACATGACTTGCAAGCATATATAAAAGCAGATAATAAGCGGCACCAGCCCAAGCAGTTTCCGCAAAGACACCTGCAGTCCTTTTTAATTCTGAGGTCAAGGGTAAGATGCGTAGGAATCGCGGTATATACTGAACCAAAACAATGAAAAGCAAGGCCTGCTTTGTAGCTAATACATCCGACCCATTTGAACTTTGCAAGAACCTCCAAACTACAATCTGCAAATACACAAAAATGAATACTGTAAATCTAGAACTAGAAAAAGGCTCTTAACAGAGATGTTTAGTGACCAACTAATGCATCCTTTCAACAACATAAAGCAAGGATGTTGTCCAACATACAAATTACTGAATGGATCCTAAGCTTATATTTACCAACCTGAGGGGCAGGAAGTACAGAGAGAAAGTCAATAATAAACCAATGTTGTAAATATCTCTTTGCTATCTGTGCAGGATCAATCACAAGTTCACCTCTCCCAAAGACCCGGGATGAGGGTGCAATATAAGCAGTCCTGAGCTGGAGAGCCATGTGAGCGAGATAAAACACATCGATAAAAGTTCGCAATGTACTTGTTGTGATAGCCAGTTTTCTGTCGATACCAAGGCACTTGGACTCACCATTAATCACAGGAAGATAGAAGAAAAAAGGGTCCACGAACACTGATAGAATACATGATGCAACAAATAACTTATTGCAGTACAAAAGGATTTTATCCTGAGGATCAAATATCTTCTTTTCAGATACTTTAAGGTCTTCTGGGAACACTGCTCGATAAACACCGAAACCCAGTGAGCGGCCGATCGACTTAAGCCCTTTGGAACCCTTTTGGATACCTTTCTTGAAGGACCTAGATGTGTCATTGCTTCCATGAATAGGATGAAGTTGACCACTGAAATTGGAAGTGTAGTTCTGTTGGAAGGCTACAGATGATGATGGTAACCTAGAGTCCAAATCATCCACCCTATTCAGTAAGAATAACGAATCAACTGAATAACTAAATAAAATAGATAGACCTTTCTCTTCGTCTCAGGTCGATAGATCTTCTCAATTGGAAGAAAATCATACTAGTTTCATCAGAAAACAAGCATTGCCAAAAGAGAAAACTGGAAGGAGTTGTAAAACTTGAAGTTTTGGATAAAAAATATAATAGGAATTGATCTCTTGAGGGCATCATTGCAAATGAATATTGTTATAAAGATATAACGTTTGAATGTCAGATCTCGGTATTAAACAAAAAGGATGCACTAACCTCACAAAATTTTCTCGTTTGCCTGCCATGATTGCTAATAGGAACCAGGATACCTCAAGATTGTTCAACGAATAAGCCCACGATCACTTTCTCAAATCGATGAAGAAAGAACACAGCTTAACAGACTCTAATCATTAATCACGCTGAACTGCATCATCCCAAAACAAAACTTAAAGTATTTACCTTTGAAAGACCCAAGTAACTAAATGAAGCTTTCAAAATTATGCTAAATGAAGATGGACTTACTCTGAACAGTATGGTCCACACCAGAAGCGAAGTAGCATCACCTCAACTGGATAAAAAGAAATTGATGAAAGATGCTCACATAGTAAGAAATTAAGAGAGGTAGAGCTCGAACCAATCTTAAAAGGAGAAATGAATCTCAGAACAAAATTAGAAACAGAACAGAGGCGAATCGAAATGAACTTGCTGAAGCAAGAGAAAGCTGAAGTAAGAGAAAGAGACAAAGACAGAGGCTTACATAGCTAGGTAGACGACTTCAAGGGTCCCGTTGATGAGGATAGCCTTTTACAATAAGAGGAACAACTACGAACTACAAAAGATGAAAGTGGGTATTGTATAAAGCGACCAGAGCAGACAAGTGGTATCCACTTTACCGAAAAAGAACCCCACACACACACACACAAGCCAAAGGCAACGAAGAAGAAAACGAGTCAAATGACATATTTACCTTGATAATTTGATGTTTTACAAAGCTTTTAACTTTAAAATTTGTAATAATATTCTCTAATTTCTAACTTACATCAAATTTAATTCGAACTTGTGACTTTTTGACTTGAACCATATTAATTTTTGTTACAAGATTCTTCAGAGAATAAGCCCACGATCATACTTAATTGCTCAAATCGATGAAGAAAGAACACAGCTTTAACAGGCTCTAATTCTTAAGTAAAGCTACAAATCATTAGAATTTTTATGTTACAAATGTGGAAAACATCATACAAAAATAAAACCATGTAGTAAATATAAATAAGGCTGCATGGAGGATTTTGTACAAGAAGAATTGTATTATACAAGCTCTTCTATATTAAACGACCATCTCGGCTTCTTTTACACTTGAAGGAATTCCAACCTCTAGTCTCATTGTAGCTCTATATTGCTCAGGTACTACGGCACCAGCCTGAGCACATATCTCCACAACAGCAGGTGCTTGCCCGTAGAAGCTTCGTAGCTCCCTCTGCATTGGCGGCCCATTCACATCAGGAACATGCCAAACATATCTTGGTGGTATCAAGTCGTCCAGCACTGCAGACTGCCAACCATGCTGGCCATTCCTCTGTTGGTGCTTGAATGCACCACAGTTCTGAGCCTTGTGTCCTGTTGGACCTACGTGAACCTCGGGACAGTACCCGCAGACCCTAACCCTATACATTCTCATAAGCTTTTTGGCTCCTGCTCTCATTTCTTCCCAGGCCTGTAACGTTTCTTCAGCTAGGGAGACCATTTCTTCTTCACTAGAAGGTGGAGTGCTCTCTGAGACAGGTAACTCAGTTAACAATGGCACTGGAGGAGGCTGAGGCTCTGGGTCAGGCAATTCAGTTTCATCTGCATCAACAAACTCGCTTTTGCCAATGCGGATAATTGGTTTTCTTCTCCTTTTTGTTGGGAATTCGGGGATTTCAACGCCGCCCTGAATGCAGAGCTCAACTACAGCAGGAATTCGGGGAATCGAGAATCTCTCATCATGACGGATGCGCTTGCCAAGGCGGTCATAGAGGTGATAGGCTTCAAGAGGAACAATAACGTCCTCAATGACCGAGTTAGTCCACTCATGAAGACCTTTCCTTTGCGAAGCATTGGGACCTTTACACGACTTAAATGGATGCCCGTAAGGTCCAACATGGATCTCATTGCACCACCTAAAAGACAAATCAAACAACATCAAAAAAGACCACACTCAATCTGACCGCTAATGAAACAAGAAGAATAAGAAAATTTACCCACAAGCATTGACACGAACAACTTTCATAAGCCGGTGGAGATTGTTGATCAATCTGATTCTTGCATTGTATACTTTATAAGCAAGAGGCACAAGGCTCTTCACAACCATACCATTTTTAGGAGGAGGTAGAGGTCTCTTAGGTTTGTCTTTGTTATTCTTGACTCTCTCCCTGGCGGCTCGTCTCAGGTCCACAATTGGCACTGGAAAGGGTTTCTTCTCTCTCCTTGCGTACTGCTTAGGTAAGTCTTCATTCTGAGCACGATCACTTCTGACAACCAATGGAATAGATCGACGCTTTTCACTAAGCACAACTCTGGAAGTTAAATTAAGTCTGAAATCAATGATACTTCCCTGCACAACATATTCGTACAGAACAGTAAGTGCTTGACACTCTACTAGAGAATGAAGTTTACACACTAAATTTAGATTCGTGAAGCTACAATAATTTCATCAACAGCTGAAAATAGAAACGTAATCGTATATGATGCAACAAGGTGTGGTCTTATTATAATTGGATAATATTGACTCGTAAAGGAATCTGACCTGAAGAGAAGGAGAGAACCCAAGTCCAGAAAAAGGGTTAGGATTGAGAAATTGTCTCCTGGGCACGCTCTGAATAGCAGCAAAAGGTGCATTTTTAGGTGAAAACCCAGAAACTGTACCGGCTGGGAGAAAACAACGGGAACCAAAAGCAATCACAATCTGACCATAAAGGATTGAAATTTAAGCATTAAGGTTCGGTTCGAAAGACAATGAAGAAGAAACTTACAGGAAATAGCCGAGTACGTTATCGACATCGTCGACAACTGCTGGATTAAACCATTAGAAGGTTGGAAGATAAGGAAGAGAACGGTCTCTCAGTCTCGGAGACGAAGATGATAGCTAAATGTGTAAATTGTGGACAGGCTTAACTGTTTAACCTTTAAATAGAATGGGCCTTTAATGGACTGAAATTCTTATTCAGCCCACATAGATTAACATTTGTTTCCCAATTACAGTTGTGTAATAGAACCGGGTTCAAGGATAAAACCATTAAACCTTTTCTAATTTTTCTTTCCAATTTAGGATACAATTCTTTCTGATCCAAACCAAAAAAAAAAAAACAAACATTGTATAAAAACATGACTCAGGTCTCAGGGTACCAGAAAAAAAAAAAACCAAATTGGGTAAAGAGGTAACAAGACTTAGACCAAAAGGCCTAATGGCAGGAGAAGAAGTATCAAACTCCATGCTCTGTTCAGGCTTCCCTTGTTTGTGATATGAGCGTTTAAAGGAGCAGCCGCATCGTGATTTGGAGACAAGACGACGTTTACAGGAGCAGGAGCATCAGCAACGCTTCGGTTGTGGTTCGGAGACAAGACGACGACACGAAGCTTCTCTCCTCTCTGACAATGTCCTTCTTCCCCACTTATGAAGTAAAAAGGACCTGACCTCTTCAGCTCTATCTTGGTGTGACCATCTTTGTATCCTCTCATTGGCTCTGATCTGTCACATTTCTCGTAATCTTTTTCCTTCACTTGCAAGACTGAATCGTTCTCTGCATTGTATTTCCATACTATCGAAAAGCAAAACAGAAATTTTATGAGAATAAATATAGCTAGTTAGCTACGTTACGTACCAAAGTTCAATGTACTACACTTACAGAGAGTATCTCCAATTTTGAATCTTGTTCTCCCTGACCATTGGTTTAGTGTTTCCTCTGTAGTTTCAGAAACCTTCCATGTGTTGGACTTGCCTCCCACCAGAATCTCTCTACCTTCAGAAAACAAACCAAACGACAACAGAAGTAAACAACACATTATCATAAGTGAAGACATTGTGGCCTTAAAATAGCTATACAACAAGTTTAACGATTTTTTTTTTTTGTGTGATTAATCTCGATTAGTATAAATCATATGATGAGAATTTGCAAGAATAAATAGGAGATGGAGAGGTCTAAAGGGTTCTTGAATCCAAACAAATCCCTTCTATCAATCAAAACGTGACCGACCATCATGTAAAAAAAACGAAGCTCGTGAAAAATGAAGAAGCTAAGCGTTACAGTCTTACAGAACAGAGCTGGTGTGTAAATTGTGTGACCAACCCTTTTCACTATTGCATCAGCTGAATGGTCATCGCTGCATTAAACACATTACAATCATCGATGTAAATGCAAAAAGTTTTTTTCTTTCCTAGGGTTGAGCAGAGTAAATGGAATGCATGTGACTAAAAGGAAGATGGGAATTAATAGTTGGATTTTGTAATAAAGAAATAAGAAAACACCAGTTTCCAGAAATGAAGGCAGAGTTTTTCTGCAAAATACGTATATATTAGTGTAAGACGTAAAGGCGAATCTTTTTTTTTTTCTCTCTTCAACAATCTGACTATTCACGACTCATTACTGATAATAAAGAATATTAAAAGTCTGAAATGTATATTTCAACCTCCATTCTCATCGGTCTCTATTCAATGGACCCAGTTTAGAAGAATGAAGATATAAAACATAATATTTTTACAGACGACAATGGAACACAAGAAACAAAAGAGAGAGAGTGAGAGAGAGAGGAGTTTGTTTCTTGAAGATCTCTCCAACCAAACCCATTAATTAAAAAAAAAAAAGAGAAGGTGAAAAAAGGAAGTGGGTTGCTGCTTTTTTTATTTGTATGTGTATTTGTTTTCTTTTGACATCTTCTAACACCAAAATTTAGTGCACAAGTCATATCCCACACTTACCCCTTTCCTGCACAAGTCTGCTTCCATCTTCATCACTGCTGTCTCAACCCAACAACACACTCACCTCCAAAAAAGCAAGTTTGCCTTTATTTTATTTTTTTCACAACAACAACAGCAACAACATGATGTGTCCTTCTTTTCTGCTTCTTTGTCCTTCTCTGACTTCTCCTCAGATTGATATTAGATTACTACACGAAACCCAGAACCTTCCTCCTCTCTCTCTCATCTCTCTCTCTTTCTCTTTCTTTCTTTCTTCAGTTTCATTTTTTGCTCTTCATCTCTCTCTTTCTGTGATTCTGTTATCACTCTTCTTGTGTTCATATCATGAACCTAACTCACGGTCCCTCGAATCCTAAGCCTTTTAAGGATCCAAAGGTCAGGCTCAGGCATCACTGCCTTATGCAAGACTATCAAGAATTGCATATGGTACGAGCTCTCTCTCTCTTTCTCTTTTAAAATTTTTTTTTTTAGTTTACTTAGATCAAGTTTCAGTTCTGGGTCTTGTCTAGTTGTCTCTCTGGATCTGAGAATGTAATTTCATTTGCTCAAGGTTTACATTTTTCTACCTGATCTGGTCTCACAGCTGCTCGGAAAACCCGGAAAAGAGAGAAACTTTTAAGTTTAATTGCTTCCTTAAAAGACATAAAGCTTGTTACTTTTCTATGGGTAGTTAGTTAGTTATACAAATCTCTGTTAATCTTAAACTGATCGAAAGAGTTTAGTCTTAAGCATAGTTTTAGGATGAAGACCTTATTGTGTGCATATTACTCCTCTATGGTTCGTTTCTCTTCCCTTTGGTTCTGTGTTAGCTTTCATTGACGTGTGTTGCTATTTGTTGGAATACACTAGGAAACCGAAGCTATGAGAAAACGGTTAGAGACAATACGAAAAAGGAAGGCAACACTAATGGCTGAAGTCGGGTAAAATATACTTACAATCACTTAACATTTATATCGTTAGTCCTTGATGTGTTTTTTCTCAAGTGGTTTTATATCGTTAGTTTAACCTCTTCTATCAGATTTCTGCGGCGGAGATACAGACATTTGAGACAAGAACAGCCACAAGATATCAGAAAGGTCAGAGGAAGATCAAATGGTGGGAAGAAGATCCGAGTAGAAGTATCTCCTAACAAGAGAAGTGAAGTGGAAACTAAACACGTTTCGCTTCCTGACTTGAACCACTCGGGAAAGGTTCACGATGAAACCAACACCAGTCTTAAGAGAAAAGTTCCATTGTTTGATCTAAACCAAGTATCTGTAAGCACATCTTTCAATGTGGACAAAGAAACCAACCTGTCCTTTTAACTCTTTCCAAAACCCGTTTGACCAACTCTTATAAATTGATTTATAGGGAGAAGAGGAGGAAGAAACAGAGGCAGTGAACAATGATCAAGAGAAGATAAGAGTGGAAGAAAGTAGTTCATGTAAGAGAGTGAGTACTAGCACTGAGTTCCAACAACAGCAACAGCAAAAAGAGATGAAGCTATCGTCTTGCAGGAATGGTGGAAACGGTTCAATTAAGAGGAAAATTTCATGGCAAGATCCTGTTTCAGCTCTCAGAGTCTAGAAAGCAAGAACATTTTGTTCTTCTTCAAAGTATTATTATGTAACATAGCTTCACATCAATTTTTAGCTGTTTATTTTACTTATCTTCAAAACATATCCAATTGTGATGACTTGAAAACATGAAAAACCTTATCCCTTCTCCATCCCTGAGGTGTCGTGCTATAAAAGTGACATTTGTACAATCAACATGTGTCAGTAGACCAAATCAATGGAAGTGATCCAAAAGTCAAGGAACATAATCAACGGTTAGATGTATTGACACGTGTCTAAAGAGACACACACTTTTAAAGTGGTCATTACCGAACACAGAAAAGAACCGATCTTTAAGTCTGAGACGGAAACAATTAACTTTTTATGGAGGAAGAAGACGGGTCTGACTGGGGCGGATTGGCTCCAGAGATACTTATCAACATAATCTCGAGGCTTTCAGTTCAGGAGCTATGGACGGGACCGATGTTCGTTCGGAAGTCGTGGCTAACCGTTTGCAGAGATCCGTATCTCTGGTCTATCTTCGATCTGGAGCCATGGTTCGAGTCATATCCCGAGTCGTCTCACTTGTGGTCCCCTGATTTCGAGCGGAAGGTTGACTCAATGCTCAGATCAGTTGTTGATTGGAGCGACGGAGGTCTTACTGAGATCCGCGTCCGCCATTGCAGCGACTACGCTCTCTCTTACGCAGCGGATAGGTAAGTATATTTCTCATCAAGATCATGATTGAGTTTGTGATTTCCTTTGTTTTTTGCATTTTCTAAGGACCAGTTTCTGATTTTGGAAATATCAATAGATGCCCGAATCTACAGGTTCTTGCCATTAGAAGCAGTCCCAACGTGACAGACGCATCTATGACGAAGATAGCGTTTAGGTGCAAGGGTCTAAGGGAGCTTGATATCAGTTACTGTCACGAGATATCTCACGACACTCTTGTGATGATTGGTAGAAACTGTCCTAACCTGAGGATCCTGAAACGCAATCTTATGGATTGGTCTTCGAGACACATAGGCTCTGTTCCTGCAGAGTACTTAGACGCTTGTCCTCAAGACGGCGACACAGAAGCTGATGCCATTGGAAAACACATGATCAACCTAGAGCGTTTGGAAATTCAGTTCTCTAGATTATCTGTCAAGGGTCTTGCTTCGATATGCGAGGGTTGTCCCAAGGTAGAGTACTTGGACTTGTCTGGGTGTGTGCATCTGTCAACCCGTGACATTGCAAACAATGTGTCAAGGCTTAAGTGGCTTAAGGAGGTGAAGAAACCAGATGTTTATGTGCCAAGGTCAGGGGATGTGGCGCAGACCGAGAGATATGGTCATTGGAGACTCTATGACGAGAGATTTGATATACATGCCATGAGAATCTGATTTTCATACACGACTCAATGTTCTGTAATAAAGCAGCCCATAGTTCTGACTTGGGTAGGTTGTTATATGTGGTTATATAGCAGCTCTTTGGTTTAATAAACCTTGGAAAAAAAGACCGATGTAGAGCTCACAGTATTAAGCATTAAAGTTGTACATATACACGCTACGTATAACTCAATTCTATGTGAATTAATTATATACTCAAAGAGTTCTTCTTGTTGACGCTACACATGCGTGGTACTACTGTCGACTACATCAATTCTTGTTGGGAAAGTAGAAAAGAAGACCATTTTATACAGGAGAAGAAACCTAGAAAAGTTGAGAAAGCAGGAACGAGGTGGCAAGGCAAGCAATCATATGGAAGGAGCCTGACAAAGGTATTGCAGAAGCAGACGTGGTGGTTGCTCTAGGTCTCCTACTGAATCCTCCTCCCCTTTTCCTTATGAATACTCCAAGCTTCCTCGTCACACCAGCTTCCTCATCGCCTTGACCTGAACATAAAAGAAGGGACTGTGACGAGAGCATGACTAAAAAGATCGCTAGGATGAGTAAACGTTTGATATCACCCATCTCTGCTCTAACATAAGATAACCCTCTGTTGCGATTATAAAGAAGAGATATTTTGTAAGTTGGACATATTAAATGATATTTGGTGGGTTGATGGAGATATGAAATGATAAGATAAACATTATAATGTTATGTGGAGCCAACATTTGACTCGCTGGAGAACTAGGTGTCCAATAAATACAAAACGATCATCGACCAAAGTTGAAAGCCGACATCGACCAATTCTTTGTTCTCACAGTTTCTGGCATTTTTTCTGCAATAATATGATTACCGCATCAACAATTGTTACCTTTAAGTAAAAGTAGCGCAACTTGCTTTCCACACACCTTTGTTTGATGAACTACAATTGGAAAAGGCTCCAAATTTAAAAATTTTTACAGAGTAGATGCTAACCTGGAAAGGTGTCATTCTGGGTAGGCTAAGAGTTTGTCCAAAATGGCTGGTTCCACCTCCCGGAAAGATGTGATCTGACCAACTCGTTTAGCTAATTCCCCTGTGACTCGGTCCATGTAGAGTAGATACAATCCGTTTCTCTCTTCCAAAGCCGCTACTGCTTTCCGCGCATGGACTATTGATGATATCCACTCCTCAAACATAACTGCGGATAAGACAACTAATCTCAGCATCTTTTGTGATTTGTCATTAAATAGCTTTAAAACAGATTAATGATGTTAAAAACAAAAAAAAAAGCAACTTCTATCAGAGCCAGGTTTCGATCCTGGGACCTGTGGGTTATGGGCCCACCACGCTTCCGCTGCGCCACTCTGATTTGCTGATAATGTATTATGAATACTATTTAAATATTTAATTTACCAGTTTCAAATGCTTCATTCTCTGCCCAGGGCAACAAATAATCACATATGAGGAACTCAGTTAGCTGTATCCTGCGGTTCATCAGACAACATAATCAAGATCAGCATCCCTATCATAGAATCACATTATCTCTTTTGAATCTGAAATACTTACAGTATAAACATGCACTCATCCATCTCTGAGAATGAGAATGATTCATCAAATGGGTCCATAAACAGCAAATTTTCTGCTAAACTGGATATTCTCTGAGAAGTAGCAAATATTGCACGCTGTCCAATGTATGGTTCACTTGCCAGTTTACGGATCAAATGTTGGACATAAAAGCCAACACTTGTTTCTAGTTGTTTCACCTCTACAACAGATGGTATACACACACAAAACAAAATCTTAGAAATGATAACTAGAAAGAAAATGCAGTAAGAATTATTATTAAACTGCTAAAGTTACCATTTAATCTGAAGGGGGTGCACATTCTTGTGATCAACTGTGTAATCATGGAACTGATCGATTCTTCAACAGATTCTAAGTTCCTTCCCATCGATATCAGATTCTTCAGTGAAGCTTGCACATGCCAAAAAGAGCGTATTATTTCATAAGCAATAAAAGGAATTGCATCTAAGGATCTTAATTTATTTGTTTGCAACTCAGGTACTTTTAATAATGTTACCTAATATGAAATCTACAGCCTGATGTGACCAATTGCTGAAATTAGAGGCCTGCAGAACATAAGAAGCAAGTTCAAAGTTGAAAAGTGTTCAAGAGTGAAAATTACCAGAAAAAAATTTAAGCAAGAAGGCCTAACATTGGAGTCTGCTTCAGATAGTTTGAGGAGAAAATCAATAGATATCCTTAGATGCTCTGCTTCCTCTTCATATTTTGGTTCTGCAGTCAAAGTTTCAACTCAAACAAGCAAGTCCCAGAAAATGAACTGGTGCTACTTGGTTACATTAAGTATATTTTTTACTTCTTTCTCCCATATAGCACATCTGGGTCATATTATGGTATGGTGTTGTAAACTGCATTAAGGAAAATATAAATAGGATATAATGGAAAAGGAAGATCCTTAACAAAACCTGAAGACCGCAATCTTTTAGATGATTGAGTTGATTCCTTTCTGTTCCTTATCCTCGCTAGAGATAAACGATAACACAAGCTGATTAGTTAAGGCCACAAACACAAAGGTAACAAAGAGAGTACAAACGGTTCAAACTACTAGGATGATGGAAAAAAACATGGGAAAATGAACTACCAAGTCTGAGAAATCTACGACGAAGAACATCGTTAAATCTGGCTTCAGAGGCTTCCCCAATTCTCCTACCGCTGAATGCTCCCAAGTCATCAAAGAAATAACATTTGCAAGAAGCATTCGCTGGGAATAAATCACGATGAAAAGAACCTAAATGACACCAAATGCATTAGTTAAGAAACCAGTCAGTTTTAGAAACATCTTTCAAAACCTTGTTTCCATTTAAGAATCATTAAATACAGAAACAATTCTTCAAAAGTTTAGAGAGACAGAAAAATACTTTCAGCATCCTTGAGATTTTCCTGGAGTCTGATAATCTCTTTCTTCCTCTCTTTAGCCTGATTTCAAAATCAAAAATCTCAAAGGTCCGTCTCACAACCGAGAAAACACAAATCATATGACCTAGATTTCTAAATTCTAAACATAAATCGAAATGTAGCCCTAGAAATGTATCAGATTCCACTATATGATAGTTGCGAAGAGAAACGAGAAGGTTTAAACCCAAATACAGAACAAATCGAGAAGTTAACCTTCTGTTTCCAGCGAAGAGCATCAGTTTCAGAGAGAACATCACAACGGGAAGTAGAAGAAGATGATGATTGACGATTCTGGATCTTCGATCGAAGTAGAGAAACAGCGATCGCTAGTCTCAGCGACTCTTCCTTCTTCTTGTGATTTGCTTCAGCGACGCTCATACTCATTTTTTGTTCAAAATGAGACCAAAAAAAAAAAGTTTTCAATTTTCGGAATCATAAATTAATAAATTAATAAGGATTCTCTGTCCTGCGCGGGAGAGCTTTTGTGACGCTTTACAAAGCCCAATCCAACCCATTAATATCGATAAGGCTTATGTTTAATTTGGGAAAATTGCAGAAAATCCCAGAAATGTTTCAATGTTTAACAATTATCCGTTTTATTTTTGGCTCGAAGACTTAGGTCCCTTATGGTAAATATGCATGACTTTATGTTTAGCTTAGGTTAATAAAAAAAGGATGATCAAACATTTCCAATGTAATTATATGAACCGACCAGTTTATAGGGGTCTCTCTCAAGTCTCAACAACAGTCAACTGAATAATATAACTGAGACCGTAAAACAAAAATGCAAAGGTCAAACAAAAAAAAAGAGAAGTCACAGAAGAAGAAATACAAAAAAGAACATGGACACATCCTCACAACAGAGACAAAGAAGAGTAGTGAGAATAATGTCGTAAAGGGAGCTTAAAAGAAGAGCAAAACTATTTTTTCTTTTTTCTTTTTGAGTTCTGAGAATCCTTTTCTCCTCCTCCTTCAACCTTACAACACAACATTCATCGCACAAGCCTCGACCCAGAGAGCAAAATCGTAAAGCAATGATTACGTTTACAGATTCTGACAAGCCTTAACCTCTGCTGCCTGTGAGGCCAACAGGGACTTCCCCTGCTCGCTTGACTCCACAGTGCGCACAGCTGCATCGACCACCATCTTCTGGAACCTATCGTCCTCCATCTTCCCTATAATTTCTCTAACCAATTTGAAATCCACACCACCAGCTAGAATCAAGTTTCCCATTATCTCACCAAAGTTGTTTGGTGCCTTAGGAAGATCGATTCCAATGTCGTCCAGCATAGCACCATAAAGCAAGAACCCGGTTTCAAGATCCTTGGGTGAGACCACCTTCTTTGTTAACAAATGCTCCAAGAGTTTAGCAATTGGCTCAACAACAGGTGGGCTTTTCTCAAGGGACAGGGATATTGCTTCCTTCACAAACTCTGCATGATATGAAGGCGACCCCAGCTCCTCTACACACTGCAGAGCTTCATCAAGAAGTCGGACATTGAAATATTCTTCAAGAAGCGACTTTGTTTTTCTTTGGAGCACTTCTTCGCTCAACGTGGGAGCACTAGGCTGTGGTTTCTCCACCGCAACTGGTACGGTCAGAGGTGCAGTTGAGCGTGCTGGTGATTCTGCTGTCATGGCAACTGGGCGCGGCACTGAACCGCTTCCCTGCAACAAGGCGCTTGTCTTGCCACTCATAATGCCGCTGCTGCCTTGAGGTAAGAGCCTAGTGTTCATTGAAGCCGACTTGCTCACTGCTGGAGAATGCAGCGATCCTGGCCCATCGCGTCTAGACATTGATCTCGTCCGGGGTACCTCCCAGTTATCATTGTCCACCCCGGGCATCCCAGGCATCCTTCGCGTCCCTGGCATACCAGGCATCAAACCACCCGCACCAGGTCGCCCACCAGGGTAGACAGGGCCAGGGCTCACAGGCCCACCTCCAGAAGCCATACCCCTTCTCATATTTGCAGTGGCACCTGGTCGGAGACCGAGATTCTTCTCCGCCTCAGTATGGATTTCGGTTATAGTTCTTGCTTTCATCTGCACAAGTAATGTAAATTGAACATCAGAACCTCTACACAATGCACCAGCAAACAAGTCTCAACTTTGTAACTCATAAAACTGAGGCATTATGAGATTTTTAAACTTAGGATACCTCTTCCCGCCTGGGAACCCAGCCATTAGAGCGCATGTCGATAATATTCTGAACCATAAATCTCAGACGCAGTTCCAACTGAGGATTCTTTGACAGATCCTCTAGGCGCCTGAAATATACATTATTGATCCGCTTTGACTTCAAATTTCCATCAAGTTGTTTGCCAATAGTTTTGAAAAAATGACAAATAGCTTCGACATTTTCCTCTGCTGGACAAACTTTCTCATCGGCCCCCAGAAGCTCCTGTGCTCAGACCAAATTAATAAAGGTTATGCTAGATACCTAAATTAAAGTTGCCTACAAAAATGTGTGAACTTATAGGTATTCACCTGAACAATGTGATGAACAATCTTTTCTGGAACCATCTTTTGTTTTAAAAGCTCACCGATCAAACGAATATTTCCTAGAGTCTTGAGCTTCAACAATTTTTCTTTGTCATTCCGCTCAGCCTCCTGATCTGGAGAACTCATCTGTCTAAGCTCCTCTCTCAAATTTTCAGCGCCCTCAAATGCCTCTTGACAGATATTCAGCAGAACCCTCTTAAATGTGATCTCCTTATCCCCAGGCTCTGCAGGTGGGAAGGTGGGCAGCTTGTCATTGATATCAGAGCACAATTTCGCGTACATAGGGCAAAAGGTCGGCTCAAGGACAGCTTTGTCAAAAATAAGGGTAATCACACCCTACACACAAAAGAAAAGAATACCGATTAGCTACACAAACAGCCTAGATTATTCAACCAAGACTTCATATGTGCTTGAGACATAGGGTACACCTTCAGGATATCAGCAGATGTGATACCAGAGTCAATAAGTTGGCCCTTAAGAAGGTCATACTTTTCAGGGGTAAGCTTATTCAGTATCCTGGACAAGAAAAGTATATATTTGTAAATGTGCAAGCTTGATTTAATTTCTTTATGTTGCCAGTAAGAAAAATTATGCAAAATTCTAGAGAACCAATAACTATCTCAACGGCATTACCCTTTCACAGTCTTCAGAACACGATCATTTTCGGAAAGGTTTCCTCTTCTAGCTGACCACGGCACTTCGGCTTTGACGAGGACAGGAGCTGGTCCACCCTGGTTCTACATGATATACAAATACAAATAAGTAAGAAAAATAAGAAATCATGCCAGAATGTAAAGGATTAAGAAGAGGAAAAAAACATTAATTTATTGATCAATTACCCCTTTGTTGGATGATATTTGTGCCCTTGAATACTGCGAATTAGGTTGGTCTTGACGATTATATTGGCTTGCTTCAACATACCTGGAATCTCTAGCCTCACGGAGATTATCCCACGACCTTTCCTCCCCAGCGGGTGGAGGTTGAGCAGAACGGCTACGCCAATCGCGAGAGTCTGGCTCAGAGAAGCGACTTGCAGATTGAACCGGAACCTGGACCATTAAGATAATAAGTCTGTATTAAAACCTAAAACTCATGAAACTTCCTGATAGAGAAAACAATGCAAAATATATGTTTCAACAAAACTATACCAAATTGCTTACGACACTTTCCCCACGGGGCCAAGTCTCTTCCTCCCCAAACAGTTCTGTTGCAGTTTCCCGTTGGACTCTCAGAATTTCATCAGAGAGTTGAGTAGTCTGTACATATGAGAGGAGTCAGTTACATAAAATAAGGAAGAACAAAGACGAACAACAGAGACTATACCAGCCTTAATCCTATACTTTTTACATGAAATAATCACCTCTTTAAGTTCCAGGAGCTGCTCACGGGTGTATTTCACACGTTCACGGCCATCGAACCTTGAGTCTCCACCCTGAAATAAAAGCATAACCCAGGATATATCTTCATTATCTAATAGTGAATACACAAAATCATATAAGAAGTGGCATACAAAGGAGACAAAGAACCACAAATACTCAGTAGAAAATAAAGAGAGGATAATACGTGTATCATAAAGCCTGCATAACTGATGAAACTAAGAAGTAGAAAAAATGTCAGTAGGTCCTTTATGAGCAAATAGCAGCTAATAAAATGCCCACCTAAAAGCCTACATATCATTATACGTCCATATTTACAGCAGCTACACATACTTAAGTGCGCGACTAAGAATCAGGACAAACAAATTGCTTGCATCAATAGTATATGCATATACACCAATGAGATTCAATTCTGTATGTTGCAGACACGTGATTCTATGTGGTCGGGAAGCAACCACAATCCAACATGAGCTCAGTAGTAATTTAACAATACAATGCAATGAAACTCGCAAATCAAAATGCTTTCAGACATTAGAGATAATCAAATCAGTAGTATACCAAAGATTGTAATTCCGAACCAAAAGGCTGCTGAATGCTATAAAATCATAAAATTGGATTTAAGTTCAGCTCACGGTAAGACACCAGAGATCAACAAGACCATATCCAGACAGAAAAATTCTAAGTCCGAGGAAGAAGAAGAGCTAGATCCAAATATACAGAGGGGAGCTTGGCGCCGAGAAATGAGGGTACCTTGAAGGGAAATGAGGAAGCAGGAGCACCACCATGAGGACGAAGAAGAGGTAGATCCGAAGAGGAAAGAGAGCCAAAAGAGAGAGACGAAGAAGAAGAAGAGGAACCAAAGAGTCTGTTTCCTCGACCGCCACCAGGTCTCAAGCTCAGCACCGTTTGATCGCCCTGCTGCATACCTCGATCTAAACTGCCTAGATCGAACCGAATCTCACAACCAAAATCGACGAGAGGAAAGCTAAAGGTAGAAGCCTTTTCAGCGACGATGAATCGCTGAATCCGATAATCGACGGAGAGGAGGGATCGGCTTTGTTGGTCTCTCTCTCTCTTCTGCCGTTAGCGAAGAAGAGAAGAGAAAAGGTTGAGATTGAGAAGAAGAAGAAGAAGAAGAAGAAGTCGAGAAGGAGACACAATCCCTTCTCTTTATTTAGGGTCTTATTCCCTTTTCTTTTTTACCCGAACCAGACACACTTATAGCCTTAACGTTTTTTGTCAATTAAGTTACAGTTATGTCCTTTGCTTTTGTTTTGTTGTCTCTTTGTTTCGTCACCCTCATTGGTTTTTCCGTCATTATGTACTTTCTAAGCTTTTATCATTCATTCCTCGTCCACAGCACAATGTCAAAGGGTAATAATAGAGCTCCCCAGCTAGTGTTTGCTGCAGGATCAAGCACATTGTAATTCACTGGAGGCAGTGAAAGATGCGAGTCCGTAACTTCACTGAAAAATCTTGCAAGTTGCAATCAAAAACTTCCACATCTCAATATCTTTACTTACAACAATTGTCTGTAACAAGTTGACACAAGCAGAGACACAAAGAAACAACTTCAGGCGTTTATAGCTTCTTCCTCCCCTTGTGTTTGAATCAATACTTTCCCTGTTGAAGCCAAGTTTTCTCAGTTGCAGTAACTCTTCACGAAATCGAGAAGTCGGTGGGCTGCGCAATGTTGACATCCTCAAACTCGTTATCATCTGCAATTGACAGAATGAGATGCATTCATCAAGCCATTCATAGCTTTTCTATATCTAGAATGCAATACAGCATCCTCAGCACTTGTGAAAGTCATGGAAGGCTGAGCGATAAGACTGATGGGATATAAACAGGAATCACATTCAGCTAGAACAATCCACAAATGTTAACCTTTCAATAGAGTGGATACAAATCAATGAAGTTCAGAAACCAAAGAAACATATAAAAATGATGAGTGATAAAACTAGTTAAGTAAGATGCATGATCCACTACCACATTTTCAATGATATCTATAGACCAAACAGGAGTTGAAAATATCAGAATAAGAAAAGGGGTAAAGAGCTGAGGTATAAGTACCTTTCCTCAAAGTCAGAGCCACGACTGCATCATTCTCAACCTGAACAACAAGCAAAAGAAACTATAAGAAAGCTTCTTCACTGAGCTTGAACAAGAATTTTTTTTTTTTTTTTTTTTTTGGACAAAACTTGAACAAGAATTGTTATTCATTCCCCAACATTGGCAGGAAAGATATATATATATATATATATATATATATGATTCAGTCAAACGTTTGATACCTTCTGATCCGCTAAAGATTTAGAATCCTCTAATATTTCTTCAGTAGACATTAAAACCAGACGCTGATTGCTAACTGGTTGCTCAATGAGGGCAAACAGTTTTTGCTTAACATCCAAAGCAGTCTCTGTTGGATCACATTGGATAAAGTAAGTGGTTTTCATGCGCTTCACACGAATATACATGGCCTGCAAACAAGATTACACAGTACTCAATACTACAACAAACATAGCCAAATGTAGTTTTGTCATCATGAAGCTGGGATTAAAAAGTGGATAACATGTTCTCAGTGCAAAAATATCTTCACTTTCCAGGTACGATATAAGCGAAGAATGATCAAATGTACAAAGAACAATCAAACCCATCAAACTGACCAACGAAGTAGAAATATATATATGTAAATAGTGTATACATACCATGGCAAGACAAGGATGAGCAATTCACTCTTCTCCAGCTGCCGATTCCGAAAAAAATCTGTTTTCCAGATACCAAAACGAAAGATTATCAGACTTTCAGCTTCAATTGAAAAACACGAAAGAGTCAATTTTATACAAGCCGATGATCTTGTTGGCCCCCAAATCTATTCTCCTTTAGGATAATTCAATTGAAAAACCAAAGCAAAGATTTTTAAAAATTTACCGACTCAGATAACAAAGAAGTCAATGACCTAGATTGATTAGGATGAAAACACTGACCACGAGAATGGAAAATCTGCGAAGTTGGCTTTTTCTATTTTCGATCTCTCAATGTGAAGCTCTCTCACTCAGCCCTACAAGGTAGGGAAGAAAAAAATATACATACATCGAGTAGGCGTCGTACTAAAACCCGCTAAAAGAGAAAGAGGGGTTTGTTTTGATGGGCCTTGAAACTGTCTGTTTGTTTACTATTAAAATTTGGCCCAAAGATTGTGCAATTAAATTCTTCGTCTTCGTGATGCTAAGCAAAGCAAGTGGCAATTATCCGATGATCTCTCTATTGGTTAGTTTCGCGAATCCCGTCGCCGGCTTCTCACCGGAGTTTACAGTTAACACTTGGGATTTCGCTTCTCTCTCCCTTGTTCCATGTTCTTCAGGAAATGGATTTCGATTCCCGCGTCGGTCGAAACGGGAAAGAAGGATTCTCATGTGTTCTGGTTCGACATTGCCTCCTTGGTTTTACTTTGGTGACTTGTTTGGTTGTGTTTTTGACTGCAATTAGCTGTTATGCATTTGTTAAAAGCGTTTGTGATGTTAACCACTCTACATTATCTTTATAAAGAGATCAATTTGTTGATCGTTCGATTCCATTAGTGTTCTCAACATTGATGCCAAATTCAAATAATTTTATATAAGGATTTGAGAAATCTGAGTTATTTTCTCCACAGATTCAAGCTCTCAGTCGTGGAATGTTCCTGTTCTCTCTAGCTCTGAGGTAGTTTTTTGTTTTCTATGTTTCTATAGTGTTTCTTGCTCTTCCATGTCTGTTACTATACCATCATGTCCTAAACACTCGGAAATTATGCTGAACCCTTGAAAATGTTACCAAGTTTGTTAGCTGAAAATGTTCATTGGAACCACCAGACTGTTCTGTGTTTTGACATTGATATTATATATGCAGCCGGTAATGAATGATTGAGACATTGGTTTGTTATATGCTTATGTTTGGAGGCCTTGATTGATTGTGTATCAGTGAACTATGTTTGTTGTCAAAGGTTATTGAGAGGCTAAAACAAGCAAGAGAAGGACACCAGTTTTTAGCCATGTACTCAAGTGTTGTTAACGGGATAACAACCGATCCAGCAGCAATGGTTCTTCCATTGGATGATCACATGGTTCACCGTGGTCATGGAGTCTTTGACACTGCCACCATCGTTAATGGGTTAGTCACTTTAAATCATAGCTCAATTTTTTCCAACTTTACTTAGTTTTATTACTCAATCATCTAAGTACTAACTTGTCTTCCTGCGACTAAGCAGATACCTTTATGAATTGGATCAGCACCTTGACCGTATCATACGATCTGCATCAATGGCTAAGATCCCACTTCCATTTCATCGAGAAGATATTAGAAGAATCCTCATCCAAACCGTGAGCGTGTCTGGGTGTAGGGATGGATCTCTAAGATACTGGCTCTCTGCAGGCCCAGGGGATTTCCTCCTATCTCCATCACAATGTCCCGAACCGACTCTCTATGCCATTGTGATAAAAACGAACTTGACCAAAAAGCCAACAGGTGTCAAAGTAGTGACCTCGTCCGTCTCTATAAAGCCTCCAGAGTTTGCCACTGTGAAAAGCGTTAACTACCTCCCTAACGTGCTCTCACAAATGGAGGCTGAGGCCAAGGGAGCTTATGCAGGTATTTGGGTTGATAAAGATGGGTTTATTGCAGAAGGTCCAAACATGAATGTTGCATTTGTTGTAAATGGTGGTAAGGAGCTTGTAATGCCGCGGTTTGATAACGTTTTAAGCGGATGCACAGCAAAGAGAACACTTGCCCTTTGTGAACAGCTGGTAAGCAAGGGGATGCTTGAAAATGTGAAAGTAATGGATGTGACAGTCGAAGATGGGAAGAAAGCCGATGAGATGATGCTTATTGGGAGTGGAGTGCTCATAAGACCTGTGATTCGATGGGATGAAGAATTTATTGGTGATGGTAAGATCATCATATAAACATGTCTGAAAATTGCTACATGATGGATAGAATTGACTGATTCAGGATGGGTATCTTGTTTGTCTTGCTCAGGTAAAGAAGGTCCTATAGCAAAGGCGCTTCTGGATCTGTTGCTTGAAGATATGAGCTCTGGTCCATCTTCTGTTCGTGTTCGTGTTCCTTACTGACCTCATGACATGATCCTCATCACTCTCTAAATAAGACAATAAGTTGTGGTCTTTTTTAGAGCTGTGCTGTATTATATAAGTTGAAGTTTATCATGAATTTGTTGGCTCACAACTCCATGTATCTGTCTTTGTAAAGGTTTCTCTATCACTTTTGGATTTTGATTAGACCGAGTTCAAACAATTTCTTGTTCTTCATCTCGTTCCCTCTTTCTTTTGAGGTGGTTCCTTCAAAGAAAAATAAAAGTACTAAAGCATTTTTATATTGATGAAAAGAAAAGTAAAGATCTTTTTTTGGTATAATAAAGATCTTTGTAATAAAGATCTTTTTTATACGTATATCCTTTTTTTTTCTTTTTTTTTTTTGGGTCACCATCCTTCTTCTTCTTCATCGTCCAACTCCACCTGGATTTCTTGTAAAGCAGGAGCCTCAACTGTGAGTCAAATGAAGATTCGGGTAAAGCAAGCTACAATCGTGAAGCCAGCTAAAGAAACACCAACACATAGTTTATGGCTTTCCAATTTGGACCTGATACAAGTAAGGTTTCACATGGGCAAACTCTACTTCTACAATCTTTGTTCCTCCTCCAATCTTCCCAACACTAAGTCCCTCATCGATGCTCTGAGCAAGGTTCTTTTCCTCTTCTATCCTGCCGCTGGAAGGCTCCAAAAGGGTAAGACTCAAAATCGCATCAGATTCTTCTCCCATCATCTTCTTTATTTTGTCAAAGGATCCATTTTTGCTGTTGGGATTGTTGATAATACATAATTTGTTTCTAATGATGAAACTAATATTCGGCTTCCATTGATGATATATGATCCCATATATCGTTTAAGCACTATTTTATTCTCATCTTTATATTTCTCTCTGCTTTATATGTGGCAGATAAGAATGGGAGGTTGGAAGTTCGATGTAATGGAGAAGGAATTATGCTTGTGGAGGCTGAGACTGATTCTACTGTACAAGATATTGGCTTACTCACTCAAAGTTTGGATCTTTCTCAACTTGTACCTACTATTGACTACTCAGGAGACATCTCCTCCTTCCCTCTTGTTCTCTTTCAGGTAAGCTTTCTTCATCTGTCTACTGACACTGCATTGTTACTCCTGAAATACTCTGGTTGGTAGTTGAGGTTCAGGGTTTAGCAGAGAGACACTTGTTATTTCTGTCAGTTTTCATGGATTGAACCACGCAGACTATAAACGTGACGGTTCTTTCTTTTCATCATCAGATGTTATTATATTGCGTAGCATGCACATGGACCTATACGAATATATAACAGATAAGGTATTGATATTCTGCAAGGTCACATATTTCAAATGTGGAGCGATCTGTGTTGGAAGTTCAATACACCATACATTCGGGGATGCTACTTCTCTTGGGTATATCATGGAAGCATGGTCTCGAACTGCTCGGGGACTTCCAGTTAAGCTAACACCTTTCTTCGACCGCACAGTTCTTCGTGCACGAGAGCCTCCCTGCCCTGTCTTTCCTCACACTGCATACAAACCACCCCCATTTCACAATCCTCCGATGAAATCCCTGGCTTATAGATCAAATCCTGAATCTGATTCTGCAATTGCCAATCTCAAGCTCACACGTCTTCAACTGAAAGTTCTTAAAGCTAAGGCAGAGATTGCTGATAGTAAGTTCAGTACTTATGAAGTTCTGGTGGCGCATATCTGGCATTGTGCTTGCTTTGCAAATGAAGGTATTGAATTGATCTTGTTTGGAACACCTAAAACTTGTTTAAATTAAATGAATGAAGAGAATCCAACAAAGGCTCTCACTTTCCACTTTTTTTTTCAACTCACAGATTTAAGTGAAAAAGACTTGACGAGATTGCATATCATAGTTGATGGGAGGTCAAGACTACGACCGAAGCTTCCGCAAGGATACATTGGGAACACTCTCTTTCATGCTCGGCCGGTATCACTGTTGGGTGATTTTCGCAGAGAGCGTTTGAGCAGAATAGTGGAGAGAGTTCATGGGGAAATAAGGAAAATGGACAACGCGTACTTGAGATCAGCAATAGACTACTTGGAGATACATCCTGATCTCGATCGCTTAGTTCCAGGGGAAGGGAATCCGATCTTCAGCTGCGCAGCAAACTTCTGCATCGTCAGTCTAACGAAACAGAGAGCTTATGAACTGGATTTTGGATGGGGAAGGGCCTTCTACGAGAGAGCTTCACATATGAATGAAGGGAAAGGATTTGTAATTGGGAGCACAGACGAAGAAGGGAGCTTGATAGTGACCATGTGCTTGAAGAAGACTCAGCTTGGTAAGTTTCGGAAGCTCTTCTATGACTTTCTCAATGTGTCTGCGTTGTGACTTGTGAGAGAGAGAGAGAGACGCAAGCCTTCTGATTGGTAGATATCTCATTTGTTTTGATGATATCTATATCCCACATCGATAGCTTAAGGTGTGTTGGAGACTTGAGTAGTGGTATAAATAAAGAAGCCACGGCACCGAACAATTCATACCTTTCTCGGCCTTTTGGCTAAGATCAAGTGTAGTATCTGTTCTTATCAGTTTAATATCTGATATGTGGGCCATCGGCTCACACGATATTAACTCTATTTTTTAAGGGAGAAAGCCCATCAAGGTAGCTTGCTATTTGGGCTTTCACGAGTCGCCCATGCGTTGCACTATTGCAAGGGCCTGGCTCATCCCGCCAATATTTCAGTCCAATTTTCAAAATTCGTAAATGTAAATATTGATCTCCAATTAATCTGAATCTAATGACATTATTAAATCGTAAATGTTAAAATTAATCCTAAATCATGTCGGCTGAAACATGTTAGGTCCAACTATAAAATATCATTTTAAAAGTAAAGTTTATTTTCTCCGAAATTTGAACAAATATACAAAAAGTGGTCGGAAGCACGTTAATAGGTCCAATGTATACGATTGATTGGGACTTAACGAGAATATCTCTATCTGGTCGCCTTCAAGAGCTTTCGTTGTCGTCGATCTGACTTCTCCGATTCGGTGGCAATTTAATCGGAGAATTCACCGTTTCCCACCGCCGCGTCAAATTCCAAAATCATCCACGATCTTATCTCTCCTCTTCCTGCTAATCACAAAACAAATCGCACATTGATCAAAGAGACGTTTGGGAAATCTGATCAAAGATGGTGGAGAGAACGATGAGTTTGGGGGTGGGAGGTAATAATGGAGAATTCTCAGGGGTAAGAGAAACGATGTGGGCACAACAAGAGCTTCTTCAAAAGATCAACCAAGAGCTTGACGCTGAACGTGAAGCTTCTTCATCTGCTGCGAGCGAGGCTTTATCGATGATTCTACGGCTTCAGGGTGAGAAAGCAGCGTTGGAGATGGAGGCTAGTCAGTACAAGAGGATGGCGGAGGAGAAGATGTGTCATGCCGAGACCTCTCTTGCGTTTTTCGAAGATCTTATTTATCAGAAGGAAATGGAGATCGCGTCTCTTGGGTTCCAGGTTCAGGCCTATAGGTGTAAACTACTTAGCCTTGGTTGCTCTGATCCGGCTGTGATTGAGAACAAGTTCCCCGAAAATCTCATCTTTTTCGGCGAAACTTATCGTGGGAATCAAAAGAGGACGATGAAGAGAAATCTATCGGTAATTTTAAGCGTTTTGATTTGTTATAACTGAAAAAAAAAAACTGATTCCATGGCTATATAAAGCTTTCTGTTTTCATAGTTTTTAAGACACCTGCTGTTAGATCAAAACATAAGCTAAAGCTATGTCTTTGTCTGTTGCAGAGCCCATTTGATGGCATATCTAGTGAAAGAAGCTTACTTTTGTCTGATGTTAGTGGTGAAAGTTTTGAAGAGAAGAAAGGTCTTGTTGAGAGTTCTCTGTCTCCTCGTGAAGACTTGAATACTTATTGGGAACAGATCAGGAGAATAGATGAGCATGTTAGAGAGATTTCAGATTCAAGAGAGGTTCAGAAGGAATCTAGATTCCCTTTGCTTAGGCGTGAGTCTTTGTCACATGCGTTGGTGTCACAGGTTAGCAATACTATCCTTGAGTCAGCTAAGAGTGATGTCAGTACGATCATGGAGATAATGAAAAACCCTGAAAGATACTCTGTTAAAGACACTTCTTTAGAGACACCGATCCTGTCTCCGAAAAATGTTCAAGACATCTTTGAGGTTCCTAGGACGAAGGAAAGCCTTACAATCATCTCGGAAGAAGAGGAAGACGAAGAAAGAAATGTAAGTCATCATTTCAAGTGAACTTATCTTATGCTTATGTAATTCGATTAATGTGCTAATACTGTATATAGAAAGAATCACAGGTTAGAGGCAAGATGGTGAGTAGTAGTTACGAAAGAAAAGTGAGTAAGCCGCCTAGAGATACCAGTATCAAGGGAGAACAGTTGGGTTTGCTTAAGGAGATTCGAGAACAGCTTAATGTAATGCAGTCAGAGATAAGAAGCTTAAGATCAGAACTCCATCAATCTAAACCTGTGTGTCAAGCTGAAGAGGATCGAGCCCTTCACTCAATTCAAGAGGTAATCATTTATTGTTCTTGCTACTTGTTAAGGATGCCTTAATGATATCTGAAACTCAATAAACTTGTTTTCTGTTTTTTGAACAGGCAATGCTTCACTTCTGGCTTTAGAAGCTACCATGCGGTGTGGAACTAGTTATGTAAATTTACTTAACCTTTCAAGAAGATTGAAGGGATGTAAAAAAAAATATTGATTGATTTCAGAGTAACACTCTGGTATTTGTATGTAACTCCATTGGCATTGTGAAAAACAAAAACTGAAAATCTCTCCCTGATCTAATAGACATTGGTTAGAAGTATTTGAACAATGATTAGCTAGAACAGCTAATGCAAAAAACGCAGGAAGGATCATTAGAATGGTTATCGATATCAAGAGTGGTGCCTTTCAAACACTTGAAGTGGTAGACATGACCACAAGACAGCACGCACGACTCTTGTAAGCTGCGCAAGGAAGCATTAGGCCGTTCTGGATCCTTGGCGAGATCTCTCTGGCATAAGTCGCAGGAGTGTCCAACTTCCTCAGCAACAAAGTCCGTGTCAAGCTCTGCAAAATCCAAAATAAATCAACACAAGAGAAAGAGGGATGGATAACAAATGAATCAACATTGCTTTCGGAGTTTAGCTACCGTCGCGAATATGTGGCGACACTTTAGCCGGATCTTGGTGAGTCTTGGTAGTCGTATTGAGAAGTTGTTTAATTTCGTTGTAAAGGGTTTGAACATCAGTTAAAGTTGCTGCTGATGATCCTGGCGTTTGCAAATCAGAAATTATTTTATCAACCCTCTCTTGAAGCTTCGATATCATCTCCCCACTCTTGTCTAGAGTTTTTTCATCATCGACTCTTTCTTTAGAATCCATGAGTTCGTGATAACGCTACACACGGACAAGGAGACGAAAACGTCTGTACCAATAAAATAGCAAAGTCAAGCTTTGTTTGACTAAATTATTATATGCAAAAAAAGGCGCTATTTCTCATCGTCAAAGAGTATTTGAAACTTGTGTACGAAGATAAGCAAGTGCAAAGAGATTAGGTTTGCAAAGCAAGTACAATTAGGGTTTAACCAAGAACTAAGTCTCCACCACCACCGTTAGGACAAATTAGGACAAATTCCAAACCATGGATTGTACAAAACTCCCAAACAAAATTGTTATTATTATCTTATAATCTCCAGTAAGAATCTTAGTCAACAAGAGAAATCGAAATCGGGAAAAAAAACAAAAAAAGACGGGTGGGGAGCAGCAGAGAGACCTGTGTAATCTACAGCTATGTCAAGAAGGAGATATAGATTTTAGATTTCCATATTTTGTATTTGTAGTTAAAAGTATTTTTCTTTGAATATATTTTATAAAAGCGATAATCATGAACTTAATAATAAGGGATTACGAGATATATATGATGATGGCCAAGGCCATATCATCGAAGCTAATACATAAATTGTACAAACGTGATAGTAATCATAATCCCAAATTGAACTTACTATTTTGAGTTAAGAGTTTGTCTTGAATTGGAGTTCCTTTAAGTGAAACAAAATTGGAACCATAATTTTTTATTTTTTTAATCTCAAAATAAATCTAAGAATAATATGTATACCTATTTTGTCCAAAAAAAATTATGTATACCTATTATTATTATTATTATTTTTTTTTCCTATTATTATTATTTAGCTTCTAAATCCACCCAAAAAAAAAAAATTATTTAGCTTGAAAGAGATATACTGATATAGTATTAGTGGTCTTCACACACCATGCATGTACCATTATGGACATTGATTGATTGCCTCACCTCATCATCAAGATTGATGTATGAAGTATGAACCAGCAGGCTGGTTAAAGAGGACCAACCTATTAGTACTCATCCTTTGGAGACCAACCTTTGGACTAATGTTGGCCTCAAGTGAGAAAATCCTATGTAAAAATTCATATTGTTCATTCCTTGTCTGTCACACAAACTTTTTTTTTTTTTTTTGACATACATATAAAATAACTGTTGTCAGTAACAATTTTAGTTAATACTATGATTTTGTTTAAAAACTGTTTGTTGCTGCAGAGAGACCTGTCCCAGTTCCAGATTGTCAAAGTTGCAACAGAAACTATTCAAGGAAATGAGCCAAACAAAGTTACAGTACATTGGAGAAGAAGTAGCTGTGGAGCGTCATATATCTCGCCCAAGCTTTTTAAGCTTGTATAATTAAAGCAGGTGCTCACATTTGCTGACCAGGGTCCTATGACTGGTCCACCACAACCACCACCATTGAGGAGCGCTTTCAAGAGGAAGGTTGTGGAAGGCGTCTTCATAGACTATCGACAAAATCTTCTGAAAATATGTATCAGATAATTAACACTATCATTGACAAGATTCATTTCCACCTAAATCATTGACAAATCAGAATCTTTCCTAAGGTACTCTCTCATCTTGTATTTGATTCTTATTTTCAATATTTTGAGTTTTAAATTGGATTTATGGTAGCTAGATTTCATATAATAATATCTAAAAGATTAGTTGCATATATAGCTCAGGAGCAAACCCAAACACTTTATAATGTGAAAGTAGAAGAGTCAAGGCAGTGCCAAGTTCAAATGTCGATTTTGGCTTAAGAACATAAACTTAACCATAACTCACAACAATGTCTAAACTCAAATAAAATTATCCAAAGAAGCCTAAACCAAAACACACAGAGATGTGTGTAACAAAAGTACAAAACAGACAAACTTATGAAATTGACTGAAGTCAAACAAAGTCAGAAAGACTTAAACTCAAAAATATCCATAACGTGACAACTTTGATCTGTAATTGTCATGATAGGGGAAAGTAATCATCCTCTTCCCATTATGATTCACTTACGTTTTTAGAAGCTACTATGTGTGGTGTGGTTCTAGTTTCCTTAAGTTACTTAAATTTTCAAGATTGAAGAAATGTAAAAATCTTTTGTAGATTTCATATATAGTAAAACACTAGTATATATGCATGTAAAACACTTAAAATATCTCCCTGATCTAATTGACATTGGTAAACAAATGGATAGGTATATGTAGGTTGATGATTCAATTCAGCTGGAACAGCTAATGCAGAAAATGCAGGAAGGATCATTAGAATGGTTATTGATATCAAGAGTGGTTCCTTCCAAACACTTGAAGTGGTAGACATGACCACAAGACAGCACGCACGCCTCATGTAAGCTGCTCAAGGAAGCATTAGGCCGTTCTGGATCAGTAGCGAGATCTCTCTGGCATAAGTCGCACGAGTGTCCAACATCCTCAGCAACAAACAGTAAGTCAAGCTCTGCAAAATCCCAAAAAAAGAAAAAGAAAAAAAATCAACATAAGAGAAAAGAAAACAAAGTTCAAGTTTCGGATGAGATGGATACCGTCGTGAATATGTGGCGCCACTTTACTAGGATCTTGGAGAGTCTTGGTAGTCGTCTTGAGAAGTAGTTTGATTTCGTTGTAGAGGTTTTGAACCTCAGGTGAAGTTCCTGCGGATAAGCCCGACGCTTGCAACACAGTATTGATTTGATCAATCCTCTTTTGAATCTTTAAGATCATGATCTCCTTCCTCTTGTTTAGAGTTTTGTCATCGACTCTTTCTTTCGAATCCATAAGTTCCTACTCGCACGCGCACACACAAGAAGATGATGAAACGTCTGTAGTAACGGCGCTATTTCTCTTCCTAGGCAACAGAGAATTTAAAACTTGTGAATGAAGATATTAAGGTTTTGGCAAAACAACTATAATTAGGGTTTAACCAGGAATTAAGCCATTAGACGAAATTTGAAAACAAGATTTGTACGAAATTCCCAAACAAAATTGTTGTTGTTGTTATTCTTACCGGAGAAATCGAAATCAGAATAAAGCAAGAAAAGTTAACAAAAGAGTGGTGGGGGGGGGGGGGGGGGGAGGGAGCCAGAGAGATTTGACGAACCTTTGTGTAATCGTCGTGAACTGATGTTACTAGGGAGAGAGATATTTTCCTTGTTTTTCTTCTGAAGTAATTGCTTTGGGAGTGTTTTGCGTTTATACAAGCGACTTAAGTCTAAGGAAAAGGAAATTACCGGATCTAATTAAAAAAGAGACTTAAGTCTAGTTGTAAATATAAGTAAAATCAATGTTCAAGAAATCGCTAGGCGGTATCTAGGCGTTCAACAAGGGACAAGCACTTAGAGGGATTAATCGGGGATTAGGCGAGGCCTAGGCGTTAATGTATTTTTATACTATAATTTTAAATATTTATTAGTTTTAAAAGTAATAACAAATTTAAAAATTTTAAACGTTGAATACATTCATTTAACTAGTCTTAAATTATATTATTTGATGGAAACACTTCATCTTCTAATTCTAGAAGTAGAAGAACACGTTTCATAGAAAGAAAAAGCAATCCAAATTCCAAATTCAAGATAAAGTCTAACATAGAACTAGAAGCAAACATAAAATGATAAAGTCGAGTGAGACGTAAACGATCTCATCACCAAAAACATAAAATGATAAAAGTCTAACCAAAACAGAAGCTAATAAAAACCTGACATATTCCTAGTTATCTTCTTCCCCACCGTACACATCCATGTTAACCACCTGCTCATTATCTGATTCAAATTCAATATTAGTGGCAATATCATGTTCTTCATCAGATTCAAGATCTTCTCTAGGTTCATCATTTGGAGCTTGGTAAACTGGTTCACCATTAGGCTCTTCATCCCTTTCACTTGGCTCTACAAACCATTCTTCAGCATTTCTTTCATCTTTGTCATCTAGAATGACATCAATATTTTTTTCTTTGATCCTTCGTTGCTTGTTGAACAACTTGGCATTAAATTGGACGTATACTAGACTATTAAGTCGATTAACATCCAACCTATTCCTTTTCTTTGTATGAATCTGCAACCAAAAGTCTTACAATCACCAAGGGATTTTTCAATATATAAAAAGAAATTTTAGATTAAAAATAAAACTCAAAAACTAACCCCTTCAAAAGCACTCCAGTTTCGTTCACAACCAGATGAACTAGATGTCAAAGAGAGAATCCTTGTTGCTAGCTTTTGCAAAGCAGGCACATGACAACCATATATCGACCACCAACTCCCTAAAATGTACTTAAGTTAAGAATTATAGATGACTTAATAATCATTACTTTCATCAAGATCAAAAGAATACCTGGATCAAATTTCTCATCATTTTTTTGACAACCTCTCAAAGCTATAGCTCTCCCAAAAAGTCCAGACTTTGTCTTATAAATATTAAACTCATCATTGACGACTTTAGCTTGTTTTTCAAACTCACCATGATAAAAGGTCTCCACACAATTCAGAAAACCATCTATCAACATCTGGTCATGCTCGATGGTTGGATCTTTGTAAAAGTAGAATGGGTTCAATACATAGGCGCTCATGTGCAAACAAGAATCCAGCCTACCTTTCATTTTCTCGTCAATGATATCGAATATTGGTTTGTAATTCCTCTCCAAGTCATTACAAGCTACCTTAATCTTGTTTCTTGCTTCTATGAGCTCTCCAAAAATAAAACCCATTGAAGGCTTCCTCTCTCCATCGGCAATCCTAAGAAGCTTCACTAACGGTCCAAAAATCTTCAACACAAATACAACGCCATTCCAAAATGCAGGACTCATAACAGTTAAGAAACTATTTTTTCCCTTTGTACTCTTCGAATGTTTGCATTTGTCCCATTCTTCACAGGTGAACATTGACTTTAGCTCTGGTTTTTTTTCTAACAAGCTTTGCAATGTCAAGAAAGTTGTAGCAAATCTGGTCGCTCCTGGTCACACAATGTCCCTCTTCTTAGTATGAACCCTCATCATTGATAAGGTTTTGTGATGAGCATATATGAAAACTGTAAGTCCTCTTGCTTGATCAATGATTTTTGTAAACTTAGGCAGCTTAGAAATGGCTTCAAGCATTAGATCAATTGTATGGGCAGCACAACCAGTCCAAAAAATATTTGGCCTCGTTTCTTTAAGCATCTTCGATGCTGCCACATTATTAAGAGCATTATCTGTTACTACTTGGACAACATTCTCAGCACCAACATCTGCAATGCATCGATCAACATATTCAAAGATGTACAGCCCCGTGTGAGAATCTGTGGAAGCATCTTTTGAAGACAAGAAACATGTTCCTCCTCTGGAGTTGACACATAAATTCATTATGCTCCTCCTTTTCCTATCAGTCCATGCATCAGTCATTACGGAACAACCGTTTCGTTTCCATTCTTCCTCTTGAGACTTTAAAAGCTCCTTAGTTTTCTCTTCCTCCTCCTTTAATAGTGGTTCCCTTAGTTGATATTGAGTTGGAGGAACCCAACCAGGTCCAAACTGTCCAAGAGCCTCACAAAACATCTTGAAAGAATCATTATCAATGGCATTAAAAGGAATACCTGATTGATACATCCATCTTGCACAATACTGATGCACTTGATGAGTTTTTTCCTTAAAAAGTACGGAATTGATATTTTGTTGTCTTTTTTGTGTACCAACAGGAGCTTTGGGATGAATTGCTGTAGCAAACTTATCCATAGGACCTTGTAAGTTACAAGGTTTTAGAGTCCCAAGGTCTTCTTCTAATTCATCTTCAAGCCTTTGCATATCCATATTCACTTCAGCTCTTAACAATTTGTCTTCATGTTTCTTGCTCACCTTCTTCTTCCTTGCTTCTATTATGGCATTTCTACACTTAACTTGATCATCTTTTAAAGATTTTCCACATGCAACAACATTTCCTGTGATGTGAGCAATATGTTCTTTAATCCGGTACACTCCTCCAGACATCTCTTTTGAACACAACTTGCATTTAACTCTATCTGGATTCTTAGGATCACACAAAATTCCATATTCCCATCCAACATCATTAGAATTTCGCTTAAGTGATGATGAAGCTTGTGAAGTTGCAGGTGGGTGAAGTTGATTGATCCATAAATGTCTGCAGAGAGGACACAAATAGTAACAATTAGAAACAGATCATACATAACTACATAAGTAATAATTAAAGTTAATAGTTATTAAGCAAACGTTAACCATTCAATGTCACAACTCAGAATATACTAAACTACGATGCATTTGTTTGTTTTTGCAAAAATAAAAACAGAGACTTGTAAACAAAAATAAAAAGAGAACGATGACTTAGATCAATAAAATGGAGTGCACGAACCGTCACTAACGAAACAACCAAAGATGATGATGATGTGTGAGTTTCTAAAAAAACCAGAAACGTGAGAGAGATCAATATTTATAAGAGATTTGATCACTTAACCCTAGCTCCTTCGCCCACGTTTCTCCCGTTCACCAAAAAACAAAAAAATTATTGAAAAATATAAACCAAACTAAACCATACTAAACCGGACGAATTAAACGATTTGACCGATTTTTGCCGATATGAACCGCCTGAACCGGGACTCCGATTAGTTTCTCCGATATGGCACAATTCGCGGCGTTCAAGCATCAGTGGGCGCCTAGTCGAGCGCCTAGGCGGCGCCTAGACCGATTTTTTGAACACTGAGTAAAATATATACACTCTTCCAACAAAAAAAAAATGTAATATAAATGATATGATGATGATGACCATGTCATAGAAGCATACAAGAGTTACATACACTACAAAGATTGTATATGTCGATCAACTAATAGAGAGAGTGTGTGTAGTTTCGTTCTGCGTTTACTAAAATTCCAAACGCAATCAAAGAATGTATTCATATATATATATATTGGGATATTATTTGGTTGCCTTTCTTAGACCATCCTAAGAAAGCACCTTTACACAAATTGAATCAAACGTTCAAAACACACACGTATGGTATTGTAACCTTCAAATACTATGTAACATTATGGGTACGGACTTGATTGCCTATTCATCAAAGATTGTACCAGTCTGGTTCACAGAGGACCCGGAAATAACACTTTTTGGCTGACTTGGTCATCAGAGATCATCAGCGTCGTTTCGGGAAATAACACTTTTTGGCTGACTTGGTCAAGTCTGATGTGTCTCCGGTTCGACCGGTTACTGTAAGAACCTAAATCATCTCATTCTATTTCTACTTTATTAGGCCTTCTCTCATGGGCCCTTAAAATGATGTCTTTTTTTTGTATTTCAAATAATTTTGTTTATAGGATTTAAATAGATTAAAACCTTTTTTCCTTTTTTCTGAGTAAGATTTATAGATTGAAACCTGACCACAATTAAACGAATTTAGACATTTTTTTCTCTTTTGAATTAATGTGTAAGAAGAACGACTGGTTCAGTTGTCCAGAAATAGTAGCCATTTATACTTTACTTAGCCCATTATACATTTCCATCAATCTCAATTCTCAAGTGCAATATTCTGCATACTGTATGTTGTTCTCTATAAGAGTTTTTACTTTGTAATAACCCTATAATAATCGTCCATATATATAAACTGCACAAAACAAATTAATAGTTTGGAATATAATAAATTTTACAAGATACATATTGGTTTCTTGTTTTAATTGGTTTTAGTTTTTAGACAATCTTTCAAATTGATTTGATTTACAAAACAAACAATTTTCTTTTTTTTATTTGTTTTAATTAATGGTTAAGAAATGACCAGTTCTTTTGTCTAAAAATAGTAACATAATAGTTACTTTCCCTCCTATTGTTAGGATTAGAATTTAGAGATCTAATTTTTCTTTCTTTTTTGGGATTTAATGTTTTACTTAGTTCACTACAAATATCCATTAATCTCTAAATATATAAAAGTACTCTTATGGATGGATAATTTATTTTCGGACAAGATCTCGTTATACTTGATCAAAGTGTACTTATTTATCTCCAACTTACATATTTGACTGTGTAAAACCCACCACACACTCATTCACTTGTTCTTTTCTTTTATATATATACATGTCTCCATATCAACTCCACACCTCCGTTGAGAGCTTTCTTTCACTTTCACATGGCTGATAATGTCCAAGTAGTACCCATCGAGGAACCAGCCGCAACCGCCACAGTCACAGAAACAACAACTACAACAACGACTGAGCCAGAAGCCAAGAGCTCAGACAAAATGGAGTCACAGAGTGATAATAAGCCACCGGTTGGAACATTGGTGGCAATTGTGAACATTTTAGCCGCTGGTGTCCTTCCGATCTTCACTTTTGTCCTCTCACTTACACTTCTCGGTTACGCTGTGTGGCTCCTCTACATGCGTAGCTACGACTGCGAAGATATCCTCGGTCTGCCACGTGTCCAGACGCTAGCTAGCGTCGGTCTCCTTGCGGTGTTCGTTGTTAGCAATGCGGCTCTGTTCCTACGGCGAAAGTTTCCGATGCCGGCACTTGTGGTGATGGTGGTGATCCTGTTGTTGATGCTTTTCATTGGTTTGGCGTATGCCGGAGTCAATGAGATGCAGAGCCGGCGGTTTCCCGCGACAAGGACGTGGTTCAATCTCAAAGTCATGGACGATGTGAATTGGAACAATATCAAATCTTGTGTCTACGATAAGGGAGCCTGTAACGACCTCATTTACGGAACTCCAAATGAAAAACCTTACAATAGAAGAAAAATGCCACCGATCAAGGTTTGATCATCATAGTCATAGATATATACTTTGATCTCAAGGACCATCTTTTAAAATGTGCAACCAGTGCATGGGACAGAGAAAGTTTGAATATATGTACATATCAGTCACATCATAGATTAGTTTTGTAAAACATCTTCAAATAGTTTGAATCGATCATGTTTGGTTTTATACATGTTTAATATAGGTATATTTTACACAAGTTTGTATTGATTTGATGTTGTTGCAGAATGGATGTTGTATGCCGCCGGAGACATGTAACATGGATTCGTTAAACGCGACGTTTTGGTACAGAAGAAAAGACGAAGGGCCACCGTTAAAGAGTACGGTGATGTACGGAGGGTACGGTGATGAGATGATGGTCGGAAGGGTAAGCGACTGTCAGCTGTGGAGGAACGATTGGAGTGTGTTGTGCTATGATTGTAGGTCATGCAAGTTCGGATTCGTAAGATCGGTAAGGAGGAAATGGTGGCAGCTTGGTATCTTCTTGATCGTCATCTCCATTCTTCTTCTCATCTCTCATCTCTTGATCTTCTTGGCCACTTTTTGGGAACGGTTCAAAGGTTAGTCAGATCATGGAGGTCTTTTCTGATTAGGTAAAATAATCTCATTCTTCTGCATTCGTTTTAGTACTCAAAGCAGATGTTTCTTTGAGCAAATCTTTCGCTCTTCTTCCTCTGTCTCATTTTGTTATCGCCTTGTGTTTTTTTTTTTTTGGTCGGTCTAATGTAGAGAATGTGTTTTGTAATAAAGTATAAACAATTGGTTTTGATTCACTTTACCTTAAAACTCATTATCAGCTAATTATATTTGTAGTATAAAATCGGTTCTTGAGTCCATTGACATTAATTATACCTTCTTTTACCCTCAAGTTCTCAACTAATAAAATTAAATGTACAGAAGACAACAACATTAGTAGTATATAATTGTGCTAACTACCAACAGGAAAGCAAATCAAGGTGGATGATTAAAAGCTTTGTTGAAGTTTCTTGGAAATTAGGTGCATATATTAATATTAGGGAAAACTAAAAAAAGGAATACATTATTTCCCTTAATAAAAAGGTAAAACAATAACATAAGGTGAAATTCTAAATTTTGTTCTTGTCCTGCTTGCATCCTTTCACCTGTACAAAGAATGACCAATCTTGGGAGAGTCAAAGACAACAATGAGAAGGGTCTCTTTCACTCAATTTGTGAGTGAAGAAACAGAGCTAAGACCGTATTTCATGGCTGCTTCCCAAACTAGATCGATACGGTCAACGTCGATGGCTCCAACCTCATGATGCTCCCAACCCTCCAGCATATGAACCACTCCCCCTGCGTGGCACGCATGAACCACTCCTCTCTCCATCGTGTACTGCCACACACACATGCACAGTTTAGTCTGCTGGACTAATGAGCTAAAACAACAAACAAGAGACTCGACTAATTAACCAACCAATCTTTTATATACCTCGCAAGTTCCGAGTCCTTCAACATTTTTAGGGAGCCTCATAGCTGCTAGATCGCCGTAAGTACAGTTCCGTCTAAACTTGAGGATCGGTGGCACCACAAACTGGTGGAAATGTGTCCCTGCAGGAGCCCAGCTCTGCTCTCTCGGTGTTAACCATTTCCCAACGATCCAAGTCTGTGTATTCATTCAAACACTCCAAAGTCAGCACATTTAACATTTTATCCAATAAACCAAAACCAGTTAGAGTTCACTACAGTACCTTGCAGTGTTGTGCAGCGTTGTATTTGGTCACTTGTACAAGGTAGTTCTGGAACTCAACAGGAGCCTCTTTCTGAATCTTTTGGAACCTTTCCACAGATAATGTCAACATCTGTCAATTGTCCCAACATCTTAAAATGTCAGCCTTTGAGATTCTTTTGATAAACCATATCTTTGAGACAATAGTAAACTAAAGGATCAGTATCAAAACTTACGAGAACTCTCACTCCACGGCGGCAGAGGTAAAGAGCAATGGCTCTTCCGAGCTTAGAAGTGGCTCCTGTCAAGAAGACCTCTTTAACATCTTTTGGAATTTCATAGAGAATCACTGCTGCAGTCAAAGTGTTCCCATGAACCACACGAACTCTAAGGTCAGGGTGCTTGTTGACAAACAGAGTTCCACCGCCATTTAGAGCTTCATTCTGATCAAAACCCAACACAAAAATTGACTATTTTAGTGACTTGACTTTAAATGAACCACTCACACAAAAGTTGAAGACTTTATGATAAGAACCTTGTTGAGAGCAGCCAAGCTTATAACTTTAACACCAATCTTATCAGCCGTGAGAATCGCTTCTTCTATCTGATTATTAATGCCTTGCGTAGCAAACGGTAAGAAATACTGCAAACAATAGATCAAACTTTAGGAAAAGACTCTTATGACAAGTGTTCTGTTTTCAGTTCGGGCAAAACTAAAGAAAAATAAGAGACATACTTGGAATCCGAATCTGGGAACTCCCCAAGTCTGGCAAAGATTGTTTCTGAGTGTATAGAAGCTGAAAAGAAAAGTCTTTGACCAAGCCCACATGCCCAACATTACACAGAACGTGAATGGCCACATTGGCAGCAAGAAAAACCTAGTGCTATATGGAATTGAAGCAAACGATCTGAACACGAATGGTGCGTGCATCGCCGACATCACATCTACTCCGTGAGCTAAGAACACAAACTCCGGCACTCTCTTCCGTTCCCCTAACACACACACACAGAGATCACCAATTCGTTTAAAAATTTGTAATTTTCAGGTTGAGAAAGGGGTAATAACGTCATTTCAGGATTGGTTCTTAAGAGGTTTGACTTTTAAAAGTCTTCTTCAACCACTTCTTCTGCTACACAAAGTACACACACTCACTTTTACCATCTACTATTATCTCCTCATTGATTGGTACTATTAAACTGTTTGGTACTCATAATTTAAAGAGTGTTCTACTTTTTGTGTTGGATCTATAAAACTAAAAACTTTAGGAGGACTAATTTGTTGCTAAATACCTGCAGCCAGACGAATCTTCTTCTGGAGTTCCCACGAGTTTGGGTTTTGTGTGTTGCCCAAAACATCAAAGAGAGGCATAAATAGACAGAAGTTGGTCCCCATCTCTTGATGATGCAGACCATGGTACCTGCATAATCCCCACCCAACAAGAAAATCAACTTTTTAAGCATTAACATCATTTACCCTTTTGTAGTAAAGCAGTAAATGTTTAAAACCCAACCAATTACTTTCTATAGACATCTTTGACAGCAAGCACAAACTTGGCAATCTTGCTTCTTAAAGTAAGATATGACAAAGTCACGTTTGTGTGTTTCTAATTCAATGAATAAAGTTAGAGCCCCTTTTATTTAAAACCTGTGAGGCCAACATATCTAACAATATCAAAATATATACATATGTACTTGACATGTGGAAATTTCTGCAAGTAAGGTAAGTTAAACGTCAACAAACATACGTTGGAGTGTAGATGAGGTATCGTAGGAATGGGAGAGTCTCGAATAGCTTGTGAGAGAATATTTCAACGTTGCAATGTCCTAAGCACCTCATGAAATCAAACATAACAGCGTATCCGTAGATCACACTTAATGATCCAACCCCAAACAAGCAAGATCCAATCAAAGGAACTCCAGCTACGACACATAGGATAAGGTTCTCCAATAACGTTGCGTTTCCAGCTGCGTTTCAAACAGATCGAAGATGTTATTACAAATACACAAGAAAACAGAACTTTTTTGATTGGTGTGAATGTTATTACCAGTCATGGGGTGTGGAACAGGGGAAGAGTGGTGAAAGGAGTGGTAATGCGTGAAGAAGTAGTTGTTACGGTGGAAAGATTTGTGCAGAAAGTAGTATAAAGGCTCTGAGAAAGTCACGTGTAGCACAATTAATGCGATGAGTCCTTTCGTGTTCCACAGAGGAAGACTGTTCATCAATGGTGGAGACATGTAACAGATCAAACTCGCTATCATTGCTTGTAGGATTATGTAATTGTCCCTGTAACAAAACAACCCCACAGATCAATATCTTACCTTTCATACCCAAAAAAAACAGAGAACCAAATAAAAACAGAGGACTTAAAGGAAAAATGAAAATGATGAGAAATAAAGGGTGAGTTTTACCAGTGCCATTCGTGATCAATCTGCTTAAAGTCGATGCCTTTAGGATTAATCCTGAGAGTTCGAGTCACGAAAAGCATGTTGTTGAAAACGCTCCATAGTTCATGAACGAGTGCTTTAAGTCCACAGATGATGAGAATATGAAGACACCAAAGAACCTTTGAGATATCTTCTTCATATACCCATGAGTACACCACTTGTGCTACTAATGGAGCGTACAAAACATACTTCACAAATAGCAAACACAAAAAACACATATGAGATTCAGAAAAGAAACCAAACCCCATAAAATCAAATCTTTAAAAAACTCAGACTAGAATTGGTTTTTTTGCCTTAGGAAATAACACAAACCTTGAGATTGCCAAAGTTTTCCCAAGGCCAAGCTGATAAAAAAGCAACCATTCTTCTGCTTCTCCCTGGTCCTATCTCAATTATGTTACCTCCTCGGAGTTTGAGATATCCTGGTCTTTCTATATGACTAGATCCCTCTCTCTCTCTCTCTCTAATGCTTATTGGTCTAGAGAAACCTTAAAGATTTCTCCAGGTTTCAAGCAATCTTGAGAAACTTTGGTTTGCTTCCTTCTTGTGGAAGTCGAAAAAGAAGAGAGAGGGAGATAAGACTGAACGATAAGGTTTGTCTTAAAGCAGGAAGAGAAAGAGGATGGAGAATTTTAGTTGAGCTTTTTAGAGTTCGTTGAGAGAATTTAAAACCCACTCCCCCGGCAGAAGAGAGTTATAAAGGAGGCTTTGTTGTGTTTATGTGCATTATTGTGAGCCTCGACCTCTGTTTCCTTATATAAGCATTCAAACTATGAGAGCCAACTACACCCAACATCTATTTTTCCTTTTTTTTTTTTTTTTTTTACTCTATAACGAATATTTCGGATATTTGTTTGTCAACAAAAAAAAAATCAAATAATTACAGAATTCATTTTTTACTTTTAAGGTTAAAAGTTAAACAACGAAATCGTTTTTTTTTCTCCTGAAAATAAAACTTTTATAGTAGTAATTAAATTCTGACTGTATTCAGTGATAATTAATTACTCTGTTCAATTGTACTACATAGATACTGTATAATAATGAAAATATCATATCAACATTTATTTCGGTGCATAGTAATTGTTTTCTTTTAATTTGGAATATTTAATATTTTTGTCCAACCAAAAATATGGAGAAATAATTTTTAAAAGAAACTTAAAATATTTTCCATTTTAATAATAGTATCAAATATTTTTTTCTAAAAAAAAAAGATTCAATATCCAACTCTAACACTTCTCAAAACGAATTTTTGGTTGTAAAAAAGTGAACATTAATTAGTACTACTTTTTAATATGAAGAACTTAGAAATGGCAATTTCAACCAGAATAAGTAGGTTAGTTATATACTCTTTTAAATGAGACAAAATTTTACCACAACCAACAGAAGAACATACTCACATAATATAGGAATATATAATATATATATATATATTT